GCCGTCTCTCGCTCCGCACTCCGAGTGGTGTCGTACAATTGCCTTGGAAACACGGCCTGCATGCAGAGGTGAGGCGGGAGGGAGAGGTCACCGTGAGGGGATTAATCTATGAAAAGTGAAGCAGCTGGGGTCCCAATCCCATTCTCCGACCCATGCAGTGAGCGCATACGGAGACGCTATTGAGATAGGGGAATGGAAAGTAGAAGTAGGCTAGCACCCTGTAATGGTGTACTCTCGGAGATGGAGAGGGCTGCTGCTGTGGAGTCGTCTTCCCTTTTTATCTGCCCACGGCTCCCTCCTCCTCTCCTCCACTCCCTCTCCTCCACTCCCTCCTCCTCCTCTCCTCCTCGCCACTCCAAGCAGCTTCTCCAAGGCCCGCCTGGGTCGCTTCCGGCGGTGGAGCTTCAGAGGACCCAGGCTGTGGCAGGTGGGGTTGGGGAGAAGAATATCCCATGTGTGTGGGGGGGAGGGAAGGGGAAGAGGAAGAGGAAGGCGCCGGGGGGAGTAAAGGTGGAGGGAAGGGTTATGCATGGGAAGGGAAGGGGTGCGGTTACGGAGTTTAAGTTTTTGTTAAGAAGCAGGCGATAATGGAACAGCAAGCTGGCATATACAAGCAGAAGGTGCAAGCTGCCCATCCAAAGAGCGACGTCATGCGTGTTGTGTACGATTCTGAAACGGCAAGAACATACATAATTTGCCTTCTCCCCCTTCTCCTCCCTTATCTTCCCTTCTTTTATCTAACCGCACCTACCCACACTTTACCAACACACACACATCCCGTACCGTATGTGTTTTCCACTGGTGCCCCCACCCACCCGCCCACCGCTTCTGGCGGCCCCGGACGCAACGCCGTGCATGCCGTACCTCAGGAGATTGCGGGGTACGACGCAGACGTCGTGTGTCTGCAGGTGGGTGGTTAGGTCGTCAGTTGGCTGGCTGGTTGGCTGGTTTGCCCCTCCGCGAGTGGGCTGCGAATACTGGCAGTAAACCCTCTCCCACGTTCTCGTTCGCCCTCGTCAGCTGCCTGCGCTCCCTTATCCTTTGACCCACCCCATCCCACCCCACCCCAAATTACTTCACCCCACACCCCACCTCTGCTCACCCCACGCAGGAGGTGGATGTGTCCGCATTCACTCGGCTGTTTGGACCCGCAGCCCGGACAGCGGGGTACGGCTGCCTCTACCTGCCGCGGGGGGTGAGTTGCTTGGGTGCGGGGGGGGGGGGCGGAAAGGTTAGGGGGATGCAGGTGCAATAGGGGTAGCGCATGGGGACTGTTCGCGTCCTTCCAAAATGGGTTGTACGTGAGTGCTATGCCGCTGGTTTTCTCCATCTCTTACCCCCCCCCCACTCTCAATAGTTCCTCCTCTCAATTGTTCGTTGCTTGACGTCTTTCCGCCCACCCACCTCCTCGCCACTTGGCTTAGGCCCTGCTTCTGCCCCCCCCTCCATGAACCACCACCACCACGCCCCCAGGAGCGCCGACCCGTGGGTCGTAACTCCTCCTCCTCCTCCGCTGCTGCCGCTGATCATGGCATACCCAACCAGATCAGCCCCGTGATTGGCCCAATACACCCCATCTCCCACCGCGAGCGCCATCTAGGCCCCCTGCCACCACCACCACCCGCAGCAGCAGCAGCAGCAGCAGCAGCACCCGCAGCAGCCGAGGGTGATGGCACGCTGCTGCTGTATCGCCGCAGTCGGCTGGCATTGCTGGCAGCGGGCGGGTCGCTGCTGCGGGAGGAGGTGCCTGGGGAGCGGGAGCAGCAGCAGATGGGGGCGGGTGAGGGACGGATCGAGGGCGATGGGGTTGCGGTGTGTGACGATGTGGGTGCGGGCCCCTCTTCCTCCCTCGACATGCCTTCATGCCCCTTTCCACCTGCCCCTTCCCACACGCCCCTCCCCACCCGCCCCTTCCCACTTGCTCTCCCCTCGCATCCTGGCGGCCCCCTGCAGAGATGTTCTGGCGGGCTGCAAGCACGGAGGCGGGCGGTGGAGTGAACGCGCTGATGGCACTGCTGAGGGTGAAGGAGGAGGAGGAGGGAGAGGGGGAGGAAGAGGGGGAGGCGGAAGGAGTGGAAGCAGATGAAGAAGGGAGCATGGGGGATGACGGCGACGAGGAGAGGGAAGAGGAAGGTGCCGAGCGCGGCGAGTGGGGTGTTGGTGACGGCGACGACGACGGCTGCTCTGGAGGAGGAGCGGGAGGAGAAGCAGGAGAAGGAGGGGAAGGGGTTGACGGAGGGGACAGAGGTAGCGGGGGAGAGGGAGCTGGTGGTGGTGCCGGAGGAGGTGTGTTTTGTGTGGTCAACACGCACCTCTGGTGGGACCCCAGGTGGGACGGGAGGGCAGGGCTCGGGATTGTCGCTGTCAAGTTCAGACCCCGCCCGTGACGTCTCCATACACACACACACTCGCGCCCTCCTATGCGCCATCTCTTTCCTGAAACACCCACCCATACATACCCCGCACAAACCCAACACACCCCACCCCCTGCCAGGCTGCCTGACCGCAAGCTGGCTGAGGCTCACCTGCTGTGTCGGGCGGTACGGCGCTTCTTAGAGCGGGGGCGGCGGTGGGGGCATGCAGGGGTGAGCGGGGGTGGGGTGCGGCGGTGGGGACATGCAAGCTGATTTGCAACATTGGAAACCCTCCTATTCCTTTCCTCCCTACCCACATGCCCGATTACTTGTTGCCTCCTCCGTCCTCTTCACATTCATGTCTCACATCCCCTCAGCTGGACATTCCGCTGCTCATGTGCGGCGACTTCAACAGCACTGCTCCGCAGCAACACAACAACATCAACATTGGCAGCATGAGCAGCAGCAAAGCGGACAATGGAACCAACACCAACACCTACTGCATCAGTGGAACAGCAGCCCCAGCCGCCACAGCAGCAGCAGCACCTGACCGGAAAGACCCCGCTTGGAGGGACATGATTACCTATGGTGGAGGCGTTACTAGCAGCAGCAGCAGCAGCGAGGGCAGCGGGGGACAACAACAGCAGCCGTACATCCGGGCCAGTGGTGTGTATGAGCTGCTGACCCGTGGGTCACTGGACTCCAGCCACCCGCACCACCCGGCCAGGTGAAATGAGGGACCTAGCTAGCTAGCTAGGCTGGAAGAAGATATGGGAGAGGAGATATGGGACAGGGGTGAGGAGGAATGGGACAGGGTCCCTCTGTCTCCAGCACACAACGCACACCACCTTGCCTTGTCAGCTACAGCTCGCCTGTTTCTTCCTTCCTGTCACACACAACCGCACACAATCCATCCCAGTCCCGTACCCCATCCCTCGTCAATCCCAGGCTGCGACGTCCCTCCGAGGACCCGCACCTCCTGCATCACCTGGTCTTCGACACAGCGGGTGGGTGGAGGTGGTGAAGATGCAGTCAAGCGGGTTCCAAGAAGTGAAAGGAGGTGGCTAAGAGTCGCCCTGTATACCGGTACCTACCCGTGTGCAAGCCATTGGCGAGGCGAGGCGGCATGAGGGACACCTGCCCCCCTACGGCACCTCTTTACTCCTCTATCCTCGCCTCTTCCCCGCCTAACCCTTATCACACACGGTTCCTTAGTCGGTTCCTCTTCACCCGCGCACCTCCCACTGCCCTGTCAGGTTTGCAGCTGGTCAGCTCCCAGCTGGTGGCCAACGGCAGGGAGCCACCGGCAACCATTCGCACCGGGGGCTTCGCGGGTGAGGGTGCGGGTATGGGTGGGTGGGTGCATGTGTTGCCTGTGCACACACCTTGAGTTGGGATGAACACCTTGTTAGGATTTACGATTTACTAACAATGAGAACGCGTTTGTACGACGGAACTCGAGGTGGTTTCGGGGGGTTCGTGATGGGTTATTAGCGTTGCCTCAGAACAGTCCAGGGGGGTTCCCCTTCACCTTGTTGTCTTTCATTATGTAACCCCCTTCCCGTCCTAGCTGCATTCGTCTGCCCGCCCTCCCCACCCCCCCTCGCTACAGGCTGTCTGGACTACATTTGGTTGTCCCGGGGCCACTGGCACGTAACCGCCACGCTGAAATTGCCGTACAGGTGGGGGGAAGGGAAGGGGCTGGGAGGAAGAAAGGATAGGCAGGCATTGACCTCGATGACAATGACAAGTCCTTTTGCCGGCCTAGGCGACTGTTTGCATGTCTAGCTGCCTTTGCCGCTTGGCGCCATCGTTGCAGTTCTTGTTTGAAGACTTGGAACAAAACGTTTTCTTAAAATTTACCCTGGGCGCTCTCATGCCCGTACAACAACAACATCACAGGTACGACTGTGACGACCCTGGTATGGAATCGGGTTCACCAGCGGGGTCGTTTCCTGATGGCACCTCCGCCACAGCAGCAGCAGCGGCGGCGGGGAAAACAGCAGCAGGAGCAGCTGCTGTTGCGGGAATAATGGAGGACAAGACGGAACACTTGGACAGTAATGGTTGTGGTGATGGAGATGGCAGTGGTGGTGGTGGCAGTGGTGGTGGTGGCAGTGGTGGTGGTGGTGGTGGCAGTGGTGACAGTGACCGCAGTGTGCCCCCCCACCCGGCCCCCCACCTCCTACCCGTGTGGGTGCTGCCGCCTCAACCCAATGCGGAGTGGCCCTCCGACCACATGGCGATAGGGGTGGAGGTGGTGTTAGTGAGGAGGTAGTCACACTAAAGTAGTGGTAATATAGATGAGGAGAGCAGAGGAGAGGATAAATTATTGTAATGACGGAGCAGGGTTGAGGTAGGAATGGAGGAGGCATAGGCTGCGAAGGCAATAGCTCGGCCATCGAAGGAGTTACACTTTCCCTGAATGGCCTGTATGAGGCTGAACTAGGCATCGTAGCTTGGGGTATCGCAGCTTTATCAAATCAAACTGGCCGCGAAACTGACACTGACTTCGACACAGGTACCGTACCTGTGTACGGCAGTTCAGCAGCTTTTTTCGTGTCTTCACGTTACACGACCGTCAAGCATTGAACGATAATTACCAACACAGCATGCCACTTAGGCTAGAGTTCATGCAGGCCCAGGCTCGACTTCAAGGCATGAAAAGGAGAGCCCCCTTCCCATGAACGCCCTCCGAACTCCCAACCGCCTAGTACCGTACCCTGCAGGGCCGAGAAGGGAGGTACGGCATGTACGGCCTCCTTACCGCAGCCCCACACGACCCCTCGCTGCTAACCGCTTAGCTAACCGCTGCCTTAACCGTACAGCCATCGGCGCCCAAGCGTCTGATCCCCTAACAAAACGTATTCCTAGTGCATACCGGTGCGTGCATGCATAATCTGCGCACCTGCAGCCGCCCTGCCGTCCTGATACAACGGGGCGAATTGCCTTCCTTCCTCGTCAATACCCTGACCAGCCCACCATCAGAGAGAAACCAGAAACTTCATTTACCACGGTCTGCAAAAGCTGCAACCCCGCCAACTCACTCCCCATGCTTCGTCACCGGAAGCCATTTCCGCGCAACCTCACAGCACGCTGAACTCCGGCGGCCGCTGCTGCGGGCTCTGCTGACCCGCCCTCTTCCGAGCAGCCTTCTCCTCTTCCGCCGCTTTCTTCCGCTCGGCTGCCGCAGCGGCATGGTTGAATGCTGCAGCCTCGGCAGCAGCTGAATCTCCGTCTGATACCGTGTTGGAGGGTCGTGGTAGTCCGGATTCGCGGTACAATGTGACTGTGAATCCCACTTGGTGCACGCACACGCAGTCGAGATACTTCTCCAGCAACTGAGCGGCTGTACGACGTTCCAAGCCGCTGCCATCGCCCAGCTTGACGCGAACCAGGCTGTGCTTTTGTAGAATGTCAGCGCATGCGCGGAGGAATGCGGGCGTAATGCCTAGTTGGCCGACCTGGATGTTGATTAACCGCTTTTCCTTGGCCATGGTTTCCGCTTTGGCGCGCCAGACTTTCCGGACTTTCATGGGCATCGCAGGCTGGTAGCGGACTTCGGGTAGGGACCCCAGCTGCGACTCATCAAACGCGCCGCTGCCGCTGCCGAGCCCGATGGCTTCGAGGTCGTCCTCGTCGTCTGCATTGGACAACAGCCCCACGTCTGCGTCGGTAGACCGCGGAACATAAGACGACGGATGGCATTGCTGTCGCGAATTAGGGGCCCGGAGGCCAATTGTCCGGGTACATGATAGGCCTAATACAATTGCAGCGGCTGTGAAGCAATTCGATGAGGGAACTGGCCGTCGTTGAGCATGACCGACACCGACGCTTGCCGTCGCGCGTTGCAGTAAGATTTGCGACATATTAGATTGAGGATGTAATCCTTCTGCAATGCAGGTATGAAGGCTTTGAAACTGTCAGTCTTTCATTGTGACCTTGTTCTTCAAGCTGTACTACATTGTGGTACCGGTAGTAAGCAAAGATAGGGAATTCGAAGTCCCTGCGAAGCTGCAAGAGGAAAGCCGCAATTAGTAACAAAACGGCTTGCTAATTCCCGTTGCAGTGAACTGACTGAAGTAGTAAAGCGTGGCAAGCCTCAGGAAGCCACACCGCAACACGTGTACGGAGTCCGCAAGGCGAAGGTGTACCATAACCATGTTGCAAGCACACGAAGCCTCGCACCGTCGCACGCCTATCCCAACCTAGGACGAAATCCCACCCAAACCATTACGGGCCGTAGGTTCCCATACCATCACTGCAAATCCTGACGCTGCACCCAATTGCCCCGCCCCTTTCTTCTTTTGCGTTGCCCCCCCCGCATCACAACAGCCCTTGGACATGCTCCAGTACGGTTCATAGGCTCCCCCAAACCTCCTTCCCCATTTAATCTCGCATTGCGTGACACCTAGCTTTGATCCTTCTGCACGCCATGCACCCTCTCCCGTGTTTGGTAACTACCGGTAACCAAGATAGTCAACAGCCCTCGTTCCCAGCCCTCATTAAACACCCACATAAACCACCCACATAAGCCATCACCACCCTCTCCTTCCCTACTTCTTAGACCCCGCCGTCGCCCCCTGTCCCCCGCCCTTTCCGCCCCCTCCGCCGCCCTTCCCGCCCTTCCCTCCCTGTGTCAACACCTGCCCCAGCATCCCAGGCGCTCCCCACACCTGCAGATTCGCCTTCAAATGCGCCAGCTCGAACTCATCCAACTGCCCGCCCGTCAACATTCCGTACACCGCCTCTCCCACACTCTTCCCCGACGCCAACCCCGCCACCACCCCCGTCATCAACCTCACCGTCACCGCCGGCGGCGCCGCCGCCGCCGTCACCACCACCGTCCTCACCCCACGCGCCAGCAGCAACGTAGCAACCTTGCTCGGCGCCTCCAGCCTCCTCTGCTCCGCGCTCTTCCTGTTATCCCGGTACAGCTGCGCCCAAAAAGCCGCATCCGTGTTGCACCGGTCGAACAACAGTGCCGCGTCACAGCCGGTCAAATCCGCGGCTGCGAGCACCGCCGGCGGCACATGGGCTGCGAAGCGACCCACCCCCAGGAACAGTAACCCAGTGGCAGAAGACAGCAACCCCGCGTAGGTATCGGCCGAGGCTGCGCGACCCGGCTCCCCGGAAAACCCACTCCACCAGCCCGCAGCAGGCAGCGCCGACAGCAGCTCAGATGAGGACATGGCGGGTATGAGGGGCGACATGTAGGGCCCGCGCGCCTGAGCGGGGGAGGAGCACTCATGCCGGGGATCCAGGATGGTTGTCATGCGCCCGAGGTCCAGCGGCGGCAGGGGTGGCGGCGGGCCGGAGAAGGAGAAGGGACCGCCGGGGAAGGCGGGGTCGGGTCCCAGGCCTCCTAGGCCGCCGCCAGGGGAGGCAGGCACGGAGGGAGAGGGATGGCTGTCGGCGGCGGAGGCGGCGGCGCCTGTGGCTACAGATGCCGGGGTGTGGCATGCAGCGAGGGCTTGCAGGCTGGGCGCCCGTGCGACGGAGCCGCAGGTGGCGACCAGGTGGGGGAGAGCCTCCAGGGGAAGGCCGTCGAAGACGGGGTCCAGAAGCAGCACGACCTTGTGTTTCGGAGGCCCGACGGGAAGCCCCTTGTCACCCTTGCTTCCCCCGCCACCACCTTCGCTTTTGCCGCCGCCGGCTCCGGCGCCTCCGCCGCCGCCTGCAGCGCGCTTGCCGTCTTGGCTGATGGCTGGAAGGCGGGGCAGCGGCGGCAGCGCCGCTTCTAGCCAGGGGAACAGCGGGGAGAACCAGGCCTCCAACTGATCCATGAGGCGAGCCCACTCGGCGTTAATGCGTGGGTCAAAGATCTCCAGTCGGGATGGCGAGTCGGGAGGAGCCGCCTGGCCGCTCTGGGTGCCGGCGCTGCTGCCGCCGGCGTTGGTGCCGCCGCGGCCGCCGCCCTGCTTGCTTCCTGGGCGCCGACTTTGACTGCCCTGACGCTTATCTGCAGCAATTGTAGAAACGTGTTACGGGGAGAACAACGAGTGAGGATTGGAGGTAAGGAGTTAAAATGATGATGATGATGATGATGATTAGGGTAAGGAGGCCAGAGTAAGAGGCCATTGCTAGACCAACCCAAGTCAGCGACACACGCAACGCTGCGCGACGCAATGCAAACCTCTGCAATTCTTCACTCTCCCCAACCACCAACCAACCAATCCCTTTCTCCAGACGCACCCTTCTTCGTCGGACCCACGGGTCGTTTCTCCTCCTGTTCCGTCATGCCGACCCCTCGTGCCGCCGCGGAGGCAATGGACTCGCGGATCTGCCGCTCCACGCCGCGACGATAGCTCCGGAACTCAGCGGACAGCGCTTCCACGGTCCCAATGTCGCAGTCCACGCGGGTTACCAAGGAGAGCTTGGGCAGGGAGGTGGCGGAGGCGCCGGCGGGGTCGAGCTTCTTGCGGCCTGCAGGTGGTGGTGGGTGAGGCGGAATGGGGCGGATGGGGCGGAATGGGGCAGAGTCAAGGGATACCGGTAAGCTGCAGTGAGAAAAGAGAAGATATGTGGCCACTGCCGCGGCAAGGCAGCTCGCTAGTTATTACTCCGCCGCAACCCCAACTGATTAATGCCATCGCCTTTACACCACAAAACTACAACCAAAGTTACGACTTACTCTTATCCGAGCTGGCTTGCTGCTGCAGGTGCATCTGCTGTGCACTCGCCACCGGGTCAGGAATGTTCAGCGCCGCCGCAAACAGCTGCGTCCCATCCGGTGAAAAGTACAAGCACAGCACCCGCAGGTCGGGCGGCAACACCGCAAGCTGACGTTCCACCGGCGGCGCCGCCGCCACATCCAGCCGCGACACCGCCCCCCGCAGCCCACACAACACCCGGCGTAACGCAGCGTAATGCACGTTATCCGCCGGCGTCGGCAGCGACGCCGCCAGCGCGTCACGTTGTGCAAGCATGAGCACCTCGGGTTGCTGCGGCGGCGCCGCCGCGCGCAGCAGCGCCTGTCCCGCCGCCGCCGCGCGGCAAGCCTGCGCCAGCACGAGGCTCCGGCAGGCGGTGGCGGGAGCCTGCTGGCCGTAGCAACGCGCGAGCTCGAAGGCAGCTTGCTCCGCCAGCGGCCAGTCTTGTACGGAAACCGCGGCTTCCAAGGCGGCGGCAAGGGTGGCGGCGGCCTCGGCTTGGAGGTGCAGCGCAGCGGCGCCTTCCTCGCTGGCGGCGGCGGCGTCAGCGGCGGCGGCCGCCGCCGCCGCCGCTGCCGCGGCGGCGGAGGCGTGGGAGGCGATGTCGGTGTGGGTTGAGAAGGGCGAGATGGGGTAGGCGCCGGGCGGGGGGGTGACGGCAATGGACGCGAGGGAGGCTGAGGCGGAAGGCAGCGGAGGTGGCCCTGCACCGGCGCTGCTGTCGGGTGTTGCGGAACCGCCGCCCATGATGTCCGGTGTATCCCTACTTCCGCCGTCAGCGCCAGCGCCAGCGGCGGCGCTGCCGCCAACCGACGCCGCCTCAGCGGCACTTGTCGACGACGCCGTCGGCGGCGGCGCCGGCGGCGCCGGCGGCACAAACGGCCGCAGCGGGTGCAGCGGCGGCGGTACCCGAGTGAGGAACTTAAACAGCAAGCAGCGGCCAGCCACGAGCAACGCCCTGGCTCGATCCCGCGGCGCCGACCCAACCAGCGCCGCCGCGCCGCTGGCAGCGACCAGCGCGCTATCCTCCGGCTCCAACCCCGGCGGCGGCGGCGGCCCGCCGCCAGTCTCATCGATGAAGTCCACCACCACATGCGCATCCCGACCTCGGAACTTTGGAAACTTGGGTCTCGCGCGCTCCCGATCCGCCGCCGCCAGCCTCTCCCGCTCCTCCGCCGCCGCCAGCTGCACCTCCGCCAGCTGACACCGCACCCGCGCCAGCAGCCGCGCCGTGGGCGTAACGACCCTTGGGTCCAAATCCCTCGGCGTGGCCTCCGCGTGGAACCGCACCGCCAGCTCCTCCGCCGACAGCAGGTGCTTCTCCACCTTCTTCAACCGGGGCCTCAGGTCCTTGGTTTCCGTGGGATCCGCCAGCTGTAACTCCGCTTGCACCATCAACGCCTCTGCATGCGGCAGCCCCGCCTCCCGCGCCGCCAGCGCCATGTTCGCCTGGTTCACCAACGTCACGGCTTGGTCGTACGACTTCCTCCACGTGCTCACCCCCTGCGCTCGCAGCAACTCCATGTCACTTAGCAACAGCCGAGCCAGCCGAAGCCGCATCATTGCGCCGGCGCTGCTGGCGGCTTTCTCCGCGGACCGGTCGTCACGCGCCAGGGCTAGGAACATGGCGATGCCGCCTTGTAGGGCCTCCCGCGCGTAGGCGGAGGTGGTGGCGGGCATGTTGCCGGCGGAGCGGCATTCCACGTATTGCAGCAGCAGCTCCGCCCAGAAGTCGATGTCGCCGCCCAGGCGCTGAGCGGCCTGTGTGTGGGAGGGTGGGGGGGGAGGAGGGTAGGGCGCACATGCAGAAACACAACCCATGCAGAAACACCCCACCCCCCTTCAGCCCTGTAACCCAAGTCCCCAACACCCGGTGGTGCCCTTTGGTACCTCCCGGCTCCTCCCCGGCACCTGCCAGCACAGCTTCCGGCGCCCCCTTTTCCTCAGCCTTCCCAGCCTCAAGAGTCAGTGTTTCCGCGGCTCAGTTAGCCTAATCTACCCGCCTCACCATGACCATTGCAATCGCCTCCTTGGGGTTGGCCGCCGCCAGTTCCGCCCTGCTGAGCGCCAGCAGGCAGCGCGCCTCCGCCTCCCGGTTGCCGCAGTCGGCGGCGTGGGCGCGCGCGCGCACCAGCAGCTGGCGGGCGGCGGCGTAGTGGCCGCGGCGGGCTAGGTACTCGCCCTGGGGGAGGGGGAGGAGGAGGAGGGAGGAGGGAGGAGGGAGGAGGGAGGAGGGAGGAGGGAGGAGGGAGGAGGGAGGAGGGAGGAGGGAGGAGGGAGGAGGGAGGAGGGAGGAGGGAGGAGGGAGGAGGGAGGAGGGAGGAGGGAGGAGGGAGGAGGGAGGAGGGAGGAGGGAGGAGGGAGGAGGGAGGAGGGAGGAGGGAGGAGGGAGGAGGGAGGAGGGAGGAGGGAGGAGGGAGGAGGGAGGAGGGAGGAGGGAGGAGGGAGGAGGGAGGAGGGAGGAGGGAGGAGGGAGGAGGGAGGAGGGAGGAGGGAGGAGGGAGGAGGGAGGAGGGAGGAGGGAGGAGGGAGGAGGGAGGAGGGAGGAGGGAGGAGGGAGGAGGGAGGAGGGAGGAGGGAGGAGGGAGGAGGGAGGAGGGAGGAGGGAGGAGGGAGGAGGGAGGAGGGAGGAGGGAGGAGGGAGGAGGGAGGAGGGAGGAGGGAGGAGGGAGGAGGGAGGAGGGAGGAGGGAGGAGGGAGGAGGGAGGAGGGAGGAGGGAGGAGGGAGGAGGGAGGAGGGAGGAGGGAGGAGGGAGGAGGGAGGAGGGAGGAGGGAGGAGGGAGGAGGGAGGAGGGAGGAGGGAGGAGGGAGGAGGGAGGAGGGAGGAGGGAGGAGGGAGGAGGGAGGAGGGAGGAGGGAGGAGGGAGGAGGGAGGAGGGAGGAGGGAGGAGGGAGGAGGGAGGAGGGAGGAGGGAGGAGGGAGGAGGGAGGAGGGAGGAGGGAGGAGGGAGGAGGGAGGAGGGAGGAGGGAGGAGGGAGGAGGGAGGAGGGAGGAGGGAGGAGGGAGGAGGGAGGAGGGAGGAGGGAGGAGGGAGGAGGGAGGAGGGAGGAGGGAGGAGGGAGGAGGGAGGAGGGAGGAGGGAGGAGGGAGGAGGGAGGAGGGAGGAGGGAGGAGGGAGGAGGGAGGAGGGAGGAGGGAGGAGGGAGGAGGGAGGAGGGAGGAGGGAGGAGGGAGGAGGGAGGAGGGAGGAGGGAGGAGGGAGGAGGGAGGAGGGAGGAGGGAGGAGGGAGGAGGGAGGAGGGAGGAGGGAGGAGGGAGGAGGGAGGAGGGAGGAGGGAGGAGGGAGGAGGGAGGAGGGAGGAGGGAGGAGGGAGGAGGGAGGAGGGAGGAGGGAGGAGGGAGGAGGGAGGAGGGAGGAGGGAGGAGGGAGGAGGGAGGAGGGAGGAGGGAGGAGGGAGGAGGGAGGAGGGAGGAGGGAGGAGGGAGGAGGGAGGAGGGAGGAGGGAGGAGGGAGGAGGGAGGAGGGAGGAGGGAGGAGGGAGGAGGGAGGAGGGAGGAGGGAGGAGGGAGGAGGGAGGAGGGAGGAGGGAGGAGGGAGGAGGGAGGAGGGAGGAGGGAGGAGGGAGGAGGGAGGAGGGAGGAGGGAGGAGGGAGGAGGGAGGAGGGAGGAGGAGGGTAGGGAGGAGGAGGGTGTTGGGTCAGCCCGGGCTGCATGAAGAGGCACGGCGGCATGGTGGGGGTGCATGCGACGTGGAATGCATTAGGACTGCATGCAAGTCGAAGTGAGGGGGGGGATAACGTGTTATCATCCCCCCCGCAGGATAACACCCCCCCTCCGCCCTCATACCTTTCTGAGCCACACGTCGTGCAGGCTGTACGGCCGCAGCAGCAGCTGCCCCGTCACGTGGCTCAGCAGCCCCGCCCCGCCCGTCACCAGGTCCACATTGCCCAGGTCCCGAGCAGCCTCCTCCATCCACTCGGGCAGCGGAAGAAGAGACAGGTCGCTGCCAGTACCCACGCCGCCGCCAGCGGCGGCGGCGGCGGCGCCTGCGGCGCCGCCGCCGTCCCCGGTGCCTTCGCTGCCGTCGGCTGCCGCCGAGGGGGAGTCTCTTCCGCGGCCGCCGCCAGCGGCGGAGAAGTCCGCGGCGGCGGCGGCGTCAGCCGCCGCCGCGTCGACGGGGGCAGCTTGTTGCAGCGCCGCCGCCGCCGCGGCGGCGGCGGCGGAGGCAGCGGCGGCGGTGGCTCTCCGTACGCCGCTGGCTAGGAAGGACAGTCGTCCGACGGCGAGTGCGGATCGCGGACGTGCCGCCTCCAGCTTCGTTGCGGCGGACCGAACAAGCTCCGCAAGAGAAGCCTGCGCGCGGGTGCATGTGTGTCAGTAAAACGCATGTAAGACACAAGCTCACAATACACATACACACGCACGCGGCCTCCTCCGCCTCCCTCCCTCCTCCTTCCCCTCCTCCCCTCCCTCACCTGCTCCTGCTCCATCTTCTCCTCCGCCGGCCCCACCCCCGCCACGTCCCCCAGCTCCGCCTCCAACGCCCCCGCCTCCGCACTCAGCCCCAGCTCGTCCAGCAGACACACCAGGCCCAGACTGACAGCCTGGTACACACCCTGGCGGAAACATTGATAAGTAGTGAAGGATCAAAGACCATACCAAACCATAGGAGGGGAAGGGAAATGAAGACAGTAGTGGGGGATAAAGTATATAATGAGGGAAAGGAAGACAGGTTTGGGAAGGGGAAAAGGGACGTCTTTCACATTTGGGAGGGTGGGTGCTGAGCTGGAGGTGGCTAGCTACGGAGGGCAGGGTAGTGGCAGGCATGCCCACACCCCCACCACCCCTTAACCGCCAGTGCCTGCCCCAACCTTCACCAACCCCCACCACCCCCCCACACAAGCCCTACCTGGTCCGCCAGCACTGTCCTGGCCAGCACCCGCTGCAGCTGCGCTAGGCCCAGGCAGTGGCAGTGCAGCCCGCGAGCCCGCAGGCAGCCCTGGGGGGGAGGGAGTGGGAGGGGAGTGGGAGGGGAGTGGGAGGGGAGTGGGAGGGGAGTGGGAGGGGAGTGGGAGGGGAGTGGGAGGGGAGTGGGAGGGGAGTGGGAGGGGAGTGGGAGGGGAGTGGGTGTCAGAGATATAATACCCAAACCACATGGATAGGGGTTACTCGAAGCCGACTGGTGAAGGGAGGGAGCGCTGTTAAACCCCTCCCACCCTCCCCCTTGCCATACGACTAATTGGTTACCTGCAGCAGCTCCAGGTACGCCAGTGTGAGCTCTGCCTGCGGCATCAGGTGGCGAGACAGCGAGGTGACGCTGCCGGTGGCGGCGTCCGCAGTCAGACTGTCCAACACCTCGGGGGTGAGCTGGGGGTGGGCGGGAGGCAGGTGGGGAGGGGGTGGGAAGAGGGGAGGAGGAAGTAGGTAAGAGCGGCAAGAGGGGGAGCGGTAAGAGGGGTATAACCGGTAGTGACAGGCTGTCTAGCACCTCGGGGGTGAGCTGAGTCATAGGGGGTGGAGGGGGGGTGGAGGGAGGCCAGAGAGAAACCCAACGCCGACGGGGGCGTGTACGGAGATTGTCAGAAGAGGTAGGCAATGCAGCTAGCGGTGACATTTCGAGGGAGAGCGTTAACGGGCGCCTGCACCCCTAACCCCTCACCCCACTCCTCCTCCCTCCCTTCCCCCCCGCCGCACCCTCACCTGCCATGTGCCCCACCCAACCAACGTATCCGGCACCAGCGCATACGGCTTGGGCAGCGGCCGCAGCTCCGGCGGCTCGCGTCCCTCCGCCGCCGCCGCCGCCACCTCCGCATTCACCGCGTCACGTGCCGCCACGAAGCGAGTGTGCGCGGCGGAGTGCAGGGCCTGGGTGAGCAGGCGCATGAAGTTGTGGTGCGCGGCCAGCATGTAGTCGGAGTGGTCGGCGGCGGAGGGGGCGGCCTGGAGGAGGGGGCGGGAGGGGAGGGGGAGGGGGAGGGGGGAAAATTATATAAGTGAAACGGGGGGGAGGGGGATATGAATGAAAAGTGAAGCAGGGTGGGCGTGACCATGGGCCACGAATGGGAGACGGGCTTGGGAGGCGGAGCAAGACTCCCCTTGCTGTGCGCGCGTGTGTGTGTTTTCCTCATCAGCACACACATGCATATATGCCTCTGTTTTGCTTGTACTTGCGGTTCACATGCGAACCTATCCCAACTGCTTGCTCTTGTTTCCGCTGAACTACACATAATGCGCGCAACGCTGAGGTGGGTCGTCCCCCCACCACACACGCAGCCAGTGTTTTTCAACACACGCGCGGCCCGCTTTGTTGCCACACACCCACCTGACACGCCATCACATAGATCCTGGCCAGCCGTTCCAAATGTGTCGACCCCAGCTCCTCCGGCACCCGATTCGGATCCGGCGCCGCCTGCCTTGACCCCCCCGCACTTCCCCCGCCTCCTCCTCCTCCTCCTCCCCCGCCGCCTCCACCACCACCCTCCCCGCCGCTGCCTCCACCACCACCGCCTCCGCCTCCGCCACCGCCTGCCGAGCCCGGCTTGCCGTTGTCAAAGGACGCGGCTCGGCTGTAGTTGCGGGAGAGGGCACGGCGGAAGGAGGCACTGCGGGAGGAGTTGGCGGCGCGGGAGCGGCCGGTTGGGGAGACCTTGACGGGGTCGGTGTCCTCCTCCTCCTTGTCGTCGCCGTCAACTGCGGGGAGAAAGGAGAGGAAGAAGACGGGTTAAGGAGGGATCTGCACCTGAAACGCTTGGCGGTATTGCTTCAGGAGAGGAGCGGAGCGGGCGGCTGTACATAGCGTCGCCCGCTAGCTCTACCTCCCCCCCCCACTTTCATCCCTCCACAACCCACATCATGGTGTCATCCTTAGCCATTTCCCTGCTCCTCCCTCCTGCCCCACATGCTTTGCCCTAACCTGTGGCGTTCGGTATGGTCGCTGACTCCCCTCCCCGCCCCTCCTCCCTCCCTGCTTTCCCCCCCACACTCACGGTCCCCCGTGTCGAACTCCAGCAGCGCATCCGCGGCCGCCAGCAGCGCATCCTCCGCCGCCTCCTTGTCGTCCGAGCTGCTTAGCAGCCACTCCGCGTAGCTGCATGGGTGTGTGTGTGTGTCGGGGGGGGGGGGTAAATTTAAGGAAAATTGACAAACTCAAAGACGGGTGCAGGTGGGGGGGTTAGGAGGGGGGAAAGAGATGTACAAAACCACAGGTTGGGGCAAAGCAAATGGGGATAGAGAGAAGCAGCTCGTGAGGGGGGGGGATAGGGGGAAAACGTAGTTGTTCAACGGCCATACCCCCTGCTGCTTAGCAGCCACTCTTTTATCCCTGCTTTCCCCACCAACCCCGTTTCCCTGCCGCCCCCTTAGTAACCCTCACCCCGCCAGCGCCACCGCCTTGAGCCAGCCCGCATCCCCCACCGCCGCCGCCGCTGCCCTGAATGCCGCCACCTGGTCGTAGCGAGCTGCGGAGTGGTGGGACAGCACCGACCAGGCGTAGGCCTGGGGGGGGGGGAGGGGAGGGAGGGGAGGGGTAAGGATTAAAGAAGACGAACAAACTATGTGGGGTAGTGGGAGCTTGGCGTGGATATTTTGTTTTGCTTCTCCTGGTGTAAAACTTCCCCACCACACCCAAACCTCCCACTCCTCCGCCTCCTTCCCTAACCCCCACCCCTGCACCCCACCCCCACTGCGTCTCCTTTCCAAACGCCCACCTCTCCCCCCCCTTCGTATCCATATCCCGTTCTTGCTCCATGTAATCCCCACCCCTGCACCCGGCCCCCCCACCTGCGTCTCCGGCGGGTGCTCCTTGACCTTCGTCATCTCCGCATTCACGTTGCGCCCAAGCATGGCCAGACACGCCGCCTTCCATCCCAGCAGCGGCCGCAGCAGGCTGCGAGGCCGGATGCAGCGGCCCGCCGCGTCGCATGCGCCCACTGCGTCGCCCCAGCGCCGGGCGGCCGCCAGGGCTTCGACTAGCAGGCAGTTGAGGCGGACCTGGGGGGGCGGGAGGGGGGGGGGCGGGAGGGGGGGGCGGGTTCAGTAATGCAGCCAGGCGGTCTCCCATGCATTGGATTGTTTGCTGGCAAACAGCGTACGGCAGATGGCAGCAGCGGTTAGCTATTATTCCTTACCCCATCCAACACCACTCCAATCCATAGTTCTAGCCCAGTGCGGATTATTCCTCCCCTCTTAACCACCAAACCCAACCCGGGGCTAGCTCACCTGGAACCCCTTGTCCACCGCGCCCACTCGGTTCAGCGCCTCACAGGCGGTGCGCAGCGGGCGGATGAGCGCGGCTCGCAGCAGCGGCTTGGAGGTGAAGGGCAGACAGGCGTTCCACACCAGCCGGCAGGCGCTCTCGCACAGGTCCGACTGGGGGGGGAGGGGAGGAGGAGGAGGAGGAGGAAGGGAGGAAGGGGGGGGTCAGAGATACCGCATACCAAAGAAGAGGAGTGGGGGAAGAGGTGGGGTGGGGGTTCAAAAGCTACAAGGAAAGCGGAGGGGGGCCCTACCTCTCAATCATTCACCCCAAGGCCCGCACCCAGCTCCTCTTCCTCCTCTTCCTTCACCTCCGCGGCTCAGTTTACCTAATCCCACATTGCTTCGCATACGCCGCACACCCCTAACCTCCTCCCTCCCACCTTGTTCACGAAAGCCGCACACCGGGCCGCCTGCGCCGCATGCAGCAGCGCCTCCCGCCGCACCGTCAGCGCAGTGGCGGCACCCTGGGGCAGAGCAGAGCAAAGCAGGGGGGTTAGGGTTGATTAGCAGGAGAGGAGAGGAACGACCCATGGGTCACACCAACAACCAGCCTTCCCCCTGCCCACATACCCAGCCACGCACAAGCCGAAATCACAAGCCAGCGCCCACCCACCCCACCCGCATGCGTGGAAAGCCAAGGTAGCGATGCACGGTCCTGCATGTCACCGCCCCCTACACCCCACCCCACCATCCCCGCACCCACCCACCCACCCGCACACACCCGCAGCTTTAAGGCTTACACCGTGTAATACACACCGCATCCCTACAACCCACCCCGCACCCCCGCATTGCCCCCACCTGCGCCCCCAGGTCCACCAGCGTCATCAGCGCCCCCGCCCGCACCGACAGAGCCACGGAGGCCCAGAACCAGGCGGCGGGAGTCACCTCGGGCATGTCTGCGGGCGACTCCAGGCTGAGCACCTCCAGGGGGGCGGGCAGGTCGGAGGGGGAGGGCGGGGGGCCGCCCAGCGAGGCGAGCGCCTCCGCGGAGCACTCGAGCGCAGCGGGCATGCAGCCTGGGGGGGGGGTGCATGGGGGGGGGATCAAATTAGACCAAATGAAACCATGGGGGGGGGGCGAGAAAGCTGGCCGCGGGAAAGTAGGAAGCGGCCAGGGCCATGGGGTGCGGGGTGGTGGAGGTGGTGGGGAGAGGGGTAAGAGGGAAATAGGAAAGGGTGGGTCACATCCGCGGGGCCATGCATCCAAAAGATCGCACTCGCATCCCAAACACACACACCTGCATCCGCCGCTGCTCGAGACATCTTGGCCCACAGCTCCAGCGGAGCCCCCCCCGGCAGCGCCCGCAGCAGCGCAATGGCGGCCGCCGCGTCAGCCGCCACCGCCGCCGGCGGCCGGCCGTTGCGCGGCGCCGACGACAGCGCCTCAATGGCTGAGACGACTCGGCTGGTGGCTTCGGAGGCGGCGGCGGCGCCGGGGGGCAGTCCGGAGGAGACGCCGCGGTACTGCTGCAAGCGCGCGTACATCTCCAGCAAGCCCTGGGGGTGCGGTTAGGGGGGAGGAGGGGGCAGGAGGAGGAGGGGACTTATACGTGCCGAAAGCGAAGGATAAACACAGCAAATGCATGCATGCGTTCATGGTTCTGCATGCACCACCATGCACCCATATACGCATGCAAGCATCACCAAACCACAACCTCAAAACACACACACGCATTCGCGGCCAGTTGTATTAACAGGGTTAGCACACACGCATCGTACCGCCTCGTACCTGCGTGGATGCGTTCCCCGCCCGCTCCAGAGCCGCCTCCGCCACCGCCGTCACAGTCGCCAGCGACGCCAGGAGTTTCGACAACGAGGGAAAGACCCGTGGGTCAATGCCCGACGCCGCCACACGCGCCTCTGGAAGCGGCAGGTAACCCCGGCTGCGGCGGTTGAAGTGCGCGCCGGCGTCTCCGGGGTGTACGGGAACGGCGGCGGCGGCGGCGGCGCTGCCGTCGCCGTCGTTATCCTTGCCGTACACGCCGCCTCCGCTGGCTCCGCCGCCGCTGCCACCGAAGCCATCGCCGTCTTCCTCGTTATCTTCTCCATCTGTGTCACGACCTAGGGAAGTGAGTATGAGCGTACTAATGCACAACTACTTTTAACTACGTCTCTAACTAACGTTTATATACCGTACGAACCGTTCCGTATCGGTACTATCCGTTTCTTCACCACTGCACCGCACCCCATCTTCCCCCCTTACCTTCCTCCCTCGCCGCTCTGGCCGCCGCCGCCGCCAGCAGCAGCCGGTGTTCCGCCGCTCGACACAGCGCCTCCGCAATCGCAACCGCCAACGGTCCGTCGCTGTCGGCCGGCTTCAGCGTCATGAGCGCCTCCGCGGTGGGTCGCAGCCAGCGGTAGAGGTCGGCGTAGCGGTGCTGCTGCATGCAAGGCAGAGCGGCGTTGTACAGCTGTACGGCGCCGTTGATGGTGAGCCAGGGCTCGGAGACGGAGGCGGCGCCGCGCATGGCGCTGACGGTGGCCTGAGGGGGGGGGGAGAAGGGGAAAAGGGTGGGGCGGGGATGGGGTAAAAAGGAGGAAACGGATGAGCTGTATGACGAGGCTTGTTCACCATAGGGATGGGAGAAAGATGAGTAAGACCAAGGTGTATGCGACACTGGCGACCCTCCTCGCTCTGTCCCCCCCCCCGGGCTCCCTCACCATCACCACCAGCTCCTGCAGTTGCTGCGGCGAGGCGGGCGGCTGCCGCACACCCTCCGCATCCAGGGGGGGCGGTGCGGGCTGCGGCGGGGGCGTGAGGTCCAGGTGCTGCTGCCGCAGCTCGGAGATGGCGGCCTCCGCCTCCAGGTAGCTCAGCTGGGACTGTGGGGGGGGGGGGAGAGGAGGGGGGAAAAAATTAAATATAGGGGGGAAGGGGGAGGGGAGGAAGAGGGGGCAAAGAGGAAACATTTGACCGTGTGATAAGGCGTCATCATGGTTTGCAACATGTGAGCCAGCCCGAACCGCCCGGAGGAAGAGGGGGCGGTTAGGGGAGGATGTGCGGCCTGATCTTCCAACAACCTCCCCCCCTCCGAAACCCACACACACGCACCCCCCCACCCACCTGCATCAGAACCATCTCCCGATCCACCGCGGGACTCCACTCAATGGCAAGCGCGTACGGCACCGCCGCCAACACATGCTCGTCCATACGGCTGGCAGCAGCCGACCGAACCAGATCAGCCCACACAACCGTACGGCGCCGCGCCGCCTCGTGGGCTGCCGTACGCTCGCGACCCGGCGGGTCGGTGGGCGCGGGCGGCAGCAGCAGCGGCAGGTCTCGCAGCTTTTCGCGGGCTCGTGCGAGGAGGTCGAGTTTGATGGCGGGGTTGCGGCTCTCCTTGCTGCGTTCGATGAGGGACTGGGGGGCAGGGGTGGAGAAGAGGGGAGAAAGGGGAGGGCAGGGGAAAACTAAACAAGTGAAACAACGAGTCCCAATCCCATATCCCGACTCATGCAATGAGGACGGTTGAGTGGGGGTGAAGAGGAATGAGAAGGGAAGGTGTCCGCTGCCCAACTCCACACCGCTTCACCACTCCCATGCACGCCCATGCATGCAGCTGCTGACATGTAAAACATGTTACAACCCCAACGTTCCCCCCTGTCTCACCACAGCCTCTTCCTCGGGGTTAGCCGGCTCCGCACTGGTCCTCAGCGCCAGCGCCCGAGCCAGCGGCACCGCCCACCTGGCAGGCAGGGGGTAGAGGGTGGCGGGGTTTAGTGGGGGTTTAGCAGATTGGGGTCTGCAGAGGTGCCCAGGCACCCAGGGGTTCACATACAGGGTACGAAGCCCGAGGTATCCGGCCACCACCCCCTCACCGCCTTCCCCCGTCAGTTTCCTTATTTTTACCCACCCACCCACCCTCACCTGTCCAGCGGCCGCTGCAGCCAGGGCACCGCAGCCGCCTCCGCGGGTGGCGGCAGGTAGTCCAGGGCCAGTGCCTTGCCCACCTCCTGACCCGCCTGGGGGGAGGGGGGGGGCAGGGAGGGAGGATGAGATTGCTATGTTTAATTGGGATGGAAACAAGAGGAATGGAGGGAGGAAAAGCAGGTTCGCCGCCGCATTATCAGTCCTGGTGCCGCCTCTCCTCCTGTCATTATCATCCTCCCCCTCCTCCCCTCCCTATCCCCTCCTCCCTCTACCACCCCCCTACCTTGATCAACGCCTCCTCCGCCGCATCACACTTGGCCGCCTCCAGGTGCAGCGCCGCCCGCAACCTCGTCAGCGGGGAGGCCGCCACCGCCAGCGCCCGAGCCGCGGCGTTGAAGGCGCGCTTCACGTGGCGCCGCAGCGGCGGCTGCAGCAGCAGCAGGCCCGCGTTCCAGGCCAGGCGGGCGGCGGCGTGGATGCCCTCCACGTCAGCCAGCTTGGTGAAGGTGGTCAGGCAGTCCTGGGGTGGGGTGGTGGGGTGGGGGAAAGACATGGCAGGTGACGAATTGAGGCAGTGCTGGTGTCGGGGTAATGACGTTGGTGAGGTGGTGCTTTCGCCCGGTCCCGACCCGCTGGCTCATTGGCCATCCGTCCTCCAGCAACCCCCTCCCCCTCCTCCGCCCCCCCTCCCCACCTCCAGCTGCTCCAGCGCCTTGACGTGCGCCGCCACCACCGCGGGGGCCAGCGAGGTGTCGCCCGTGGGGCCCAGAGACTGCAGGGGGGAGGGGGGAAAAGTCAACAACAACCATAGGAAGCCACAGGATGGACGGGTGTGTTGGGGGAGGAAAGTGAATGCGCAGTGAAGCGCAGTCCCATGTCCCGACTCGTGCAGTGAGTCCAACAACCCCCCCCCCCACCTGCAACGCCAGCAGCACCCGCGTCATGTCCGACCACGTCCGTGGTCCGCTGTCCGAGGAGGCGGCTGCCCGGCTGGCCCACCGCTCCGCCAGCGAGGGCAGCCCCGCGCGTGCGGCAGCCCATGCGGCCCTGCTGACGGGGCGCAGCAGGGCGCCCTTCACGGGGCCCTCGGGCTTGGGGTCCACCTTGGCCACCGCCTCGCGCAGCTGGTGCTCGGCCACGGCCCGGTCGGGTCTGGGAGGCGGGGTGAGGGGGGAAGGGGGGTGAAGAGGTGGTAACATTCATCCTGCTTATTACCCTACCGCCACATGGCCGGCTGTAGCCAGTCCACTCATGCGGCGCTTAGTGGATCTAGGTTCTTTGGAGCTTCAATGCGCACACATCGCCCCCCATTCCCTTCCCCCACCCACCTGCCCGTCAGCACCGACTGAATCAGCCGCATGGCCCCCTCCTCATCCAGCGCGCCCGCCCCGCCACCCGCCGCCGGCCGCACCACCCCCTTGCCCCCCTTGGCACTGGGGGGCGGAGGCGCGGCGGAGGCACCTCCGCCCGCGCCGCCCTTGGGAGCCTTGCCGCTCGCGGTGGAGGCGAGTGTGGTGAGGTGTACCTGCGGGTGGGGGTGGGGTGGGGGGAGGGAGAGGAGGGAGTGTGGGATGAGGCGTGGTTCGTGGTTAGGGATGAGAGCTTCCCTGCAGGTATCTCCTTGTTGCCTCCCTGCCGCGCCCTTCTTCCAACTTTCCCCTCCCTTCCCTCGCATTCGCGACCCGCTATCGCTGCTGCCGTAAAGCGCATGGTATCTACTTCTCCTCCCACCTTTCCCCCATCCCTCTTTCCTATCCCCTCCATTTGCTTTAAGCGGATATATGTTTCGATGTTTGTTTTCCATTGTGCCTTCCTGGTCGCCCTCTTTGACCCCTCTGATCTCCTGGTCTCTCACTTTTTAACCCCTCATCCCTCCCCCACCTGCAGCCTCGCCACGTCCCGCTGCAGCTCCGAAAGCTTGGCAGCAGCCGCAGTGTCGTACGCCCGTTGCAGCGTCCGAGCCGCGTCCTCATGCGTCGCACCGCCGGCGGCAGCAGCCTCACGCGCAGCCTTCCCTCCCCCTCCCCCTCCGCCGCCACCTCCTGAGGCGGGTGCTGCTGCCGCCGCCGCTGCTGCTGCGTCCGACTGGCAGAGGGCTAGTGCGGTGTAGCAGCGGACCTTCCACTCGTCGTGACCCGGGACCTTGTCCAGGGCCTGAGGGGCAGGGTGGAGGGTGGAAGGGGGAGGCAAGGGGATGAGGCGAGGCTGCGGAATCCCACCTGCTGCCTCTTGTTTCAACACTCCTTCCCCTCACCTCTCCCCATTGTGCCAAACGTGCCAAATCGGGCTCTCCAGTCCCCTACCCGCGCTGTGTACCTGTACCACCCCCTTCAGTGCTTCCGCGGCTCAGTTTATCTAGCTTATCTAACCACCCCGCTCCTCCTCCTCCTCCCGCGCTCCTCCCTACCTGCACCACCTTGTCCGTGGAGGGCAGCAGGTGCGTGCGCAGGCCGTCCCGGTGCAGCGGCGCCGCCACCCGCCAGTGGTGCACGGAGGCGTTGTACACCAGGAACTGGTACCTGGGGGGGGGGGGAGGGGAAGGGAGGGGAAGGGAGGGGGGTAAGAGGGGGAAAAGAAGGATACCGGTGCCCAATGTGTGCATGTGGGGGGGGGAGGTGTCAAAGACCAGACCCATTCATAGGAAGCAACCCCTGCTGGAGGCCATCATCACGCTCCCCTCTAGACCACCACCCCTGCCCCCCTATACCTACATTGCTTTGTTGCCATAACCAGCGGTTTCCTATGATTTGGTCTGCTCTTTGGCCGCCCCCCCCCGGTCCCCCTCGCTTACCTTGGGTTCGCTGCTGCCACCTCCAGTCCCGCCATGACGTGGGACACGGATTCCAGGGTGCCGTCCACCAGAGCACGACCCTGGGGGCGGGGGTGGGGGGGAGGGCGGGGCAGGGGGAGCGGGGGACCGTGGGGAGCGGGAGCGGGGGAGGGGGTGGGGTGTGAGTGGGTGGGTGGTTGGGCGGAATGTGAGAGGTACATGCTGGCGATGCGCTTCCTGAGCCTACCTTGTCACATGGGACAAGACTAGTCCGCCGCTGCTACCTCCGCTCACGCCCTTGCACATCCCCACCCACCACAGCAACCTCGTCCATCACATGGTTACTTATCCTACGGTAGCTTCCTCCTCCTCCCCACCCACCTTGAGCCCCTTGGAGCGCTCCGAAACCAGCAGCCCCCGCGCAAAGTGCGCCCGACACAGGTACTGGTCGCGAACCTCCACTGGAGCCATGCCCTGGCCGTACCTGCTCGGGAGGGTGGCGAAGAGGTCGCGGAGGAGGGAGAGGAGGAGGAGGAGGAGAAGGGGTGTTGTTAGGGTTACTGAGTGAAAAGAAGCGGTTAGGAGGCGCGGCCTCTGCTTCCCCTGGTGTCCGCGAGTGTTCCTCCAATACCGGTACAATCCCTCCGCCCTCCTCTACCTGCGCTGCTCTAGGAAGTAGCGCTCCAGGCAGTCCTGGGCCACATCCAGACTGCCAACCTGCCATCCGGAGGGATGGAGACACATACATACACATCAGCGCGTAGCAGGTGAAGAAGGCTGCTGAAGCGGAGTATGTGTGAGGTTGTGCAAGCAACTGAGCCATCCGGGTGTGTGCTCAAGCATTAGGCGGGGGCGGGGAGGTAGGTGTGGCAGGATGGGTGCAATTGGGAAAAGGGTGCGCGGTACGGTGCAGCTATTGGAGGTGCAACCGGGAGAAGGGACGGATGTGGAAGAGTAAAGGGGTCAGGTCGGTTCCTGGTTTGGTGGGAAGGGGGAAGGGAGAAGTCCCAAGCGTTCCGGTACGAAGCCCCTACAGCGTTCCCTGGGGGCCCGCAGCTGGGTACCCCACGTGGATGGCGGGCATGGTCCCATCCTAGCACACCCCGCCTGTCGACCCCACGTGGCGTCGTACGAGCGGCTGTGGTCAAGGGGAGCTTGACCACCCTCCCACAAACCTGCAATTCACGTAACCTATGCTGTCCCTTTGCCCATGTGCTCTTGGAGGTGGCCACGGCACGCACCTAACCCACACAACCCCACAGAACCGTTAACGGTAGTCCGACACACACCTTCAGCGCTGCCTCAGCGCATATCACCAGCGTCTCCAGTCCTACCCGAGAGCCGGGCTGCTGGCCGGCAAGGCTGGCCTGGATAGCCTCATGCACGGCCTGAAGCTGCTTGACGCGGCTAGCATCGACCGGCTGGGCCAACACCTGGTGAAGGGTCTCCGGCTGGGCCATGGCGTTTACAGGTGAAGCCTAGCTGGTAGACCTCTAGATCTTTGTTGTTGACATACGCTGCGCTGACCCTTGGATTGCGTTCTGCGAAGGGACATGTCCCGCGGACCAAGTCCCTAAGAAGAACTATTTAAGATAAGTAGATTGTTTCATTTGCAAATATCCTATGAAGTTAAAGTTAAAGAATTATGCAACAACGGTTCGAAGTTCTTCCTCTAACTGTCAAGAGTCGCAAGTTCGACCGTTTAGTACGCAGCGCTGTCAATTTACAAAGGTAAAAACTAGAAGTGTTTAGCAACGGTCGCGTAAAGAAGTTGCTTTGCACAGAGAGAGGAAATGCAACCATAAGGCCCAGTTGAACGACACGGTGCAGGTAATAGGGGAATGCCTACCCTGCTCTCTCCCTTTTCCCGTTCTAGTGTATAGTCCTCTGGAGCCTGAGGTCAGTCCCCTTATAATGTAGATAATAGATTAGCAAGGCGACGCCGGCGGCTTCGGCTGCTCGGCGTCGCCTTCCAGTTTACACTCTTAGGCGCCGCAACTGACGGCAGGGACTCTTTATTTTTACCCAGGCTGAGAAGGAGGCATAACACCAGGAAAAATGGCCCCAGCTACTAAGAAGACGGTGCGTTTAATTCTAGACCTTTTCCATTTACCTAGTCCTACCCTCAGCGGCTGCTTGGGTTAAAGACGATAATGAGTAGCTACTGAACCATTTCGCGGCTTTGGCCACCGCAGAAGAAGACCCAGGAGAACATCAATGCGCGTCTTGCGCTGGTGATGAAGAGTGGCAAGTACACTCTGGGCTACAAGACCTGCCTGAAGACCCTGCGCTCGGGCAAGGGTAAGTAATTGCTGACACGCGCTTAACCATGCTTGGGATCGCCGCCGCAGCCGCCGAGTGCTTGCTAAGTGAGCTCATTTAGCTAACGAACTTACCTCCTCCTTCTTCTTGTCCTATCACAGCCAAGCTGGTCATCATCTGCAACAACTGCCCGGCTGTCCGCAAGAGCGAGGTGGAGTACTACGCCATGCTCTCCAAGACTGGCGTGCACCACTACGCCGGCAGTAAGTGGTCGCTCAATTCCGTGTTTAGTGAAAGGCCCCTATTGGATGAGTCCGATCTGCGCGTAGTGCAACGTTTTCCCGCATGCTGCTTAACATTGCTGTGTGTTTCCTAAACCTCTTTCCCCTTCTCCTTCGCGTAGACAACGTTGACCTGGGTACCGCCTGCGGCAAGTACTACCGCGTCAGCGTGCTCGCCATCACCGACCCCGGTAAGCTCTTTAGTAGTATGGATCGCACACAGCATAGTTGTTACCACGTGCAAGAAGCCACAGCAGCGGCCAGTACGCTCTTACTGCATATTGGTGCTCGGTTCCTAACCCTGGCTTGCTGAACTGTCGCAGGTGACTCGGACATCATCAAGTCCGTGGAGTAAACGTGTGGCTGCACTGTGGCTTCCGCGGTTGTTACGTCCCCTGGGTCGATTGTAACGTCCCCTGGGTCGGTTTCCTGCTTTCAGTCGCACCCCCTTGAGCACATGCACATGCACCGAAATGCCAGTTGTCAGCGGTGCACTGTCGGAAACAGCCTGCACGTGGAGGAAAAGGAACTCTCCAATTGCACCCATAGTGTAAAGGTTACCTACCCTGCTAGTCGGCATAACAATCCCTCAAAAGGAGAGAAAATATCAAAAGCCTTGCGATGGGCTGCATACTATTGGACACTGTTTAGAAGCGGACGTGGCATGCTATGTAGCTATGCGTGGAAGATAGTAGCAATACAGAAAATGTTCCCATGGCCCTGGTTATGAGTGGTGCTACTTCAAGGACTCCTTCAAGAAGTCACATGGGCGCCCATGCCGATAAGCGGTATGGGTCCTCCAGCATGCCGACTCTAGCCCCTTCAGAGGGAAGCCCCTCTGAAGGGGCTTATCGCGTCCATAACCTCAGGAGACTGGCCTTACCCACTAATGCATCCCTTGCGTCCATAGGCCTTCCTTTAGGAAAAGGCTTGAGGGGCCAATGCTCGCAATTCCTATGCAACTCCCTCCGAGCACATGCAACCAAGCCACCGCGCCGAACCCCACCTGTGGCATGCAGGCCACACACACTACACACCAACGCGTTACTTTGGCTTTGCGTTCGCTGGTACACAGGCCTCAGTGCCAACAGCAGCGATTGGCACACATATCAATCTCTTTAAGATACCAGAAGGTAGTAGACAGTTATAGACTTCAGCAAGAATGAATAAAAAGGCGAGAATGGAAGAACTATGCAACCAATTGCACGACACCGTACTTGCGCAGGCGATGGCCTCGATAGTTTAGTTGAATAATTTCCACTGTTCCGTTGCTCAGCCTTGCGTAGAACGACGTCTGGTTGCAGCCTAGCGTAGGCGCACCTTAGTGCACATTTCCGACACCTGGACCGACTGCTAGCAGTAAACATCCTGACAAATGTCTAGCGGACCTTTCTACCGGGTGGCGGGCATGTCCTACGTGCGGTACGCCAACCTGTGCGCGGACTACCTGCGCGCGGTGATGAAGGAGCCATTCAAGGCCAAGGCGCAGCAGCGCCAGGTTGTCTTCTTCCGCTCGGCTCCTGTGACCGACGGCAAGCAGGGCGCTCAGAGTAAGCATGTGTCCGTGTGGAAAAAGCTCTGCCGGCTAATGATCGACTGCTGTCGGCGATGCCTTATGCACGCGGCATGACGGCAAAGTAGAACTTCATTGCTTTCTAGCTTTTATGTTTTACACATTTATGTGCTTTGCCGCCCGTGCAGTTTACTACGACACCAAGGGGATGCCCAAGCAGACCAGCTCGTAACCTTGCCTCAGCCAAGGAGCTACACGCGTGGAGAGCAGCGGGAAATGTCTGCGGATAGTTCGGATAAGGGATTCTGGTGATGTTTGGCTAGTCTGAGGTGCCAACCTGGTAACGCTGGGCAGCGGGAATTGGTGCGGGATTTTCGTGGCGACTTGCGTGGAGAGGTCTGAAGTGGCGTGGAATTGGAGGGGAGGGCTTCGGACAGAAAGAACCGTGGGGTTTGCCCGGTGGAGCGTACTCTGTGCTGCGGATGGCTTCCAGGGTATGTAACGTGGTGTTCACGAGCTTGTCCCAAAGCCTCTAGACTCCAGTGCTCCATCTTCCCGCTTCAATGCAGTAGCATACTGGATAGGGGACGGTTTGCAGCGAGCAAGTGGGTCGGTGCTACACATTGCCCGGTACTAGCAGCCACCAACGCCGCTGCTGCCAGTTTTACAGCGATACAACTGAGAACAGCGTTCATCCACGTGTTGTGGCCTACGCGCCCGGCCATATGGTCAGTATCAGCTTACAGAGTCCGTACGTTTCGCCAGCGGCTTGCGCTTTTGTGAGCAAGCAAGCATATGGAGCGTGTTACAAGTGGATGTGTAAGGATGAACTGAAAGCCGCTCAATCCACGCCCATAAACCCACCAGCCTCAGCCAGCCCGAGCAGCTTGGCAAGCGGCGAAGGCAGTCAATCTTAACAGCTGCACAGCATGCGACTTGTGTTGGTGCTGCATTGCACGACCTCTTGACTGGTGTCGTACACTTCCCATAACAACGCTGAAAGGACGCCTGCCAGAAAAGGGTAAGGACTGGCAACTCGTGTGATGTGGCGTGACGACTCTGCTCTCCCGTCCCTGGACTGATCACGGAAAGTGCTGCTCCTTGCTAACCTGAGCTAATCGTTCCCTGTTGGCACACAAAGACGCACACATCCAAGTTTCAATCGCTGCTTTCAACTTCTACCCTAACCCTCTTCCTTCTGAACGGCGGATACACGATTTACCTTACCAAGGACATGGCTTCTCAATACCCCTGGTACCGGTAGTGTGAGAACACCCCAGCCGCCCCTACACCCCTATACCCCGCATGTACCGTACCACACACGCTCCGCAATCCCTAGCAACTTTCTACCGCGAGGGCAATCCGCAACGCTTCCACAAGACGACCAGCAAGATCTTCACACCACCACCTCCCATGCACCTCCCAAATCGTACGTACTGCCGGCCCCTAGCCCTTGTTCACCTCGTACAACCGCATCCCCGCTCTCCCTCCCCATCACCAGCAACACACATAATCTTAGGAATATCACCCCACATGGTCACGGCTGCTGCTGAAACCTTATAAAGGAAACGCCGCAAACAGCGCAAAAGTCCAGCCCCGGGCGCCAAGCCACCTGCCTACAACAACCCGTTCCATCCCAATCCACATGCCGCCTTGGTAACACCCCCTCACTCTTCCAATCCAAACGCCGCTTGGGGAACAACCCCAGCACCGTTTCCACTCTCATCCGCTTCGCACCAACTTTACCGGCGCTTGAACCGCGCCTTGCTCTTAAACGCGCTCTTACCCTTTCCGCCGCGCTTCAGCTTATTAAGCTCGGCGCGACTGAGCTGCGACTTGAGCTTGCCCCCGAAGCGCCCGATCGACTTGAACCCATCATCCTTGCCTCCTGCTCCGCCTCCCGACCCAACCGAGAGCTTGCCTGGCCGGCTGGTGTTCAGGCCGTCACCTGAGAACAGCGCATGGCCGCCTCCACCGCCGCCAGCGCTGTCGTCACCGCCGCCTCCGCCTCCGCCTGGAGAGGCCTGGGAGGAGGTCTTTTGCTTCTTGTTGCTCTTGGCCTTCTTGGTGCCTGATTTGAGGCCTGCAGCAGAAGGGAGGAGAAAGAGGCGAAACGACAGAGAGAGTTGAGGAGACGAGGCGACACCGACGTTTTTATACATAAAAGGATCGGATTAGGTGACAAAGGAAGGGCCATGTAACGATGGCCACGGTTTCATCAGCGGCGTCCTCTCCCCCCCCCCCCTCTCTCCCCCACCCATCATCCCCCCCCCAGCTATCCCACAGCACCCAGCACCCACCTGTGATCTGCTGCGCTGCCAGTCGTGCCGCCTTGATGGCCGTCAGCCCGTGTGTCTGCTGCAGCTCGCGAGCCAGCGTCTTGATGGAACGCACCTTGGGGCGGGCAGCCTCGGCGTCGGGGTCCTGGGGGGCGGGGGAGGGAGGGTTGGGGGTAATGGGGGGTTGTGAGATCTGGGTTGTAAAGAGGACAAGCTGACAAGCTGTAGGACACGGCTTCACCACCTGCGTGTTGTGGGTTGGGTTGGATGGCTGCCAACATGATAGTGGCCTGCTATGTCCCGGTAACCAAAAGAAGAAGTCCAAAAACATGTTCCTGTCATCCTGCCATCACAAGCCAAAGCCTTTCCGCGCTGCTACCGGTACCACAACGGCCTTATCCTCCTTCACCCACACCCGCACCCACCAGCCCCCGCACCCACCACCCCCCCCATCATCCCACCCTCACCATTGTGTTACTCTTGCGCTTGCCCGCCGCCTTGTCCTTGGCCTCCTGAGCCGCCTCCGCCTTCCTCGCAGCTCGCCGCTCAGCCTTGTTCTGGGCCTTGGCCTTGGCCTGCACGTTTGCAGCGCGGCAGGAGGGCGGTGGGCGGTGGACACGCATGGGGGTTGAGAGAGAGGGCAGGGGAACAGGGTCGTGTGGTTGGGTGTGGTAAGCCATTCGAAGCAAGGAGACAGGGGTGTTGTAACTTGTAAATTCTTTGCCCCTAGGTATGTATGACACCCGTGCGTGGACGCGAATTACCAGGATTTTAGGAAGGGATTAAAAGGAACCGCCGACAAGCTATATATGAGACACCCACAGCTGCAACCCATCACAACAGAGTAGGTCTGGTTAACCTTCATTTGCAGGTCTTAGGGTCTTAACGTTTCGCAGTAACCTCCTCTCTGTCTCTTACCTTGGCCCCCTTGCCTCCATCTCCACCCTCATCGTCGTCATCATCATCACCCCCCTCATCCGCCTCCCCTCCCGCTGCTGCTGACGCGCTACGTTTCTGCAGCTCCTTCTTCTGGCGGTCGTTGAGGAACCAGGTGCGCTTGGGTCGAGCCCGGATCTCATCCTCGTGCTCCAACATGTTGGCAGCCTGCATGCGCACGTGCATGTGCGGTCACAGGCAAGCAGGCAGGTTACAGGTTACCAGTCATAACAACAAAAGCAAGTATAGCAGCAAGGGTCAGCATGGGTCACCGCAGCCCAACAGCTGTCAGGAGAGGTGTGAGGAGGAGGGGGAAAGAGAGAGAAGAAGAGACTAAAAGAGCGTGCATGCAACAAGGCTGGGCCGACAGCGCTCCTACGGTCGTGCCGGCTGTGTCGTTGCTGCTGCTGGTGGCCACCTCCCTGCTCCCCTGCACCTCACCTTGTTAGCCTCCATCTCAGCCTTACGCAGGTCGGCCTCCTGCCGCTCCTCGGCCAGGATAGCGGAGATGTCGGACTGGGGGTGAGGGGGGGATTGGGAAAGGGGCAGAGGGGCGGATAAGGAGGAGGAGGTGGGAGAGAAGAGAGGAGAGAAGTGGCAGTGGTAGTGGTAGTGTAGGGGGGGAGCAGCCCAACCTCATGGTGGTTGCACAACTGCACCTGTGTCACTCAAAATCCACACTCAAAAAACACTCATCCCGCAACCATAATGCAATCGCGTTGGGGTAAGCCACTTGGTTAGTTACTTCCTCTTCACCCACACCCCACCGACCCACGCCACCCCCCCCAACCTACCGCCATCTTCTCAATCCGCGCCTGCCACTGCGTCACCGATTGCGGCGGCACCACCCGCTGCCGTAACGCCACTCCGCCTGCTGCCGCTCCCCCCTCCTTGGATGACCCATGGGTCACTTTGCGACTCAGTTCCTTCAGCAATTGCCGGTCGCCATCCTCCACCAGGGTTACGGCCACACCGGCGGCCCCAGCGCGTGCCGTACGACCTGTGTGTGGCGGTACGAACGAACGAGGAGTGGTGGTTGTACGGTACGGATCGTACGGCAGTGGCAGCGGTACGGCAGCATGTCAGCAGGGTACCGGTAATAGTCAGCATGTTATCTCTATCTGGTTACCTAGGGGGGTTATCAAGCTATATCAGGCCATATCAGGCTATTATATCTAGCAGCTACTGCCAGGCATGCTAACCGAATCAGACTAAGGCGCCACCATGGGTGGCAAGAGTGCGTACGGACCCTCCCGCCATCCGCCCGCCAGCCCTACCAATTCGGTGCAGGTAGGTTTCCAGCTTGGCGGGCGCATCGTAGTTGACAACCACCTGGGAGGAGCGAGGAGTGGAGGTTGGAGAGCAGGAGTGGTTGGAGAGGAGGAGGAGGAGGAGACGAGGCTTGAGGAGGCAGTGGAGGAGGGGCGAGGGCGGTTATTACCGTACGCGGTCACAACATGTCTAATCAGCAGCCTCAGCTCTATGGATACACAAACAACCTCTCCCTGCCCTCCCTCCTACCCCTGCCTTCCCTCTTCCTGCCCCTCTTCCTCCCGCCCCTCCCTGCTGCCCCACCCCTTGCCCCTCCTCCCCCCCCCCTCACCTCCACCCCCTGGATGTCCAGTCCTCGTGCCGCCACATCCGTGGCCAGCAGGTATGCGGTGTCGCCCCGGCGGAAGGACTCCAGCGACTCCAACCGCGCGGTCTGGGACATGTTGCCATGCAGCTCGGCTGCAGGGGGGGAAGAGCGGGTGGGTGGGAGGAAGCGGGTGGGGTGGGAGTCGGAGGAGTTTTTAAGGTCAGGGTAAAAGAGGACAAAAACACCCACATCGCCACACGAAACAAGCTGGTAAACGCTGCGCTCCTTCCCCTCCGACCCCTCCCTCCCCCCCTCTCTCCCCTCATTCAACACATTACGCATTCCTCTTCCCCTCCCCCTCCCCCCTTCCTCTCCATTTCCCCCCTCTCCCCCCCTCCCCCTCCTCCCCCCCCTCCCCCCCACCTGCAGGCGGCAGTCCCGCCAGCCCAAACAGGATCTTCAGCCGGTGCGCGCGCTGCTTGGTGGAGCAGAACACAATGGTGCGGCCGCCGCTGAAGGAGCGGCTGCACAGCGCCAGAGCTACGGCCTCCTTGGCGGCGGCGGCAGCGGGGCCCTTGAGACGCACAATCTGGGGGGGGTGAAGGGGTGGAGGGGGGGGGAGGAGGCGGGGTCAGAGACCACATACCGGACCACAGGAAACCTCTCGCACGGGGCGCCAGGTGCACCCGTGCACCGCACAGGCACCGGATGGTACTCAGCCTATCCGCCTAGGTGCTGAGGGGGCCACGTGCGTTTAACCGTTCCTCCCTCTTCCCGGACGCCAGGTAAGCCTTCCCGCCCCCCCCTACCGTACCTCCTGCGCCAGCTGCCGGGGTGCCGTCAGCGCCGCATCCGCCGCCAGCCGCACCGGCTGCTTGAGCGACAACAACACCAGGTCACGAACCTGGGGGTTGGGGAGAGGGGGGGAAGGGGGGGAGGGGAGAAGAAGTCCCGATGGGTTGAGGGGAGACGGGGCGCAGGGTGTGTGCTGTAGGCGTGATGAGAAGGCATGTGAGGTGGAAGGCATGAGAGAAGGCCCTGCACCCCATACCCCTTCGACTCCATCGATCTTCCCCCTCCCCCCGCACCCCGCCTCCAACCGCCTCACCTGGTCGTTGAAGGTGGCGGAGAAGAGCATGGTCTGCCGCTTGCGGGGCGCGCAGCGCACCACCTCCGTCACCTCCTCGCGGAAACCCATCTCCAGCAGCCTGGGGGGGGGGAGAGGAGGAGGAGGAGGAGATGGAGGGAGGAGAGGAGGAGGAGGAGACATACCAAGACAACAGGTTGGGGCAAAGCAATGGGGGAGGGAAGACGGAGAGGAGGGTAAGATGCTCCTCTGACCACCACAAGCCTGCCTGTGACCCATGGGTCATGTACTCCCCCCAGCCCACAACACCTCCTCTTCCCCCCCACCTGTCCGCCTCATCCAACACACCAGCACTATAGCCCTCACGGCTGACCCACGGGTCACTCCCCACCTCACCCGCGCCCCTTCATCTTCCCCCCCACCTGTCCGCCTCATCCAGCACCAGCACCGCCAGGTCCTCCAGCCCCACACTCTGGCTGTTGCGCAGGTGGTCCAGCAGCCGGCCGGGGGTGGCCACCACCACCTGATGCATGGAGGGGGGGGTGATGTGGGTCGGGGGACCCGGGGGGGGGATTAGAGCGAATCAAGGGCAAGGCAACCCTAACCCCCACCCCTAACCCCGACTGACTCCGTATGCGCTCACTGCATGCGTCGGGACATGGGATTGGGAGTCCAGTTGCTGCACTCCTCATTTACCCCCCCCCCAACACACATACACCCACACACAAACACCCCACCTCCGGCAGCTTGCGCAATGTGGCCGCCTGCACGCTGAGGCTGAGTCCGCCCACGATGAGCGCCACCGACACGTCCGTGAACTGGGCTAGCTTCTCGATCATCGAGTGGATCTGGATACAGGGGGGAAGGGGTAAAGAAGATTATCCATTGTGTGATGTGATAGTGTGGGGGAGGGGTGGGGAGAGATAGGGCGATGGGGGCTCTGGTTAGCAGCCCCCATCACAAACAGGAATGGACCATGCCTTCCCTACCCACTCTCATTAAGAAGCCGCCCCACCTCTCCTCCCTCCCCACCCCTTCCCCCTGCCCTCTGCCCCCCCCCCCCACTCGTCGTCTGGTTTGCCATTACCATTCAACACATTGTGAATTCTTCTTTCTTCCCCCCCTCTCCTTCCTTCCCTCCCCCACCTGCACCGCCAGCTCGCGAGTGGGGGTCAGCACCAGCACGTAGGTGGCCGCCAGCCCCCGCGGCCGGTGCATCAGCCGCTCCAGGAAGGGCAGTGCAAAGGCAGCCGTCTTGCCGCTGCCCGTGACCGCACTGCCGCAGATGTCGCGACCCGCCAGCGCGATGGGGATGCAGGCGGCCTGGGGGGGAGGCGGGGGGAAGAGGTGGGAGGTGGTGACCCATGGGTCCAAACGCACATGCAGACACCCCACGCACACACCCGCATGTGCCCACATGCAACCCACTCCCACCCTACATCCCGCATGTGTACACCCTACATCCCGCATGTGTACACCCTACATCCCGCATGTGTACACCCTACATCCCGCATGTGTACACCCTACATCCCGCATGTGTACACCCTACATCCCGCATGTGTACACCCTACATCCCGCATGTGTACACCCTACATCCCGCATGTGTACACCCTACATCCCGCATGTGTACACCCCCCCCGCATGTGCATGTGCATGTGCATTTGCATGTTTGCACCCCATGGTGAAGCCTACATGTCACACAGCTCGTTAGTTGCCTCGTCAGGTTCCTTATTTTTACCCCGCATGTGCATCACCCCGAGCATGCCCCCCCCCCATGTGCGCCCACCTGGATGGGTGTGGGTGTCTTGTAGCCTAGCGCCTCCACCGCCTGGGGTGAAAAAGAAATTCCACCGGGGTAGGGAGGGGCACCGGGAGCAGGGCGGGACAGGGCAGGACAGGGAGAGAGGCGTGGAGGCAGGGTATGAGGGAGGGGGCCAGTACGGCCGTCATAAGAGAGGCTTGGGGTTTCGGAGGCTCTTGCAACCCGCCTCCCAATATCAATGGGTTTGGTTCCTCTCTGACCCCCAGCCCCACTGCCCCTGCTACCCCACCCTACCTTGAGCAGGGGCCTGGAGAGGTTGAGGTCGGCGAAGGAGGCGGAGCTGAACTTGGTGCCCTGGGGGAGGGAGGGAGGGCGGCAAGGGGTGAGAGGGGGTGAGAGGGAAGCCCACATACGGATGGCTCCCCACATCCACTGCATTCCACGCAGCGGTGCTGCTTCCCCCCTCCGCCGCAACCCAGGTACCCAGCCGCTGCCATGCCGCGCCACCCCAAGCCCCCCACTCCCCAGCAGCCCGCTCCCAACCTCAACAGGATCCGGAACACCCGGCCTCCTTCCCTCCCGTTCCTCCCATACCATCCCTACTGCCTTGCCCTATCTCCTGATAGCTGCAGGAACGGGCATTCTGAACCGGCGAGGCCCTCCCACCTCCCTCTCCTACCTCGGGCGTCTCGCTGTAAAAGGAGCCCTTCTTCTTCGCCTCCTTGCCGTTCGCCCTCTGCTGCTGCTGCCGCTGTTTTGCTGCTGCTGCCCCTGCCGCTTTAGCCTTACGGCCGTCACCCTCCTCCTCCTCCTCCTCATCTTCGCCCTCGTCGTCCTCCTCACTTTCGCCCTCATCGTCGTCGTCCTCCTCCTCCTCCTCCGCGTCTTCCGCCGCTTTCTTTGTTGCTGTTGCGCCTTTCCCACCCGCTCCTGCTTTGCCGTTAGCAGCAGCTGCTGCTGCTTTCTGCTGCTTGCCGCGGGCGGGCGCTGCAGCCTCCTCCTCCTCCTCCTCTTCCCCGTCCTCGTCCTCCTCCTCATCATCATCATCATCATCGTCCTCTTGTTCGTCGTCGTCATCTAGTTCGCCTGCGGGGGGTGTCAACGGGGTGCAGCAACAGTTGCAGGAAGGCGAGGACAAAGTTGGGGACAAACCTGTCCTCGGCCACAAACCGCCCTCCCTTGTCCTCGGCAACCCGCCGTTCCTCCTCGCCCTCCCCTGTCCTCGGCAACCAACCGCCCTCCCCTGTCCTCGGCAACCTGGCCCCGCAACAATCCTAACTAGGACATGTGCACGCAAGAACCCACCGGGCAGCGGCTCGTCGTCCTCCTCCTCATCATCATCACCCTCCTCCTCGCTCTCCTCCTCCTCCTCCTCCTCCTCTTCCTCTTCCTCCTCCTCCTCGTCACTGTCTCGCTCCACTCGGCTCCGCTTGCCGTTCACACGCCCCTTCTGCTGCTCGCCCTGGCCCCCCCGCTGCTGCTGCTGCGCCTGCTTTGCCGCATCGCCCCGCTTACTGGGTTGCTGCTGCGGCTGCTGCGCCTGCTTTTGCTTTTGCAGGCGCTGCGAGATTTTGTGGTCGATGCTGGTGCCGTGCACCGGCCCCTCTAGCTGGGCTTGGCGGAGGGCACCTGGGAGGTGGGCGGCGGGGAGGGGGAGGGGCGGAGGGGGGGTGGCAGAGGCGTCAGGGTTAGGGGGAGGCGTGAAAAGTAGGGCATGATGGAGTGTATCAAGGTATCAGCAGCTGATGAGCTGGGTTTGCTGTATGTGGTTGTGGGGAGTTGGGAGCGGTGGAAGCAGGGTACGGGTGGAGAGGAGCCGAGACGGCATGCGGCGTTGGAGAGAAGACCGATGTCCAGCGTGCAGGCCATGGCAGTGGTTGGGGCGGACACTCGATGTCCAAGGAGAAAGTCGCGCCCAGCAACCCCAAAGTGTTTCAAGTTGCGAGCATAGCGTGTGGCTGGTAGCTCCAAGGCCGATTGCAGCACGAAAGCAACGATGCTTCCATTGCTACACGGCCATTTCTTCTAGACAGGCATCCTTTGCCTCAGATTTTTAAGCTGAACACCAATAGAGGCCACTACATATACGCTACGCGTTATTACTTTGCAGAAAACTTACCGGCGAACTCCCATGCAGGCTGGGCGGCGGCCGCACCGTCGCCAAAGTCAAACTGGAAGCTGGGATTAAAATCCCCCATCGTAGCAGTATACGAAATGTATCAATACGGCATGCGAAGATCGAGAGCTGTGACCTCGGTAAGTTGCAAGGATGTTCCTCGAGAGACGTCAGAAAAGGCGACCCATAACATGCAATAAGCACCACGATGAACCTGACAATACTGTTGTGACGTATGGTAACCGACTTGCTGTTCTGGTGTCTACGGCCTTCAAACTTCTTAAGGCGTAGGCCCCATCTGTCACACACCCACCTCAGTCACATGGATGCATGCCCTCTAGCAATCGGCACTACAAACTATGCAGTTCACTTACAAATTGAATAAGGGCTACTCGTTGCTGTGTAGTTGCTGAATTACATACTAGTTAATACAGCCCAGCCCGGCCCGGCCGACTGGCCTGCAGGCCTGGTCCGCAGCCGAGTCCCCTAGGAAGCGTTTGATCCATACGCACTTCACTGCTATCTGATTCTCTGCTTCTCGGCCTAGCGGACGCTGCTGGAATATTCGGAGGTGAGCGCATGCTTGCTGCGAACCTGGCACTGGATGCTTCCATCCTCCAGGCTGATGGAAAGGTCACATCGTTAAAGGGGGCCACTTCCATGCTAAATTGCTGTCTTTATGGCTAGCGCACTGTCTTTGCCACTGCATGACTGAGAAAGAACGTGTTGGAGGTTGGACGAAAAGCACGTTGCACGTTTCGAGGCTTTATGCCATGACAAGTGGCCATAGCCCTTATCCGTTTTGTAGACTTCCCGCTGTTAGCTTATAGTTCCTTCGCTTTGTTGCATACATGCCTGCACGCCTCGGCACCGCTGCAACGTTGCACCCCGACGCCAGTTAATCATACTCACGTCCCGGCTTTTACGACATCGCCTGCCTTTCCTTTACCTGGACCCGAAGCTTAGGGCTGCAGCCGTAAGATTGCTGTCCGCACCCTAGCGCCTTTAGCAAGCATTCATCAACCGTCCACCAATTTTCAAACCCTAATGCACCTCCAGCTTGTCGTCACATGCACATCCTTCGCCTGACGTTTCACCTACTTGCTTAACTTTGCGATGGTGAACAGCTTAGCAGCTGTGCTGTTAACAGCAACTACCTGACATCTGGGATCCATCCTGCCTCCCTTTGTTACCCTCCCCTTCAAATCCCGCAGAGTTCCCTGGAACGTGCTTCCTGGCGAATAGCAATCCTCCTTATCTTCGCAGCGTACCGTCACAATAAGTCAGGGAACGTAAACCCATCCGCCCGTAACATCTCGTCGCGCGCACGGACGACGTACCAGCCATAACAGTTAGGAACCCTCTTGCGTCCCAGATACTGCGATTATCAGATACTCCCTAGATAATCGGACCAAGGGCAGTCCTACTACCTACTGCCTGCTGCTGTTTGTACACGTCAACATTCGCAACGTCAAATCCGCACTAGGCTGACAGCTTGGCCGCCGCAGCTCGGCAGCAGCACCTCAGCAGCAGGGCAGAGCCACATGGTTTCCTTCACGGTGGTTTCGGATCTTCATTTGGAGGGGCGGCCTCTGGATGTGGATCAGGTTCTGGATCCGGAGTTGCGAGCGGACGGTGAGAAAGAGGTCGACGCGGCGCGGAAAGGAGAGGAGCGGGTTCATGTTGATTGCGAGGGAAACTGAGTAACAGTATAAGCCTGCCGACGGTTGTGACGAGGCACCCCGCCCCTTCCCTTCCCGCCCCTTTCCTCTCCCCTCCCTCCCAGTCCTCTGCCTGCTAGGTGACATCGGCGACCCCGCCTCACCCGCCTACCGCTCCTTCCTAGCCGCCTGCGCCGAGCGCTTCCCCACCGTGCTGCTGCTGGCCGGTAACAACGAATACCGCAACCACCCCAACCACCAGCACCAGCACCACTCCGCTGCTAGCAGGGACCGACGAAGCAGCGGCAGCAGCAGCGGCCAGCAGCCTGAGCAAGGGCAGGGGCAGGAGCAGCAGCCGAGCCTCCAGCGCCACAGTCGTGGCCACCACCAGCACCATAAGCATCATGTAGGCGACAGCAGCGGAGGTCGCTGCATGGCTCAAACCGAGGAGCTTATCCGGGCCGCCGCTGCGGCACACCCCAACGTGCACTTCCTGCAAAACACAACGCATGTCGAACGACACGTGGCCTTCATCGGCACGACACTGTGGTCGTACTTGCCAGATGACCCGCTACCTCTGTCGCTGCCTGACGGCGGAGGTGACGGCGGCGCTGCCGCCGCCAGGGCTGCTGATGCAGCGGAGGAGGATGTGGCAGCGGCGGCGGCTGCTTCCGTGGCGGCGGCAGCGGCGGAGGCGGAGGCGACGGAGGTGGCGTTGGCATCCATATACGCGGATCGGTTGGCGGCGGAGGCAGCGGAGGCCCCTGCTGCGGCGACGGAGGCACAGCGGAGGCGGATGATGAGGGGAATGCACTCACAGCTGACGTCACTGCAGCCACCGCATGGTGGTGGTGGGGGTAGCGGAGGCGGCCGCGTTCCTTCACCGCCGTCGCGGTTTCGATCGTCCGTCCGTCCCTCTCCGGGGCTTTCTCCACTGGCTGGGACAAGTGCCGTCGCCGCCGCTGACGGGGCGTTGTACGCTGACGGCGGCGGCGACGGCGGCTTATCCAGCCCTCCGCTGGGTCGTCCCTCGCTGCCGTCGCCGCCGTACCGAGCCCCCCCAGCCTTCCGCTTCCAACACCGCAATAGGAAGGCCTCCGCTGTGGATTACGGCGCCGCCGCCTGCCGTCACCGCCGCCGACTGACAACCACGTTACGTCACAGCGTATCGCTGTCCTCCCTGCTTCCGGACGCCCCCTGCCCGCCGCTCTTCCCGCTGCCTGAGCCGCCGTCTCGGGAAAGCTCCTCCGACGACATCCGGAGCAGCCTAGGCTTAGGCAAGGGTGGTAGCAGTAGCAGCAGCATAGGCGGCAGTAGCAATAGCAGCAGCAGCCTCCATAGCAGTCTTAGCCGAAGCAGCGTTGAGGATGCTGGGGTTGATGACAGAGGCGACGGTGGTGGCAGTGGCAGTAGCAGTAGTAGCAGTGAGGGCGAGGAGGAGGGCTCAGCTGGACCAGCGTCCGAGGAAGGTACCCTGGGCGAATTGGCAACACAGCAGCAGCAGCAGCCGGAGGAGGCGGCGGAGGGCTGCACGGAGGGCAGCAGTGGTGAGGGCAACGGTGAGGGCGGTGGGAGCGGCGCAGCAGAATCAGCAGGAGGACAAGGGGAAGCAGAAGGAGGACGGTCAGGGGAGGAGGCAGCAGCGCAAGATGCTCCTCAGCCATCCGCGCCGGACGCACAGCAGACGCCAGCTGAGCCGCCGCAGGTGGAAGGGAGCCACCCTCCTCCCGCCTCCCTCAGGCACCACCATCACCATCATCACCCCTCGACTCCCACCACCATCCGGGATTACATCGGCGCCACCTCCCTCGACTTCCGCCGCATTCTCACCTCTCCCGGCGGGCCTCCCATCACCCCGACCCACACCAACGCCTTCTTCTGCACTGCTCTGTCGTACATTCAATCCGCCGTGGCGTCCGCCGCCGCCGCCGGCCTGACGCCTGTCGTACTGTCGCACCATGCGCCGTCCCTGTACGGCACCTCGCATCCGAGATTCGCCGGGCATCCCTCCACGCATGCGTACGGCAGTGATCTGATGTCGTACATGTCGGGGAGCGGTATTGCAGCCTGGTACTGCGGCCACACGCACTACAACTTCGACATGGTGATGCCGGTGAGTTTACCGGGGCTAGGCTTATTAGAAACGGATCTGGAGGTTTGGATCTGGGGGTTTGGATCTGGGGGTTCAGAAAAGGTGGTCACGAGTAGGCCTGTGTATGGGCTAGGGCTGTAGGGTGAGAGGCTAGGGTGATTAGGGTGCGGTTGAAGCGGTGCAGGATATGGGCTTGCTCTGTCCCTTGGGCCTTGTAGGCCCCTCCTTTCCTTCAACCCCTACTCCCCCGCTCACCCCTCTCCTGCCCCCTCTCCCTCCCCTCCCCCATCCCAGGGCGGAGTGCGCCTAGCCAGCAACCAGTACGGCTCCCAGCCCCAACCGGCGCCCGGCTTCAACCGCTCCTGGCGACACCACATGCCGCCCCCAGAACCACCAGCAGCACCACCACCACCATCGCCCCCCGCCGTTCCCACAGCCGCTGCCAGCAGTGCACCTGGAGCACCCAGCAGCAGCGTCTCCGACACCACCGTCGACGCAAGCGCCACCAAGAGCAGTGCAGCTGCAGCCACAGCGCCAGCAGAGGCTGCGACAGCAGCAGAAGAAGACGAAGACGCAGCCGCTACGGTGGCTCCTTGCGGGGTAAAGGCGGCGGCGGCTCCTCCGGTCGGTGCCCCCTGCACAGGCGGGGCTTCCTTGTCCCCCTCCTCCTCTGCTTCCTCTTCTCCTTCCGCTTCGCCGCCCTCCTTCACCTCCCCATGGCTTACCAGCACCGCTACCGCGACCGCTACTGCTGCTGCTGCTGCTGGCAGTTCTGCTGCTGCCGCTGCTGCGGGCCGCTACTGCCACCTGGCCCCACCGCCTCCAGCGCACCGGCAACAGCACTCGCTGGCACCAGCCACCTGCGGCTGATGTGCAGGTGCTGGTGGGCCGAGCTGCTGAGGAGGTCTGCCGCTGCTGCTGCTGCTACTGCTACTGCTGCGGCTGGTGGCGTGTGATGGTGTTGGCAGTGGTGTGGGCCTTACGTCGTGGTAGAAGCAGCGGCATTGCGGAGCGAGAGGAGGCATGTGCCACGTGTCTCATGCGGGCAATGACATGACAAGACATCTTCCGTGCGCACATTACGAGGATGAATGCTGAATGCCTGTGACAGTGGTGACAACCAACAGCAGAAGGCATGTGCTGAGGAGGCATGTGCTGAGAAGGACTTGCGCGCGCTTTCGCAGCAGCAGAATCATGCTGGCACGCACTCTTGCGAGGGTTAAGGAGGCGGGCGACAGGAGGAGGCGGGCGGCAGCCACAGCTGCGAAGCAAGGGAGGAAGAGCTCAGCTCTGCCGCTGTTTCCGCAGCCACCACCTCGGCGTTGCCGTTGTCACCTGCTTAGCGTTGTTACGGTATCAGTAATAAACAAGTCGAGGGATCTTCCACCCTGCGCTGCTTCGTGCGTTGGGCCTCATGCATGGATGATTCGGTAGATGGTGAATTTGTTGCGTGTTGCCCCCCCCCCCTTCGCCCTATGCGTGGCGGCGTTTGCTGGTGGTTGAACCATGGCATTGCATGCGGGTTTTATTGCTTTCCTAGCTACCTGGCTGACTAGCTAGCTGTTACTATCGGACTATGCTGCTTGCTTCGCCCCGTTGCATTGCTTGTTGGCTTGTTTTGCTGGCCGTTAGGGCATTGCAGTGGGCAGTCCAATGAAGTTGTGCTCTCCCTGGGAATCGTACATGTACGGCATAGAAGCGTGCATGCAGCTGTTGTGTCGTACATTGCCGTACATCAGAGCCGGAGCCGCCCCCTTGAAGCCCTATATGAGCCGCTAGGAGGCGGGGGCGTCGCATGCAGGCGGCAGAGGAGCAGAGCAGGGTTGGAGCAAGATGTATTTGAATGGCACGCCTCGACGGCTGGCGTGGAAAGGTGGGAGGCGGGACAGAGATGCTGGGGGAGCTGTGGTTGCATGCGCTGGCGGGAGCTGCGTCTGCAGTGAAGCCTGCAAGCCTGCGACCAGGGTGAGAGGGTCAAAGGCCAGGGTCTGGTTTGTAGAGCAGCTCAGCATGTTTTGAGAGGAACGAGCCGACGGGATGATATAGCTGCATTGTTGTGTAGGGCTTCATGTGGCAGCAGTACGGTAGTTAGGAGTTAATGTTACCATGATAGTTACCATGAACGCGTGCAGTTAATGAATTTGAAAGCTCCAAGAGGCGTTGCTACGAAGGCCTAAAGCAGAGGGAGGCCGCGTTTGGGGTCAGTCAAGTTTGGTTGGGTTCGGCATCGTCGGTTGGTTGGTTAGTTGGTCAGTTGGGTGTATCAGGAAAGGTTACGGTAATATTAGACAGGGAGCCGTGGATTGTATGTGATGCGCAGGTCAAGTAACCTAGCTTAGCTTCGTGTTGTTCTCAACGATTCCAAGTGAGCAAATAAACGGAGAGGAGAAATAAGGAGAAGTCGACGCATTAAACGTTAAGTCGTAGGTCTTTCCATTTGCCAATGTGTCTGTTGCCTAACATTGTATGCGCTGTGAAGGAAATACATTCAGCAAGTATCTCGAATCGGGACTTTCTTATGGGAGCGGCTGTGAGGTCTAGGTACCGGTAAGGCTTGAGGGACTGAGAGGTGTGCTAAGAGGACGGTGCTGGTGACCCGTGGAAAGGGGCAGGGAGGGCATGTAGAAGAGGCAGGAAGAGGCGCACATGCATTTCGCATGAGTAGGGAAAGCCGTGGGCAGGGAAAAGCTGTGGTCCTAGCCCGCAACCAGAGGTGTTTATCGGGGCTGGATCCAGTTTGTACTGTTGTAAATCTGGCATTGTAAATTTGTAACGGTTTACGTTAACCGTTTGCAGCAGCCGGCCTGGGAAGCTATACACGATATACGGAGGGTTGGGGAGAAGGGCTCGCCGTACCACTGCTGGGACCGAAGCAGGCAGCTGGCAGGGCGAAGAGCAACGGCGCAGAGGAGGGAAGCACCAGGAGATCAGGAAAGCAACATAGGATAGTAACATGGAAGCATTAAAGTAGCATGGCACTGCCTGCTCTGCCACCCAGGCACGTCCTCCACCACTGCCCGCATACGGGTTTCGGCGAGTGTGCGGCAAGGGGCGGAAGCGCACACAAGCGACGCTGCTCTGCAAGTGAGGCGGTCAGACATGCGGCAGCCGTGCCGGTGCGTGTGCTTAGCCATCGGCTGTGCAGATGGCCATGCCAAGCGCTGCAGCCATTGTGTAGCTCGGCAAACGTTATACGGCAAATGTTTGTTGTGTAGAGCGCAGGTGGTGTTGCGGTGTTGCAGTCCTCAGGCTAGGTAAGGAGTACACGGCAATACCGCCAAACCTAGCAGTATGCGAGGAAAATGTCTGAACTGAACCATCAAGAAGCAATGCAGCAGGGGCGGTCGACATGTGGTACCAAGTGGGGCAACACAAAGGCCCTTTCGTCTGTACCTGACACTGCCGTTGCAGCATCTTCAGCTAGCAGCATACTACTTGACTAAAGCGCATATGGTTGTCAACTTATCGTTGTCAATGTTGTTGCCTTGCTGGATCCTGCCGTACCTCCGATAAATTCTCCTGGAAGCTCAGGCCAGAGGCTTAGCTGCTGCAATTTTGCTTCCACGGTGGGCGTGTGGTCCGATACCATCTAGGAACAATTTTCGACTGAATTCTGACAACGTTACGATTCAAACTTGTGAACTTTGACAACCGCCGACCTTGACTATATTATGGACAGGCATACGCTATCTTGTGGCAGCAGCCTCTTGAGCCGTCGTTCACTGCAGACCAGCTGCGCTGCGGCCAGTCGGCAATGTCTCTCAGTAGGACCTCGGCAGCTACGCGCTTCTCGCGCACCGGTTCCACAGCATCTTCAACCAAGCGAGGTTGATGTCCCTCGGGCTTACGTGCAATCTGGAGGGGCAATTGTCCGACCACCAAAGCCGACTGGAAATGCGGTCAGCGACCTCATTCACAAGCTCAAACTTTGCTTCAACATCTTCTTCCCAGCAAAGCCTAAGGATGTTACTCCCAAGGAAGAGGTCAAGCGGCGGCTAAAGATGGTTCTGGTGAGTTTGTTGCTGTCCGCCTTTGGAGCACATTGCAACGCAAGCTTACATTGGAGGAAGCAGGACGCCGTGCCCAGCTACCTATAAGTCGTTCCAGTTAGGAGCAAATCCGCTATCAGCTACTGAGCTTCCACACTGTTGGCGCTCTTCCACTGACAGGTTGCTGACCGGTGTGGTATGAGCCCCGGCTCGCTAGGCGAGCTCAAAAAGACGATTGCGAAGGCCTTGCAAGACTTCGTGGACATCGAGTCGGAGGAGGCGATCGAGGTGGGCCCAGGGTTCCGCCGTTGGCAACTTATGTGCTGCTGTTGGCCTTCCCAGCTCCCATTACACAACCAACACGCCAACACGTGTGTTTGGAATCGCCAAGCATGTAGCCCTGTCAAGTTCTTTCCACCTGCGTCCTGCAAGCGCACTCAGCCCGTTCACCCCTCGTTGACGCTTCCGGGTTAACGAAGCCTCTTTCATCTAGTTTCGCCCACTCTGAACCCTCCATCCTCAGGTGCAAATTAGCGACGACCCTGGCTTGGGCACGGTATACTGCGTGGCTATCCCCGTGCGCCGCGTTAAGGCGGAGACCCGGTTTGCCGCGGACGGGATGCTGGAGGATGGCCCTGACGGCGTCATGCTGGAGTGGGACCCCACCGACCTGCACTCCGACCCATCCAGCCGCTTCCCCATGGGCTGCTGAGAGGTGGGGTGCTGTCAACATAAGTGCCCCGCAATAGGGACTAGCGCCTAGGTCTGATGGGCTTCATACTTTATGGCGTGATAACTGATGTGGTCTGGTGCCATGAATCCAGGATATTGCTTATGGGCGCATGGGTGACCGTGCGACATGGCAGGCAGGCGTTAGCAAAAACCATGGTCTAAGCCATGTCTCCTTGTGCGTTTGCTTGCTACCTGCAGGTGCCCTTGCTCGCGGATTTGGAGGTCCGAGGCGCCCGTTGCAGTGCCCTGGCCTACTAGCATGCACGTACAGAGGGCCATATGGGCCTGCCATGTGTTGTAGACCTGGGCGCCGGCGTGAGCGGCCTCAGCGCAACAGCTGCCTGTAAGCATATAACTTAAAGGAGAGCTCATACAAAGACTTTGGGGCCTGGTTTGTGGTTGTGTGAGGTGCAAGGGTTTACTTGAATTGACCCGGACCTACATGCTGTTCATGGTTGGCCAAACTGCTATTCCTTATCAATGCGACCTGGGGGGACACGAAAGACGTTAGGTGCGATCCATGACAGACGCATTTGTTTCCACTTGAGGGTGCGGTATTGGGGCGTACAAAAGGCTGCCTGTAGGCATTAACAGCCCGAGGGTCTCGCCCCATGGGTGATCCGGCGCGTGGGTGTTTTTAGACCTTGTACCTCCTATCTATGTTTGACGAGGTTGTAGCCAGAGCTTCCCTCTTTTTCGTAAGATTGTCTTTGCTGTTGTCCTGTCCCTCGGCCTATTGCACTATAGGGTGACCGTTTTCAGGGAGCATGTCTGGCGGGGGTCTTGTCGGGATTGCACGTGCTTGCATTATGCACTACGCATTCGCTTGAACCATGGTTCAATTGTTGTTCTGGGGTTAGGCAGTCGCGCGGCTGGCTTGGTGCCAGCAGGGGTGAGAGTATTGACATGCATGCGCTTCCGGAGGGTAGCGTAGGTGCGTGGTGGCCGTCAGGGTGGCCGTTGTACATTATTGCTTCTCGCTCATGTTGCCAGGGGCGCATGGCCCGTTAAAATGTTAGCCAGCTCCATGTAGCGTACACTTATAATCATTCCTATAGCACACTGCACAAAGCCTGTGCATAGCGCGACTCGCATACCGGCTGAATTCCACATGAACCAGCTTTTTGCCCAGTGTACTGGCTCGCTGCCCGACGAAATGCAATAATAGTGTAAAGTCTAACCTTACGCTAAATGACTTGCCACGAAATCGTTTACGCAACGCTGTCCGTTTAAACTATCAGCTGGATGCAGAGCCTTAACGAACATGCCCAGCAGATCAGCTCCGCAATACAGCTTCACGTTCGCCTTTCTGCTGAGGGCGATGCTGTTCTGCGAGCATTGCAGGATAAGCTGGTAGCGCTTAATCGGAAGCTGGTGCCCATCCATACGCGCGCCACAGCTTTGACTTTGGCTGAAAACAATATTACGAGGACCAAAGCAGCAACTAATGAACTGTTGCAGCAAATTGATGCATCTCGCAAGGTCGGTTAGTTTGAAGCAAGCGCATAGATATTATGCTTGCGAACATTTACAGTCTTCCGTTTGTTGTATCATGCGCGGTGGTGTCCTGTATTGAGTATTCCTGCGTAACATTAAACAAGTAGCGTCCGCATGCTACACACGGTCCCAGGAAACAGTCGTACCCTGGCCAGCGGCTGGGGCTAGGCCAACCTCACCCAACCCTCCATGGATGTCCCTCCGCCTTCCTCCCTCCTCCTCCCGTCCTTACTCTCCCTCGCACAACCTTCCTGCTCCCCCTCTTAACCATAGCCTTTTTCCCGCCCTTTCCTCCCCCAGGTGGAGCCGGTGTTGCGGCTGGGTCCCGGTCGCAGCGAGGCGCAGCTGGAGTCCTTCCTTGGCGCTGTGGGGCGGCTGGAGGAGGCGTTGGGGCAGCTGGGGGGGCAGCTGGGGCTGAGGAGGAGGGGGCGGGGCAGGGGCGGGAGGCAGGGAGCAGAGGAGGAGGAGGAGGAGGAAGAAGAGGAAGAGGAAGAAGAGGAGTGGGAGGTTGATAGCGGTGGAGGAGTGCTGGCGGTACGGCAGGTGAGAGGGGGAGGAGGGGGTGCGTAACCGTACATGTATCAGAATGCAAATGCTGCCGTACACATGCAGCCAGCACCCCGCTTTCACAACCCTTCACCCAACACACACTCCTCGTACAGGCGTACGAACACGCCCGGTCGTTGTACGACAAGGCCATGCGGGATTGCGAGGCGGATTTTGCTGCCGTACTGGCGGCTCAGGGGGCTGTACGGCTGCCCTCGGCGAGCTGGCTGGCGCAGGCGGCGGCTCCGGAGCGGCTGAGGGGTGAGGGGTCTGTGTTTGTGTTAAGAAAGCTGGCCGTGGTCTAATGTGTGTAGTTGAGTGTTAAGAAAACTGGTCGCGAGTAGGAACGCACTGTGATTAACTGTATGTATGTGTTTTATTTACTGCTGCAGAACTGACGGATACAAAACTGTCGGTTGTATAACCCCCCCTCTCTTTTCCCCCTCCCTTCCCCCTTCCCCCGCTCTCCCCAGACTCCCTCACCCGCTCCCCGCTGCAGCTGCTGCCGGCCCCCGCGCTATCCCGGGTAGCGCGGCTGGCGGAGGCGATGATGCGAGCACGACACGTCAGCTGCCTGGACACGTATGCACAGGTGGGGGTGGGGAGTGGGTGGGGTGGGATAAGAAAACACAGAGGTGTGTTTAAATAACTGGCCGCGAGGCGAAACGTACGGTGTGTTAAAATAACTGGCCCGTGTACGGCAGGTGTTTGGATCCTGCACGCCTTCCGTTCCCCCATGTAGGACCATGCAGGCCCTCCACCCTGTCATGGCCCTCCTCCCACTCCCACACTCGCCCTTGCCTTCCCATCCCTCTTCCTCTCCACCCCTCTCACCTCTTCCTCCAGGCCCGCAGTCGCGCCCTGGACCTCCTCCTCGGCCTCGACTCCTCATCCGCCTTCCCGCCCTCCTCCTTCTCCTTCTCCTCCTCCTCCCCAGCTCCCTTCGCATACTCCAGGTGCGTAGGAGGTGCGGGGTTGCGATCAGAGCAGCAGCGGCAGCGGGGCTTCCCCACTTGGAAGGTACTTGGCGCCTAGCAGCCGCCACAAGGCGCCGTTGCCTTGAGCCACACCTTACCACGCGTTGTCTTCCACTGCCTGCTGCTGTTGAACCACCCACCCTCCCCCCCTGCCTTGGGATTCTTCTTTCCCCCACCCCTGCTGCTCCCCCCCTCTCCTTATTGGCCCCCCCTCCTCCCTCCCGGGGTGAGATGGGCGGGATTCCATCAAGCAACGCATGGTGAAGCCTCGTCACGCAGTTCGCCAGTTTCCTTATTTTTACCCTCCCTCCCATCCTTCTCCTCCCCGCACCCCAGTGCCTCCCCGGGTTCGCTGCTGCCCTCAGCCTCCCAGCTGTCCTCCGCTGTGGAGGGGTGGGCGGGGCAGCTGCGGGGGCTGCTGGTGGGGGCGGCGGCGGAGCTGGCTCTGGCGCAGCAGGTAGGGTAGCAGCAAAGAAGGATATCCAATGTGTTGTGTGAACAGTGGTAAACCAGGCAACAAGCCCTGTGGGGTAAGAGAGGGGGGTTGGGGTGGGGTGGGGGTAGAGACGGTACCAAACCACACGTTAGGGCAAAGCAATGGCGATGACGATAAGCGGTACATGCCATGCGGTATATACCACCCCCCTCACACGTTCCACAACACCCTCACTTTCCCCCGCTCCCCCCCCTCCGTACGACGTACGACGTACCCCCAGGTATGGCCCCCTCCGTACGACGAAGTGACCTTCTCCGAAACCATCAGTCGCTCCCTTCGCCAAGTGCTGCAGGTGAGAGGGGGAGGGGCGTGAGGCGTGAGTTGCTAAAAGTCGGTTGTTACCGTTGGTTCGTTAGTTGGGTTCTGGGTTGTTACCGGTATTGGTCGTTTGCACCATCCCTGAACCCCCCGCAACACCATTCCCCGATCCTCTCCTTTGCTGCGGAGCGCCAGACCCCTGCCAATCGCCGCCCCTAACCTACCTACCTTTCCTCCCTCCCCCCCTACTTGGCCCACGCTTAACTTCTTTTCTCCTCCTCCTCCCCTAATCTCCCTCCCTCCCTCCCCGCCTCCCCCTCTCTGCAGCTGGGCAGGGCGCTGGTGGAGGGTCCCCGCGGCGCCCCCCGCTCGCCTGACAGGGTGTTCGGGCTGTTACACATGCATCGATGCCTCATGGTGCGGGGGGGGGGGCCTGGTTGTCTGTGTGTGTAGGGGGGGGCCTGTGGGGGGGTCATTTACCATACATGTGTATGGGGGAGGGAGGGCTGGCGGGGAGTAGGAACGCAGGAACCCCCAACCCCCCACTTTACCCCCCACCATTACCCCCCCCCACCACCACCTTTACCCCCATACACACACACGCCCGCAGGAGCTGCTGCCGTACCTGTCCGACCTGCTGTCCCCTCGGGAGCGCTGCTCGGGGCTGCTGAACGAGGCGCACCTGCTGGGGTTGGTGATTGGGCGGGCGGCACGGCAGGTGGGGGGGGAGGGGAGGGGGGGTTAGAGGAGGCGGCACGGCAGGTGGGGGAGAGATGGGGTGTTAGGGAAGAACCAAACCACAAGTGTATTGTGCATGGGTATTGGTCGCTGGTGACGCCTACCCCCCCCCCCAATCCCATGGCCCCCAATGCCCCCCTGCAAGCACAGATCTACACGGAATTCGAGGAGTCAGTCGCCGGCCGGGGTGGCGGTGGCGGCTTGGGTGCTGCTGCTGCTGCTGCCGGGGGTGGTTTCGGGGCGGCATCAGCGGCAGGCGGCGGGGGCGGTAGCGGCGGAGATGCGGTGTCCAAGCTTACCATGTTGGACGGCACGGTGCACCCCATTTGCGCAACCACGCTGGGGTTTCTCAAGGTGGGGTTCGGGTCAGCAAAGAGGAGGAGGAGGAGGGGGTAGGGAGGTAAAGTCAAGGTGTGAAGGGTGAGTGAAAACGAGAACATAACCATGCAACAGGGGGTGTGAAGGAGGTGGGGAAGGAGGTCAACCTAACAGGAGGGAGGGGGGGAGCACGTGGGGACAGCACACCCCAACGCCCCGAACGCGCTGCAACTCCCAATCCATCTCCGTGGTCAGCGCTGTTACTCCCCTTCCTCCTCCCCCCTCCCCTCCTTCCGCCCCTCCTCAGCGTCTCTTCACCTACCCCAACGCCCTGCCGCTGCTCTTCGGCCCGCCGGGCCCCGGCAGCATTGCGGGGGCTGCAGCAGGGATAGCAGGGGCAGCAGCAGGAGGAGGCGGAGCAGGGGCAGGGGGAGGCAGCGCGTCCTCCTCCACCTCGGATGCCGCCACCGCTGCCGCCGCCAGCTCCTCCATCATGCGCATTATGATGCGGCTGCTGGAGGTGAGGCGAGGGGGAGGAGGGGGAGGAGGTGGGGCGTGGGGGCGCGGAAAAACACACACACACACATATCAACTTACTACTACGGGCCTTAGGTCCGGTCGTTTTGCGAGAGTGCTTCTTACGTCCTACTTATTCTCAGCACCAGTACTGGACTTCTATATCTACATACGCTACAATGTTCCTCGGCTCCTGCGGCGGTTCTGTGGGGATTTCATCTTCCGACAATCACAGTATGTTCCTACTCGCGGCCAGTTTTCTTAACACACACACAGTACGTTTCGCCTCGCGGCCAGTTATTTTAACACACATGGTCTTCCCCTCTCCTCCGCTGTCACGCCCCCATGCATACCCCGATAGCCTCACCCCGCCCCGCCCCCCCCCTTCTCCTTCTTCCTCCCTCCCTCCCCCTACCCCCTCCGGCCACCTCCCCCCTTCCTGCCAGGTCCTGGAGTCCAAGGCCCGCTCCTACAAGGCCCCCGCGCTGGGCCACCTGTTCCTCATGAACAACGTGCACTACATGGTGTGGGCGGTGGAGCAGGCAGCGGCAGGTGGGGGAGTGGGGGGCAGGGTGGGGGGAGGCAGCGGCAGGTGGGGGGGGACAGGTGGTGTGAGGCAGGTGGGGGGGTGCTGGTGCTGCCGGTGCTGGTGCTACAGGCGACGGCTTTGTTTCCGTGGTGCGAGGGTGAGTGAGGCCGCGTGCGTAATGCGAGGGGACTCTGCTGTTCCCGCTCTCCCTCGCCTTCTTCTTGCTTGCGGGTGCGCTCATTCTTTGGATGCCCTCCTGCTCGCTCGCACACCCCCTTCCTCCTTTCTTCATCCACCTCACAGGCGACAAGCAGCAGCAGCAGCAGCAGCAGGGACAGCAGCGGGCCGGGCAGCGGCGCCCTCGCTCCGCCTCCTCCTCCGCCTCCCAACTAGCGGACCTGCCCGAAGAGGACGAGGGTGAAGAAGACGCCGACGAAGGTGATGAAGACGACGAAGAGGAGGAGGAAGAGGATGACGACCAAGAAGAAGAAGAGCCTGGCACAGACAAACACCGCAAACGGCGCGACAACCGCAACCGAGGTAACACAGGCGGCACCGGCGGCAACAGCAGCGGCGGGTGCTGCTCGTTGGGTGTGGGTGTGTTGGGCGTGGGTTGGTTGGAGCGGCACAAGGATATCGTGGAGCACTACGGGGCGGCCTACCACGAGGCCACCTGGCGGCCTCTGCTGGAGGGGCTGGAGGCGGTGGTGGTGACGCAGGTGCGGGGGGCTTGCGGGGGGGTGGGGGGGGGGTGCGGGGAAAGAAGAATACCCAATGTGTGTTGAATGAAGGTGACAACAGAAGGCGACAAGATGCTGGTGGATGGAAGCGGGTTAGTGGAGCCCCTCTGGCCCTCTCAACTGGCCCTCCCTCCCCCTCCCCCCCCGGCGGGTCGGGCTGGCTCACATGTGGCTGCAAACCATGATGATGCCTTATCACACGGTCAGTCAGTTGTTTCCTCTGGCCCTCCCTCTCTCCTCTCCGGGGTCAAGCAGACCGACAAGGAGCCCTCCGACCCGGGTCGCTTCAAGTCCTGGCTCAAAGCCAAGTTTGCGAAGCTGAACTCCCAACTGGATGCCATCTTCAAACAGCAGGTGCGAGGGAGTTAACTGGCCGCGAGTCGGAAGGTATATCCATGGTATGTATATAGGTGTGTTAAGAAATATTAGGTGTGTGTATATCGTTGGCATGTAGCCAAGCTAGGTCGAGTAAAGGGTTTATGACAGCGCTTGATGCGCACTGGCACTCTTCCGCCGCACTTACGGTAATACCGCACCTCTTCCCTGCATTGGTTCTTCCCTAACCTGCGGTTTTGGTAAATCTCTGACCCCCCCCGCCCGCTCTGCTGCCATCCACACCTCCGCTTGAAGTCCGTGTGGACCATACCCGACGCTAAACTGAAGAAGGCGGTGCGCAACGTCATAAAGCAGGTGCCGTCATGCAGGGGGAGACGGGAGAGGAGTGAGGGGGAGGGGGGGAAGGGGGGCAGGAGCAGGGGAAAGAGGGAGCTGTCGTTCCGCCATCCTAATTGTCGTACTGCGACTACAGTACTGTGCTGCGTACTTGCATCACAATTGTTCTGCATTGTGTACGTCGTCGTACGGCACTTCGTACTTGCAGGATTTCCTGCCGCTGTACGGCGACTTCTGGGAGCGCTACACCGCAGTGGACTTCTCCACCCACCCGGACAAGTACCTCAGGTGCGACTCAGGGATCAGGGATAGCACACTAAACACAACAACACTAAACACAAATGCGAACAACGCAAGACACACCGGGACTAACTGGAGTAGGCCGGGGTTCACCGGGTCGTACTGCGTGTTGCCACGTGAATGAGCCTCTTCTACTTACAACGTTACAATCCCTTACAAAGTTTCGGTAAACGTTACCTTTCGGAGGGTGAGCGGGGCATACCGAAGCATGCAACGCAGCATGACGCACGAAACACGGTGTCGTTACCTGTTTTGCGGCCAGTTGTCACCCCACCCATTACCCCCGCACAACCCCACCCACTGACACCCCCCCTGCCCCCCACGTGCCCCGCAGGTACCCCCCGACGCAGCTGCGCTACCTCATAGACCACACCCTGTTCGAGGGCAGGGCGGCCCAGCCGCCAAAAGGAGCCGCAGGGGCCTCAGGAGGGAGTACGGCAGCAGGGGAAGGGGGAGGGAGTACGGCAGGGGGTAGTACGGCAGGAGGGGGGGCAGGGGGAGGGTATGCATCGTCGGTCCGAAGTGGTGGAGGTGGGAGTGGGGCGGGTCGGACAACGGGGCGAGCAGGAGGGGGAGGAGCGGGAGGGCGGAGATAGCGGGCTTTGGGGATGGAAAGAGGAAGAGGACAGGAGAAGAGGGCAGGGGAGGAGGAGGGAGGAGAGGGGAAAGGAGGACAGATTGAGGAAGGGTGCGCAAGTAGGATAGGTGTGGAGCGAGCGAGAGGGAAGGAGTTTTTGTGAGGCGGGGTACCCCGGTGCGTTGGGGCAGAGGACAACGGAAAGTAGTGACATGTGACAGGGCTGGAGGAGTGAGGAGTGAGGGGCTGTAGTGATTTGTGAATGCATGGTCGGGGGAGGGTGGGGTACCAGAAAGGCAAAATACTGGCTATGACGGTATGGGAACCTCAAGAGTTGGGAAATGGTCGTGGCCCTGCTTGCATTTTGTATTGCATTTCATTTTCGCATCATGAGTGTGACCAGGCTTTCTGAACTTCGCCCTGTCTTCAACATCTGGGGTTGACCTCAGGTTGACATGTCAGGTTGTCAGCGTTTCATGTCACTGCATACCGTTAGGGTGCCCTTTTAAGGACGGAAAATGGCAATATGTCGGTTGATGATTAGTGTTTTGCACTTTGTCTTAGTTTTATATGCATGACCATAACCTTCTCGCGGTAACCTCACTTAAATGCCTTCCATAGTGTCCGTGTAACGCGCCGCGCATTTTCTGGGTTATCAATTGAATTATAAACTACCTGCTTGCAACTTTAGCACTTAAGCTTGGACGTCTTCACTTCCAGAGTTTACTCGCCGAAGTGGAAGAATGCTTGCCTCGCTGCCAAACCAACAAACTGCTAAATGATTCACAATGTGGAATGTGTGTTATCTAGACAATTGTAAAGGCATATATGCGTACCAGGCGCGGCAATTTATGGAGCCTAACTGCAAGGCATTAGTCAGATGAAAATCTTATACTTCTGCGTAAAACGCCTGAATCTTGAAATACATATTGAAGCCTCGCCGTTCATGGAGTCAACGATAGTATATAGAAAGGAGATGCAGGCTGGGCCTTATACGCTACAGGGCGCCCGCCCTAGGCTGGAGACCACTAGCATGCTTAGGTATGCAGTTTTTTTGTTTCAACATAGCAGGATTTCAAATAGGTGCTGGACTTCGCGACGCTGGGGTAACATCACCTGAACCCGTCCAGGTGTCTGCTTTGCCTTCAACCATCGGCAAGCAGGTTATCCTCAGCCTTCGCGACCCTAGCTCATTAGAAGCCAGGACACAACTCATGTCCTGCGACTTCTAAGCATAGCTCTTGCGAACGACGCTCCTCGCGACAGCGAGTAACGTCCCTGAACCATTGGGGCGTTAAATTCGCTTCACGAAGCAGGCCGGCCACAACTCTCAGACCTTTCCTACATCTTCTAGGTTGCAGTATTACATAAAAGTATACTTACAGCACCGCAACCATTTCACCTTCCGCAACATTCCTAACTTTCGTAGACAACAGCAGCACGCGATCATCTATTGAACTTTTTGAGGTCATTACAATGTCATGTCCACAACGACGAGTGGAGTGGCTTCAACCGGCGCTGCTGGTGCTGCTTGCTTGCTGGTGTGCATTGCCTCCAGCCATGGCCAGTCGCTACCAAGCGACCGGTGAGTAAACTTCGATAACTTCCGGAACGAATTTTGTATGTTACCTTGTGCTTACGGCCCAGAAATGGTCCGTGCTCTCCCTTTCCTAAGCTGTGAAGGTTGGGGATTGCGCGAAATGCCGGCCATTTCGTAGCATGGTCTTACCTACTGCTTTCCTGCCTTGAACTTTATACACGTAGTTGTTATATTCTGAATTGCATGTGGTGGGGAAATGACTTGGCACTTAGTTTCCCAGCGCACATTGGCCCTTGTATGCTGTACGACATGTACAAGGAGAACACACACTAATGTACGACATATGTCCCTCTGCAGGAATTTTAACCGTTGTGGATACGTCGTACACGAACGGTGACCACCGGTCGGACTACATGCTACTTGTGGAGGACAGTGGAATCTTTTCCCTGGTCGCTTCTTCCGACCTACGCATGTTTGACGGACTTGCCTCGGGGGGACAAGTAACTGTGACGTCTCGCAAGGTGGGTGAATGAGCAGAGTGTACGGGCGGATAACCGGCCGCACGGATAATTGGGCAATTGGACGCACGGGTAAATGGGCGGGAGGTATGTTGAGTCATTACAGGGAATTACATACATTATTATTTGCCCAAGGAAGGTGGGACCAAGGGAATCCGCGTGTGCTTGTGGGGACAAGATAGCATACGATATCACGGCTCGAGCGAACGGGTATTGGATGGAGGACCACCGCCCACCGCCCACTGGAGCTTGCCCTGCACCGGGGTACAGTCCCCTGACGGGACGCTTGAGGCCTCTCTGTAGAGCTGTTTGCCCCTCAGCCGTGCATGTTCTCCTGTCGTGTCGTCTCTCTGTATCCAGCCGACTCTTCCTCCCTAGCTCAAATCAAGCAGGAGTGTAAAAATTCCACAACTCCCTTCCCCCGCCCTCTCCTGCCCTCTTTCATGACTTTCATCTCTCGGGGACATTGAACGCTGTCCACACAGGCGCCGGAACTAGGTGTCCCATGGGTCATTGACGAGCTGGACGTTATCTTGTCTCCGCCGCCTCCCCACGCCCCCAACCCTCCGCCGTCTCCACCGCCTCATCCGCCTCCTCCTCCGTTTCCCCCGCCTTCTAAAAAGGCGAGCACCCGAGCATCCAGCATCGACCTTTCAGCCTGGAATCCGGGTGTGGATCTGAATGAAGTGATTCCGGATCCACCCCGGGTCGTACGAGATCTGCCGACGCTGTTTATCCTTTTGGATCTATGCGGAAAAGGCGGCGGTACGGCAACAAATGCATCGGTGAGTGCATTATGGTAGTATTGACTGTTTTTAAACTACTATCATTGGGTGCGTAGGAATGCTGATTAGGAGCTTGTAGGGATCCTGGGACGTAGGAGGGGTGGGACTTAGGATGCTTTCCCTGTTGCCTCGGCCCTTAAGGTTTGGATTCGCTTGCCTTGTTTAAGCGTTTCTCTGTCCTGCAATTGCAGGCCCTAGCAAATATGATGTTTAGCGGCCTAACTCCCATGTCGGATTACATCGCAACCTGTTCGTACGGCAAGGCGAAGTTTGACCAGTCAAATAGCCGGATCATAACCGTCAAATTGCCGTGCAACGGTACCGGCCACGTGACTAAAATGCCTTGGGACAGCAACAGCTGCAGTCGGGACAACCTGTTTAACTGGATGTACGAAGTGGAATGGTACATTGACAACGTCTTGAAACCGCTGGACTGGAATCACAGGTACGGTGCTGGGAGATTTGGATTTGGATTGCACCTCATACTCATGTGCTATCGGCACCACGTCATTAACCCTGACCAATTTGTAGTAACACCGTTTCTTTTACCATCATTCCGTACAAAAAGGAACTGCTCCCTCCAGCACACCATCCTACCCTCAATGGCTCCCCTTCAACCCCTCACATGTTGCAACCCATGTTGACGCCTTATCCCTCAGTCAGTTAGTTGTTTTCTCTTTTCCTCCCCACCCACCTCCCACTTCAGGCGCTACCGGCACCACATCATCATCACCCCGCCACACATGACGGAATGGGCCGGGTCCGACTGCAATTGGAGTGGAATGGGGTCCATTGGAATGTCCATGGGAACATGGTCGTATGCATGGATCTCGGGGGATAGCTGGCAGCAGAAGCAGGTACGATGTACGGCATGCATGGTATGTACGGCATGCGTTGGGCAGTACCAACTGCAGATCGACCCCCCGCATTGTTTCCCAGTCCTTCCTCCTAACCTCCATGCGTTTCAACCCCATGATGGCCCCAAAAATGCCCGTCCAGGTCTACTTACATGAGATGGGGCACAACTATAACCTCATGCATGCGGCAACCCTGGAGGCGGGTAGCCCCGAGTCATGCTCTCACTGCGACTGGTCTTCGGCCATGGGCTACTGCTGTGACACGCGGTGCTTGGCGCCGCCCCAAAACTACCAGCTAGGATGGGCCAAACCGGCAGCCACGGTGAATGAAACGCGGCTGGGAAAGGGCAACACGCTGGCATATGAGTTGCCGTCTCAGATTCTGTCGGATGCGAATTACCTCAAGGTGAGAAAGATGAGACTAGGCTTTGTGGGTTTTGGGGTGGTTGCAACAAGACTGCGCATCATATTGCTTTCTGGGCATGTGCGGAAGGGCCATAAAGCTATGCAGACTTTCGAAATTCTTAAACACCCCTCGTTACACAAAGTCGAATCCATGCATTCCATCTCTCCTCCACGTCCGCCAGGTGACAACCAGCTGGCTAGACAGCTCTTCCGTCGCTGCAGACACCGTCAACCAGTTTGGCGGCCCCTCCTATTACAGCCCGGCAAACGCAACATTCATGTTTTCGTACCGCTTGGACTTTCCGGATTTTGATGAGTTGCCTGCAGGGTACTCGGGCGGAACCAACGTGCATCTGTTTACGGTAAGAGAGGGGGGTGGGTTTGAGGGGTTGAGCGTGGGGAGGGAATAGGGATGGGCTATTCAGAGTTGGGTTGGGTTGGGAAACAATACGGTAAGGATACGCAAAAGTGGGGTTAGGGTCCTTAACATGCCGCGGCTAGCAAGACGGTTGGAGGTTTACGGACGTACTTGTCCGTATACTCGTGACCCCACAACAGAACAATCAATCTGCCGAATGAACCCAACCAACATGCCTGCAGGTCAGCAGTCAAACTGATCTGAAAGATTCGGTCCATATCGCTTTGCTCACGGATGACAACCCGGTTTGGACCGATCCCTCGGGTACGCTGGTTGTACGGCAGGTGAGACAAATAGGATATGTAGATGTGCTGTACGGCATGTAGTCAAAAGAGGGCATGGCTGTACGACATGTTTGCCGTACGTCGGGTGTTTAACGTGGAGTGGGACTGGGACTGTTTGAGGCGGTAAGTAAGCACCCTGCCTAGAACTGCACCGATAATCCAAGCTAGCATGAACACTTTCAACGTTACCATGATCAGCATCTGAATGACGGTGTCTCCCTATGTTGCGTGTTGCCGGATGTATGACAGGTCGCCTCGGATAGCGTGAGCGCAATCGTGACGTTGTGCCGTCCTGAGGCGGCCGCAGAGACGACATTTGAAATGTGCACCGACTTTGCCGACAACGACTGTGATGGCTTGGCAGGTAATATGGGGCCGTGGATGCATGTGTGTGCAAGTAAGCGGACGTAGTGACACGTTGTTGACCTTAGCTTGACCGAGGCAACTGCACATACCGGTACCTGACCAGCATGCAAAGCAATGTCTTTCACTCATTAGGCGCAGTTAGTGCATGTCAACGGCCTATTATACTTACCCAAGCACCACACGCAACCTCACCTTTTCCGCACCGCAACCCGCAGATGCTGACGACCCCGATTGCGCCGAGTTCTACCAACCGCCGCCTCCGCCACCTGACATACCCTCCTCCCCTTCGAAACTTCTGCCGCCACCGCCACGGAAATCCCCGCCGCCGCCGCCGCCGCCAAAGCGGCCGCCGCCGTCCCCGCCGCCGCCAAAGTCACCGCCGCCGCCGCCCTCACCCAGGCCCTCACCTCCACCCCCGCCCAAGCGCTCTCCACCTCCGCCGTCGCCGCCGCCATCGCCGCCGCCGTCACCGCCGCCGCCAACACAACCTGCCAAACGCATGCCGCCACCTTCAACTGCAGGGAAGAAGAAGCCGCCGCCACCACCGCCTCTGCCGCCGCCGACTGGATCGAAGAAGAAGCCGCCGCCGCCACCGCCACCTTCGCCGCCGCCGCAGAAAGCATCCAAGCCGCCGCCACCTTCCAATAAGAAGCCCCCTCCGAAGCGAGTAGCTAGGCTTCGCTCCTTTACGTAGGGCGAAAGCTTAGGGCTATGCGTCCACTGCTATGTTGTTTCGTCACTTTTGAAGCATAGCTGACTTCGCCTGTGGTTTTACCTCACACTGAGCGCACTGAAACAGTGATTCTGTTGCTTGCAGGTGGTAGGGGGCCTTCTTTCTTTAACCTTTCCATTCATCTCCATTTATTTCTGCTCCTTTACGCACGCAGATAACATACATACTGTTGTTGCTCTTTGTCCACATGATTCATTCGTGCTATGGCGGTGGTTTGGTTGTGCAGCTTTGCCGTCGTGATCCCGCGTACAATAGTACTTGGTTGTGTTTTTTGATGCGAAGGAACGACTCCGACTGTAGCAGGAGGTGTCGGGGTAGTTAGCTGTTAGCAAACGCAGGCAGGAGGCTATTTCGAAATGTTATAAATTGTCTGGAATAGCAACACCTTATGCTGTACACTCTGTCTACTACACCTGGCTGGTCTTGCAACACCCGGGTCCTGTTGCAGAACGGAGTGTACGTTGCTGTGGTCGCTGTGCCTTGGCGGTTGCCGGTTGGTTTCGGATCTCCTTCCATTTATCCTTTAGTCTTTTTTAGGCGTGAGAAGGCTTAGTCAGATTGCTCTTTTGCGTTGGCGATTATATTTGGTAGCGATAATCCCCAATGGAGGACGTAATGGTTAAGAGGACACTTAAATCCGCCGGCGGTAGTGTGTTTGGTCAACTGTAGTGCTACAACTCGTTGTCATGTACGTGCTACGGTATTCCCGGTGCCAACACACCCCTTGGGGCTATGCGGCATTGTACATGTTTACGCATGCAGTCAGGGGCGGGTTAGTTAGCTAGGATGGGCATTTCATTTCCCGTCTGCAATATTTTACAGATGGGGGTGATATATAGAATGTTTTTTCCGGTAGATCCGTTGTGTGGTGCACACTGCACAGTGAATTGTAAGTGCCGCATACTAGTATGGTACGACACGGGGAGGTCGTGTCATACACTTGGAAGTTGAAGTGGCGCCTCCGGTCTCCCCTACACAGTATCACGCATAGCATCCATGAGCATCCGTCTTCTGTGATGCCGTACAACTGGATTGGCAATAGGAAAATGGTTACTCAGGAAATACCATGTCGCCGTTTACAGTCGTGTCCTTACTGAACCAATTACCCACCTCGCAGGTGCCGATTATACCAGGCAATAACATACGTTCAGGGCAAGAGGAGGTAGAAACAACGTGCCATGCAGCCGCATGTGGACAAAAGAGCTTCAAATCCTCTTTCAAGGTGACCGCCGCGTTCCAAGTGACCCACGGGACACACAGCAGCTTTCCATATGCAACACACATGCGGCCAGTTTCCAACTTCGTGTCGTACAAACCGCCGCCGCTCGTTCATTTTCTTCACTCCACCCCACGCCACGCTACGTTACGGAACTGGTGAAAAGACATGGAAGAAATGAAGGACCTAGGACGGTGTCCAGGGAAATTGACCAATCAAGCTCCAGAGAAATTTGCTACCCAAGCCGCAGCATACACGTTCCACGCACAACTGACGCGACGGCACAACTGATGTCGTGACGCACCCCCGGCCACCAAATGCAGCAGCAGTTGCGGAAGGCACACGCACGCGCATCCAAACTAACTCATTATGGTCGTGAGCTTCGCGGCTGGATGCTTAATTTCCTAAAACGTCCTTTTCCCATACGCCCCTGACAGCACACTAGGCCCCAGCACATGTCCAACATGGCACATTGCTGGATGGCGACGGAATGCACCACGCAAAGAGTATCCGCAGCCTCCCTCCCTGCTTCCCAAGCCCTTCCTGCTAAACCATCTAAGCCTCCCAAACCCTTCCAGACCCCCGCTCCCCCGCTCAAAGCTCCCCTCGCGACTCTCCCTTCCTTGCCAGCCCAAAGCCAATACCCACTTTCCCCCCAGACCATCTGCTCTCTCCCCCCCCTCTCTTCCGTTCGCCATCGCTATTGACTTCACCATAAGAACTGTCCTGTTGAAACCAACTCCCACCCCTGCTACCACGTTCAAAGCGCTGAAGGTTCTGCTAGCAGTCAAACCAAGAGTAGTGTCTGTAGTGGGGCTAGTGTCAGCCTAGTACTTGCTCTTCTTGTCAGCACCACCCTTCTTAGGCGGCGGGTTGCCCCCCGCTACCACATTGTAGGCGCAGAAGGCGGCTGCTGCGACGCTAAAGCCGCACAGCAGCACGCTTAGCCAGTACGGAATGCCGACCAGGGAGGGCAGGGAGGTGTAGGTGGTGTATGCGACGAAGGCGGCAGAGGCTGCAGGGACAAGGTTGGGCAGGGATGAAAAGAGGAGGGAAGAGGAAGGGGAGAGGGGAGGCGATTAGCAGCATGTGAAGGGAGGAGGAGGGTTGCCTCCCTCGCGTTGGGCTTGGAGAGACGCGTAGAAGGGGAGGTCATGAGGGAGTGTGGTGCGTGCTTGTGGACATTGTGGGTCAAGGAGCGGTGAAGGGAAAGCGGGGGGTTGTGGAGCCACGTCAGAACCACACCTACCTGCAGACGTCAGCGTATACGTTGTGGAGCTGCCACCATTCTTCCACTCTTGGAGGCTAAGGTAGGAAGCAGCCAGCGAAGTAGCTCCCGCAACGATTGCTGTGCCCGCAATGTTTGTGAACTTAAGGAAGAACAGCGCGACGCCCGCAACAACCGCCAGAGCGCCATAAGGAATGCACATGCAGAAGTCGTGCAACACCGCGTGACGTGATGGGGTCGAGCCGTTGGGCTGTTCGGCCTGGAAGTTACGTAAATGTACAGCGCTTAGCGATATGAGTAGGAGCACAACAGCTTTCTTCAAATGTGCTAGCGCGGCACAGCATCAACGCACCGATGCCCTGCAGGCCAGCGGTCTCCGAGCGATCTTAGCCGGCGCCACACAAGGTGTTACGCTCCTAGACGAAATGCATCGCGGCAAGGCTACAGCTAGAGGGCAACGCGCCGCCCCGATGGGCAGCACCTGGCAGGAGCGAGACAAAATTGCAGCCATCGTTTACGTATAGTTATCAGTTTTGTAAAAGTGTTTCAGTAGTTCACAGGGGCGCAAACAGTTGCTGAACCCACTTTCCGTCATCGCTTGCGCGATATAATCCAACCCCCAAATACGGCGCTTCGCACCAGGCACCTTCTCGCGCGGAATCCAGCAAACTATTTAAAACCGTGTGTGCACTTACATCCAAAGTAATTCATCGTGCAGACGTCCTTCTGCAGATACGCAGTCCCATCCATCTATCGGCGCATGCGTTGAGCTACCCTTGCCCTTTATAAAGATGCCTTGCACCAATAACGTTTATGTACACAGATCTAGGAGGGTTTTGATGTTCGCCGTGCGCGCGATGTCGCAGACCTTTCACCTGTCAGCAACCTCGACAGCTGACTGCAGACAGCTGGCGCGCCGACAGCTGAGCATCAGCCTCGGCCAGCAATATATCCATCCTCCCATTCCAGCCTCTTCACCAGGTAGCGTAGCCATACACTTCTAGGTAGTCGCCAGCAAAGTCATAGCTTAATACGAACCTTTCACCAATCATTATCTATTGCGTAGTAAGCGTACAAACTTGTTTGATAAGCCACAGAGGGAACTAGCCCGTCAGCGTGCCTACATCACCAGGAGCTCAAGCGTCGCTGCTGGGCGCTTTCAAGCTCCAACAACAACACGCAGCAACTCCAACAACAGCGCAACAACAGGCGCTGCTGCACGCAGTAGCAGCAGCAACAGCAGCAACAGCAGCAACACCCGACACCAGCAGCATCACCTTCATATCGTACATTAGTGGATGGCTGCGGGTCTCTTCTCCTCCTCTTCCCTTGCTGCCTCGGCTTCCCCAGCTGCAGCCCGTATGCGCTCCTCCTCTTCCTCCTCTCGGCAGCGGAGCCCCTTGGCCGCTGCAGCCATGCTGGCGCTGCCCGCTGCGGCCTTCATGGGCTGCCTGGTGCTGCTGCTGACGGCCTTCAGCGCCCCAGGTGGGACTGCGTGGGTCGGTGGGTCAGCGTGGGTCGGTGGGTCAGCGTGGGTCGCGTGCTATGGTGTGGCATTGCCGGTACTTGGCTCGGCGGCAAGCCGGGGTTTGGGCTCCCTGTTTGGATAGCATGGCAGTAGCGTGGCAGTATGTGCTGGCCGATGATGAGTCCTAGCGTACATGCATGGGTCTCAGAAACGTTGCTCACGTCCAACGCATGAGGTGGGTCCGTGCGTCAGCGAGTTACTTCGTCTTCCTACTTCGCCTCCCTTCCTGCCTTCCATCCTCCTCAACACCACCGCCCTTCCTGTCACCCTTACCTCTCCCTCCCGCTCCCTCCCCCCCCTCCTGTCACCCTTACCTCTCCCTCCCGCTCCCTCCCCCCTCCTCCTGTCACTCTTACCTCTCCCTCCCGCTCCCTCCCCCCCCCCTCTCTCCTCACGCATGCGGAATCTTCATCCTTGTTAATCCTCCCGCACATGTCACCATCCGTCGCCCCCCCCCAGGCGCCCATGGCCAAGCCTACCTGCCGGCCACCATGATCGACGGCATGGAGTCCGCCATGTTCCTCAACAAGTTCATGGTAGGTAGAGGGGGGGTGGTGGAGATAAGGTCATGGTAGGGGGCTGTGAACAAGCTGATGGTAGACGGGGGCGGGCTTATGAAGAAGCTCATGGTAGGGCCGTGGTTGTGAAACGCTCATGGCGCAAACCCCCATCTCGGCCCTCTGTAAGGACTGTAAGCCCGCTCCTCGACCCTCACCTCGCCCCCCACCTCCACCCTGCACCTGCCCAACAGGACGCCGCTGACGCCACGGGCTACTACGACCGCTTCCTGCAGCCCGACTTTGCGGGCACGGTGTTTGCACCCGTGGACCTGGTGGGGTGGGGGGAGGAGGGAGGGAGGGCAGGGAAAGGAAGGGGGGGAGGGAAGGCAGGGACGAAGAGACTGTCAGCGCGGGCTGCATGTGGGGATGGGCTTAAATGGAACCGATGGGGTGTATGTATCCCTATTAATCCCACCTTCCCTCTCCTCCGCCTCCTTCCCTCAGGGTTTCGACGCGCTGCTGCAGAAGCTCAACTCCACGTGGGATGAGCTCACCTCGCCCGACCTCAACGACACGCTGTCAGCCATCGTGGGGCTGCACGTGGTGCCCGCCACCCGCCTCTTCCCGCTGAGTGCGCTGCGGGACGGACAGGAGCTGACCACCGCCAGCGGCGCCAAGATCTACGTCAGCAAGGAGTGAGTGGGGTGCCGCTTCTGTGTGGGGTGTGTGTGTTGAGAAGCGGCACGTACTGTGATTGCCGGAAGATGATTTGGGTGTGAATGATTGGGGAGGACCGCAGAACGACACGTGGGAAGGTGCATATCTCACGCCAGTTTTCTTAACACACGCTCTCCTCCCCTCTTGCCCGCCTCTCTCCCCTCCTCTCCCCCGCTCTCCTCAGTGTCCCCGGGATCGTGCACATATACGCGGTTCCGCGCCCCGAGGACGACCCGCTCAACTTCGCCACCGTGCTGCAATACCAGGAGATCCGGGGGGGCAAGGTGGGAGGCGGTGTGGGGATGTTTGAAACATGAAGCAGGGAAGTGGGACTGATGCATGCCGAGGGTTGCATGCGGTACAATGTTCCCCTACTCTTACTCCCTCCTCCTGCCAACCTCCCCTCTCCTCTCCCCCCGCCCCGGGTTCAATTAGCAACCCATGGTGAAGCCTTGTCATACAATCCGTCAGTTTCCTTATTTTCAACTCCCACCGCCCTCCTTCCCCCCAGGCTGTGCTCTACGTGGTGGACAAGGTGCTGCTGCCGCCCGCCAAGACCTCCTCCAGCAGCCCCGCAGCTGCCGTGCAGCCCTCCTTCGTGCGCCGGGGCAGCCGGGGCGGAGCGGCGGCGGGCGGGGCCACCAACCAGCGCAAGAGGGCTCGGGTGTGAGAGCGAGGGAGGCAAGAGAGCTGGCAGCTGGAGCAGCAGCAGGGTGAAGTGAAGGAGGCAAGATGGAGTAGGACGCTAAGGTGAAGGTGGTGAAGGAGGAGGATGGTGTTGGGTGGTCGGAGAGAGGTGCGGGATGAGGGATACAATGCCTGGTGGAGGAATGCTGCAGGGGTGTAAAGGGAAGTACGGTAAGGAAGGGGGCATCAGCAGCACAGCACGAGGTTGGCAGTAGGGAGTGGCTTTTGAGTTGGGGTGGCTTGTACTATGGATGAGGGAAGCTGGATGGCTTGATGGTAGCTGGAATTTACTTGTTTTTGTTTGCAGCTGTACCCTTTGCAGCGTTTGTAGGACGAATGGCGACGAAGAAGGCGGGGAGAAATACCGTATGCAGGTTTGTTGCCGGGGACCGTTGCCGACGGTTGAACGAATGGACCGTACAGCTAATCTCTCTCCTCACCCGTGCTGTAGATGCCGTTGGTTGGGGCTCTAGGGGCGTACTGATGCATGCGTCGTAGCCTGGATCCTTTCGTTGGTAGTTTTGTGCATTGCAGTTTGCTAGGGTACGCTCTCTTGCAGTGGCAACTGGGATTGCTATGCCGGAAACTCTTGGCAGCATGGCGTGCTGCATCAACACAATTTACGATATTTCTTAGCCATGATTCATATTTTGTAGGCAGGCGTCTCCTGGCAGGAATCCCTTCCCCGTTAGTGTATGCATTGCCATCTTAGGGAATAAAAGTCAGGGTGCTTTAAGACCTAACAAATGCTGTTGTAACAATCTCCACACAGAAATCACTCGTATGCGTAAAGGGCAGGAGCCCCATGCCCCCATGGCTTGGAATTTCGGGCTACCGGGGAAAGGCAGCCGTAGGGCCATGTGAGGCCGTGCCGTGTTCCCTTCATTCCGAAATCCCGCCTCGATGGCTTGCGGGCGTAAAGATTATCTACGATCACCACGATGTTGGGATAACGTTGAAAGGATTCACACAAGGATGTGCGTGAACCGCTGAACCCAATGACAGCCAAACACTGGAGTCAGCTGCAGACAAATCTGACCCCAAGACAACACTTCTTGGTAGGACATGGACAAACTGTTTTCATCGTTTGTGGCAAGTAACATACCCAAGCGTAAGTTCCAATCCGTACATAGTGATTTGTCACGTATGATTGAGGACTGACTCCTGGTTACCGAAGAGGGCGACCGTTTGCGTATACTGTACCTACGCTTCAACCTGTTACGAAGTTAACAACTTGGTTAACGAAGGAAAATGATGGACCCGAACACAGACTTTAACCAAGACTGCCTTGGTAAGCGAAGACGACTACTGCACTAGTACCGCCTATCCTCCTTGTGAACGTTAATTCCATTGTCGCATGGTTACACGACATGCAGGCCAGGCGACGATGTCTGGTGCTAAGGCCGGCGCTCAAGCTGGCATTGTCAGCGGCGTGCTCTACTATGCGGCGATGAAGTATTCACCCTTCTTCCGAAACGTCTTCAACGCAAGCGCGCGGACAGCGCTGGCGGTGAGTGCTCGAGATTTGGGGTGCTAGGACTCGACTCCTAGGACCAGTCACATATTAACGAATAGTTTATCGGGTTTATAATTCATAACATATGCCGTGTCCGGTCGTTTTGAATTCCCTTCCTCGTCTGTTATACGGCGCGAGCCCCTCATCCATCCTCTTTCTCGGCTCACCAACCCGTAAACCTTCTCCGATCTCATAGCGTTCCACTTTATGCACTAAGTTGAACTTCCCTCCAAATCCTAACCCGGCCAAGTCGCCTGAACTCCACCCACCCACAAGTGCCTTGTTGTTTAACAGGGGAACCGGGAATTTTCTACCTACCGCTGCGTACCGCCCATAATACGGCGTTGGCTTCATCTCAGCCTAACCCGCTCACCCACCTTCGAACCCACCACAGGTCATGCCAATCTTCTACACCGGCTACCTGAACATCGAGCAGCAAATGCACAAGTGTATGAAGGTACGTACGGCAAGGGAGGGAACCGCACATGGGAGGGGAACCACAATTGTCTGCCGTACCGAACCGTGAGGGTGCACCCCATGCCGCCAAGCACCGACCCTAGTTGGTACGGCAAAGGCATGTGTGGGTGGGTGGGTGAGGAGGATGAGAAAGCGCGTGTCTTGGATAATGCGGGAACCGGCTGCTGTCCCAAAGCCACCCTCACCTCTCACTCGCCCATCAATTGTGGCTCAGCTCCAATACCGCTCTCACCTCTTCGCCTTCCTCAACCCGCTGTCACCGCTCTCACCTCTTCACCACCCGCTCACCCATCAGACCAAGGAGCGTACGTTTGAGATGGTTGGGGACGACTACGACGACTGAGGGAGGGGCGGTGTTGTGACGGCTGCTGCTGGAGTCTGAGTGAGGGGGCCGGTGTTGCGGCTGCTGCTGCTGGGGCTGAGTGAGGGAGGGGCGGTGTTGTGGCTGCTGCTGCTGCTGCTGTTATTGCTGCTACTGCTACTGTGCATGCATGGTGGGCTGGGGCGAGTGAGGGTCGGACGGTGGTTGGTTACGGGAGGCAAACGAACGTAAGAGTGCCGCTATCTGCTGGTGATGGTTTGGGGCGATATTGTTTCATTGAATGACGGCTAGTAGGTAAAGCCCCTGCGGCAATTGTTGCTACTGTTGCTATCCGGTTAATGCGCTTGGTGCGGTTCCGAATCCCCCACCCGCTTAACTAAAAAAGGCACATTGCATTAACTCTGGCTTATCTCTTTCCTGCGCTGCTTCTGCCTCTAATGGACAATGAACGATGCTTTGAGCGCCGCTGGTTGGATGCGGCTGCTTTCAGTGCCGTTTCTTTTGTTGCCGCTGCTTTGAGTGCCATTGCCTGGCTCAACAGTGCCATATTGCTATCGCTGTTGCTGCGGTGTTGTTGCTGACACCGCTATTGCTTGGTTGATGCCATATAGCTTGGTTTTTAACCGTACAGCCTGTGTATGCAGGTGGGGGATGCAAGGCGGTGCCAAAGGGGGCTGCGAATTCCACGAGCGAATGAGAAACAAAACCCTCTCACGGGAATCCTGTGCAGCGACACAGATCGCCTCAAGCAATTTCCAGGTTGCTGGTTGGGAACCGTTGTTTGTTGTCGGGGTGGGAGTAGCTGGGTAGACACGGATGTTACCCGGATTCGAGGGTCTGTCCTGGCCCTTGTGTTTTGTGTGTTTGTGAATCAAATGGGGGACCAGACACTGCCCATGATGGGTGTGGAGCGTGTGCGTGTGCGTGCCTCCGGTTGCCCCTCAAGTTGTGTTGGGTCGGAAAGTTTTGTGCTGTGAAGGAGAAAGTCAAGAAAGCTTGGATCTGGCAACGCAGCGGCAACACAGCAGGTGCTGGTGAAGGATGCGTGTTTTGGTTTGCATAACGTTCCCGTCAGATCCCTGTTGCTGTTGTTGGGGATTCGGTGCAGGATGACACCCCTTGTTATGTTTGTTGGGGTGGTGTGTGGTGTGTTTGTATGTGTTGCGGACTCTCGGATGTATGTCTCTTCAAGACAATTACAAGACATCTCGATATTAGGGTTGCCTTTATGTGGAAGTCGGATTTGGCAGCTTTCCTTAGTTGCCACTCAGTGGATGGCGGAAGGGCAAGAGATGAGTTAGGGAGGTAAGGTTTAGAGACGGAGCTGTTTGCAGTACATACATGTGCAGAATGTAGCTTCGTCGTACCGTTACGGAGTACAGTTTAGGGTGGGACGATTAAGGGTCGCCATCATTGTTACAGATCCCCAAATCCAATCCACTTGCTCAGATAGCTACATCTAGACGGCGTTGTTAGCAGCTGTCCTATACGTGCATACGAAGAAACCCAACAACAATATCCAGAACACAATGTAGAACTCACTCGTACACCCCACAACGGAATCTTTAGGAGTTGCTGCTAAGAGCCTTGAAACTTGACATTTTATACTGCATGCATGCATACAACAGGGTTTGCGCTTGCGCCATTGACCAATGTACGACAGGTATGTACATGCGCTACATGTGTACGGCACAATCGCCCTAACCGCAACCCTAAATCGCACGATCCGTACGACAACGCTAAGACATTGTTGGCTAAGAACGAATGCAAACAAACAAACAATTGACAAACGCCGATCAATTGGTAAGTCGTCATCACATCTTCGTTTGTAGTTGGGAGAGTATAACGCAACAAGGAGGCCAGCTTTCTTAACACAACAAGGAGTGGTGTAATGTACAGAACCCCGACGACTGCCCCTCTAGAACCCTGTAGCCCGTACTGACAGCATGGGCAATACAGCTGCTTACGTAGGCCGGTCAGCTACCGGTGCTGGTCAAACAAGCATCATTAGTTCACTACAAGCAACAAGAGGCTTACTAACGACATGTACAATACCAAGCACGTCGGGGTGCATACGCACCTTATTATCAAGGAAAGAATCCCCTAACGCCCTCTCACTCGTGTTCTCGTTCTTCCTACGACCATTCCCTCTTTCCTCGTGGTTCTCCCCTTCCCCGTACTTCTTCCCTTCCTTGTCATCCTTCTCTTCCATATCCCTTCCTTGCCAATGTCTGCCGGATAGGAGCGGCTACCGGACCTAGTCACTCAGCGTGAGGAGGAGGCGGCGGAGGAGGAGGGCCCCATGCCCCCCGCGGGAGACGGCGACGACACCGGTGACGCCGAGGAAGTGGAGGAAGAGGCGGAGGACGGGTACCTGTCAGCCCTGCTCATGCTGTTGTTGTTGTTGTTGTTGTTGCTGCGCTTGAGGCTTGCTGGTGGGTGCGGGGCGGGGGTCAGGACGTCCTCGGGTCCGCTCTCCGCGCCGCTTTCGATGCCCCCGGGTGAGGAGATCTGCAGCTGGGATCCCACCTGCGAGATGACAATGACATGGGGGGGCGGAGGGAATGGAGGTGGGAGTGAAGGGAGTGAGGGGAGAGAAGGGGGAAAACACACACGCAAAAGGAGCGGTTGGTGGCGGCAGTGTATCGGTATGTCGCATATGTACGTGCATGTGTATAGTTGAGTAGGACAAAAGCAAGCAATTGGGAGAGGTTCGCATGTGAACCGCGAGTACAGGCAAAACAAGAGGTGACCAAACCTGAACCGTAATTCAAAACTATTGGAAAAGCTGTTGCTGGATGTAAGAAGAGTGACAGGTGACGAGTGACGGCGCATGTCAGTGATGCTGATGGTGTCGGAAAACTAAAATACTACTGAGAGCTAAAGCCCGCTGACCAACTCGACGCCGGGGGCCCCCGCTCTGGTCACGCAGACGAGACACCACAATGCTGTGTCAGTATACCACGTGCATGTGTATACTGGTATATGCACGCACGAAAGTATGTTTGTATAAAATGTGACGTGCTGAAACGTATGCATGCATGCAAGCATGTGCATGTGAGTTTCGTCGCATCCCTTCCCGCACGCATCATACATGGATCCACCTCTTATCCCATTCCGGCACTGGCACGGCAAACAGACAACAAGTGGGCATTGCCGTAGCTCCGTATAAAAACAATTCCAACTAATCTCGCCCGCCCAACCGCCCGCCCGCCCAACCAACTGCCCAACCAACCTCGTAATCCACAACGAACTTGGGTGGCAGGAAGCCGTTGATGATTCGGTTGATGGTTGTGAAGAGCGGGTACTGCTGCTCCCACCGGCGCACCTGGTCGCGGTACATATGGTGTACGACATTAGGATACCGTGTGTGTAACGACGGTGGTGTGGTGGTGTGGTAACGACATACCATTCCACCGTGTACGTAGTATCATTGTACAGAACGGTATGCACGTACATGCACGCACAAACGCACCTCTTGCTTTGGTAAACAGCAACGATCTCACAATTACTTTGAACTGTGGCTGTACGTGCGTTCAACATGTTCCTCCTTCAATCTCTACCTTGCCCATCCACATTCCTTGCCATACTGCAAAACACGGGCTTGCGTATCTTCCCCTCCTTTCTTTCCACCTCTTCCTTCCTGCCCCCACCTCAACCCAATCAACCCCAACCACCCCCCAGGCACCTCACCCTCAGGATCTCCTGCACCTCGTTGCTCGTAAGGACGCCCTATGGACGTATTTGATGGCCCGGGTGCGCATGAGTATCACAATATGGTTAGGTGATCGGGAAGGAAAGGGGAAGGAAAGGAGTATGGCAGAAAACAAAGTCGCGCACGCCACTACCATTAGGATGCACTATGCGGAGGCCATATACCATGCATGTAGTATATATGCGGTTTGTAGCAATCATCACGATCAAGCCCGGTAGCCACTCCCGACCCCTCCCTGCCGCCCCCATCACCCTCACCTGCAGCTTCTGCCCCCTGAGCAGAGTGGACTCCAGCTCCTCAAACGTGCGGGGCTGACCCGCCTGCAGACACGGCAGGGCAGGGTGGGGCATGCATGGGGGAGGTTGCAGAAGGCACGGAGTAGTTGTCGTACAAGTGACAGGGCACACAGGACGTACACAGGACGTGACGTACAACGACCGCCACTCTCGCATCTTCAGTGTTGCCTGTCGCTCCCCACGCGCACACCTTCCGACAATCCACTAAGTTCCTACGCGCGGTCAGGAATCCTCAACCAATTTACACACATACACACACGTTCCCCCCCCTTCCCCCTTCCCTCCCCTCCCCCTCCCACCAGCTGCCCCCTCGTCCACTCCTCCGCCACCAGTCGGTTCCTGCCCCCGTAGCAGGTTGCCACCAAGTCCCCCACGCCGCAGCCCGCCAGGAAGGTGTCATCGCGCACGGAGGGGTACAGCGCGCGGCTGAAGGCGCGCATCTCCACCAGGCCCTGGTGGGGGGGGTGCGTGTGGGTGTGTTTTAAGAAACACCGTACCGTGTGCGCCTGCATGCAACCCACTCCCACCCACATGCGCACCTCGAATGCTCGCTAACAGCATGGCCTTCATAAACAGCATGGCCGTTGCTAACAGCTCCTGATCCCCTCCTTCCCCTTCCCTCAACTCCTACCCCGCATCCCACCTTCCCAATAATCATCGCCTTGGGGTTGGGTAATCTAGCTTTACCACCTCCTACCTGCTTCACGTCTCATTAATCCATTTTTAACATCCCACCTGCCGATTTGTATCCCACCTGCCGAATGATGGTTGCCTTGGAGTTGGGTCCCAGCCCCAGTCCGTCCACCATGCCCGCCCCCAGGGCCACGATGTTCTTGAGCGTGCCGCACATCTCCGCCCCCACCTGGAAGGGGGGGAGGGAGGGGGAGAGAAAGTGAAGGGTGGGGTAAAGCGAGGGGCAAACGTGTGTGTTTTGGCACGCCGTCCCAAACTACCGTACCATAACCACATTCTAACCCGTAACCGCCCTAACCGTCCTAAGCACCCCAACTAACCAACTAACCGCCTCACCGGGTCCGGCAGTAAGCTAACTCGGAAGTAGGGCCGCTGGAAGAGCTTCTTGAACCTCTCCGCGTGATCCAGATTGTCGTACCTGCGGGCGTGTGTTCGTGTGTGTAACTAAAACTGGTCGCGAGGCGGAACGTACTGGATTGTCGTGTGTGCGCGCGCGTGTGTGTGTATGTTGGATTAAACACTGCTAGCGTGTTTTACCGACCGTAAAAAGGACAGATAGCTGCATGACACATTCCTGTTGTCGTACCGGATAAGGATAACACACCTGACAAATAACGTGGAAGGGCATTCGATTGATGCCCGTGCCGACGTAATGCAAAGGACAGCAGCCTGTATGTACAGGATTACCCTTGTACCAAACGGCACATTATCACGCAGTATTGCCAGCAGCCCTCTCACCCGATGACTGCCTCCGACAGCTGCTCCCGACCAATGTCCTGAGGGGAGGCAGGAAGGGAGGGAGGGGAAAGGGTGACACCGAGCGCAGGGTGCTGAGGCAGGGAGTGCAGGCGCTGGGTGGTAGACGTGGTGTGGTAACAGCGAAGCAAAAAAAGAGCATAGGAAGCAGTACGGCACGAATCACCCTAGCCGCCCCCCCGCACACACTCTCCTCCCCCCACACACCCAACCCCTGTAAACCCCCTCCAATCCCCTTCCTCAGAACCATCAAACCCACCACCCCACCCAACCCAACCCAACCCCACCACATCCCCCCACCCAAACCCAATAACCCCCTACCGTGGCGATGTTCGCTCCCATGAGTACGGCACAGTCGATTCCCAGGTAGCGCCGTACCATCTGACTAATCAGCTGCGGACCCTCGGGTCGCACCCGCATGCCCTTGGTGAGGCTGATGGCGGCGGCGCCGGGCTTGACCTGTTGTGATGGAGTGAAGATGTGTGTACGGCATACGGCACAGCGAGGGTACGACATTGCACGGCATTACAGGACCAGATAAAGTATTAATGTAAATTTTAACATCGCAGAACTGGAACTGAAACTGACTTTAGCGCGAGGGTACGGCGCTGCTCATTACGAGCAGCAGAGGTGGGAGGGATTATTCTGTAGAGTTGTTGCCTGTTCACCTCCGTCGTGAAGACAAATATCAAACCTCATCTTTTATATCTTAATGCCCCTGAATTGTGTACTTATAACACAATGCCGCTACAGATCGCAATGTCGTACGACGGATTGCCGCACGTCGTACCTTCCCCATGAGCTGCTTGCAGATGCCGTGCATGAACTGATGCGGCGCGCAAAACACAAGCAGATCCGCCCCCTCCGCGGCCGCCTCGATGGACGGTACGGCAAGCACATTGGGGCCGAGGCTGAAGCCGGGGAAGTACTTGGGGTTCTGGGGGCAGGGGGCGGGGGAGGCGGGTTAGGGTTTCATGTCGTACGGCAGGCACGGGAGGGGTGTCTGCTGCTAGGGATGTGAAGGGGCATGCCATGAATACACGGCTGGGGCCGACTTCATCCTCCCCTTCCCTTCCCTTCTCCCCGCCTCTCCCCCCTCCTTCCTTCCCTCCTCCCACCTCATGTGTTTCGTTGATGACCTCCGTCAGCTTGCGACCCTGCAAGAAAGGGGGGGAAACAAGGGGGGGAGGGACGGAAACGTGAAGCCCAATCCCATATCCCGACTCTTGCAACGAGCGCAATCGGAGACCCATGGGGGAAGGGAAGGGAAAACGAGGAGAACCATGCATACTGAACAATAGCGGTGATGTCAGTTGTCGTACCAACTCCCCAGCCCGATCACTTCTTGTCGTACAATTGTACGTACCTGGTAGTTTTCTTCGTACACCCACATCCGTACTTCCTCCGCGAACTCATCTGCCGGGTCGGGAACCTGTCCCCCCGCCCCCGCCCCCTCGCCCCCCGGAGGGTTCTGCCGTACTGTGTTTTGTGCGATCATTCGTACGGCAGCACACGCCCATGCGCCAGATCCGATCATGGCGACTTTGTAGCGTGCTAGGGCGTCCACGAGTGTACGATAGTCGTACACATACCTGCATGCGCGCATACACACACAGTTTTCTTAACACACACACCCGTGTCGTTTTGATGGGAAGACATCACCTCACCTCCCGACAATCCACTAAGTGTCTACGTGCGTCGTACACACCAATTTTATTTTCAACACACACACGCATGCACACACGCATGGGTTAATGGCACGCGTGTGTGTGTGTATTTGTGCGCCGCAACACCCGCAACGAACAAACGCTTTCCCGGTGCGGTTGCTGAGTCCTTCGATCCGGGGCGGGGGCTCAGCGGGTCAGGTCGTTAGCCTAACCGTCACTCCATAGCTGGTCTTCCCTTCATCCCTCACCTGCCCTAACTCGGGGTGCTTTCCTAGGGTTTAGAGTGGTCTTTCTTACCCCGCCCCGCCCCGCCCTCCCCGCCCTCATCTCACCACTCCGCCTCCGCCGCCACCGCCGGCCGCTCCACCACGCCTCCGTACCCGATGAACAGGTCGGCACCCCCAGTCGACTGAACCGCCTCCAGGTCCGTGATGCCGTCACCTGTAGGTGGGTGGGGGGTCGGACACAAAAACAGCGAAACCACAAGTAAGGGCACCTAGGGGGGTGGTTGGGGCGATGCCGGCTGGACATACTTTTGACAAGGACCTCTGCTCGCTTCTCTTCCTAACTACAACCAGCATCAAGTATACCCTGTAGGCATCTCTGCCGCTCTTGTTATTGGTATTATTATTATTACACGGGTCACCCAATAAGACAATCCCGGAACACCAAACACACCCCAAGCCCCGAAACCCCACGTTCCCCCCACCGATCATGACCACCGTGTTGTACGGGTTGCGGTGCCGGATCCGGGCGATGGCCTGAAGAAGCGGGGGGGGGAGTTGCCGTACAAGAGAGGTGTCGTACAAGACAGGTGCTGTACGATGCTCGATATGTGGGGTGGTGGGGTGCAGTGCGTCACGGTTTCGGAAAAGGAACGGTGTCGTACACAACGGGATGCAACACAAGGCACTCGTCCACTTATGTCGTACACGCCCCTCCCCTCTCCCCCCTCCCCCCCTTCCCAGCCTCTCCTTACCTGCGGTTTCCCCTGGTTGTGCGCGGTGGGCTCGCTCATGTCGAACCCCACCAGGCGAGTGGGCTCGCCGCTCTCGTCGTCCCACTGCCAGTTCATTCGGTTGGCGAAGACGTTGGACTTGGGGATGCCCAGGTAGGAGGCGATGGGCAGGGTGAGTTCCCTGGGTGCCGGTGGGGGCGTGGGATGGGGTGAGTGGGTGGGACTGGGGGCGGGAGAGGAGGCGCGTGTGGTTGGATGCTAACTGGCCGTGTGTGTAGTTGAGCAGAAACAAGAGTAGGCAGTTGGGGAAGGTTCGCATGTGTGTTGAATTAAAACTGGCCGCGAGGCGAAACGTACTGTGATTGCCGAAAGATGAAGTCCGTGTGTGTTAAGAAAACTGGCCGCTTCTGGGACGGGAAGGCAATGTTCATGTGGGGTTATCCTGTCCGCTGTTCGGACTGTACCGGCAGTAATGGTGCGCAGGGGCATCAGGGGCTACACGTCGTCAATGAATGGAGTTGTCAAGCAGTCATGCAGCCCTGGTTTCGGAACTGCCAAAGGTAAGGAGCTGAAACCCCCTCCCCTCAATCTCTCCCTCCCTCCCCTCCCTCCCCCTCACCTGAAGCCCCCGCTGATGAGGTAGATGGCCACTCCTCGGGCTTGCAGCGCGGAGATGAGCTCCCGAATGCCCTGTGGCAGGACAGGGGGGCCAGCAGCAGCGGCAGGGAGGGCAGCAGCGGCAGCAGCAGCAGCAGCAGCGGGAAGGCGAGAGGCAGCAGTGGGAAGTTACGGGCAGCATGCAGGGCGGGATTGAAGGGAAAGGAACACACCGCGTGATGTGGCGGGATTGAAGGGAAAGGAACACACCGTGTGATGTGGCTCCCACCGGATACGGGCATCCCCCCATGCCCCCCCTGTCCCCCCTGTCCCCTGCCCCGCCCCCTGCCCCGCCCCCTGCCCCGCCCCTACCGGTGCCAGTCGCGACGCGGGCGGGTGCGCGGTGATGAACCTCTTGATGTCGGCTGGCGAGCAGGCGATGAGCGCGAGGCGCTCCTCCAGGGCCTGCTCCAGGGAGAGGGAACCGTCCATGGCCTGGCATGGGGGAAGGAGGGAGGAGAGGGAGCAGGGGGTAGGAGGAGGAGAGAAAAGGCGGGATACGAAGCGACTTATTACCTTTTTGACACCATGCTATGATTGCTATCCTCGCATACTAGCTAGTGTTTTGTTTGTCCGCACGCCCGCGCCGCACCTCCCTCGGTTGTCCTCCACCACCTCATCTCTCACCCGCCACGCCCGCCCTTCACGCACCTCGTCTCGTCTCGTCTCGTCTCCTCTCCCCTGCCCTGCCCTGAACTACCCCTCCCTTCCCTGCCCTGCCCCCCACCTACCCTGCTGGTCAGCGCCGCCACCTGCTCCTTCACTCCCATGAACTCAGCAAGCAGATCCAGCGAGTCGTTGAGCGTTATGGTGCCTGCAAGGAGGGAAGGGAAGGATTGGGGGAAAAGGGTAAGTCCAAACTTTGCTGCAAAGAGGGATGGAGAGGGACGACTACTCAGCAACAGGAAGGAGGTATTTAGCGGGGGGGGAGACACGAAAGGAAGGGGCGTCTGGGGTTAGGGATCATCGGGATGCTGTAGGGCGATGGAGGGGGCGCATAAGGCGCGGCACGTACAACATAGTGATAGTTGTTCTGGGGTTACGGGCGTGTTCGTTTAACGTGCTCCTGAAAGGGCCAAATTTGCATACCGGTACAGGTATATAACCTGACTTGTTAAGCCAACGATCGAAACACGCAATTTTAAGTTATAAAAGGATAACCGCATTGAGTGCGGTAAAGTGTGCCAGATTTAGGGTGGAACTCAGGAGAGGCATGCATGCAGCGGTTGACCACTCATGACGCAGCGGCGAGCAAGGGCCGGCGCATGGAATGGCAGTTGGAAGGCAGGCATGCTTATCCACATGTACTCAGCATTTCGTAAAATTCATGTTTGCATAAGCTTGGAATGGATGTTGCCGAAACACCTCCTTTGACGAGTCAATTCACATCACCCGGCACCTTACAATCGACATCAAAGCATACAGCGTCCACTTTTCGCCAAATGGATAGCACGCGGTCAGTAGGCGTCGTTCTGGGCATGTAGGCCTTGTTGCCATCGCCGTCCACCGTTGCCCTAGCCATGCAGGTGCGCAGTTTCCTTTCTGCTGCAGGCTGTCTTCGAAGCTGGTGCGCTGCCATGGCTGTTGCAGTCAGGGCTTTGGAGCTCCGAACAGCCGATGGAACAAGGATTGGCCTGAAAAGGCCACCCCCGGTGTTAGCGCGACGCTGACATTGCATTACAGGATACTGCGATCTGAGCAACATGTTTTAATGCCAACGTGTTGCGGAGTGAGTGTCCTCAAACTCTTCTGCGTCGCGGAAGTGCGCCAGTAGGAAAATCGCCAAGACTACCTAATCATGCTGCACTCACAAGCACTCGAAAAACGCAATGCATAACGCCGTGTCCATGGATCAACCACTACTCGCGCGCAACCCTTGTACGGCACTCGTCCACCGTTTGTCAGCTTCAACACAACTCATTGCTGGTCTTGTCTTGTTGCTAATGCACGGTACAATCAGCTGCTGGCTACTGTGCCGTAATCTTAACCAGCCGCAGCAACCATTCACACGCCGCTACGTCCCAGGCGCCAGAGCCCTCCAAGGCCCCCCGGTCCTATGACTCATGCCGTACCCTGTTGTGTGTGGCAGGAAACAAGTACACTGCCTACTAGGGTAAAGTAGCCTGGGGGTGTAGTAGCCTATTAGGGTGAGGGCATACTGCTCTCACCCTTTAGTGCTGGCCCAAGAGAGGCTGAGTGGGATGGCTTGGGGACCAGGAGTGCACGGCCAGCCAGCAGCTGAACAGGCACGTGCAATGTTAATAGGGTCCTTGTGCCCTCTGGCCCGACGAATATGCAGGCATCCAGGTGGGCCGGTAGCTGGTCGGTAGTGGTGAACTGGCGGCGTTGAGGGTTCTGGGCATGCAGCACTCAAAAACTGTTCCCTGTGCTCAGAGGGTGTTTCTCAACACCATCACCTTGGATGAAACTGAACTCCACATACGACATACCGGTACATCACGCAAGGGCATTACAATATCTGGACCGTGTGTCCGTTTACATAACGTCCTCAACCGCACCTGCGCTTTGGCCCCTGCCCCAGTGGCTGAAGAAAGCTGCCGACTGGAGTTTGGAGGCCTTGCTTGCATGCAGACTCTGCCTATCCCCATGCCGCTGCGGTGCCTGCCCCAGCCTTTGCCTCTGCTTCTTCAATGTATGCGCTGGCTGTTATCCCTTCCCTTGCAGTCACTGCAGCTTTCTGTGCTGCTATTGCTGTGGTACATGCAACGGCTCCTGTTTCTCTGGCGTGTGCTCGGCTGATGCCTCTGCCTCAGTCAACCTGTGTTGACTTCGTGGGGGCTGAAGGGTAGGGCAAGCAAGAGGCGTGTGCGGCAGGGTGGGTCCGGAATCGTGGTTTGAGGTAAGCGCGTATTCAGGAAGTACTCTTCAAGACAAGGATGAGGGTATTGCTTCCAGGCAAAGATTTGGTGGGGTGATAATGCTGCATGCGGCAGAACGTGCGGGTATCAACGGGGCTCCAGGATGGACCTAGGACGGTGCGGGAGTACACAACCTTTGTCGCCAAAGCGCTTCACTTCTAGATGGAATAAGAGTATTAATCTGTAAATGCTGCAGTACAAAGTGGATAGTTGATTGGCGTTAAGCACGCTTATCGGTTCTGCTGCTGGTGTCGATTACCTAAAGTCAAATGCGATACTTAGCTCAAATGAGCCTGCATTCGGGAACCATTACATAATCAGAAGTCATAGCCTTAAAGCTGTTTATGGCAAGCCTTACAGCACAGCACGCAGGCAGAATGACACATGCGGTCTCTGTACGACCTCAGACTCCATTGCCTAATACAATGTTGCACAGGGTTCGGTTTGTGGTTATGTTACCTTGCGCGTCAACGCAACTTTGCTAGTTACTAGGGGTGTTTCTATGGGCGCGGTCCGAAACCAAACCTAGGCCAACCTAAGTCGTACGCTACGGTTAGGTGCTGGTTTTAGCTGGTATTGTTTCGACACCGCTCATGACCATCCACGCAGCACTATCGGGGGCTAGCAACCTATCAGCTGACGATGTAAAGGCAGTTGCTGATGCTATGTCTGCGTGGGCAGGTTGGGTTACCCTGCGCAGCGCTGCTGCTGCAGCAGGTGAAGCCCGCTCTGATGCAGCAGCTGCGGGGCCAAGTGGTCAGGGAGCGGGCGCAGCAGGGGCTAATGTGGCGCACGGCACAGCACAGCAGCAGGGTCCAGCCGCTGTGCAAGGTCGTCAGACTCAGGAGGTGAATGACTTAGCCTGATGCCTTTACATCTTTCGTGGCTGGCGAATTACCGATAGCCAGGGATCAAGAGCCGTAGCAATTGAATAACATCGCATCCACTGCTGCCATCGCCCTTCACTTTCGCACAACCAACAAGACTTTTCCGCCTGTGGCACAAACCATAAAGAGCGTTATCAAGTTAGAACTAAAGTAGATAAACGAATTAAGCTTGCTAGCAATATTCTGTAGGATGACACTGCATTGCACAGAAGTCCCTGACGCTTACATTTAAATGGAAAATTGAATTCCTAGAGTAAAAGGGTGATATCAATAACTTAATTTGAGTTAAAAGATGGAGAATGGACGCGGTCATGAAGCACAGCACGCTCCCACGCTGCCAGGAGGCCCTGTACGACCTCAGACTCCCGACGGGGGTAGGGGCGCTGTACCGAATAGTCCACAAGAGGTCATCGGATTTTCACTGTTGGCTTCAGGAAGATAAAAGGTATCCATACGCGTTGAGAAACGCGTTTTGGTATGTACACATTTTATGCTCTTCACATAGCCCAACAGATAGAGAACAAGCATTTGGTAGGTGCTTGCGTTCTGGTTTGGTCGCGGTGTTCATCGCTTGGCCGGCCGGGAGGCCCAACAGATATTTAAGTTATTTCGCACGCGTACGCCTCACATTTGCTTTTAATCGTTAGTGCTGCATACATAATTTATTTTGCAAAACGTTGTGACCGTTGGCGTGGAGGTCGGGGAGGGCTCACAGACCCTCCGTCCATACTGGTAGGCTCCTAACAGGGTGTTTATAAGTGACCAAATCTATGTACTTCAGGAACCACGGTGAAACCAGTCTTATGTTCATAACATAATCATTTATCCTTACAGGATAGGGTAATCACTGTTTATTAAGCCAAGGTTTTTGGAAAAAAGGGGTTCTCGCGAGAAGTTGATGCAGCGGTGGATTTCCGTTTGCGACCCTGATGGTTAGGAAAGGGTATAATTCATATTACTTCGGGCACCAGAACAACCCATACCACGTGAACGGGGACAACAGGACAAGTTGCGTGACAGCCATGTGGGGATGCATGTAGGAACATGAACCGCTCCACTGCGTTACGCTGCCCGGAGCAATTTGTTAGTGGTTTATAATTGTATTTTCGCTAGTGTTTGTTTTGCGTGTAAGTATGGGTGTCGTATGTTGTCGTATTGCTGCGTTGTTTGGTGAAGTCCTGTTTCCTTTGCGTGCGTTTTTATTGTTGCGTTGGCTGGCTTGGCGGTCGTGGCCTTGTTCAACATCTACCTCCCGGGTGCCTGTGTACTCTTCTTCCTCCAGTTTGGCAATTGCTTGCTGCTGTTGGCAGAGGTGTGCAGCCCGTGCATCTTTAGCATCTTCCTCTTCTGCATCCTCTGCTTCAGCCGGAACTCCATGGTTGTTTTGCTGGGCCCACTGGGTTGTCCGCTGGCCTTGTGCCCGTGGTGGAGACCATGGCGGAGGTGTCCAGGCCTCCCCTACTGCCAACGGGCGCGTCAACCACGTGGAACCTTTTCTGTCCACCAAATATCGGCGCGATGCAGCTGGAAGAGTGGGTGCACTGCTGTCCAGGGCCGCAGGGGGTACCGACCTGGTGGCCTGCAGCATCCACACGCCGTGCACACCGCCGTGGGTGCATGCCGCCGGAACGCTGCTTGTAGCCCTAGTGCTAGCTGAAGAAATGCTGTGAAGCCCTCTGCCCCTACTGGGACTGCCCGTTTGTCTGCAGCTGCACCACCTGGCCAGAACCTGCTCTGCTGGTGTATCTGGCTCCACACTGTTCTGGCCAAGTGTTAGGTACATGTGTTTCATCATCAGGCCCACAAAACTACGGGCAGGAGGTACTCCTGCTACCTGGTCTGCTGCTTGCTTTGCTGCACGGCTTGCCTGCGAGCTGTTGCGTGTGCTGCAGCATTTTGTTGGCGTCCTGTGGTGGCCTCCGTGCCGGTCTGTGCCTGCCGGGCTGCGTGTCGCCGTTCTGTTTCTGCCTGTAGTGCGGCTACTCCTTGCTTGCTGCAGTAACCTCGTCCGCCGGTGTGCTCTCAGCCGCTCCACCTCCCGTTGCCGAAAGGCTTCTGCCTGCGACCAGAGCCCACATGATGTACATGACTGTGTCTGCGGGTGCGGGTGTTGGGTTTGATGCTGCTGCCTGTTGCTGCAGGCCCCGGTGGCCCCGGCCTTGCTGCACGACACTTTTCTCGTCCTCCTCTGCTTCCTGGGTGTCTGAGGGCTCCTCCTCATCCATGCCCCCTACTGCGGCGTCCACTTCTGCGTTGGCTTGCTGCACTTCACGGCAGCGCACAGCCAGAACATCCCAGCCTCCTTCGTCGCCATCCCCCATGTCCACTGCTTCTTTACACGCGCCCTGGTTGTCCTGATGTGCACCCTGGCCAGGTTGTTGGCCTTTTGCTTGTGGAGGCGGCCATGGCGGAGGCGTGTTGGCCTCCCCTTCTGCCACAGGGCGCGTCCAGAACGTGTGTCACTCACGCGAGACCTCCTCTGTCCATCCAATGTCGGCACGCACAACTTGGAACAGTGGGCGCACTGCTGCCCAGGGCCGCAAGGGGCAAGATCTGGTGGCCTGCAGTATCCATCCGTGCACACCGCCGTGGGTGCATGCCGCCTGAACGCTGCTTGTAGCCCTAGTGCTTGCTGCAGAACTGTTTTGAAGACCCCTGCCCCTACTGCGACTGCCCGTTCGTCTGCTGCTGCACCACCTGGCCCGCATAGAACCTGCTCTGCTGGTGTATCCGGCCCCACACCATGTTGGTCTGGTGTTAGGAACATGAGCTCCAACACCTGGCGCACTGTACTGCCCGCTGGTGGGAGTCCAAATGTCTCCTCAGCGGCTTGTTCCGCTTCATCTGCTTCTGCACGGGCTGCAGCTGCGTTGTCTTGCCCTTCCCTACCTGCTTGGTCTTGGGTTTGGGCCCCCCTTGGTGCTTGTCGCATTGCGTTCTTTTGCTGCCTTGTCGCTGCACCAGAACTTTGGCACATAAGTGGATACCGGTATCAGCTGCACCTCTGCAACGGTTAACGTTACCGTATATATCAGCCCCTGGGTAAATGTGGGCTATTGCACATTCAGGCACCTGTTGGCCTGGGGGGGGGGGGGAGGCATGTGAGGGGCATGGTGTGCATGTTGGTTTGCAGGCCTAACCATAGCCATTTTGACTGTCTCCCTTTAGACCCGCGGCCCCAAACATAATAAGCACCTTCCTTTTTATTTCCGCTGCAGTGCTTCATGGGAGCTATCATAGAGGTGTACAGCTTCTGGTTGTCCATCCGCCCCTAGCCACAGGTTTTGATTTTCTACATGCTGTGCACCCAATGTCCGCATGTAGTGTCGAGTGTGTCTTGGGGTGCGTGCCTTGCTGGTGTGAGTGCTAGTTCCTGCCTTGCTGGAGCTGCCTGCTGCTGCAGTCTGTGGCCAAGCTCCTGCTGTACGACGTCATGCTAATCCTCCTCTGCTTCCTGGGTGCCCAAGTACTCTTCCTCCTCCATGCTCCCTGATGCTGCCTCCACTTTGGCAATCCTTGCTGCTTCTGCACGGGCTGCAGCTGCGTTGTCTTTCCCTTCCCTACCTGCTTGGTCTTGGGTTTGGGCCCCCCTTGCTGCTTGTCGCCTTGCGTTCTCACGCTGCCTTATCGCTGCACGTTGCTCGACCTCCATGCTCGCACCCTCGCTGTTGCTCTACGCCGCCGCTCCACTTCTGGGTCATAGTCTTCACTATGACCCAGAACTTCGGCCATTGGTTTGCTGTCCGTTCCTGTTGACGACGCCCACCTGCCTTGATTGGTTTGTGTTTATCCCGCTGTCGTTTTTTCGCTTGTTTTTCATTTCTCTGTGTTCCCGTTTCCCGTGTGGATTGGTGGTCGCGGACCTGTTTTCTTAACGTTTTGTAGTTTCCCTGTTGCTTCTTTTGTTCTATGTGTTTTGTTGTTGGCGTTGTTGTTGTTGGCGTTGTTTGGGAGATTGGGAGTGCTCTGCTGGTGTTTCTGGCCCCACCCCATGTTGGTTCGGTGTTAGGGATGAGTCTCCAGCACCTGGCGCACCATACTGCCCGCTGGTGGGAGTCCGAATGCGGCCCCCGCTTCCTCAGCCGCTGCCCTTGCTGCTTGCCGCCTTGCGTTTTCACGCTGTCTTATAGCTGCACGTTGCTCGGGGCTACGTGCTGCCCTCCATGCTCGCACCCTTGCTGTTGCTCTACGCCGCCGCTGCGCTTCTGGGTCATAGTCGTCGGAACTGTCGGCCATTGCAATCTGCGGCCCGTTGCTGTTCGCAACGCCCTCCTGCCTTGCTTGACTTATGTGTGTTTCGGTGGCATGGTATTGGTTGTTACTGTTGTTTTCGCTTTGTCCTTATGTGTCAATGTTGGGACACGAAGATGTTTTTTCCTACTATGCGGTTCCCTTCTTGCGTTGCGTCTTCCTTATTGTGTTATTTTGTTGTGCTTGTTGCTGCTGTTGTATATGTTGCGTAGGCTTTTGGGTGTCTTTTGTACGGCATATTTTGGAAGCCTTCAGTGCGGTCTGGAAAGGCTTTTGCGTCCGTTTGCGCTGTGCTGGATACCGTGTGTTGTCTGCTTTCCACTCCGGCCATTTGCGAGGCGTTTGGAGACAATTTTTTGTTACACTCAGGGTGGGGTGGCTAATCCCTTTGCAATCCGTAGGATTGCTCCGGGAACTAGGAAGCACATGGACGGAAAAGCCTAGCTTCTGCCCTAAGTTACCTTCGCAGAGTATGGATGACCCCTGCAAGGGCCTGGGTTGCCAGTGGACAAAGCTGCTGCTATCAGGGGCCCGTTGGACCTTACAATTTAAGGAAGCGCAAGGCACATATCGCTTGTGAGGACCATGCTGGGGGTGTGGTGGAAGATAACTATAGGTTAGATGATCCTAGACCGGCTCTGTTGCAAGGGGTGATAGTGGAGCTGGTTGGTCCTCCAGTGTAATCCTCGCTTCCTAATTGGAGACTCCTCTCCGTGAGATAAGGCACCCATAACAAGACACGCAAGTGTGCCATACATGTGGCAAATGACGGGAAGTACGGTGCTTGCTTTTATAGTTGCTGCGACCTAAGCAAAATAGCGTTTACCGCCTGCGCGAGCTGCGTTATGCGTGGCGGGCGACGCCATATGACAGACAACAAAACCCCGTTACATCTTTACTGCATGATGTAGTAAATGCACAGCGCGCTTGTATTGAGCGTCGAGGAAGGCATAACGCATATATAGCTCCAGGAAGGTGCATCTCAGTTGAATATGAATGAATTTGCATCCCTTTGCATCAACGCAGCCGTTGTTATGTTTGCCATTAACAACAAAGAACTACCCTGGTTTGGGGTCATTCATTCACTGTAAATGGCGCTGGTGTTGCCTTTCCTTCTTCTTTCCCTCCCTATACTCGTGGTGCCCTACACGCCCTTTTATAGAGGAACCAAGTGCCTCTCCTACTATACTGAGCCGCAATGCCCAGTAAGGGGAGTATGCGATCCCCACGACCACTGTGTCCTGTGGGGCACCGGCTCTTTTAACTGGGAATTCGAGGACCGCTTCCACCACTATGACTACATGAACTATTACGCCCCACCGACATTGCCGCCTGACGTTATTTATGCAAACCGAACTCGTTACGTGATACACCCATACGCTCCGCCGAACACACGGATGTGCCGCGACATAGACGTGCCCGGATTTTGGTGGGGCGGGCAGTGGCATTTCGGCAATGAGACGTCTCAAGCTTTGGACCCGCAATGTGTATTTCAACGCTTAAAGCGGAGAGACATCATTGAGTGCCTTCACGGAAAAAAGGTGGGGTGAACCATCCGCTATGCTTATAGAGTGAAACATATCTAAATTATGTCTGGCATTGCTAAGCTTTTTATGGCTTCTTCCGCAGGTCTTGTTCATGGGCGACAGGTATGTCCCTGCAGTGTCAGCCTTGAAAGCTGGGCGGTTAACGTATGCCCTTTAATAACATGTTTGCAGCTTGGTCCGGCAAGTATTCCTGCGGCTCGTCTTTTATCTTCGGGGATATGAGAGCGTCATGGAGCACTACTTCCACATGGACGCCGCTTACACCTATTTTAATGACGCTTCCGATAGCCTCCTTGTGGATAAGAACGCAATTAGTGTTTACGGCAGGCCATTGAACCCTAACGAGGTTTTTACCGTTGGCTTCGCCTGGTACCGAGAGCCAGATGACTACGTCAAGGTATTAAACACCAGCTCTCCTGACTACGCTATCTTCGGTGGCTTGTTCACGCCCACGAAGGGCGATGACTGCGGGTCCATAACCCGGAGCGCCGTGGAGCGCATGGTGCAATTTGGCAGTGCAACGGGAAAGCCCTCGCGTCTCCTTTTGCAAATGCCGCATACTGGAGTTCACTCTTCAGCCTTACTTGACGGCTATGCATCGCGTGCCCGAGCTCTGGTCGGAAAGCTCCGAGGTGCAAACCTCCCCACGCGCATTGACATCGTTCCAGTGGATGTCATGTCTGTGAAGTCAACCTTCCTCCGCAACGAGCTCGAGTTCCGCAGTGGGTGGCCCACGGGGTTGCACTACCAGTGCAGCTTTCTTGGGGAATACCCCGTCCCTATTCACGCCTTCAAGACTCCTCCAGACTATGACTGCCGTGACCTGATGAACTTTAACACCCTCATGCTCATGCTCAATTCGCTGTGTGCGAAATAGCGGCCTTATCGTCATTTGTGAAAGCACCGGCATGCCAGGGAAGCTTTCGCAGAAAGATCCCGTTGTAGCTCACTACTGGGGATACTGTCGTACTGTGTTGTATGGCCGTACTCAGCTAAGTGCTGTACAGTGTTGGTAACTATCATCTTGGACTGCCGGTGTGGTGGTCGCAGCTACGTTTTGCAGTGGCGCATGACAGCGGATGTGGTTATGCCATGCCTCAGCTTTAGAGTCCCCTTTCATGGCATGTCGTTTTTACCAATGTAAGCTAGGGTGCTGTGTATGCATGTACACCCGCTATTGGCTGTTTGGGATGCTGTGGTTGTGTGGCAAGTTTGCTTGGGCCGATAACCGGTAATTATGGCTTGCTTGTGGGCTAAATCGGCAGGTTCTGCTTGGCCCAGTCATGCATACGTCTGCTGAACATCCCAGGCAGCCCCAGGCAGCTGCTGGGCAACGCACGCACTCATCGGGGTTGCTCAATCATGATCAGGCTATTGGGACGTTTTCCCTTTTTTTCGTGCGTGAGGGGAGAAGTAGACGTGTGATGTGCAAAATTGCCGCATACATGAACAATTTATGGGATATGTGCTAAGCGTTCAGCGGATAGTGAAAAGGAGAATAGCATTAACGCTATGGTGCAGATTTGGGTGTTTCCTTGGGAGTGTCAATTCAACCGCAGCCAACTATGTCATGATGTGATTTGTCCTGCCGTACACGAACAGTAGCAGGGATCTCTCTCTTGCTGGGGTGTTTTCTTCTGTACATGCATTCTTCTGTAAGCATTACTTCCTGTGCCTTAGTAGGTAGGCGTAGGTAACTGTGCTTAGTCAATAGCATCATGGGGAACACGCTGTTCACGTTTGAACATCACGCACGGTGTTCTCTTATGCTGTGCGGCTTTTCGTCTAAAAGGGTTCGAATGGTTGCATGCTCGTTGCAACCATGGTTGCAGCTTATTTGTAACTGGTGTTGGAACAGGAAAATGACAGCGGTGTGGGGCTCATGGCCTCCTTTGTTCACGTGGTAGGAAGGCTATCTGACTCAGCAGCCTTGCTCTCTAAACTCTCTTCCCGTAGTTTAAAAGGCCAGCCCAGGGGGGGGGTAGGAAACGCGCGAGGACAGACCCCATAATTCAAAGTTAAAGAGCTTATCGAGAGCATTCCAAATCTGCTTTCAGAATTTTAATTGGAGTTGTACGGAAAATGTTATCTGCGCCTAAAGGTGACTGTACGGCAGGGTGGGTGGGTGGGGTCTGGGGGTCCAGTGGGTTTTTTCCGAGGGCTTCCTCACTTTTTCCTGTCGATGCCAAACTCACTATGAAGTAAATTTATACGATAAACATGCTGTAAGCAGTCTACAAACGCATTTTTGCCTCTTGGTTTGGGCATGGCATGATGACATACCACGCATGGGTGGTCAGAGAGATACCAAAACACGTATGGGTCGGTGGGGGGCAGGCAGGGTGCGGGTCCGGGTGCCTCCACTTAGGGGGAAATCACCCGCAGGTGGTCTGCCCAGCCAAGCAGAAGGGGGCCGGGAAGTTAAACCATGTGACACGGCTCCCCTACCTATGTGCTGCATCTCTGGGGTGGGGTTGAGGGGAGTAGAACGGGGCAGGTCTCTCGGCAGCAGTTGCGTCACCTTTGCCAGCCGCTGCACGTTGTCTGAGACCTGCTAATCCGTGCTGGTAATTGCTGGTCTTGACGCAGTAGCGCGTGTGTATGAGGCTAGTGTACAACGGTGCACCCGTTGCTGTCTATAGGGTTGGATGGCGTGACCATACATGGCATGGCGCGACCATGGCATGACTTAGTAGGCGCAAAAGCTCAACAAGTTGTATATACAGAAAGAGGACACTGAAAGGAATCCATTGGTCTTTTTTGTGTCTTTTTTGGCGTACGGCAACACGAGAAATTAGCGTTTGAAGTTCTGTAGGGTGGGTGGGTGGGTCCGGGAGGGGTCGCCACCAAAAATTCATCATGGGATTTACCAAAAAGAATGTACCCCCCCTGGCCAGCCCAACCAAAAACCGCCACGAACCCTGCGTTGGCCTGAGACCCAGTAACCCTTACATAAGCTACCTTACCGAAGCCACACCAGGCACCAGTTAAGGGTAACTTTTGCACATCCATCTCGATATCAAGCTATAGTTTAGACGTACTGGCGCAGCAGCGCATTAGTGCAGGCCAGGGGGCCCAGGAGCTAGTACACTGTTGCAAGGGACTCTCAAATGGCTGCTGGCCGTCGCTTCGACGTGAGCTGGGCCCGACCTCCCTCTCCTACCACACATAGGAATTACTGTTTTGCCTCCCTCTCTTAATCTGCCTAGTGTGATCGCATGCCCGGGGTTAAACAATAACAAGAGGAAAAGCGCTTGATGTCCTGAGGGTTTTCCTCTTCTTACACTAACCACCACATTAATTTGATTACGCCGGGCTTGCCATGGCGTGGTTTAAAGGGGGCGGGTGAGGATCGACGGGTTTCCCCTCCCTTGTACACCCTCCATCACCGTGATGACCGCGGGTAGTGTTTGTAGGTGGGCATTAGCCTCCTGGGTCTTCTGGGGGGAGGCCTCGTACCATCCGCCTCCGTTGCCTCACCACTATGGCGTTGAAGAAGCTGACTGCATTGTCATGCATGTAGCTCATCGCAACATGTATGCGCGTGCGGCATGCGTGTTGACACCCACGGCGAGTAGAAGTGGGTTCAAGTCCTTGCGAATTGTTCCACCGAATCCTAGGCTGATCGCTCTTGTTGGTTGTGCTGTACTTTCCACCCTGCTCGTGGAAATCGGCTAGTCGTTTGTATTGTGCTTTTCTCGTATGTTTCGTTTTGCCTGGTGATTGGTGTCTGCGGCGTAGCCCTAAATAGCTATAAATACTATGCTTGTACCCTCCTGGTTTTTGCGAAGGTAAAATGAGCTTTTACCCTGGGCTCGCTCCAGCAGCCCTTCCCGGCTGACCCATCGGTGTCCAGGGAACTCACCGCAACCCATATATATCGCTTCAACCGCCGCCCATACCCTTATCTCTGGCCCCGGCCCCACCAAGCAGAAGCCCAAAATGTGGGGGTCCGGTACCCCGCCCTGTTGCCCCTCCTGCCCCCACGGCTCTTGCCCCTGCCCCAGAACAGCAGCTGGGAAGCAGCGGAGACAGCAGCAACAGCAACCGAAGCTGTAACCGGTTATGGAAGTGACGAGGTAGCGCTGCTAGTAGAGTACGACTACTGGAATAGTTACATGGGCCCTTTTATTACGGGTACGACGTGTTGTACGAAACATCACCATGATAGTAGTGAGGGCGACATTGCCGTACATGAGGAGAACGTATTGCAGGCACGGAGTTAAACGTATCTGCTCTCACTCGAACGTTTGTTGACAGAATGGATGCCGATTGGGAGGATAGGAGTTTGGAAGTTGACCCGCGGCTTTTCAACACAGTAGACCCCGTACCAGGGGTTGGAGTTAAGATGTGCCGGTACAAAAATTGGATGGGTGGTCCGGTTGACAGGGGTACATTACTCAGCGGCAGCATGTGAACTTGATGTGTTTTCGGCTGTGTGCGCGTGGGGCATTGAAGCCAATCGCCCAAGGGGTAGGCAGCGAGTAGCGCGTGTTTGTCCTATGTGTGCTGTGCAAGGGTCGCATGGGAGAGTGGAGGATGAGAAACACATCCTCATTGAATGTCCCGCGTACAATGATTTGCGAGAAAAGATATGGGAAAGCGGTGTCTCACGGGATGCTGATATTATTTTGTCTTGGGCATGTCGTACGTAGGATTGCGCAGACAGGGCTTATCATCTGAGTAGCGTACTTTTTTCGGTTCTTAAGTTTTCTTTTTCCTTTTGTTGTTATTCGCGTTTGTGCTCGCGATTCATGAGCCTTCTGGCTCGGACGGATCTTTCGAGCTCGGTACCCCCTGCTCCCCTGCATCCCCTAGCTACCCCTGCATTCGCTGCTGCTCCATGTTCCTGTGGTGCAAGCATCGGCTCCTGCTTCTCTGGTGTGTGCTGGGCTGATTTGCCTCGCTGGTGCCTGCCCCTCCCACTGCGATTTGTGCTCGATATCCTCGTGGCTGATGCCTCCGCGGCTGCCCGTGTGCCTGCTGTTGCTGTCCACAGGGTGAATTGTGAAAACATCAGCCTAAACCACACAGCAACGACGGGGCGTTACCGGGTATACTCATGCAGCGCAGAAAACAATGGGCATGGTTGTTGTCTGCAATTTGTCATGAGTAGTGGCAGCTGTGCTGTTACGTAAGGGTAGGGCAAGAGGCGTGTGAGACAGAGGGGGTCCGGAATCGTGGTTTGCGGTAAGCACGCATTCAGGAAGTGCTCTTCAAGACAGGGGCGAGGGTGCTGTTCCCGTTCGGAAACCCGAAGGTGCGGGTATCGACTTTGAGAGGGCTCAAGGGTAGGGCAAGTGGGTTGTGCGAAGGAGTTCACCAACTTTGTCAGAACGCTCAGCTATAAGAATGCAACAAAACAATATCTGTACAGTATTATACTTCTTAAGTTCACTGTATAAAACGTTGGCGTTAACCAATCCTAGAGCAAACGGTTCTGCTGGATGGATACCAGAGGGCAAACGCAACATTTAGCTTGAGTGGAAAACAGATTTTATCGTTAAGGTCACAACCTTACTTAAATATGTTTCATAGCATGCTTTCGAGCACAGCACGCTCTATGGGGCCCTGTACGACCTCAGACTCCCGTCGGGGGTACGAGCACTTTTGTGTCCTTTTGTGTCCACGGACCGGTCGTTATGTTTGCCATTAACAACAAAAAACTACCCTGGTTTGGGGTCATTCATTCACTGTAAATGGCGCTGGTGTTGCCTTTCCTTCTGCTTTCCCTCCCTATACTCGTGGAGCCCTACACGCCCTTTTATAAAGGAACCAAGTGCCTATCCTACTATACTGAGCCGCAATGCCCAGTAAGGGGAGTATGCGATCCCCACGACCACTGTGTCCTGTGGGGCAGCGGCTCTTTCAATTGGGAATTTGAGGACCGCTTCCACCACTATGACTACATGAACTATTACGCCCCACCAACACTGCTGCCTAACGTTATGTTGGCGAACCGAACTCGTTACGTGGTACACCCATACGCTCCGCCGAACACACGGATGTGCCGCGACATAGACGTGCCCGGATTTTGGTGGGGCGGTCAGTGGCATTTCGGCAATGAGACGTCTCAAGCTTTGGACCCGCAATGTGTATTTCAACGCTTGAAGCGGAGAGACATCATTGAGTGCCTTCACGGAAAAAAGGTGGGGTGAACCATCAGCTATGCTTATGGAGTGAAACATATCTAAATTATGTCTGGCATTGCTAAGCTTTTTATGGCTTCTTCCGCAGGTCTTGTTCATGGGCGACAGGTATGTCCCTGCAGTTGCAGCCTTGAAAGCTGGGCGGTTAACGTATGCCCTTTAATAACATGTTTGCAGCTTGGTCCGGCAAGTATTCCTGCGGCTCGTCTTTTATCTTCGGGGATATGAGAGCGTCATGGAGCACTACTTCCACATGGACGCCGCTTACACCTATTTTAATGACGCTTCCGATAGCCTCCTTGTGGATAAGAACGCAATTAGTGTTTACGGCAGGCCATTGAACCCTAACGAGGTTTTTACCGTTGGCTTCGCCTGGTACCGAGAGCCAGATGACTACGTCAAGGTATTAAACACCAGCTCTCCTGACTACGCTATCTTCGGTGGCTTGTTCACGCCCACGAAGGGCGATGACTGCGGGTCCATAACCCGGAGCGCCGTGGAGCGCATGGTGCAATTTGGCAGTGCAACGGGAAAGCCCTCGCGTCTCCTTTTGCAAATGCCGCATACTGGAGTTCACTCTTCAGCCTTACTTGACGGCTATGCATCGCGTGCCCGAGCTCTGGTCGGAAAGCTCCGAGGTGCAAACCTCCCCACGCGCATTGACATCGTTCCAGTTGATGTCATGTCTGTGAAGTCAACCTTCCTCCGCAACGAGCTCGAGTTCCGCAGTGGGTGGCCCACGGGGTTGCACTACCAGTGCAGCTTTCTTGGGGAATACCCCGTCCCTATTCACGCCTTCAAGACTCCTCCAGACTATGACTGCCGTGACCTGATGAACTTTAACACCCTCATGCTCATGCTCAATTCGCTGTGTGCGAAATAGCGGCCCCATCGTCATTTGTGAAAGCACCGGCATGCCAGGGAAGCTTTCGCAGGAAGATCCCGTTGTAGCTCACTGCTGGGGATACTGTCGTACTGTGTTGTATGGCCGTACTCAGCTAAGTGCCGTACAGTGTTGGTAACTATCATCGTGGACTGCCGGTGTGGTGGTCGCAGCTACACTTTGCAGTGGCGCATGACAGCGGATGTGGTTATGCCATGCCTCAGCTTTAGAGTCCCCTTTCATGGCATGTCGTTTTTACCAATGTAAGCTAGGGTGCTGTGTATGCATGTACACCCGCAGTTGGCTGTTTGGGATGCTGTGGTTGTGTGGCAAGTTTGCTTGGGCCGATAACCCGTAATTATGGCTTGCTTGTGGGCTAAATCGGCAGGTTCTGCTTGGCCCAGTCATGCATACGTCTGCTGAACATCCTGCTGCTGGCTGGTTGAGGTGCCAGCCGATGCCCCAGGCAGCTGCTGGGCAACGCACGCACTCATCGGGGTTGCTCAATCATGATCAGGCTTTTATTACTTCTTTCTTACTTCAGCTCGTGAGATAGAGATAGAGGAGAAGTATGCGTATGATTTATTGCCATGTGTCCTAATGGGAGGTGGGTGCTTGTGTTTTTGTTATATTGGTGGGCAATTTGTTCGTTACAAGTAGAAGGAAGAAGGCGATGGCGGAAATTCTGTCATACACAAGTAGTTTCTGGCATCACTCTTGCTGGGCGGGGTATGCACTCCTGGACTCACGTGCTTAGTGGCAAACATGATCTTCCGTAGTTAGTTTGGTGTTGCTGTGCATAACCATTAACCACATAGTTGAGGAGACGTCATTCATGCATTTCGGTGAACATGTTCGATTCTTAGCCTGTGTGTTGACCCGCCGTATGTTTCTGAACCCATCAGCTTCACGGACATGGAGGTTCGCCCCCACCCGTTCTTCCTACCGTGGCGGGCGGACTGTTTTTGTTTCATTGTTTCAGACTATTGCAATGAAGTTGCGGGTACAAGCAAGCATGTGCATGGCCATGGTTGATGGTTGTGTTACCGTTACTGTAGGCGTAATGAGCCTAAACTTCTGGTGTAATGAGGAATAGGGGCACCAGGGGGCCGGGAAGTAAGTATTGCACGCAGTAATGACATGCACGATTTGCTCCGACAGCTAGTCTTCCAAGGCAGGCTATCCAGCCTCCACTTCGTCATTCAATTGGATCAACCCTGCCTCTACACTTAGTAACGGTCATTCATTCACTTCGTGGGTAAACGAAACAGAGTATGTAGTGTGTGGAGAGCCAAACTCTGCAGACCATTCACTAGCCCCCGTCCCATTCCTGGGTTGCCAGTCTGGCCTTGCCTTTCCGTTGCAAAGCATGATATGGCAAGGCGAGGAAAAAACAGAGGCGCACAACTGAGGGCTGAAATGCACGTTCTAAAAAAGCGTCGCCTCGTAGACAGCTAGGAGGGTTCTGGCTGCACGTATGGAAGCCGTTTCAATCGATACAACAACCACCAGCAGTGCTTTTAATACCCTCAGATTGCGCTCATAGATGTGCCAAGTTGGATACTAAGCGTGCAAGTCTGGAGTCGGAAAGGCCCTCCGCCACAAAATGCTGCTGTCCCCGAGATACCGGTAAGTCCAACATCTAAAATGACATATTATCCAGTCTGTTTCCCAAACCCAGCCAGGCAACGGTAGGCGTATACCGTATTGCCCAAAATTTAATGGACAAAAATAAAATGTTTTGGGTTTTGTCAAATGGGGCAAAAAAATGTTTTGCCATGTCAAATGGGGCTGGAAATTCGCTGGCAAGGTGTCAAATGGGGGCAAAATATTCTGTCTGGGGTGACTCCAGGGTAACTAAGATGGTAACGGAGAGGTAGGGGGCAACTGACTTGCCAGTGCGCTGGATCCTCACCGCGCCATGCCCAGTCGGGGTTTCCAAGTGGTGTTCCACTTATCCTCCTAGGGCTGCACAGCTAGCGGCATACAGCTGAACAGCTCCTTTCCTTACCATGTTACATCCAAGACTTACGGCGGCCTTTGGGGCGTTTTGGCGCATGTCAAATGGGGCTAGAAATTCACCATCAGGAAGTCAAATGGGGCAAAAAATTATTATCGCTTTGTCAAATGGGGCTGGAAAATAGGCCTCCAAACGCATGCCCATTAAATTTTGGGCAATGCGGTATACGCACCCCTCAAAGAAGGACACCGGCCGTGTACGTCCCGTGAGCCATGGGTGGGATTTGCCTGAGCGCAAGGCAGCTTTCTCTTACCAACCCGCCTCCCAAAACACGCAAGTGTGCTCCAAAATCCCAGAGTAACCGTACCTGTGTTTTTGAAGCACACCAGTGAGTCTGCTGGCGCTCCCAACCTCGCACGATGAGGACGAGTCAACCGTCCCAGGACCCAACACATGTATGCTAACAGCAAGGTATGCATGTACCACGTACGCAACGCTAGAGTACAATCCGTATGCGCGACAGGAAGTACAGTCCTCCTTTTACTTCCAGTTCCAAAACTTCGCCTGCTTCTAGCTCCTCCTATATACATAGTGTCCATACTCCTCCTCCAAGTACCAGTAACCCATCCAGATGCAATCATCTACTGCGATGCATTCCGCAGAATGTCCTAGACCCCATCATGCTCCCTACAAGTACCCCTGACCTGCACACCTACACCCGCACCCACCCAACAAGAACCCTGCAAAATACCCAACCAATGGAAGTGCCATGCATCAAACACTCTTGTCAAGGAGCTATGCACACAAGTCATAACTCGTCACACGGCAATGTCACGCCGGCACTGCTCGTTCGTGACACACAAGCATGCAGCTGCATCTTAAACTCCCCGCACGTTCATGCCTCCCTAGGTCTCCCTAGCTGTAAACAACATGCACAATTAGTGTATGCGTGTACGATAAAATGGCGGGCGACGGCAAACACACTTAGGTCCGCCGCTTGGATTTGCCTCGATGACCCTCCTGTAAAGTAGCCCGCCGCCGACGGCGACCCAGGTGCTGTTTTATGTCAATGTTTAGCTTTTCCTTCTCCTGCACCAGCGGCCAGACCGATTCGTCGATAAATTCCTGCATGTCACTAAACAGCTCTTTATACTGCTCCAGAGCTCGACGAAAGTAAAGCGCGATTGCTCGGTCGCAGAGGTACTTTGCCGCAAAGCGCTGTGCATTGTTGGTAATGCGTTGCAGCTCCTCGTCTCGATCGTTGTATGTTTCAAAAACGTCCATCCAGTCGTCCAGCCCTCGTTGGAAGATGGGCAGGTAGTGCTCATACGGATGGACGGATCTGGGTGCCGTACGGGGAATGAAAGTGTACGGGGATTACTTTTCTGAGGCATCTGGGCAAGGCAGACATCCATGTAAGATGCTTCACGGGAGTTGAGCATGAGTGCAAGCTACCGTATGAATGCTTCGTCATTAATTGTTGGTTCCAAAGCCTATGCTGCCCACTACACAAGCACATGCGTCAGCAATATTCCGTACAAAATTATAAGCAACTGGCAGCCACAGTAAGGAAAGGCGCAGGAAGGAGTCCAGTCATAACCTATAGCCCACACTTCCGTCACGCTATGACCGGTTACACACCCACCTGTAGAAATGTCCAATGTACGGCGAATCTATTCGTCGAGGAAGGCAAGTACGATGGCACGTAGGTAGGTAGGTTGGTCGAGGCAGGTAGGTGTAGATGGCCGTACACCGTACCGTATCGCCGAGGGGTTGGAAGGGTCATGCCGGAAGGCACACGTGGATTGCGATTTGCGGCAAGGGAGTAAAAAGGGGCTAGTCAGTATAAATCATACCCTTGCCAATAGATAGTTACTGGCAGATGCCTGCCGGTAATAAGGCGAGGCAAGCAGCTTGTTACCCCCCGCTCACCTTCCTTCAGGACCACAGAGTTCACGCCTAGGAGCTTGGCAAACCGGTTTGACGCGGAAACACCTGTGCCGGGAAAACAACCCACGACACATGGGCACATGAAGGGGCACATGATGACGTATCATCTCGGGTATGGGTATATGGAATACCTCACTCAAAACACCGACCCCGCAAACAGCTGCCGTACCAGCAAACGTTCCTAGTTCGGATGCGCTGGTAACCCCTTGGGAGACGCGCATATTTCTCTCGGTCGGGTAAACTAACCTCCCCGAATCCTTCTCCTAATCCTCCTCCTTATTCCAATACGCTACCATGCATGCTGCATGCAACACCGCCACTCGCTTACCATCCAGGGATAGCACGTATTTATATTTCGCGTGGTCGGGGAGAGGAAGGGCATCGATAGGAGGCAAAGGAGGCCCAACCCAACCTGGAGTTGAGGAGGCAATGTCACCATGTTGCAAAAAGAGCCAAAGATATGCGTTGACAAAACTGGCAGCGAGTCGGGGCTTGTAAATATAAGGGCTCGCCTTTTGTTCCCGATGTGGAATGTGCGAGGGGCCGACGGCTCGCCTTATGAGAGCCAAGGCGAGCCCAGAGATAAACAAAGGACGTCCGCTTGGATACCGTGGTTCCAACAATTCTTAAAGGAGCCAGGATCAGGGACAGGACCAGGTAGTATACAGCAGACGACTTACCGTTGATCCCGACATCAAGGCTGTGGTTGTAGCCATTAAAGGCACTCTGGTTCGCCATATGCCTGATGAGGAAACAAAACAGAGGCAGCAGGAGGTTAGGTTGCTTCTATCAAGTACAGCAGAAGCAGCAACAGCAGAAGCAGCAACAGCAGCAGCAGCGGTTACAGGAATCGCTGCTTGCCGTTCATGTCACTCACATACGACACACTATTTTTCATAATAACTAACAATCACAAAGGAAGCGCACGTGTAATAGCAGTATATCACCCATTCCCCCATTCGGGGCGGGTGGGCTTGTGCAGCAAACAAGTAACAAAGGGTTTCCAACCACAGCTATCAATATATACTATTTGTACTGCCTGCATCCAGTTTCTGCATGCAAGCGAATGTGTTGCACCCACCATCGAGGGCATCGGGTAAACCTGTTGGTATGCCACGCTGGACACCATCTGGGGTCAAAAGGAAGGGGCAATAAAGTGGCATGGGCAACGGCGTTACCGGTGAAGTGAGCCATGAGGTCCAAAAGCCCTACCACCAGCTGGGAGAAAGGATCTGGAATCAAGGTACGCAAAAGAAAAGCGAATCGTGCAACGCAGCAAGACAGACAGGGAGCTGCTTGGTGCTTGGAAGTAGCTCAGGGTGAGATGCAACTAGCTAGGAGTGGTCGTAAATAAGCCTTGCAAAGCTTCCTGAAATCCAGCCTAAAACGTTACCGGTACCAAGAATCCCTGCTGCCGTACAAGCGCTTACCCAGATCCCCGGAAGACGGCTTTGTTGATCTTCTTCTCCCAGGGGTAAAAGTACAGCGAGTAGAGGTGGATTTGTCCTTGTACGGCATCACGTGCCAGATCGATATAGAGACTAGGCATGAGGATGGTACTGTCCCTGCGGAGGCATGAGAGATGCATGTACGGCGGTTATGTAGGGTGTATGATAGCTAAGCAAAGTGTGCCTATACTTTAGCCAGGTCCTGGGACAATGAGAGAGAGGAAAGCTCGTGGCTTACAGCTAGCATGCATGTCGTGCGACGCATTGCATGTGCCCTGCGAGCAGGTCAACAAAACCCACCCGTTCTTGACCAACCACAACCCGTGTTAGGAAACCTGCTGGATGGCAGCGGCAGCGTCAATCCATCCCGTGCACTTACCCTTGCTTGACCATTTCCTTCGTCTTGAAACCCATCTCGTTGCGCTGCCGGAAGTATGCAAACATAGGCGCTGTAGGAAGGGACGCGCGGACCAAAGAAGGTGAAGAAGAAGTAGAAGGAGATGAAGAAAGAACATGTTTTGGTTGGTAGGAGCGGGGCGCGCACGGGTGGGGGAAGGTCAGTGGGAGCGGAGGATAAGGAAGCTCCGCCATTGCCTTTCTGGTGTGCTGTTCTCATCTGCTTCTTAAGGCGTCAACCTCACTACAGGAGCAGCTGAGGAGTACCACTACGGTATGTAACGCCTCTCAGGCAGGACTTGCCGGAATCTAGCCGGCAGATTACAAGCCAAAAAGCAGGAAGTATTAACCGCGCGCTGCATTTCTATAACGCTCACCTGCGCAAGGCTTTCCCCCGCATCCCCCTGCAGGTAACCAAGCAACGGAGTCCAACAGTTAGCTCAACAACTGCGCATGAGAATAAAACACTGCCGTACAACTCCGCCGTATGACACGGCCGTAGTAGAATTACGGGCGACAAAGTATTACCCCCCAAAAAGCGCATGCACGTCCCCACGCACCTGCATCCCCAATGTCGTGGTAAAAGATGACGTCGGGAAAGGTCAGGTTGAGCTTCCGGGTCCAGCGCTCAAAAGACCACTGCGCCCACTCCATACGCAGATCGCACCACGTCTCCTGCGGGTGGGGGTGTGGGTTAGATATGAACCAAAGCGCACGGGTGTGGGTTTAAGAAAAACCGAACACGGCAATGCACTCTAGCTCCATGCACACACCCCTCTTGTGCGCGTTGCGTTCCACCCCTTCGTGGCGATCACTGCCACCCTCCTCCCCTTTCCTAGTTACTCACGCCTTGAGAACAGTTCGTGTTGAACTCGAAAGGTCGAAAGGGTGTATACCAGCGGTTGTCCTTGATGAGTACCACGTTGTGCTGGGAGCTGTTGTACGGGTGCTCAGGGGAAATGGAAGGGACGGAGGGTGGTTCAATTAAGAGCGGTTAAGTACCGGTACAGTGTCGTACACATTGCTCGAGGTGAGACCCAGGGTTTCCCGGCCCAATGTCCTGCTATGTTGAACACAATATGCTTCACCCACCTGACGTATTGTGCAGCTCCGTTGGCCTTCCGGTCCATTCCATAACTATCGAATAGGTCCAGCAAATGACTGGAGTTCAGTTTGTTCCCCTTAAGCCGTTGCCGCCAGTGGTACAAGTCCTGTCAAGTAGAACGCAGTTGTGCATCGTTGTTGCAAAACGAGTTTTGAATAACCACTTTATGTCCAACACGTGTTCAAGGGAGAAAAACGAAGCAATGGAAACAGTCCTCGACTAGCTCGAGGTAGGATACTAACAGGAGGACACGGCTATTTGCATAGTAGCATACCGCACACCGACTTGTTCTAAGTTGTCTTCGTAGAGTCTTTGCATATCCGCGTCGTCCTTTGCGCAGAGATGTTCCCAACTTCCCGCGACAACTTTATCGCCACCGTCGGGAGGTGGCGAAGCAAATGTTTGCCCTAATACCACGTTGATTAATGCATAGAAGAGGATAGAAACATACAGTACTTGCACAATGTTCACGCTGTAAAGTGAAGCTACCATCCTGAGCTCAAGTAGTTATTGTCCGGTCTATGCTTAGTTCATTGACAGCTGTTATAGAAGAAATATTGAGGAATGGCCATTATAAGGATGACCACCGTTATCCCCAGGTCCGGAGCCGGCGGAGCGACCTAGGCGTACGGCACCAGCCATAAGAATTCCCGCTTTCTTCAGCTTTCTTTGCTTTAAACAGCCTTACTAGCTGCCCAATAATTATTGGAATAGTGATTGGTGTCATTTCGGCACAAACCACTATTGTTGCGCGCTTGCGACCGCGTCGTTAGCCCTCCCCATCCAGCAAAGTTCAGATGGCTTCCCCATTCACTGACAGCAAGGAAAATGTCTATAACCTGGACAACGCATTTACTCAGCAGTCAAGACCACTGTACTCTGTTTGCTCTGCACCATGGTTCCGCGCGCAACCTGGCATGATGCATGTGCTCGCTTCCGAAGACGTGTATCGAACCGAGCACTCAATTCAGGCGCCGTCCTCGTTTAATGGAAGGCTGACTGCTGTTGGCGACGGCGTTATGATGCCGCTCAGCGCGCCTGCCCTTGCCGCTGGGGGGGGGGTCACCATCGTACCCCTGTTCACTACATGTTTCCCCACATTTGCAGGTGCTTGCCCGCCTCTCCCAGTGACCGGTGCCTTTGCACCCAGGCCATTTAACCTCAACTTTGTGTTACCTAACAGGAACTATTCCCTAAGTTTCAGCGCAAAAGGCAATGGTCGGTTTTCCCAGGTGGTGGCTTGGGGAGGCTTTCAGGGTAGGGAGGCCCTCTAAAATGCAGAGGGCCAACCGACCATCAAACTTCGTCACGCCCATTTAACCCCACCTTTATATTATCTAACAGGAACCATTCCCAAAGTTTCGGCGCAAAAGGCAACGATCGATTTTCCCAGGTGGTGGCTTGGGGGGGCTTCAAGGCAGGGGTGGAGGCCCTTTGAAGTGCAAAGGACCGAAAATCGACCAGCCACTTCACCGACAGGTGGCCCATCCTTGTGCCCGCGAGAGGTATCCTGCGCACATACAAAGCAAACGTGCGGTTTGCTTGCCAAAGAAGGTTACGCGGCATAAGTGCTGCGGCTTCTGTTGACACATGGTAGCCTGTGTACACGCAGCATGGGGCATAGAAACCTACCGGTAAGTTGCCTGAAGTGTCCTCGCCATCCAAATCATCAACCTCCTACGGCACAGAGGTGCATGACGTTAGTCACGGTATCCGCTGAAGTTAAAGCATGGGGGAATGCGGTAGGGGAATGGCGCATACACTCCTAGAGGAATGGGGGACGGAAGGCTATACACAGCACGGACGTACGAGCCTTGTGTTAAAGGAGAATGAAGGAAATACCCAGTGGGAGTGCAGTTGGAATCACAGACAGGGAAAGTAAAGCATGAGGGAAACCGTATGGCGGAGCGATACTCACGAAGACGCCTACGTCAATGAAGGGGTATGTGTCCCCATCAGCTGCAGCCTGCCCCAACTCCACCATATCCCTCTCGCCGGCATTTTCGGCGTCTTCTGATCATACTTCCCCGGTGAGTGACCTCGGTGCCAGGTCGTCCATTCACCTGGCAATTAGGAAGACACAGTCAACAGTTGTAAGAAGACTAGAATGAAGGAAAAAGAAAAAACGGTGCCGTACGCCTAAGTCGCTCCGGACCTGGGGGCAGCGGCACCCATGCCCATTATGACGAAGGCTCCTCCCGTAAGGCAGAAGCATTCCAGACGACCGGACGGTCCGGTTCGTTATGACGCGGCCGTGGGTTGTGACAGTACTTTCAAATCTTACTTTGTAATGCGTCTTTCTTAGTGTGAGGAAGAGTATGGACGACAGAAGACAGCGGGACGCGGCGACGGTGGGTCATGGGTTCCTTTTGTGTAGGGCATACCTGCCTATACCGAGGAACAACGTAAGCAAACGCATTGATGCCAGTTTAAAGGCAAACGTTGGTCGAAGGCATGGTAACATACCCTGCCGTGGCATACACGTCGTAACACCTTTGCATGTACCGGTATTCAGCAATTTGTGTGTACGGTGTTCCCTTGGATAGTGGATTGGAGCCGTACAGATTCACGATAATGAATCATTGTGTCAGAACGTGGCTGTGCACTGGAACACAAGGCTCAGCCAGGGTGTTCCCTTTCCCTCTGTTTCTCGTCCACAACTAGCCTCGCCGCGCTTCTCAGGGCTTCCTCTTTCCTGACCTCAGTTAGTCTTCTACTCCAGATCTGTGCCTCGTCGCCGTGGCTTGGCTATTTCGTTGGGCTTGGTGGGTCGGCAACCACAATGCAACCCAAGCCGGAGGTTTGCCACGCTAGTTGGCTTCCTCTCCCCTTCACGCATCCTTTCCCTTGCGGGGCCACGCATGGCGTGCTTCGATGCTTTGCGGCCTAAACGAAGCGAAGTGGCTGCTGTCTGCAAATTATGGGCTACGCAGCAAGGTGGACTGATATGGCCAACGTGTGCCGCGTCTCCCACCCTGCCTTATGCTTGTCACAGACGGGGCCAAGGGCTCCAAGCGTTGTAAGGCCAGGTCTCGGCCCCGTACGAATCTGTCCCATCCTTTGTCATTGCATGCAGAATGCAAGTTTCCTGTGCTTTGCCCATGTGTGGGGTTTCTACAGAAGTAGAGGCGGTTGATCTCCTACGCTAACGGGAAAGCCGAAGGACATGGCACTATGCCCGACAATGCTTACCGGCACAACAGTTCAGTGAGACATGACTGCATGCTGTATTATCTCAGAGCGAAAGGTGTGAGGACTGATGGTTCCACATATGGCGTATGGGTGCGAGAGTCCCTTCGGCATGACGCCATGTTGCATATCTACTACCTGCATCGCAGGCCTGTATTTGCAACAAAAGAAGAGTTTCCTTCTCCTCACAAACAATAGCATTCCTAACAGATACTTCCTAGCCTCCAATTGTCGCAAGAAGAAAGGAGGGTATATGGTGCCCAGTGATTTGTAAGGCAAGATCCAAAGACAGATAATCGCTCAGGTGCTGGAAGGCCGAGCGAACGTGTTGTACTTATATTGTATATACATACAAATATCTGTGTTTCGCTATGAACATCACCATTTGCTGACCCATGCTTCGGTGCGTCCTCTTTACGCTGCATGCGACTTATCCGGCAACCACAGTAATTGCAATGGTATAAAGCCTTAAATAAAATGGCATCACAACAACAGCTCCCATCCACGAACTCTGCGCGACTAGCCATTACGAGCCTATGTAACGTACTGCGCATGCACGGCGTGACCTGCTTGGAGCCAGAGACGATCAGGCAGGCCAAGTTTGACGGCCCTGTGGTGAGCGGGAGCTGCGCCAAAAGATTTCAACGACCTCTCAACATCCCTCCCATCCAATTGCCCGCGGCACATCAGCCTCGATGTCTTGCCCTTCATCCACGTCGTCCATGTTAACCCCGTGCAACCTGTCATGTTGTCATCCGCAGCTCTCCAACCTCCCGCTTTCACCTGGAATACCCGCCCAGGCAGGTGCCTTATGGCGAGGTCTTCACGACACAGTTCTGGTGGTGCTGGCAGGCTGCCCTGCCTGCCCCGCCATCCCCCTTCATCCCTCCTCCTCTGCCAGCGTGACTGCTGCGCTTTCCGGAGCGCTTTCACGGCAATGGCGGCAAGTGGAGTTGGAACGGGCTGGAGGCGAGGAGGAGGAGTTCCCAGCTGAGGGTAAGGATGCGCCACCCACCCACCCCCTCCCTAGCCACTTCTTCCTCTCCCCAGAGTCCTTCCCTGCTTTCCCTCCTCCTCAACGCGTTGTTCTCCTTCTTTTTCTCTCCCTGCTCTGCATCCCTCACCACCTCCCCTTCCACCTCCCCAACAGGCGTCTCCCTGGTCCTGCACCATCTAGCATCCTGGGGCGCACCGCCCCACCTGCTGCGCCTACTGCAGCCCCACCACCCTCCTCACCATCCCAACCACCAGCAGCAGCAACAGCAGCTCCACCACCCCCCTGCCGGCGCCTGCTGGCGCTCCCGGCAGCTGCTGCTGGCGCTAGGGTGGTTGGTGGCGGCTGCGGGGCTGTTTGAAGCGCGTATTGGGGAGCTGGAGCCCGGGTCAGGAGGAGGGGCAGCAGGAGCAGATGTACGGGCGCTGCTGCCGCCGTACCCTCAGGTGCCGGTAGACCAGGGGGGGTGGTCGCCCGGGGGGGGGTAAGGAAACAGAAGTGGTGTGGCCAAAGTCGAATGTCTGATGGGGGGTGCCGTGGGAATGGTTGCTCCCTTGCTGTTGCTGTTGCTGCTGGCAACGCCTTCCCTTCCTCCTGGTCTGCTATATCTTAAATATCCTTTCGCTGCCCCCCACTGCTTCGCCCCGAATGCAGGACTCGTGTAACAGTCCTGCCGTACATGCAGCGTACGATACAGCCGCGAGCGAGGCACGTGACCACGTGCAGCGGCTGCTCCCATCAACCTCACAAACCGCTGCTACAACCGCTACAAATGCCGTACAGCATCGTTGTCGTACTGTGAACACCCGCGGGGACCCCTTTGGCCCCGCTGCTGCTTCGCTGGCTGCGGAGGGTGTGTGGGGCGAGGTGGAGGTGGCGGCTCAACGAGCGGTGACGTTGTGTGGGCGGGTGCGGGCGCGCCTGGTTACTCTGCAGGTGCGTAACTTCTCCTCACCTCTTCCGCTCCATTTCGCCGCTCACTCGCCGCTCCTCAAGCGCGCTGTGTGACGACGACCTACCCGCTCCTGACTGCTCCTGGAACTGCCCGCGGCAGCAATCCTAGTGTCAATTTGTCATTTTTTGTTGCTGCGTCTACCAGTATCGGGGCTTCTCTTATTACCCCAATTCCCTTACTCCCTCGTTTCTCCTGCGTCTTCCTTCTCTCACCTCCTTTCCTTCCCTGCCTTGACACCACACCACACTCTCACCACCGCCGCCCACCAACGTCACCGCCGCAGTCTGCTACCGACTGCCGCCACAGGTGGGGACTCATGGGGACTTCGTGAAGCGTTAGGACGCCCTGTGTGTTTTGTTGGCACGTTGCTGAGCTGCACCGCTGGTGACCTTGATGGCCTCCACTGCTTGTGAACGGAGCACAAAGACACACACATGTACTCAATTTCCCTCTCTTATCCCTATCTGTTCACTTCCACTACCTCCCTCCCAGACTGCACCATGCCATCTGGGCACGCCAGGCGGCTGCCTCGCCCTCCTCACGCCCGCTCACGCCGTACGAACTGCAGCTTTGCGCCAACCCGACTGCCGTACAGGTGAGATCTTGGATCCCTGTTATGAATGCCCCGCTGGCTTCGTCGGCTTTCCCGAATGCCCCTTGCAACCTTCCCCCGCCCGCCCCAACAGCGTCACATGGGGGCCCTGGAGTCGGCGACGCTAGCGCTTCTAGAACAGCAGGTTGGTTGGTGGTTGTGGTTGGGCGCTTATCATGGGTAATCACTTGCGTCTTGCTGTGGTCCTGCTGGCATATGGGATTCAAAATTCCTCGTTTCACGACCGTTCAGGAGTTGGCAGCCCATGGCGAGCTCTTCTTTGACTGGCTGGGAAGCGTGATGGAGGAGGAGCAACAGGCGCAACAACAACAACGTCGGTGCCCTGGGAAGCAGCAAGGGACGAACACCCAGGTACGACCCGTTTGTTTGGGTCGGAGAACACATCTCATGTGGCCGCGTGCAGGTTGGCACCGGTAGCTAACCAGCACATCTGTTTTGTCGTCCCGCTGCCCCATAACAGTCCTCAGGCGCTTCCAGCAGCGGTTCGTTAGCCTCTCTGGAGCAACTGCCGTACATTGGCAGTACGGCAGGATCACGGCTCGCCGCTCATCTGGAGGCCCAACTGCAGGCTGCCGTACAAGTGAGTACGGTACGGTAATGCGGTTAAAAGTGTACGGGAGCTGTACGGTATGCTAGACGGAAGCGATTTAGACCGACTGACCCACGGGTCGGGTTTGAATGCAGACGGATCCCATGTTGGCATCTTTACGATGCATAGCCAATTATCGCCACATCACTCGTTGAATGCCCTATATCTAGGGTTACTCTCCTGATCAGTCCCGAAGGCTGGCTGAGCGCTTGCGTTCCCAAGCTGACTCCTGTAACAATCCCCTCTGGCGTTCTGGCTTCAATACCCTCACCTCGTCGCCTGTTAATTGTTGCTGACTACACTGCTCACTCTATTGTTGCTTTCAGGCAGCAGAACCCGAGCTCTCAGCTGCTCGACGGAGATCTGCCGCCAGCACTGCCGCAGCCACACCTGCGGGGGTCAGCGTGCAGCTCTTTCTGTCTCTGGCGGTGAGTCAGTACCACCGGTGAATGGTTTGTGTTTTCGGGAACAAAGGAGAACAGCATCGTACGGCTGGGCAACGGAACGGCCGGTAAAGGAAAGGGCCGCAACGGAACGGCCGGTAATGGAACGGGCCGCGTAGCTATAAGTCTAGAACAGTTGCTGAAGTATGGGGCTGTGTGATGCGAGGGGTGCGTGTCGGGCTCGCTCACTCTTCTCCTAAAACGTGTTCTGTCTTGGCTCTCCAAGATTGGGACGTTCCCATGACGCCTTCTTCTGCCTTTTCTGCCGTACCGTTCAGGAGCAAGCAGTTTCGCAGCAATCCGAAGGCTCCTGGCAACTTCCTCCAGGAGCCGACTCCGTGTGCCAACCTGCCGCACCTAGCAGCAACAGCAGCAGCGGTAGCATGTACACAGCATGTGGAGAAGGAAGCCTCGGTGGGGCGTTCCCGCCGCTTCCGCAGCCACCACCTCTCATGGACGCAGCAGCTGCAGCTGCGGGTCCCTGGCGCCTGCCTGAGGACATCGCCACCGCCCTCACCGCCGTCCATGAAGCCCGCCGGATACACCAGACAACAGCCGCCAAGGACTCCCAATGCTTCAACCAGCTCCGGTACGCCTCGCTGCTACGATACGATTATTCCGCCGGCTCCAGCGGAGGGCCAGGAGCAGGTGGGCCCCTGGCGGCGGTGTTGGCGGCGGCTGCCAACGGAACCGCCGGCGGCGGCGGAGGTGCACCCCTGGCGGCGGCGGCGGATGAGACGCAGCGGTTGTTGGCGGCGGTGTTGGCGGCGGCGCGGCCGCTGGCGCGGACCCGGGCGGCGCACAAGGCGGCGTTGTTGGCAGCGTTGGGGGACTTGCCGGAGGGGTTCCTGGTGGCTGGGGTGTAGCTGGTGGTGGCGATGACACTGGTGTCGTAAGCAGTGTTGTACTAGTTCTTACAAGCAGCAGCACCCACATTGCAGCAACAGCAGCAGCAACAACACCCCTTTGCGGCCATTATGCCCGGGGGTGGTGGCCTGTTGCGAAGGAATGTAACGAAAGCAGCTCTTCTTGGCGCGGTTTACGGCGCTTTATATGTCAGGTGCGGAGTAGCCGTGCCTGCACCGTGCCATGAGCGTGGACAACCCCGGCAGCTGCGTTCACGGCTACGGTGCTGCATGCCAGTTTGGGATTACAGTGACGGTCAATTCTTCATGTTCATGATACAGACTGGGCCAGGTTGGTGTTCCCCTCACCATTAAAAGGGCACACTCGCATGAGTGTCGGGTCCCGTATGTCCTCTACTGCTTCCATGTACAACACGACAATACAGTGTAGGGTTGGGTTCAGCGCCCGTCTTACCTTTTAGGGAGCCATTGAAACGGTCATTCACTCATTTATTCACGGTCGTGCCCCCACCAACGGCTTTTGAAAGGCAAGAGCCCCGTAAAACAGCACAAGCGGTTCACGTCATGCCAACAAAACGCCCCGCCCTGTGGAGCGGTACAACACAATCCCAATTCACTCAATTCCATGTGGTGCGCATGCGGCCCACACGACGTTCTAACGCCCCCCGTCTTGCCGTACCGACAACATCCAACGATTGGACACAAAGAGGCACTTCTACAAAGCAGGGGAAACGTGCGTGCACCGCCCACTGTAAATATGTGGGTGTTTGGCGGGCGCGCTTTTGCCCGTAACCGCGAAACTTACAGGTATTCTGCAACAGTGATTGCAGCAATATTTCATCGTGTACGGTGTGATAGGGCCACCGACTCCCCATTGTCTGCCTCCATGGGACGCACGCACAGAACAGAACAGCGCACGGGCTGTACGGCATGTACGATTCTTAGCGGGATAACCGCCTTAACCGATAACATGAATCAGTGGGAATCCTCATACGTAACGCGCCACATTTCAGTGATCCATAGTGGCCCTCCTCGTATACCCGTTATGCGCTGATGAGCTTCAACTGTGAACTCCCTGCTGCGCGAGGGGCTTGCGGGTTAAAGTTAATTGCATTTTGGAAAACCTAAATGATTGATGCGGCTAGTAATAAATACGGGGTGTGGAACGCTTAACAGCGAGTCCCAAGCAACCAGTCCTTTATGCACAACTGTCATTCATTCAAGCATCAAACAAGGAGCACGTATACAACACAAAACAACACTGCAGTATCAATAGCCACATACCATCACGCTCGCAAACGATACGTTAGCACGCACGCACGCCACAGCCATCTAATAGAATGCTACCTCCTAGACACCTCCTTTGAGGCCCTTCCGGCAGCAACCCAACCCACAACACAGAAGGGCCGTCTTCAGTCCTCGCAGCTACGATTGATTGTGGCCCTTGATGCCGTAAGCCATCCAGGGTTCCGGCTTCATCTTGGCAAGGATGAAGGTCTCGAGGGTGGTGTAGCGCCAGGAGCGACTGGGAGGTGTGGGCTTGTACGTCATGACATCCTTGTAGCATTTTAGTGCCTCTAGGATGTAGCAGCTGACACCGTCCTCTGTCGTACAAAGGGGAAGAATATTTCGGTTTTGGCAACTCACATACATTCATATACACGCATACGTGTAGCCGGATATTCGCGTACTGAATGAAGGAATGGCCGTTATGACGATTCCCTTTTCGTACTGTAACAAGCCGTGCGCCATACGCTTACAGGCAAAAGTGGAAGGGCGATTATACCCTGACAACATGCGCCTTTCCCTTGCCGTACAGCGCCTGTACTGCTGCCCACGCCCCACATTACGTAATACACATACAGTGCACAGCCTGCACACACAAATCACCCCGGGGCGCTGTCGTACCGTCCAGCAGGCTCCGTAACTTGACGTTCTCCGCCGCTATGGACTGTGCTAGCGTCGGATTGGCTTCCAGCTTGCGGTAGGTGTCCTCCAAGGCGTCCCAGTTCTCATCCACGGTAATGACGTTCTTGCCCTCCTCCAGGATCTCGGTGTCCACGGCAGCCCACTGCAGCGGGGCGAGGGTGAAGGAAGAAGGAGTGAACCAACTGACTAACTAACTAGCTAGCTAACTACCGCGTGTAACGGTCGTCGCTGGGACGCAGAGGTAAGGTGGGAACGTCGCCAGGACCTGCGAGGGCTTACACACGCATGCGTGGCACGTTTGGTGGTGTAACAACGGTGCTACAAATACCAATCATTACGGCTGCACAGCATCCTAGGAGGCCTTTTCAGGACCGTTGTTACAGGCGGACAGCATCTTCCGGCAATCCAGTACGTTCTTACTTGCGGCCAGCTTCACGAACACGCATGCGCATCGACAGCTATGGGATCGTTCCAGTTAGGCGGTTCATCAGTCGACTCGCAACTCGAGTAGCGGGCAGGAAAGGACAAGGATAGGCAACAAGGGAGGCCGCCCGGCAGGCTGACTCCTCACGTCACGAGAAATGTCTGATGGATGAATGGCCGTTACAATGGTTTCCTAGAAGGGAACACGGGTGATGACGGGTAGTCGGAACATCGTCGTACGAGCTCATGTCGTCGAGGCCGTACGAGATATGACACGAGGTACGACACATACCTGAAGTGGGTGCGATATGACTACGCCGCCGCAAATGAGGTGGCTCTTAAGCCGCACGCTCCACGTGTTGCCTGCCATAGAGGAGGGGAGCGAAGCGCTGTCGGTTTAGACGAAAACTGGCCGTGTGTGGGAAGCTGGGCCCAAGCGACAGAGCAGGCGACATGGAGAGGCGTTTCATGTCATAGCCAGCCCACACACACGACCTTTCTCATTCCCTTCGGCATGCCTGCCGCCCGCATTGTCCTGTGCTACCGGTAAGGGACATGCACGTAGCAGCAGAAGCAGGAGCGCACCACACCGCCAACACATCGCCAACACTTCGCTCACCGCTCAGCCCTCCCTTCCTTCCCCTCCTGAACTACTTCAGTTGCTGCACTCCTCATGTGTTTTTTCCTTCCTGACGGTGCACGCTGCTGCTCCCGGTACCGACAACGCCCTCTCGCCTGCCCGCTCTAGGAGGAACACACGTGTCCCCTTTCCAGCCCTCCAAAACACATGCCCACAAACGCACAGAAAAGCTCACCCCTCCAATGAAGCTGAAACGCAGCTGGGGGTGGTGGCCCTTGGCCCCACTAGCCCCCCTAGCCCCCCCTTGATCGCAAGGTTCACAACGCAAACTCCCTCCCTTGCTGTCGTACCCACCCTCGGTGTGGATGATGTACTTGTAGCGGCAAAAGTCCTCTAGCCGGGTGATGATGTTGCTGATGTTGTAGTCCGGATTGTTCATGAGCTCGGTGCGCAGGGCGCCAAAGGGCGGGATCTTGGCCACGCCGGCGATGTCGGTACGGTTGGCAAAGCGGCTGACCAGTTTCTGTGTAGGAAGCCAAGTCCAAGTTGGACAGGGGAGAGGGTGACCGGAATGATGGAAGGAACCTTATGAACACGGAAGACAGTCACCTCGCCCCACAGCTCTTCAGTTGCATCGTCGGTGTCTCATTATCTTTTACCCCAACCCAACTTCCAGCCCTCCACAGTCACGCTCCTTACCTCCTTGTCCCGCCTCACTTATAACAGTCATAACCACACACACCCCACCCCAACCCCACCCCTGTAGCATTCCACTGCCTTCACTTCTCGCTTCACCATTCCCCACCCCAACTCCAACTCACCTCCCGCACCAGCGGTCCGCCGCCTCCCCGCCAAAACACCTTGTTGTTTCGCTGGCTGAAGGGCAGCGTGACGTCCAGTTCGGCTGCACGGCGCAGCTGCTGGGCCCAAGTGGGTGCTGCGATCTCGGGCCATGCAAAGAACATGTAGTCCGGCCAGAGCCACAGCGGCACGCCGGACTTGGGGCTGCAGTAGTTGAAGGAGGCGCCGCCGCGGGGGTGGTCTCCCGCGTTGATGCCGAACTCCTGGAGAGAGGGCAAGAAAGGAAACGGGAGGAAGGGGGAATGGAGGGAGAGGCGTGGGGTTCGGTGGGCAGGCACAGGAACGGGGGGTAAGGGAGGGGTGTGTGTGGTATGGTGTCTGGTGGGGTTGTGAGGTAACCCAACTCAGCAGCTTACCACGTCTGGGAAGTTTTGACGACCCAGGCGAGTCATGGCACGCTGGAGAAGCATTAGGGAGGCATATATCCGTGTCTCGAAACTGCAGGTACAGATGGAAAGCGGCGACAGAGGTGTTAGCGGCTGCCATTAGGACGTTGGGGGTTGGCCGTGTGGTGAAGCAGAGGGCAGGAGAAGGGGCAGGTGTGAGAAGTGAGGAGGAGCAAGGAAGATGCAAACAAGACGGCCAGCTACTCCATGCATCTTAAAAGCGATTACAGATGTGATGCCGGTTGGGTTTAAGCGAGTATCAACACAACACGCACTGCCGTTGAGGAAGGGCCGCTGCGCAGTGGGACAGTTAGCATGCGGATACCTTACCCTTCGCGACTCATATTCACGTAAGCAATACCATCTGAGATGGTGATAAACACTCCCTCAGTTTTAAAAATCTCGTCCCTGGTCTCCTGCACTATGTTTTCGCTGATGCCCCCAACTTTCTGCCATGCCTCCTTCCTCCTTATGAGTGGAGCGAGCAAACGTACATAGGGCTGACATTCTGGTGGCGGCGTGCCACACAGGCCTTCTCCAGCTGCCACGGAAAGGACGGCTGAAGCCAAGATGAGAAGCGGAAGCGACATCATCTGGTTCTGTCTTCTATGTAATTTACCACAATACAGCGTCTCCTCAGTCTTGCAATATTGGTAATAGGTGATCGTCTATAATGTGCACAAATCTACAGCGCAGAAGGACACTGGAAGACAGAGGGACCGGACTAACCGCAGAGCGGAGGAAGATGGAGGGACCGCACTTGCCGGGGCGCACCGGGGCGCAGTGGCAACAGAATATAAAAGTTGATAACAGAGCAGTAAGGAAAAAAATAGGGTTTAGGAAAAGGAGGCCGTGCGAAAAGGGCATGGCGGTTAGACAACCAAGCAAGAAACTGTAGCCTCAATGTCCTCGGCCCCCTCCCAGCATCCGCTACCCCTACTCCTATTAGGATATGTAAACTGGTCTATTTAACAGCAATTCATGGGCAAAACCGCCAACCGTGCGCCAACGGTGCCACCGAAAATAGTGGATGGAGTTCACGCGTTCGTAGTAAAATCCTGTGAACCGCGTTTTTTGCCTCAGCATACAACGCAACTATGTCGCACGTTCGGCCCAGACTGCAAACTTGACGACATGCAAGGAATGTGAAAGCGGACAGGACCCGCAGCGCCAGGGAGTATACAGGAAAGGCCTTTTTGCGGCTAAACAACGTCAGCTGGAGGTCACAGAGCTGACCAGCATACACTCGGTGCTGCTGTACGGCGCTGATTAATAAGTCCAACCTCAGAGTAGCGGCTTTATACCTTTATTGGGCAGGTCGTGAATCGTACTATTATTTTTATTACACCTTCAGTACAAGTAAGAGGAAAATAACGTAACTGCAGCGCGCATCCTTTGCAGGTACTGTAGCGTGCCCTACCGCGCACTGGCGGCACAGGAGCTGCGGCACAGGAAAGAGTGACCAACTCCAAATTGCTAAACTAGCTAGTAATTTGCTGTCGATACTTACCGCCTTTTGATATGGTGTAAATCCGGCAAATGCTCGTGGACATTTCGCAAAGATTCCACAGCTTGCCGTACTTAATAGCCTCATAGCCCAACTTGCAGCATTCCCATACCCGAAAACCTTCTAAAGTTATTCTGATAACATTTGATACAAGTTACCATTCACCGGCAGGGCCTAGACGCGCCAAGCCACAACCTTATTGCGCATCCTTACCACGTTGCGCGCGAAAGCGCGGCTCAGGCCCACAATGAACAACTGGACACGGACAAGTAACCAACACACAAAAGTTGCGCTGATCCAGACGCCAGCCAAGCCTTGAGCTGTTCCGCCTACCCTGTCTGCCAACGCTAGCGCGCACACGCAGCACCGATTCAAACGAAACGGGGATTGCCGACATTTTAGGTAGCTATAGAACTGTTGGCGTTGGCGTTTGCGTTAAAGCATAAGGCACTCCTGGTCCCACTTCTACCGGCAGAAGTGCTTACGGAAGACACAGCAAAATGCTAGTTCCCGCATTTGACTTGGATTGCATTCGGAGCCGTAGGAGACGACCCCATACCGCACACAGCTAGGTCGGCCCACTGCCGTACGTGCATTCGGATCGAGCGCACCCCTGCATGCTCAAGTCAGTGCACATCCAGGCAGGCCTCGGGGTTATTGCCTTTAGCGGTTTGGTTCAATAAGTCATGGGTCTCAGGCGCGGATGGAGGCTGTACCTCAACCTGGTGCTGAAAGGACATACACGTTTCATTTACATACCACTAGACCCTGCAACTAAACGGGCATTAGGGCGAGGCATACGTAGGGGTTTGTTACCCAACCCTTTGACACGCATTGACATGAATACGGTTTCGGTTGTCCACGTACTACAGCTCCTCGTCTTTGGCCAACGTAACTGCACGTTTGCGTAACTGCACGTTTGGGTACAACATGGGTCAAAGCACTAGGAATGATTGAAGCTTGTCCCCACAAAGCAAGGCAAATGGCTCCACAAGACCCAGGAGTCCTGCAGCCTGACAGGACGGCGCGTGTCGTGCAATGCGATGCGTCCATGGAATTACACGAAGGTGTGTTTGAAATATGCTGATTTGTATTGGGGAAGCGTCAGCTCACGATGCACGGGCATTAGGACGAGACGACTGCCTTCTCAGTGACGCGCGAGCGGATATGGTGGGGCGGCCCACCGCAGCCAAGCCGCATCAGGAGTCACACTGTACTGCCATGCCGTTGCTGAACATAGCAGGCAAGGCACGTCTAAGGCACGGACGTAAGGAATCAAAGTAAAGGAGACAAGTGACGTGGGGCAAGACTTTCAGAGGCTTCGTAGGGGAGGCCACAGGCGTACGGGAATGCACGGCTTTCCTCCAGCCAGGTCCCCCCCATCGTTGACTGGGGCTTCGTGTATTTGGCTATCCTGGGTATCTCGCATGGCAGGAAGCATGAGGCATGAGCGAATCGACTCCACTTGATAGGGTGCAGGGCAAGGCAGCAGGGTGTACCCGCTGGAAGTCCCTTATGCTGCTGGCCCGTTGAAGGCTCAATAGACGCTTAACAATTGTTTCCTCGCTCCTGGCTGCAACCATGGGCCGCATTGACGGAGTTTAGAGCTTGTTTCCGCGTGCACGCTCTTATCCATGCTCAGTCGCTGAGAAGATCAGGCTTTGGATCGCCCTGCTATGATGGGAAACGGCTAAATGGTAAGGCAGTTTACAAGAAACAATATTACTTCGCTTCTCATATGTTTTCTGCAGCAAATAACCGACCCTGAGTGGCAATAGTACGGCGAGAGTACGGCTTGCTTCCAAGCACCACGTTGCTCGCAGAACGAAGCGATTCTATTGTCCTCCTATCTCTGTAGCCCACGTTGGCGATAGGGTTAACGGTGAGCTGAGTTCCGCTGCTGCCCAATTGTTTCAGAACTTTTTCCAGTCCCTAGAAGCTATTTCTTACTTGTGAAGTTTGCTTTACTCTATAGGGAGTCAACATGCAACGCACCGGTGGACTAGCGGCCCAGCTGGCGGGCGTCCAGCTCTCAGGCGCGCTGCAGGAGCTTAAGACTGGGTGAGCTTCGGTGCCACATCCACACGCGCTCGTTAGCTAATAGCCTCTGTAGCATGACGGAGAGCCTAGCGGGCCAGGCAGGATATACCATTCCAGTGCCGGAATCCCCTGTGGTGCATGACCACTCTACGTTGCCGGCTGTCAGGCTTGCGCCGAACACCTAGACGTACCTTTGTTACATGAAGTCATAGTACAACATTTTGTCGGTTTGGCTAACGCGGGGCTTGCTGCTTTCTGCAGGGTGCTGAGGGCGTTCAGCACTCAGGCGCCCGCAGCCGGCGCCTCTGCCGCATCTCCTCCTCCGCCACCTCCACCTGCAAAGACTTCGTTTGGAAACCTGAAGGATGAAGACCGCATTTTCCAGAACATTTATGGGCGGCACGACATTAGCATCAAGGTGGGAGCTGCTGTTTCGCATCCAAGTAGCCATAAAGCGCATGAGTAATGGCTGGTCCAGCGTGCAACATTACTTGGAGGATGCTGTCGCGCGAAGGCTCTTCACTTCGGTAGCATCAGATACAGTGGACACACTGCTTGAATAAATGCGTTATGATGGTCACTTCTTGTAGTTGCAGCAGAATTGATGGATTAGACTCTATTTACCATCGGTACAGGGTGCGATGGCTCGCGGCGACTGGTACATGACCAAGGACCTGGTCCTGAAGGGCCGCGACTGGATCATTGACCAGATGAAGAAGTCGGGCCTTCGTGGTCGTGGTGGTGCCGGTTTCCCGTCGGGCCTGAAGTGGAGCTTCATGCCCAAGGTGCGTTCCTGTACCTTATGTTGCCGAACCTTATTCCCCCTTCCGGCCAAGCCGTCTCGTATGTGTCTCGGATGTCTGGAAGGGGTACTGCTGGGGGTGGGGGTAGGTTGCGGACACCCCATAGTTTGCTACTTTCCGCTCTTGACCACTTCCGCTCTTGTCCATCCCACCACATCCTGCCTACAGGTCTCGGATGGCCGGCCCAGCTACCTGGTGGTGAACGGTGATGAGTCGGAGCCGGGCACCTGCAAGGATCGTGAGATCATGCGCCATGAGCCGCATAAGCTGGTGGAGGGATGCCTGATTGCCGGTGTGGCCATGGGCGCGCGCGCTGGTTACATCTACATCCGGTGAGTAAGCGAATGGGGTGATGAAAGGCACCATGGAAGGGTTTGGTTCGAAAGTACATGGAGAGTGATCCGGACTGCGGGGGAAGTTCAGACCCCGGTGATTCGGGTCACAAGACAGCGCAGGCCTGGCGCGGTTTCCAGTGCAATAGCTTACGCATACCAAGGAAATGAAAGCGCGTTGCCAATCACAGCAAAATAAAGTGAGCAACGGGATAGCATGGACCCCTTACCCCCGTCCCTGTAGCCATGAAGACCCACCCATCACGCCCTCTCATCATCCGACCCCTCTCCCCATGCACGTCTATAATCCGGGGAAAGCGGGTTGACAATTTTCTCAATTGTTGGCCTGGCCCATGTGCCTCTACTCCACTGACCCGACACCGGCGCTTCACCATCTCCCTGCCCCCCTGCTGCCTCCCATGCCCGCCTGCCGTCGCCGCCCTCGTTGGTCCGCAGCGGCGAGTTCGTGGATGAGCGGAAGGCCGTGATGCGTGCCATTGACGAGGCGTACGCCAAGGTGGGGATGTGGTGAACCTGGCGGGGGTAAAAGAGTGAAAGAGTAGAAGCCGAATTAAACCGTCCCTAAGGAAGCCACACGTGGTGGGTGGCAGTAGGAGAGTTGGTTGGGGGATGCTCAGGGATTGTCGCCCGTCGACCCCATGGAAAGGGGAATGTTTCATGACACTGGTGGGATGCTATTGAGGTTCCGACGACCTCCATGCTCTGCAATGCTTGCCCCAACTATGCTTCTCCGGGCTGCACGCCTCCCACTTGCTCACGCAGGGCTTCCTGGGCAAGAACGCTTGCGGCAGCGGCGTGGACTTTGACCTGATGGTGCATTACGGTGCGGGTGCCTACATTTGCGGAGAGGAGACGGCGCTCATCGAGTCCCTTGAGGGTGAGGAGAGGGGTGCTGTCCTGGCTGGGAGTCGTAGGTGGGAGTCGTGGGCGCTTCGCAAACATGGGGGGGTATAAAGGGTGGATCTTTGTAAGGGGCTGGATCCGTCGGAAAGGAGGGCTTGGAGGAGACGTTTTAGGAAGCGGAGGGAATTGGGGTCACTGGGAGTTTTGGAAACAGCACCCGGCCCGGATGCGTAAGAACGAATGGACCCAGCAATGAGTTAGGCAAGCTGAGATTGACATGATGCGAAGCCGCTTTGGGTTAGGGGAAAGCTGTATGGCGGATTACCCGAAAGGAGGTTGGCTATGGTATTCCTGATGGGTAGGTTGGATTGACTGGGCAACACTGGCAAAGGGCAACACTGACATTGCGCGTCCATTCGCGTGGAGATGTCGGATCGGCTCGAAAACGGGTGTTGCCGGGAGCCATGCCGGAGGGCAAGCCGGGCAGTACATGTGCATACGGGGTTCACCAAACATCGAATGCTTGGACCGAACATGGCAAAGCATGCGCATGCGCTCCCACTCCTCCTTAACCCCCCTACGCCCGCTCTTTCCCCGCACAGGCAAGCAGGGCAAGCCCCGGCTCAAGCCCCCCTTCCCCGCCGGTGTGGGTCTGTACGGCTGCCCCACCACGGTCACCAACGTGGAGACGGTGGCTGTGTCCCCCACCATCCTGCGCCGCGGCCCCGAGTGGTTCTCCTCGTTCGGCCGCAAGAACAACGCGGGCACCAAGCTCTTCTGCATCTCTGGCCACGTCAACCGGCCGTGCACTGTGGAGGAGGAGATGAGCATCCCGCTCAAGGAGCTCATTGAGCGCCACGCGGGTGGGTGGCGGGCCGACTTGGAGGGAAGGGAGTTGTTGATGCATGAGGGTTGCTGCATGGCTTGGTGGGACTGCACAGGGTTTAGCATGTCTTACCCCACCGGTCATTCATATTGCCTTTCCGCCCTGCCCCGCCTCACGTCGCGTTACTCATAACCCAAACGTCGCGTAACTCATAACCCAAATGCTCCGCCCCACAATGGTCTTGCCACAGGCGGCATTCGCGGCGGGTGGGACAACCTGCTTGCCATCATCCCTGGTGGCTCCTCCGTGCCGCTGCTGCCCAAGAACGTAAGCAGCGAAGCACTGGGCTAGCGTTGGCTTTGGCGTTGTAGGGCTTTGGCGCTGTAGAACCTAGTCAACCAATCTCGTCACATGGCCCTAGGACTGCGCCTAGGGTTAAATGGGCCCCGCGTTGTTTTCCTTTCACCCCTTCAGTAGTTTTCCCTCCGCCCCTCTGGTTGTTTTCCCTCCGCTTCTTGACTGCCCTCCCGGCGCCGCCGCCGCTTCTCCCTGCCTTCCGCTTGTGCTCCCCAGATCTGCGACAACGTGCTGATGGACTTTGACGCCCTGAAGGACGCGCAGTCGGGTCTGGGTACCGCCGCCGTCATCGTGATGGACAAGTCGACGGACGTGATCGACGCCATCGCCCGCCTGTCGTACTTTTACAAGCACGAGAGCTGCGGCCAGTGCACGCCTTGCCGCGAGGGAACGGGTGCGTGGTGGGGCTTGGATGGAAGCATGCGTGACGGCAGTATCTGTGGGATGTGTTGGTGTGCGTGACATGGTGAAGACGGGTTGCTGTTGCACCTCCCAAAGCATATCAGTTACTGTGCGGCCCCAGCCCCTAATAGCATGTCAGACCCCAGGGCGGATCCTCACACGCCGCCTAAATATTCTTGCTCACACGCCGCCTAAATATTTCCACACTCCCAGGAAAAGATGTTACCGACGTGGAACGTACTAACAAGTCTCTAGTACCAAAAACACGAAAGCTACGTCCTCCACTCCTCATCCACCTGCCGCCCGCCCATTCCCCCGCCGCTGATTGCCCTCCCCTCCCGAAACTCCCATGTCGTACGACACAGGCTGGTTGTACGACATCATGACCCGCATGAAGAAGGGTGATGCCCGGCTGGAGGAGATTGACATGCTGTGGGAGCTGACCAAGCAGATCGAGGGGCACACCATCTGCGCGCTGGGTGATGCCGCGGCGTGGCCCGTGCAGGTAAGAGGAGAGGAAGGCGTTGGGTCCATGCGTTGACTTGTATTGGCACGGGTGCAAGCGGCGCTAAGGTCGCTAAGTTCCGTAGACTGGGTAGTTTTTGTTGTAATATAATGACACGAGGGAGTTCATAACAACGCCAGAAGCATTAACGCGTTTTGTCTTTTTGTGCCCCCGCTTTCTTCAGGGTCTGATCCGCCACTTCCGGCACGAGATGGAGGACCGCATTAAGAACGCGGGCGCCCCGCAGAAGATCGCCGCCCACGGCCACTAGACAGCAGCAGCAGCAGCGGGATTTCGTCGGGTGTTGGCTTGCGGCTAGGAGGAAAGACATGTTGGAGGCTTATGCGGGTGCTCTGCTTCGCCCTTTGCTCTTGGAGTGAGGTGGCGTTAGCGGCACTCCGCAAGCTGGGTGGTGATGTTTAGGGGTCCATGGTAGATCGGGCAGAGGTCGCTCTGATTGGATAGAGGGCAAGCTGTACGGCACGGCAGTTTGTTGTGTATCGTGTGGGGGGAAGTGTGGCCGCCGTCAATGAGAGTCGCAAAAAGTTATTGGAGGGCGTGGTTGTGATTCTCCTTTAGGCTTAAAAGTAAGTTTTTAACTGATTTGGGAGTTGAGGCCTTTTGCTAGCAAGCCGAAGGTGTGGCGGATGGGATCGGGGCGTGCGGCATTTTTACTGGAATGGTATTAGGTAGCCCATTTTCTGGAGCGCCTGAACCCAAGCCAAATGTAAGCGGTGTATACAACACGCCAAATCAAGCTATGTGTTATTCAAAGATCCTGACAGCAAAAATGCTGACAAGCGTACAGCTCAGGTTGTCACAGTGCCGTGCGATGTGAAAGTCGTAAGCCATTGTTCAGTAGGCAAGCCTGAGGGCTGCATGGGACCTCATATGCAATAACAAAGCTTTCAGGACGCGCTAACAGCAATGGCTCATCCCTGGAACCAGGTCGTATGATGCATCCAGGTGTTTCCCCACTCCCTCGTCCTGGCTTCATTGAGTAGTGCACTACCTCACTCGTAAAATACAAGCACCGATTGCATCATGACGTAACCAGCTGTGGTGCCCTCAGGTGGATCCAACGGATCTCGTCCGTCGTACAATCCCTCGTACCAGATCGTGTTATTACCCACTCCAGGTGGCAACAGCTCTCCAAGCACGGCTGCTCCTCCCTTGTCTCCTTGACCAGCCACGCCCAGGTTGGTGACCCATGGGTCCACCGCCGCTCCATCACACCAGCCGCCGCGGCCGTAAAACCACGTCCCGTGCTGATTTGGCACGCTGCCGTACTTAACGGCATCCGCGCAGCCCCATTCGGTTCCAGCTGCCGTGAAGTTGCGCATGCCGACCTCGTAGCCATTGACATGGAAGTGGTGCGAGGTTGGACAGAACTCGCCGCAATTGGCCGTTGCATCGGAGCCGTGCCCTGTGATTACTGCGACTATCGCAGCCGCGCGAGCTCGGGGCGGGGTTGGGAAGCTTATCGGCTTGCGAGCCTTATTGTAGGAGGAATCAAAGACAGCGCTGCCGTACAATTGCATCACAGGAAGGATAGGCCGTAGACCTAGTGTGTTGAGGTTCGAAGAGGAAATGCCAATGGCTGCCGGTGATAGCCGTAGTGATGCTGCTGCTACCGCTGTTGCCGTGGCTCCGCCGCTGCCACCTCTGTTTCTGTCATTGCTGCTGTTGCTGCTGCTGCTAGTGCTCCCGCTGTCTCTGCCTTGCAACTGCCCCACAAAGGAAGCCCCGCCGAAGCTTCCAAGACCATCACCGCCCCTACCATGACTGCTGCTGTCGCATGCATGATACGCGGGCGCGGCTGCAGTGACGGTGGTGACATCAGCAGTAGCAGCAGTGGCTGGATCGTCGCCCTCGTCGACAGAAGCCGCAGTTAGCAGCTGCCGTCTGCTGCTGCTGGTGGTCCGATTGCTCGCAGAAGCCGGTCCTGCTGCTGACGGCGCTTGCATCGTCGCCAACCGTGATGTTGACAATGACGAAGATGGCCATAATGATGGGAATAATTTGGACGAGTCAATTCCGGCTGCTGGCGTTGCTGCCGCCCCCTCGGCTGCTGCCGCTGCTGGTGGTGGGCGGCTGCTGGAGAATGCGAGTGACAGCGTGGCAGTCCAGTTGCCGTCTGCCCAGGGGGCCGTCTGGATGGTGAAGGAGCACCTGCCGGGTTAGACAGGCAGCAGGACAAGCGGCGGGCGAGGAAGGGTGGGGTGGATGGCATGGAGGGTAGGGGGACAAACTATGAAATAAAGGAGGGCGAAGAGGAGGGCAATTGAAGTGTAAAGATTGGCTGAACGAGGCAAGGCTGATGGTGAGACACGCATGACTAAGGATGCATGTGTTAAAGTAACTGGTCGCGAGGCGAAACGTGTGCATGCATGTGTGTATGCATGAGCTTGGGTATTGGGGAAGAAAGCAAATACCGTAAAACCTTGCGTGATGACCTCAAGACGGGCACGACAGCGATGCCGTTTGCATGCATTGCTGGCCGCTGACACCGGGAATAGCAGGATTGACGAGCAATACCCGTTCCCCTGCCGTATATATCCTTCTCGCACCGGTATAGATACCGGTGCACGCACCCACCTGCCTCCCTCCCCAAGCACAGCCATCAAAGGCGTGGCGTCCGTCAGCCATCGCCCCACTCGCCGACGAAACGGTGTGGCCCACCGCCCCAGCTCTAAACCGCATCGCTGCTCCTCCTCCTCCACCCCCCTCTCCTCCCTTCCCACAAGCTCCCTTCCAACCGTCTGGGCGCCACTGCCGCCACCATTCCTGCCATTCCTGCCATTCCAGCTGCCTCCTGCCCCACTGCTGCTGCTGCCGCCATCACCCTCGCCGCTACGCAGCGGCCTCCACAACGTGATGGGGCAGGGCGCACAGCGCTCGGCGGACCTCCGGGGCTCGCAGCACGCGAAGAGCTGCACCATGTGGTCCCATGCAGGGCAGTCGGCGTCCACCCTGCCCCCCTGGCACCCTAGCGACATGTCGAGAAGCAAGCGGTGGAAGCGGCGGGAGGGATGGCGGGGCAGGTGGACGGCAGGGGCGGTGGCGCCGTGGGGGCCGAAGAAGGGCTGCAGCAGGCGAAGGGAGGGAGGGAGGAGAAAAGAGGGGATTATTAAAAGTCCCAATCGTATCTCGGATCCCAACTCATGCAGTGAGCGCGAGGGAGGGAAGTGGGGGTGATGAGGGGTTCCATAAGATGTGGGAGGGGGCGGTGTGGGAAGGTGGATGGGGAGGTGGAGTGCTAAAGAGGGAGGGAGGTGTGAGCCTGACGTGTAGATGAGTGAAGGTTGGGGTCCGGAGAGTAAGGAAGGATGGCCTGCTGGAGCTGCTGTAGGATAGGTGTGCGAGGTAAGTTTGCATGGTGGGGTGCCGTAACGGCGGGGCATGCATTGTTCTTGCACTGCCAGTGCATGGCCGGGCCGCAGCCCAACCATGGGTCGATTGCCCTTGCCTCATGCAATATGTATTATTACATGCACAAACGCACCTGTACGACAATCCAGTACACTCCTACTCGCGGCCAGTTTTCTTAAACCCCGTACGTAGGTTCGAATGCCCTTACATGCAGCGGTATGCGTGATGGCATGCGGTTTCTACCAAACACAATAAACGCACCTACCTGGTCCTGAAACACCTGCACCACCACCGCATGTGCTCTCCTCCTCGCACGCCCATTACTACTGCTGCCGCCCTTTGCCGCAACCACTCCTGATGGCTCGCCCTGTTCCTCCACCGCTGACACCGCTGATAGCATCAGCTTTGACGATCGCTGCCCATCAGCCTCGTCCACATCACCTCCCGATGCCCCCTGACGGACGACTACGGTCGCTCCCTGTTGCTGCTGCTGCTGAGGAGGAGGAGGCGCAGCAGTAGCAACAGGCAGCAGCATCGCAGTTTCAGTCCTCGGTGTCTCCGGATGCGGTTTCCCGCCTAGGCCCCCTGCTGCCGCCGCGTCCAAGGGATACTGGTAGAATTCGTTCTGCAGTCTCTCCCGCAGCCGCCGCAGGTACACATGCCACCATGCAGCCCACCCAGCGTGCATCATGAGCGGCAGCTGGGCCCAACCTGCCTCCGCGACGCCGACCCATGGGTCCATCACGACCCATGCTGCGGGTATCTGCACCGCCAATCCAGTGGGAAAACAAGATGCGAAAGAGGCCGGTAGGCGGTGGGGAGAGTGCAGAAAAACGCCACAGCCACAGGCGTTACGGTCAAGAAAGGGCTAAATGAAATGCGTCAAGACAGAGAACAAATGGGGTAGTAGTACACCGTTGCAAGGGGAAATTGCAATAAGACGCCTCTTCTAATGCCGCATGCAACAAGGTTCTTCACCGTAAGCCGAATAAAGGATGCAAATGGCCAAACACAGAAGCCTTAGGCCAGCAATGCGACGATACAGGTACCAGTTCCTACCTGGGGCTAAAAAGGGCAAGGAGCTCCTTACCTGTTGCACACCAAACTCCACCTCAACGCCCCAGCCGCCACTACCGTCCTCAGCACCGCTCGTGCCGCTGCCACCGCTGCCGTGCTTCTCATCATCCGCGCCCTCTCCCATCTGCTCCACCTCCTCTTCCGCTGCCGCCGCCGCTGCCTCTTCCAACAAACACCGCAACGCAATGCCGTCCTCATGGCTTACCATTGTGGCTGGAATGCTTGGATTCTCCTCCTGCTCCTCCTCCTCCTCCTCCTCCTCATTTTGCCTTACCCCCAGCTCTCCTCCTCCACCTCCATGACCCTTCCGCAATTCCTCTTCAACCCTCGCCCTCCTCTTCCTGCTGCTCTCTCCGCCTCCTCCTCCTCCTCCGTAGTCCTGACCCACAGGGGCTATCAGCTCCACGTCCCGACCGGCACTCGCGTAGAAGATGACACCCAGAGCACCCGCCCGCTGAGGCCCAGGTAGGGAAAGGGAGGTAGGCTGGGATGGGGTAATAACAGGAAAAGTACGAGCTGTATGTGCGACGAGGCTTCACCAGGGTGAGTGGGATGCATTGGGTGGGGGTGAGGATACGAGGTGCATGGGGGTAAACGGATTGTGATGTTATCCACATGGCCGCTACCGATATGCTGGTGCTAAATCGACCTTGCGGAATCACAGCCCCAACCCCAGTAGCAGCCCCAACCCCTCCGATTCCAATCAAACCCCACTTGCATGTGAACACTACTACACTAGTAGCAGACGCCACAGCCCCCCCAACCTCAACTGCATGCGGGCACTACGTTACACATACACCCCTCCTCAACCGCATGTTGTAACACCCTAAGTAATGCGTCCTCTAACGCGTCCTCGCCCTCACCAGTAAGTTTTGTCCTCGTTACCCCACCCGCACCCCCAACACTGCTGTCAGTTAGTTGTTTCTCCCCCCACCCCCACCCCCCATTCACCTGCAAGTTGAGTACGACACGGCCGTAGGAGCAGCCCGCGTGCCCCTCCCTGCTGCTGGCGTTGGACACGAGCACCCAAGCATCTGCTACCGCCGCCGGCGGCCTGCTGCTGTTGTCGCTGTTATCGTTACTGCTTCTGCTGCTCCTGAACGAAAGACCGTTGCGGCAGTTGCTATTGCTCCTGTTGCTGTTACTCTTGCTGCTGCTGCTCTTGCCAAGGCCAACGCCACCCCTGCTGCTGTTCCTGTCGTCTGCTGACATACCGTCGTCTCTCCCCTTGCTGTCGCGACCTTCGTCAACCGCCCCACACACCCACGAGACCTCTTCATCCAGAGCCACCAGGGGTGTGGGCAGGGGGGTGACGGCAGCGGGGCTGGGCAGCCATCCGTACCAGGCGTCCAGGCGGGGGCTGGTAACGACCCGTGGGTCCTGAGGGCGGAAGGCGGAAAGGTTTGGGTTTGGATATAGTTTGGGTCTGGGGTGGTTAGGGAACGGTTCCATCAGGGGTGGTGGGTGGTGATGGTAGGGCCCTACATTTGAATGCATGGAAGAGGTAGGAGGTCGATGCCGCAATCATGTCTCCATGCTCGTACCATCCTTCCAACTTCTTCCTCTGTAAGCTGTATATTTGAACCTCCTCACCCTGCCTTACTTTGCCTCTGGTCATCCCCGTTCTCCTTGCAGTCAGCGTCCGCATGTCCTGCCGCCAGTGCCGGAGCAGCCTGCGGAGCTGCGGACTGACGTGATGAGCCGGGGACAGCGCAAAATGCATCCGAGCGAGCATCCTGAGGCAAGGGAATGCGGAAGGAGACGTTAGACCGGGGAAGGTGGAACTATCTAACGACGGGGAGAGGAGCGAGAGAAAGATATATGGAGTAGTGTACATTGGCGTCGGAAGGGTGAAGAAGGGGTTCGGAACGGCGGCTGTGTGGATACTATAACTCAGCCAGCCCATGCCTAGATAGGCATCTCGTGCTTAGCGCGCTGGCATCAGCCATAAGTCCTTGACGTTTGCCTACCATTGGACTTCCTTAATCCTTACTTACCTCTTATGCACTCCCTCATCACTGTAACCCGTTGTCCCGTTGTTGCTACTGCTGCTGCCGTTGCTCTCATTGCCGTACACTGCTTGAGCCGCGTTCAGCATCTTATCGTACATCCAGTACGACATCTTCTCGGCAACTTTGGAACCAGCAAAGGTGTACGGCACGAACAAGTAGTCCACACTGTGATGAAGCGGCGCCTGGGAAAGAAACATCTGAGGATGGCAGCACAAGCCGCAACAGTAATTGTGACATTGACAGGCAGGTGACAAGGTACGGCAATAATACTGATCGCTAGCATCCTGTCCTGCTGCGTCCAGTGTCAGGCGTGCCCGTTGCGTGTGACCCATGGGTCATAACCCCATTGAAGTGAAGCCCAACTGCAACTACTCATCCCTTGCTTGACGCTTACAGCCTAACGTTATGACAAAGGCGACAGTCGGAAGTCCCCAGTTCTAACCCTTGACACGCACTTCGCTCCCGGACAAAGGATTAAATGAGAATATATCTCCCTGCCCCTTTACTAGCCCTGTCTCCCCTGCCTACCCTGCCCCACCTGCAAGGACTTCGCTTCCCACATGACCCTGAAAAGGATCCTCCGGGTTAAACATCAGAACCACCACCGCTCGGTCAGAGGTTGCAGGGTCAAAAGTGAAGTAGCCGCCCTCATCGGATATTGTTTCGACCGTGAGGCGCTGTGCTGCCTGACCAGGCAACACCTGCTGCTGCTGCTGCTTCCCGGCCAAGTCTTCTGCTTCGAGGAGGAGGCCAGCCTCGATACCATCATCCTTGGCTTTCATTTTATTACTACTTAAAAAGCTATCAAAGCTTTGCAGCATGCCCGCTGATTGCTGTTGCTCGTCGTGTTGGCAGGATATTGCCGAGGCTGCAGCTGCTGAGGTTGATGTCACTCGTGGGCGTTGAGGGCCGAAGGAGACGAGCTGGGCCCCGAATGTTTTAGGAGGTAATAATTCATTAGTGCTGAGTTGTCCGGAGGCTGAAAAAATTGTCAGCAGAAGAAGAGATTGAAGCAGCCGCGTCGGCAAGAGCCAGCAGCACCTGCTGCAACGCAGGACCACTAACATGCAAAGTCCACCCGCCGACATGGCTGTTTGTGCGGTGTATGTGCTATGTATCCCGATAAGGAAAGGACGAATGAATGTCCTTGAGGCTTGTTGGTTATGCATGCGTGCGGCTTGTCTACCGTACAAGTGGCGGATCTTCCGCTCATCATCACCAGCACTGGGTATGCACCGGTACCCGCCAACTAACGCCGAATACATGCAAGCGCTACTATCATTGGCCAGATGTCCGGTATGTAGATGGTGGCACGTGTGGCCTGACGGAGGGGCCGCCGGACGTGCGGCATGGGGCATAAATTAAAGGCGGGGAAGAGCGCTTAATTAAGCTAGGGAGGGCAAGCAAGGAACAAAGGGAAGGAGCGGCTGATGCTGCCTAATAAGGCACACCTAGGGCCAGCAGGAGCGTCTGTCAGACGCTTTCGGCGCCGTGCGGTGGGATCCATCCAGGATGTGGATACATACCAGGTAGAGGGCTGACTGACAGGTCAACCGTCAACCCGTCAACTTCCTGACGGATAACAAGCAACAGTCGTGCTTTGTGGGCATCCATGTTGCAACGTCTCCCCCGATGAGGAGGAAAGCGGCAGCAGCAGCGCAGGTACGTGCGGGCTGTGGGTTGCATGGTACCACGTACGTCGTTCCATGTTGCACAACCAACTAACGCTGTCGTTGTGGCCTCCTTGCTGCCCTTCTTGCTCGGCGCATGTAACAGGAAGGGGCCCCGGACAGAGTGCTATGCATGGGGACCCGCACTAATTTCCTGGCGCTCGGTTGTCAACTTGTCAGCGGTTACATAGACAGTGTATCTACACCACACAACACCCAAGCGTAACAAAACGAACAGAACGAGAAGCTGGATAGGCACGCAACTGAATGCTGACCAACACAAACCCTGGGTAATGTACATACCGCCGTCTGGAGCAAACCAGGAGCCGTTCAACTGCAGATAGAAACTTATGGCACATGACCCAACCATCACTTGATGACATCGAAGGTGACAACGCAACCCGCAATCGAATTTTTGGTGCCTGCTGTATGTACGGCAGTCTCCTGATTGCTCAGTAGGCAACGCTCAAGCAACGCTCTTCGACAAAGATTGATCAAAACGGCCCCGACTGTTGCTCCCGCAATTGTACACAGGCGGTAAACACGCACATGGCGCATGCATGCCTTGCCGCCCTCTCAATCAGAACCTCATACGGAGTGGCAACTGTGATGCATCACAAATGCCACTTCATATGCACATTGTCCGTATGCACATGCAAAGGCACGACGGCGGCATGTGCTCCTCTAGAGGCGCCTATTCAACACTGCCGCATGAAGCAACGCCCTTCTCGGCTTCACGACGAGGCGGCGTCTCCACTAGTACCGGAGTCTGCTACTGACGAGCAACCGAGGCTGCTACTTTCGCCACTTCCAAAGCAAGGCTATCTACTACTGCTACTTATCCATGGCTGCCATGTCAACTGCTCAATGCTATTGCACTTGATGACATGTTCAGGTTACATCAGGACTGCTGCTGTGGAATTAAAATGACGGCAGCTGCTGGGGCTGCTGCTGGGAGGATGGTGATGATGTTGATCATGTCATCTGCTACTGGCGCTGCTGCCTGCCAGCATGGGGCTGCTACTGCTGCTGGGGCGGCTTCAGGTTGTCAATCTTGATGTCCGGCAGGTCCCCTGGCATGCTGGCCTTGAAGCCCAGTACGGCACCGTAGAAGTACAGCTCGCCATCGAGTGCCGTACGGATGTTAATCGCCTGTTAATTGTTGTGGTTGATATCGAGCGAGACAAGTACTACATACGGGATACGGCAGGTATGTACGACAGGCGAGTGCGGACTTGGGTGCTGCGCATCTCATTGTGGTACGGATAGAGTGTCCGCAAATCAAATATACTTCCACTTCTTCACACATTTATTTATAACAGCACATTGCGAGCAACGATCCCATTGAGTACCATCATTATTGCCCCCCAGCTAGCCTGCTGGGGGCAGCAGCAGGCTACCCCACCTGCCGGAACCCGTGTTGCTCCCCAGCCATCATGACGAGACCCGTGGGCAGCCCCGCGGACTGCGTTGGGGGAAGGGCCGGCGGGAGGAGGTGAGGGGTCAGAGATGTACCAAAAAAACACAGGTTAGGGCAAAGCAAGGAGGCAGAGGAGGGGAGGGAATCGGCAAGAAGACGGTGAGAAGGCGGTGTTGCGGTGTGATGAGCGAGGGAAGGAGCATACTTCGATACTACTGTTATTACTAATAATGAGGCAGTTGTACGGCACAACGGCTGACCTTGATTGCCTCGTACATTTGTACGGCTTGCTCGGGAGGAACCACCTTGTCTTGATCTCCCTGATGTACGGCACGTGGCGGTACGGGGCCGTACGCGGGGCAGTACGGTACGGCAGAAATGTGAGAACAGGAGGGTGAACGACCCATGCATGCAGCCAACCCACCATGGTTGGTGTCAGCAGTTATGCGGTTCACTTGCTCCAAACCACGCATACATACACGCATACATACACGCACAAGCATAATTACACAGGCTGGCACAGACTAGTGGCCAATACTGTTTTCACCACATCCTTCCCAGACAGTACATTTATTTCCCCAACTCCCCAATCCCCACGGTCCGACCTGGAAGAATATGACGGGCGCCGCGAATCCGTCTGCGTGTTTGAGTGGCGAGCGCGCTTCGTACACGTCAGCAGCCGCGGGCAGCGGACCCAGCAGCAGGTCTAGGTAGCTGGGGGGGGTGGTGATAAGCGGGGCGGGGGGGGGGGTGACACGCGGGAGTAAAGGAGGAAGCAGCCGCCAGTCGCCAGTAACCGACGACAAGGGGTTGGAAGGGAGGGTCTTCCCGGCCTATGCATGCCCCATTTCCATGCCCCCCCTGCTCCCCATCCCCCCCGTTTCCATGCTCCCATGCTCCCCCCAGTCTCCCCCTCCCTCACCGGCTCTCGAACTTGTGCGTGTGTTCCGCCAGCAGCCGCAGGTCCACCACTCCGTACAGCGATGCACCCGCGGAGAAGGTGCGCCTGGGGGGCGGGTGGTTGGTGTTGATTGGTGTTGGTAAAACAGTGGTTGGTGTTGTTGGCAGGTTGTTGTTTTGGAGTGGTAGTTGGGGTGGTAAAAAAGGATGACCGTACGTAGTTTCCATTGGGTCGTTGGACACAGAAACCCACAGACAACTACCACGCCACCCCACAGCTCCCACCTGAACGCCAGGCACGCCAGTGTGGTGAAGCCCCCCGCACTGCCCCCCGAGATGCACAGCCGCCGCGGGTCCACCCGCCCGTCAGCCACCAGCCACTCTGCCGCCGCGCAGCAGTCCTGCACATCCACCTGGGGAGGGGGGGGCGGGGAGGAGGGAGGGAGGGAGGGGGAGATGGGAGATGGGGGAGATACCGGTAACTAGGAAAAACGCTCTCCTCCGCCCGCCACCCGCTACCCCAAACCCCAACCCCAAACCCCAAATCCCAAACCCAAACCCAAACCCAAACCCACCAGCCCCCAGCGCTCCCTCAGGCGGTTGCGGTACTCCCTGCCGTACCCCGTACTGCCTCCGTAGTCCACATCAGCAACCGCAAACCCTGGGTGGGTGTGTATGTGGGTGCAACGGTGGGGGTAGTTGGGTACAGTTGCGGTATGCACGTGTGGATGTGTTTTGCGAGGTAACGACAGGTAAGGACAAAGCTGTTACGGTGCATACAGGGGTTCGTCGACAAGGACACAGCAGAGGACGCAGAGCCCGGAAAGGAAGCCCATGATCGGATGCCCTGCCGTATATATAGGGGAATGAGAATGAGCACCTCATGGCAATTATGGCCCGTACAATGGAACCATATATGTTTGTACACTCCATACGTCGCACCTCTGCTAGTCCAGTACTGCAGCAGGGGGCTCAGGGCGGTTGAGGCGGCGGAGGTGGGGCCTCCGTGGCTCTTGACCAGCAGGGGGGGCAGCGAGCCGGGAAGGTGGGTGAAGTCCCTGTACGTGGGATGTGTACGTTTGAGGGGCAGCGCGAGATAGAAGTAGCTCATCAGCTCAGCAGCACCAGCAGCACCAGGAGCAATACCGGTACGAATACCGGTACGAATACCGGCTTTAAGCAACGTTCACCCAACATCCTTACTTGTTGGTTGGCGGGTAGAAGAGCATGTGGGCGGTTGTCGGTTGGTCGTCAAAGGTGGTTGGGTACGACAGCGCCTCGGGGACGGAAAGGTAGCCCCCGGGGAGCTGCGGATACATCATGTGTGTGTAGTTGAGTAGGACAAGAGCAAGCAAGTGGGAAAGGTTCGCATGTGAACCGCGAGTACAGGCAAAACAGACAACACAGATGATCCATCATGTGTGTGTTAAGAAAACTGGCCGCGAGGAGGAACGTACTTCATCATATACGTCCATCATGTGTGTGTGTGTGTCAGTGTGTGTATGTGGGGGAAACCATAACATGCGTCACATGGATAGATTGGAGGTTGGAGGTTGGGGACTTCCCTGCCATTGCTCCCCCTCACCCAGCCGCCTCTTATCCCCATGGCGTTACCCTAACTCTCTGTTTCGAAACGTCGGTTTCGTCTGTGGTCTCTCCGTCTCCGTCTCCCAACCCTTCCACCACCACGCCGCCTCCTACCTGGCTTCCAGTCGATTTGCGCACCTCCAGCCAGTCGCTCGGCCCCACACTCGCAAGCGCCGCCGCTGACGTCACACTCAGTTGTACGACAGCCGCAGCACGGGAGGGCGACGCTGCAACCGCCGCAATCGTCAAACCACCATTGCCCTTACCATTACCGCCGACAGCACCACCACTGCTACCACTACCGCCAGCAGCAGCAGCAGCAGCAGCAGCAGCAGCAGCAGCCGGTGCCTCTCGGACCGTGAGAATGGGTGCTCCAAAGTGTGTGAAGCCTGTGAAAGGGGAGAGGCAGGATTGCAGATGTAGAACCCAGTTAGAAGACTCACACAATATACCGGTAAGAGGGTCCTACCCCCCCCACCCGCCTTCCCTTGAGCCCACTTCTCTTCACCAAGGGGAAACCAACTTCACCAGGCCCTCCTTTGCGCACACTTCTCCTTACCCGCGTCAATGCGTGTCAGCTGCCAGCCAGCCCCCGACTGTGACGGTTGTGACGGCGGTTGTAGCAGAGCGAGGGAGGTTCCCGCGACCCGTGGGTCACAAAACACCGCCAACACGGACCCGTCGGAGAGAACCTGGGGGACAGCCAGGGGAGTGTTGATAAAGATGGAGCCAGCAATGGGCCTCCAATACCGGTATACCATTCAGATGCCGTCAATACCGGGCTGGTTCGTCGGAAGTATGTTGCCAAGTGCGCTACCACAACACAAAGCAAGTGAAAACAAGCAAACCAAACCGCCGTTCGCTTCCTTCACTTTCTTGCCTGGTACGAGCGCCTGTCCAGGGTCCACAAGGGGAAGCCCCAGTCGGCCTGCATGGGGCTCAGCGACTCCGCCGCCTCTGCAGCCGCCTCCCAGCCGCCCTCCATGCCCCTGCTGGCGCTGTCGCCGCCGCCGCTGCCACCGCTGCCACCCACCTCTTGCTTCGGTCCTTCTCCGGCCTTCTCCTCCTCCTTCCCACCACTCTCCTGGAATCCCTGGGAAGTGGGTGTGCGGCAGCGATAGAGGTTCCACCAACCCGTACGGTCATCTATGAAGTACAAGTACGAGCCGTCAGGGGACCAAACCGGCTGCTGTATGGCGCTACCGTCGTCGTTTACATTGCTGTCAACAACGTTGCCGTCGCCGCCATTGCCGTCACTTGTGGTGCTGCCGCTGCTGGCTGCTGCTGCTGCTGCTCCCTCTGCTGCTTTGATGCTCCCGGCGGCGGTGCGGCCGCCGCTGCCGCCAGCAATCCTAACCGTAACAGACAGGGAGCGCTCGTTTACGGTTAAAAAGCGGTTAAGCGATTAGGTTCCAGGAGGTTAGGTCTCGGGAGGTATTCGAACGTCAGGAGGTGCTCTCACACCAATGCTTTCAGGAAGTGTTGTTAGGAACCGCCTTCACCTTTGCACCAAAAGCTAAGGGCGGGTTGGGTTCAATACGGCTATGGTGGTGGCTAGGTTAATAAGGCTCTGCTCTAGCTAGTCTCTCTCCATCTCCCGTCCTTTCCCCTAATCACCTGACGGGCTGACCCACGGTTCCGTCCTGCCCCACGGGAGCCACCATGAGTCGGGTGCAGTCCTGGTGAATGGGGCGGGGGCCGGGGTAAGACAGGTGGGGCAAAACGTTCCGAGCCGCCGGGTACAAGCCGTACAACGGTCAAGCGGGGGACCAAAAAGGTTGATAGGAGAAGGGACCTTTTGGAACGTGATACGGTATATTGACGCTATGTGGACACGCACAACCCACCTAGGGTCGCGAGGCCCCAACTATCTACCCGCGAGGCCTCACCCCCCCGCACCCCCTCACCCACCCACCCAGGGCATGTTGGGGAAGTCCCATTCCACCCATGCCAGCCAGCGGCCGCAGGGGCTGGGGCGGGGGGCGGCGTAGAAGTCGGCTCCGGAGGCCAGCGGGGTGGCAGCGCCGCTGGAGACGTCTGGGGAGCGAGTGAGGGCGGAGGGTTGCTGAATGACATCCGTGCGGGAACACGAGAGGAAGCAGGGAGGAAGCAACTAAGTAATCGTGTGACAAGGACCCATGGGACGCATCATGGGGACGCATCATGGGGACGCGAGTAGGAGTAGATTACCTGATGAGTTATTAAGCTTATTACCGGTACGTCATCGCTCGTCCACCAACAGCAACAACTCAAAAGCAATAACTCACCGATCGCAACCAACCGATTAACGACCTTGTCAGGTGGCAGCTCAGCGCCGGTTGCCGAATCGCGATGGTGCTCCGAAACCGAAACCAACCGCCGCCGAGTGGCGTCCCAACAGGCGTCGGCGAATCGTTCGCCACGGTCCACTGACCCATGGGTCACCAAACGCGGCGGCGATGGCGCCTGTTGGCCCCCGATGTCTTGAACGTAGAGCGCTTGGTCGCTGTGTAACCAACCAATCAATTGCAATGAACAGGGACAAACCAGGAGGGGCTACGGTTTCCGTTGCACATGTGCGGGTAAGCTAGTAACGAACGAGTCGACTCACGCTTGTCAAGCATCTCTGAAAATGGAGGCACAAAAGGAAAGTGGGGCAAAAGGGGAAAGTGGGGCAATAGAGGTGGAAAGTGGTAGAATCCGCATGCAACCGGGCTGCCATGCAAACCCACTTAAACACCCGCTATATGTGCTGTTGTTGTCCCTAACGACCCATGACCGGAACCATCCGCCTGCTCATTAGTTATCATCACCTGTAGTTTGAAAAGTACACCCGGTCATTCTCCTCTACCAGGCAGTACTCGAATCCGCCGTACTCGTGTACCGTCGTACGGACGTTGAATCCGGAATCCACTCCCGGCGTCACGTCCCGTATGCTGCCGTCGGCTGGCGACCTGCATTTTGGTTATTACCGGGGAATGTGGGTGCAGGACAATGGGGCATATCGGTCGAGCGTACCGGTAACAAACTATGGGTGCTGAGAGCTGGTATGCACGACACTGGACACTGCTGGCACTTGGGTTGCTCACGCATGGAAAACCAAATACGTTGGAAGCGAAGAAATACAATTGTAAGGAGTACGTAGCTGGTCTTAGGCCAGCCGAAGGTCACAGTTACAGCCTGTACGCGTGTGTACAGTTTGTCCGTACGAGGTAAAACAGGAGCGTATGACCGTGATTGAAGAGGATGGGGACCACAGGACGACCGCTCTTACCGCATCACCAGCACTTGACGACCCGCCTCGTCGGGTCGACCCTCCAACCAGAACAGGGCGCCATCAGAGGCGCGTAGCTGCGGACTGCCTAACCGCACAGCCTTTTCGGTGATGAAGGCGGATGTGATGGGCGATTCCCATTCGCCCAGCGCAGCAGGACGAGGTGCGCTAGAGATAGCGGCAGCAGGAGCTAATGGCGATGGTGTTGAGGATTGGGGATCTACCGTTTCGGCAGAGGTTTGCTGCCTCGGTGGAGATAGCGAAGATGGCTTGGCATCGGCTTCCTTGGATTCCCGGTTGCCCATAGTTCTCCGATCTGGGGCTAATGCTAGTCTAAATTCTTAGCTTAATGGGATAATTATGACAGCGAAGTGGTTAGCAAGGTAGGATTCGGATGCGCAAGGATTTGTTGCTTGCTCGCTGTAGGGAAAGACTTGACGAAAGCTCTCCGACGATAGATGCTGACTTGAAATTGCCATGCAGGTAGAGTTTACGCCTTGATAGATCACGAGTGGTCCAAAGGATCTTTGCGCCACCTGGTTCTTGTACAACGTGCAACATGCGTTCATGCTTTTAACGTTGGGTCTTTCAACGGACATTTCCATTAACTACCCACCTTTCCTTTTGGGCATTACAAGCTCGTTGGGACTGGAAAATCAGCCATCGTTGGGGTGTCGAGCTCCGGAACCGCTTAGTGACGCAGCAACCGAGGCAACTGCCAGCGATGAATGTTTTTTCTGTAGCTTAACCGTCTGCCAGAGAATACTGCTTATATATCCGCGTTGTGGTTCGAAGGCCTAAAGCTTTACTATAAGTTTCTGAGCTTCTGACTTCTTCGTTCTGCTCCTTACACCAAAATGGCTGCCCTTAATCGCCTTCAGAAGATAGCTTCGCATCTTGACCCGCCTAAGACCGTGAAGGTAAGCTGACTTTGTGGACCAAGCTGGCGTAACGGGATCTGACATCTGCTTCGTGCCCGGAGGGACCTGTCAAGCCGGCCTGCTGTTTGCTAGTCCTGCATTGTCGTTTTAGCCATTTCTTTTCATGGTAATGGCCTGTATCTCCGTTTCCACGTCAGCATTAGCAAAGACGGTTGACTGCTGTCCATTTTGAGGGCCCAGGAACAATCAAACAAAGCTTTAGGTAACACACCATACGAATGGTGACCTTTTCTTGTACGGGAAAGGTGGAAACAGGCGACACGGCTAACCGCAATTGCAATGCTTGCGGCTTGAGTGCGCAGTCCAGCGCACTCTTGCCGACTACTGTTATATTGAAGGGCCCGTTCTTGTCTCACCCGCGACAAGCATTCCTCGCCCACACGACACTCACCTCTAACCCTTGCTACTCTCAAGTTCCCCGTCTCTTATTTTCCACCGCCCCCACTCAATTGCCCCTAGTTCAAGGTTGCTGTGCTGGGAGCTGCTGGCGGCATCGGCCAGCCGCTTTCTATGCTGCTCAAGATGTCGCCCTACATTTCCGAGCTCTCACTGTACGATGTCGCCAACACCCCGGGCGTGGCCGCCGACATTTCGCACATGAGCACTGGAGCACGAGTTAAGGGCTACCTAGGTCCCGCTCAGCTGCCGGCGGCGCTGACCGCCTGTCAGCTGGTCATCATCCCTGCAGGTAGGTGAACATTAGAAGGACGAAGGGGGGGCAGAATGTCGAGAGGGAAAAAAGGATGACCTGTCGGGAGGTTCAGCCCCAGGGGGGACTGCATCCAAGATTGCTCATAAGAACTACTTCACCCGCCGCTCGTCGCCCTCCCCCCCTCCCATCACATGCACACCCCATTGCGGCCACACACACCCCACTCAATCACAGTACGTTTCGCCTCGCGGCCAGTTATTTTAACACACCCCACTCCCTTGAACTTTTACAAGTCACGACACCAAAAACCCCCCGTGTCGCAACCCCTCTCTTTCCCCTACAACCATGCGTATGCCGTACAACCCAGCCCCCCACCCCATCTCCCCTGCTTTACACTCTCCTTCCCCTTCAAAACACACATCTACACTTCTTTTCCCCTTCCCCCCTGTCCCTCCAGGCGTCCCCCGCAAGCCCGGCATGACGCGTGACGACCTGTTCAACATCAACGCGGGGATCGTGCGGGGCCTTGTGGAGGCAGTGGCAACCCACTGTCCCTCCGCCTGGGTTGCCATCATCTCCAACCCCGTCAATTCCACTGTCCCCATTGCGGCTGAGGTGCTTAAGAAGGCCGGTGAGTTAGGAGTTGGCGCCGATAATGCTGATGACAGGTTACGCTACGGTACTAGGCTGTGGATCCATGGAGCTACACATTTGCTACTGTTGGTAACAAAGGACTTTCAATCATTCCAATCATGCTTAAAACCATCGCCCATCTACCAACTTCCAACTGTCACCAACTAACCGCAGGCGTGTTCCAGCCCGGGCGGTTGTTCGGTGTAACGACTCTGGATGTCGTACGAGCGGAGGCCTTTGTGGCGGAGCTGGTGGGCGCCGACCCACGGGACGTCTCCGTGCCGGTGGTGGGCGGCCACGCGGGTATCACCATCCTGCCACTGCTCTCGCAGGTGTGTGTGTTCGGTGCGTTATATGTGTGTTAAGGAAACTGGCTGATATGTGTGTGTGTGTGTTTTTTGATTTGAAAACAGTGACCATGACTTTATCCGTACGTGCCACCATGTCCGCCACATTGCCGCTTCTCTTGGAAGAGCAGCAATGTGGCGGACATGGTGGCACGTACGGATAAGGTCATGCTCACTGTTTCCTCGCGGCCTGCCTGGCTCAGTTGGGGCTTCACACCACCACCACCACCACCACCCCTGCTGCACTCACCACTTATTATTCTCCATCCCCTCGCAGTCCCGCCCCCCGCTGCCCGCCTCCATGCCTCTGGAGCAGCGCAAGGCCCTCATGGCGCGCATCCAGGACGCGGGTACCGAGGTGGTGCAGGTGAGGTGGGCTGTGCTCCTGAGGGTGTTCCTTTGTTCCGTCGTGAAGGAAGAATGGATCAAAGGAGGAATCCTGCGGAGGACGGCAGACCCCTGGGTCAGTGGTGGTGATGGTTGCGGCTCTTAGCACGTATGGGATGTAGAACCTTGGGAATAACTTGATAGTTGGTGAACGCCGGGCATTAGAGACTTCCACTCGATTGACCCGCTACCCTTCTTTACCCCTCCTTCCTTTGCCCCTCCCTCCTCCCTCCCCCCCACCCTCAGGCCAAGGCCGGTGCCGGCTCCGCGACTCTCTCAATGGCCTACGCAGCCGCACGATTCGCCGACTCCTGCCTTCGAGCCATGTCCGGAGAGGGACCCGTGACCGAGTACGCTTACGTGGCAGCAACCGCCGCCTCATCTTCCGTCGTACCAGCTGGCCTGCCGTACTTTTCATCTCCGTTGCGACTTGGTCGCGGCGGCGTGGAGGAGGTGCTGCCGCTGGGTCCGCTTGACGCGCTGGAGGCCGAGAACCTGGCTGCAATGAAGGATGAGCTGCTTGGAAGTATTCGCAAGGGGGTTGAGTTTGCGGCAAAGGGTCCTGCTGCGGCGCCGGCTAAGTAGGAAAATGGGTTGCAGCAGAGGAGCAGTAGAGGAGAAGCACCGGAAGAGGAGTTCAGGTGTACGGCAGGGGCACCAGAAGAGGAGTTCAGGTGTACGGCAGGGGCACCAGAAGAGGAGTTCAGGTGTACGGCAGGGGCACCAGAAGAGGAGTTCAGGTGTACGGCAGGGGCACCAGAAGAGGAGTTCAGGTGTACGGCAGGGGCACCAGAAGAGGAGTTCAGGTGTACGGCAGGGGCACCAGAAGAGGAGTTCAGGTGTACGGCAGGGGCACCAGAAGAGGAGTTCAGGTGTACGGCAGGGGCACATGTGAGGAGGACCTGCGGAATGCGTCTGCGTCTTGTGTAAATCAGGTGTGTGCGAGAAGTTAATTGTACGGAGTATGGGAGTGGAGTCTTTACGGGGGTTTGGCTCTTTCCTTGCGTTCACTGTGTCTTTCCTTGTGTACGATATAAGTAGATATCGCTTTATTACTTTGTTGTTGTGCAGTATCGATGGCAGGTGCCTCGCGGGTGTCTCGTAGCAGTGTGTCTCTCGTAGCGGTTGGGTAGTGCCGGTTTGCTGTCGTTTCGCTGTGCTGTGGGTCATGCTAGCTTGTGTGCCCCGACGACTTGTATGCAATCATTCATTGCTTGTTACTTGAATACTGTTCGGCTCGGGCTTGGGCGGCGGGTAGCATGAGTACATGGCCGCATGCTAACGCGGCCCACAACGCCCCCACGCGCATTTATGAAGGCTCATTCCCATGCGCGTCTCCCATTCGCCTAGAAAGTGCGCACAAGGGGATAAAAACCCGATCTTTAGTGCGCCACTTTCTACATGCATGGAGGGTCTCATGAGTTTTGCGAAAAGATGAGAAAGCAAGGTAGGGATGTCTCCGGCTGCGCCACATTTCCGTTCAAGGATGCTATAGGATATTGGGAGGAGCAACAAGGCGTCCGTGACAGGATGTTGATAGTCCGGGTTCCAATCCCTTTGGTCTGGGTTTTGTAGCCCTGGTGGCGTCTCCGTGCGGCAGCGGTGCCGGTGTAAAAGCTCAACGTTCGCTAGCTGGCATTTGGCTGTCTACAGTGACATCTGACTTCCTGTCACGGGCGAGTCACGGCTACAGCTACGTTGGCGCGCAGAACGCACCGGCGCACGTGGTACCGGTAGCCACATCACGCACATACCCGGACTGCGCCATCGCTCATCGGCCCATCTTAAGGCATTTGTCTTTGCGTCGTTGGACTGAGTAAACACGCCTGTAGACATTCGGATATGCAGGGAAATTAAAAAATTTGAACTCTCCTTTAAGAGTGCGACAGGAACCCAAGCAACGCTTGCAGGAGGCAGGCAAGAGCACGGGCACACGGGTAAGGAACACCAAACAGGATCGGCCAAGATCCGCCAAACGCCGCAAATCCCCGCATCCGCCGACCGCCGTGTTCTGCCATAAGCAAAACGCCCCGCACATGCGTGTGTTATTTTTGCTAAATGGTCGTGTGCAGTGAAAAGGAATTCAATTTATTGATGTAGTACAACGCCACTACCAACAAGTGCCGTAAGCCGTCAATCGTAACGTATCGTAATTATGCACACGCTGCCATCTATATTTGATACCTCGACCCACATGACGAGTTCCTGAGTCGCTCGATCTACCGCAATACGCAAAAAAATGAGTGAAGCCTGTCCCCAGACTTTATCCCTCCTCCAATTTATCCCCCGCCCCCCCAAACTCCACCAATGGGGTTGGCTACTGGGGTCTGGGAGGTGGTACCCAAGTGATTCTATGACGACTCACATAAACGACTAGAATTTCTCTCAGACAGCAGCAACGCACGTCGAGCATCGCAATTGAGAAACAAATATCCCCGTTCGTACCCAACCAACTCACATACGTCGCCCAAAACCACTCCAGCAGCGATAGCTATTTCATACGCTTTTCCGTCGTAGGCTTCACAGCTTCTACCCTCTGCTCTTAACCAATTTATTTTAGTAGCCAGCCCATCCCAAATTTACTCAGCTTACTCCATTGCCGCTTCAGGACAGGGTGCAAAGTGTAACCGCAGAACGGCCTACGCCCTTTTTCCTAAAACTCGTGCCCCAGACGCCACCGCAAGCAAAAGTCAAAGTACTGTCCAACATTTGGTAGGATGAAAAATTCCTCCCCTAAACCGCAGTTAGGACGATCGACGAGGACGGCAAGCTTGGAACGATAGCAGCTTACGATTAAGACCTCGTTTGGTGACGTACGGTGCCCTTCATCCAGTGTGAGCTCGAATCTCCAAAACAAACGCTACTTTGCCGGAGTGATGTTGACGGAGTGATGTTGAGGGCACGTGGCTCCAACCCTCTCCCCTACCCTGATTCAATATCCCAAACATCCGACAAACCAAACCTAACCACCGTAACGAGTGTGCCTAAAAAGCGTTGGCAAAACAAGGAATCGGGGCAAACTAGCCACCAAACACACAGGCCGAGCACATCTTATTCCACAGCGCCACACACGCATACAGCCACTCGTAGCAACAACCATACGTGCCGTGCTTTACACCCACATATACCACGCACGCTTTGTCTCACACATACCAAGCTCCATAACACAGGTGAAACGTGGTTCCAAAACTGAAATCCAACCTATCGAGCTTGTCTTCACATGATACGAACGTCCCCACCCAACGTAAGGTGTAACGCCATGGCCACGAGAGCGGGCTCGTCCTATCCTCACGCCAGACCAGCTCCCCTAGCGCAATAGGGTGCTTTTTTGTCAAACGGGCAGCAGGTAAAACAGCAAGTAAACAACCCCCGTGCATACCAGCACCCCATTTTCGCGGGATAGGAAGGAAGCAGGTCGGTGTTGCCATTCGCCCAAACCCATAGAACCAGCCCCCGCAGGGCTCTGCCACACCCCCAAAAGCTGCACCATTGCCGCACAAGGCAACCAGATAGGCACACCTTGTCCGAAACGCCGCCGCAACGGGGATTGCCCGTGCCCGCATACGCATTCAACACCACGCAAATGCCATCGAGCCATCCAGGGTACGTTCCCACTCGCAGTGTCCATATCTAACAACATGCAGATTCACGCAAGTGGCAGGAGGGGAGAGGCCACGTCATCAGGGGTCCTCAAGCTCCCAAACCCAGAAAGCCAGCTAGCAGCTATGGCACATACACGCAATTGCGGAACGGATTGCAACCGACCTTAACGACTTCAGCAGCTTAACAAAAACGAGTCACCACATAGCATGGTCGCATAACATCAGCCCATGGCATTCTCAGATCATGCGAATCATTCTTACGTATCATAGCATAGCACAGACCGAAACCACACACAGCTAAAGACTGTCACATCAGACGCGCATAACAGCAGGCATCTGCCAAGCGCTAGGAGCATCCAGGATCGCGATGAAAGCAATCCCAGGAATAACCTAAGTCAAGCGTTCGTTTGCTTTAACACACGCGGACTAAAAACATCATCAGGCGTCCGGGCAATTCTTAAGGTTCTGCTTCGCTTATACTTAGAGCGCTTGACCCTCCGCACATTTCAACTTGACCATAAAGGGCATGATATCCTTTCTTCCTTTCCCCTCCACCTAGCCAGTTTCCCTTCCAACCCAAGCCGCCATTCCACAGCCATGCTTACCGTTAAAACGACAAGAAGATGGTAAAGGACGACAAATACCAGCCGTCTATTTACCACGCTTCCGTCTATCTACCTTGCCAACTGTCAACTGTTAACCACCAATATCAACCACCCAACGCCAGAACAACTGTCGTATACCTCAGAAATTACATAACCACAGATCACAGACGATTGCATGAATCCGGGTAGCAATATACTTTTTGTTCGCATCTTGCCAACCTTGTACTTGTTCCTACAATAAACCCACCTGCCATCAGCTCATCACTTTCCTTTATGGTCCGCATAATCCTCACATGCCACCATCAACCACACATGCTCAACGCACGCAACACGCCACCCCAATTGACCCTTCCACTCGCATTCCGGCACTACCATTTTCATTCCTCCTCCCACTGTCGGGTGCTTTGGCACCTACTAGCTAGATTAGGCTCCTCCACATTGATTTCTCAATACTTGTGTTAACAGCGTATGCACACGGCGGGCCCGCCCGCTTACCCGCTTGCCTGCCCCTTGGCCGCCTAGCAGCAATTGGCTGTGCGGCAATATGTACGGCTGGCTGAATGACAGGCTGTACGACAAATTGAAACACGCTCATCTGGCTCCGCAGGCTGCAACGACTGCCTAGCTGCATGCACCCTGCCTACTAAGCCGAATGCAGGCGAGCAAACTTCAGCAGCTTGGCATTACTGGCAACACCCAACCTCCCCTCGCCCTCCTCCTCCTCATCCTCTCCAAGCGGCCCCAGCACCCTATCAACACCAGCCGCAGCGATTACGTCAGTGTCGTACTCATCTCCGAAACCGCCGCCGTCATCCCCTACGTGGTCATAGCCGCCATCTCCGTCACTGTCGCTGATCTCACTGACGCCCTCCCGGCTGCCACGAGCAGCATCTGCATCCGCGGGGCCGCCGCCGTTACCGTTGCCACAACCGTTTTGCGCGAGAGCGATAAACGGAACGTCCCTTCCTCCCGCCTGCTGCTGCTGGGACCGGTGTTGGGGCTGCTGCTCTAAAGCTACAAGGCCCATCAAGCGGTGCGGCGGCTGCGCTTGCGCCGACCCACGGGTCATCTCCCCTGAAACACAGTTGCGGTTGTGTTCATTGTCGTTGTGGTCGTTGGTGCGGTTGCCGCTGCCGTTAGCTGCCGCGCCGCCGCCTCCGTCGCTGCTCGTCATGTTGCTACTGCCGAGGGTGACGGTTGAGCCGTTAGCTGTGATGGTAGAGCTAGTGTTGCTGTTGCTGCCACCAATGAGGCTCGGGTGCTGATGGGTTTTACTGCCCAACCCTCTCCCCGGCGCCGCTGCTGCCGTACCTCCTGCCCCGGATCCCACCACTGACGCGATCTGCAGCCCCGCCGCGCGCTGTCGCTCGGCAGCTCGTTGCAGTTTGAGTTCGTTGCGAACGTTCTGTTCGATCTTGGTTAGGATCTTCACGATCGCCTCGAAGCTGGGTCTCTTTTCCGGGTTGGTTGCGAGGCAGGCGCGACCCAGTCGAACCAGAGCGGGGTGCGCGGAGGGGGGCCAGGTGGGGGTGAGCTGCGGGAGAGGAAGGAGGAGGGGCAAGGGGGTGAAGGGAGGGGACGATTTGTGTGAGGGTTGTGAAGCGGGTTGCATGCGTCTTTAGGATAGGAATGGCGAACACCAAGACGTTCGTAACCGCTACGGTAATGGAACCAAGGGTTCACATGCATGCACCCATGCGCTTGCGCTTATGCATGCTCAAGACGCTGCGGCTGCTGCTCACCGTGCCCTGCGACACGCCGACCAGGATCTGTTGTACGGTACACTTGCCGTACGGCATCACGTCTCCCGTCACCAACTGCCACAACAGAATGCCGTACGAGAAGACGTCTGCATGGTGGAAGGCGTGGGGATGGCACACGGGGGGATGGGGCTTTTGGAACGAGATGCACTGTTGGGCGGGAACAAACGTACACGGTTAATTCCGGTCTCTAGGAAACTGGGTGCTTGCATGGTCTGTGGCTTGCAAGGTGTCAGGGCTACCGTGGGGTGAGGGCCCCGCCCTCCCTGGCCCACCTCCCTCCCTCGCCATATCCCTCTGCTCCTCCTCCTAAAGCCCCCTCCCAGCCCCAGCCCCCCTCCCTCTCTCACCCGACGCCTTGCTCCACCTGCCCAGAATCACCTCTGGCGCCATCACCGTCACGGTGGACCAGTGGTTCAGCTCCAGAGGCTTGTCGCCGCGGGCGATCTGCAAGCAGCAGCAGCAGCAGCAGCCGCAGCAGCAGCAGACAGGGCAACAGGACAACAGCAGTACGCAACACTTGAGATTCCAGCTTAGCACGTACCGGAGGCAACATGTACCGGAGGCAACATGTACCGGAGGCAACATGTACCGGAGGCAACATGTACCGGAGGCAACATGTACCGGAGGCAACATGTACCGGAGGCAACATGTACCGGAGGCAACATGTACCGGAGGCAACATGTACCGGAGGCAACATGTACCGGAGGCAACATGTACCGGAGGCAACATGTACCGGAGGCAACATGTACCGGAGGCAACATGTACCGGAGGCAACATGTACCGGAGGCAACATGTACCGGAGGCAACATGTACCGGAGGCAACACCGCCTCTTCAAAAGATCCCTGTATGCACACACGCACACGTGCCTAGCACGCATGCACGTCCCGACTCGCAACCATGTTTCTTGGCACATGCATAACAAGGCATGCACGCACCCACATGACGATGCACCCCCCCAATGGCGAGGAGCCTTTGTCACATGGCCGGCTTTTTCCCCTACCACACAAAGCAGCCACCCCCAACTGCCACCCCCAGCACCCACCCACCTTGCTCAACCCGAAATCGCTCACGAGCGCTACGAATCCCCTCCTGTCGCTCCTGCAGCCCCGCAGCAGTACATTGCCAGGCTTGAGGTCGCCGTGGATGATGCCGTTGGCGTGCAGGTGGCACATACCCTGGGGGGGCATGCAGGGAGGGGAGCGGTGGAGGGGAGGGTCCGGACTCCGGAGGATGGGGGCATAGCAGGGTGAACGAGGGGAAGCAAGACCGGAAGGGAAGCGAGCTGGAATGCAGCAGAGCAGGAGGGCAGCAGTGCAGGGGTGCCCCCTCGCTCTCCCTTCCTATGACAGACCCACGGGTCGCTCTCGCTTCTCATACACCCATCCCCACCGCCTACCTGCGCAATGTCCCGAGACGTCCTCAGGATGGCCCTCAGCACCACTCGCTGACTGTACCGCAGGTGCTGAGCTGCAGCGGCTGCAGCAGCAGCGGCGGCAGGGGCGTCTGAGGCAGCAGCAGCAGGGGAGTCTGAGGCAGCATGACCCCCAACAGCAGCAGCAGCAGCGGCTTGAGCAGGTGCATGGGGCGGTGGTGGCACATTATCGGTTCGGAAGACGCCTCGTTTGATTGCACAAAGCAGAGAGCCCCGGTCGCAATACTCCTGCATGCACGCATTTGCGAGGGTAGGGGGTAGGTGGGCGTTAGGGTTTGTATGTACGGCGATATAGCAGGCGGTTTACATACAAGGTGCAGCTGGGGGCCTTCACACAGCTTGTGTGAGCGATGTACCCAGATAGAACCCGCCCCCCCTAACCCCAAACCCTAACCCCCCCTCCCCCCCCCACCATGATGATGTGGGTCAGGTACATGCCGGGACGAGCCTTCATGTACGACAACACGTGCCGTACAGTCCACTGCTCCCTGCCGTTGCGTGCGGGGTCGGGCTCGCCAAACCTGTGTACGACACGAAAGTGCGCCAAGATGTACGACAAGGAAGGCATGAACGATGACACGGGTAAAGAAAGCTGTACACATATGCCGTAACGCGGGTCACAGGTATGTGCGGGGATGAGGACCAGGGGGGTCCAGAAGGCGTGGGATGTGTTTGGGAAGGATGGAAACAAGACAGGGCACTGCACACCGCACAGGCCACGCCCTGCCTACACAATAGCGCACGCCGCGCCCGCCCTCCCTCCACCTTTTGGCATTGAGCAAGGACAGTGGGAGCACTTAAGGCGGCACCTTCTTCTTTACCCACCACCACCACCACCACCACCACCGCCACCGCCACCGCCACCACCACCGCCACCGCCACCACCGCCACCTACCCTTCTTCAGACTGGAAGGTCGACTCCAGTCCCACGCCCATGCCCCCTGCTGTGCCTGCCGAGGAGCTCCCAAAACTGCCGCCATGCGGTTGTGCACCTGCCCCCCCCGCTGGCCCCCCTGCCCCCCCTGCCCCTGCTGCAGCGCTTCCTCCATGCGCCAGCAGGATTGCGGCCTCATCTGCGGAGGCCGGTGCAGCCCCCGCCGCGCCCTCCGACGCTCGGGCAGCAGCAACCGCCTGCGTGTTTTGAGGGGAGGAGACGTGAGGGCAGAGAGGAAGCGAAGGTGGTGGTGGGGGCGAAGTGGAGTCGAAGGGGACATCAGGATTACCCCAACGCACGCATGCCCGCCGCCGCCTCCCCAGGCCCGGCCGCCCCACCCGCACCGTCACCTTCACCACTCTGCCCACAACTCTGTCCACAACCAGCAACGACGCCCACTTCACTGCCCTCCCACCCTCCTCCTCTTCTCTACCCCCACCCTCACCTGCGCCCTTCGAACCCGCGTGCTCAGGTTCTCAGCGGGGTGCAGCAGACTGCGGTGCGCCGCAGCAACCGCCGTCGCAACACCACCACCCGGAGCAGATCCCACACCACCGCCAACACCGCCAACACCAGAAGGAGCAGCTGCGGCTGCTGCTGCAGCAGCAGCATTCGTAACAGACGTGCTGGTAAACATGCCGGAGTTGTTGCTTGACGGCAGAGACCCCGCCGCCGCCGCCTGCGGTCCCATGCACCCGGACATGCCGGTAAACCCAGTCCCCGCGCTGTCACCGCTGCCGCCGTTTCCGCCTCCGCATCCGGCGTTGTGGGTGGTGGCCCCTCCCTGGTTGGTGTTGCCAGCACTGCTGCTGCCGGCCGCGTGCAGCGTACCCACGAAACCATGTGTGGACAGGAGGTGCTGTTGCTGCTGTTGCTGCAGGTGCGGGTGCGGGTGCTGAGAGTTGGGTTGTTGTTGTTGGTGCAGATGCTGGGCATTGTGTGGGAGGTGGTGGTGGTGGTGTGGGTGTTGTTGTTGCTGGTTGTGGAGAGAGGTGTGAAGGAGAGAGGCCTGGGAGTGGAGGTGTTGGTGTCTGCGGGACCACTGGCGTTGTAGGCCGTGGTGGGCAGGGGCTCCGAAACCCTCCCGATCAAAGGACGCGGTGGACTCCATTAGGGCGTTGTAGAGGGCCTGTGGGTGGCGTGGGGTAGGGGGGGAAGTTATATAATAAATGCAAACAACTAAAGTCCCAATCCCATAGCCCGACTCATGCAGTGGGGGGAGGTGGGGGGCATGTTGTTAAGAATAGGGATAAGGGCTAAAAGGAAACTGACGAGGCAACCAACGAGCTGTGTGACATGTAGGCTTCACCATGGGGTGCAAACATGGTAGCCGGCCCAGGGGTGGGGTGCGTAGAGGAGATCAGACACGCGCATGCCACCGAAACCCCAGAGCATCATCACCACCCTACCAGCACCCCCAACCCTGCCACCACTGTCTCTCCCCTCCCCCCCCCTCTCCCCCGCCTCACCGTAGCACTGCAATCGTCCGCGCTCGCCCCCGCCCCCATGTACCCGTAAGCCGGGTGTCCCTGCCCCCCCGCCGCCCCCGCTGCTCCTCCCCCTCCCCTGCCGCCCCCGCCTGCTCCCCCGCCCGCCGCCCCCTCCTCGGGGGCAAAGGACACCTCCATGAGGCGAGTCACGTCGAAGCTGTAGGTGGTCACCACATTGGGGTGACCCACCTGTACGGCAGGGCAGTACGGCAGGAGAGGTGAGAGTACGGCAGGGCAGTACGGCAGGGCAGTACGGCAGGAGAGGTGAGAGTACGGCAGGGCAGTACGGCAGGGCAGTACGGCAGGAGCGGTGAGAGTACGGCACCGCAGGGGAAGGTATGGGTAGCAATGCATGTACGCATAGCTCTCTCCCCTTTCGGCCTCCCTGTTTCCCCACATCGGCAAGGGCCGTTACCATGCCTTGTCTTGTGGCGCACTGTCGCCTACCTCCTACCTCCCCTTTGTCTTTTATCCCCCGCTCCTTCCCCCCTCCCTGCACCCACCGCCAGACTAACTATGGCCTCCAGGGCGGTTGCGTCCACGTGCGCGGGGGAGGCTGCTAACATGAACTTGACCGCCACGGGGGCTCCCTGCCACACGCCCTGCGAAGGGAGGGAGGAAAAAAGAAATTCCAATGTGTGGTGTGATAGTGTAGTGTGGTGCGGAGGGAGGGAGGAGGAGGGGGATGAGAGGTTGGGGAGTGCAGGAACAGAGGGGGTTGGGGTTAAGACTTGAGGGAGAGAGAGAGAGAGCGGTTACTCCACTGCCACCCAAGCACCCGCTGCCACATAGCCAGCCTGTTCCTAAAGCTCCCTTAACAATGCCGGTAGCACTCATGAGGTTTACTTGCTGTAAAGGGCTACACAGTAGTCCTGCACACGCAACACGCAACACCCCCACCACCTGCTTACCTGGAACACCGCACCTCCGCCCCCCTGCCCCACCCAGCTCAGCGCCCGCAGCTCCCGACTCAACAACGCCACATTGGTGGTGGCCAGGTGCTGCAGCGGCACATGGCCCGAGGGCGTGCCGAAGTGAAGCATGTGCAGCAACGAAATCTGGGGAGGGGGGGGTGGGGGTGGGGGTTAGAAGAGGAGAGGGAGGAGGGGCAGGTGGGGGTTTGGGGTGACCAGGTGAGGGTGGATGGAAGTCTGGCATGGGAGCAGGAGTGAAGGTGTTTGGAAACAGGTGTGCCGAACATAGGCGCCGTTGTTCACATGGCAGAGTAAGACAAGTGCCGGGTAGGGAAGGAGCGAAGGAGTCGGTAAGTGGAAACGGGACAGGGGGGTGGCAGTGCAAGTGCCGGTGGGCAGACAAGTGTCCTTTCCTCCCTCCTGCCGGTCTCTCCATGGCCTCCCCTCCATCCTTCTCCATGGCTCCCCCTCCATCCTTCTCCATGCGACACACACACCTGAGAGGCATCCCGCACGGTCCTCTTGCCCTCCATGTGTCCTGCTGCTGCTGCCGCAGCTGCCGCAGCCGATGATGGGGTTAGCGCCACAGCTAGGGGCTGAAACAGGTGCTGCTGCTGCTGCTGCTGAGCCTGCTGCTGAGGTTGCTGCTGCGGCGGCTGATTAGGGTGGTGCTGTGAAGGGTGCTGCTGCTGCTGCTGTTGCTGTTGAACGTGTGCCTGGTAGGGTTGCGGTTGGGAGTGATATCGCGGCGGCGGCTGCTGCTGTTGCGGCTGCTGTGGATAATGCGGGGGCGGTGGAGACGCGACGGCCACGGTTGCTGCTGCCATGGCGGCGGTTGGACGGTTGGTGTCGTTAAGATGGTTGTTGTGAAGGAGCTGATTGGGCCCCATTGCTGTACCCGTACCGCCGCCAACGGCAACATCGCCGTTCTTTGGCAGGCTGCCGTACGTATTACCTTCGACGCCCCGCACTGCGTCAACTCTGGGATTTGGAAGTACGACATAAGCAGCAGCAGCAGCAGCGGCGGTGGCGGCTGCAGCGACTGGAGCCACATGAACCATTACAGCAGCACCACCAGTAGCAGCAGCAGCGGCGGCAGCCGGCTGCAATTGCTGCTGCTGCACCTTTCCTGGAGCTGTTACCCCCACGCCTGTCCCAGCCGCCGCTGCAGCAGCTGCCGCCACAACAGCTGCCCGGACGCTGCCGCCCGCCACGGAGGGTGTTGTTTGCGTAGCAGCAGCTACCCGCCCTCGATCACCACCACCACCACTGCTGCCGCCAGCAGCCTTCAGCACCTCAGGCTTGCTTTTCACTCGGCCGCGGTCCACCGCACTCCCCCTATCGCCTCTGCTCCGGTCCGTGCTCACCTTGCTACCTGCGCTGCCCCTGTCAGCACAGGGGACGGAGAACCCAGTGACACGATGCGCGCTGCCTCGATCTACGCTGCCTCGGCTCTTGTCCGTAATTCCGGTATGACCCACATCAGTGCTGCCGCCGCCAGCACCGCCCATGGAGCTATTGGCCGCAGCGGCAGCAGTGGCAGCTGAACTGCTGGCGGCGCCGCCACCTGACGTCGGCGCCGCCTCCGCCTCCGTCACACGACGCGACGGCGGCGGAGGGCCGCGGCGACGCCCGTCAGCGGCGGCACCCCCACCACCACCATCGGCGCCGCCACTGCCACCCGTCTCAGAGCAAAGCCAACGTCGCGCCATGGTTCCCAGGGCTCCGAAACCAAATCCACGGCTTGCGTTGCTGCCGAAGCCTCCGAAACCGCCAAGGAGGGGAACGAGGGTCGTGGTGGTCTTGCCGGACACATTGCAAGTGTGCGGGTCGCCACCACTGACACTGCGGCGGCCGGCGATGGTCCCTTGTTCGTAAGGCCCATCCAACGCAACGGCAGCGCTGGGAAAGATGGAAACAGGGTCAACGGGATTGCCCGCGACGCTGCCAGACATGATCATCACTGCAGCAGCAGCCGCAGCCTCCTGCTCCCGCTCCTCTTCCCCACCCAGATCTTCCCCATGCAGCGACTGCCCCTGCTCCTTATCGTACACCTCATAGAAGCTGCGAGCGGTCATCATGGGGTTGTTTGTGGTAATGGAGTTGGTTGCGGCGGTTGACAGTCCTGTATTTGCCCGCCTGCCCGCAAACACCCCGGCAGCAGATGCTGCAGCCCCGGCTCCTGCTGCTGTTGTTACCACAAAGGCATCCGTGGAAGACCTTCTGGCTCTAGCTGCTGCGGCGGCGGCGGCGAAGGCAGCAGCAGCAGTAGGGGTCTGGGCTGTGGTCACAGCGGCACCGGCGTTGCCGCTTCCCCCAGCTGCAGTAGTTGCGTGGAGGGAAGCGGGTGCAGCATGGGCCGCGGGGGAACGGCCACTTCCTGGCGCTCCACTGCCTGGGGTACTGGCTTGATTCCAAGGTTCGGATAACGAGTTGGGGATCGTCTGCAGACTTGATGCGTCCATGGCAGCCACGGCAGCGAGAGCTGGGCTGACCAAGGTAGATGTGATGAGCGATATGGCTCCTGCGGCTGCCATGCCTGCTGTTGTTGCTTGCGCTGCGGCGGATGGAGGTGTGTTGTTCAAGGCGAGCATCGGCAGGAGATGGATGTCGAGCGCGGCCGCGCAGGAATTAGGCGCGCTGTGCGCGTGGTCGTGAACGTTTTTCTCACTGTGGGCTGAAGAATGGTTGTTCGCCGTCGACTGACCGATGACAGCGAGCTGGAACGGGGACTCATCGAAGGTCCTGTCGTTTGCAGGAAAGCATACAGCGTATAGTCCGTCAACACAGGAGAGCATGGACAACTAAGATGGCTTCAACAAGCGCTCTACCAATAACGGTATGCTCGTCGGTAAGCAAAAAGCACCTAGCTCCTGCGTTCAAACCCTATCGGTGCGCCCGAACCACCGCGGTGGCCACGGTTCCTTCCTCTCTATAATAACCAGAGCAAAACCCCGTACCCATGCTGCTTGCCTCGTATGCTCCTCAAGCTGCAGCAGCCGTCCAGATGTCCCTGTTACCCGTGGTGCTTGCCGCTCGGTCTCGGGCACGCTAGGGGCAGTGCGACATCGCGTTTCTGTAGGTGACAGGTTATACCTGACAGATGCTGTTGGAAGGGAACTGCCCGGTACGCGAAAGACTTTGGTTGCGCTCGCTGAGGCATTAGCATTCTGGTCGACAGGTCCTTGCGTTGAGCTGTTGCTAAGAGGACATGCCTCTCCAGCAGCCTTCACTGTATCCTTTGGCACCACGGCATGCGTCTGCTGGCTTGCAGGGCGCTCTCCCTTCGTGAATTGTTGCGCCCCGTCATTTTCGCAGCACCCAGCAGCGTCGTTCTCATCTCCCGCATGTCCATGTCCAGGACTTCCTATTGAATGAGTGCCACAGCAAACGAAGGGCCACAGTCGCGGAGGCATGGAGCAACGGTGCCTAATAAATATCGGTCTTTTGAGGTTAAGTATAATCTCACAACGTCTCAAGTTTTGGCGTGTGGAAGTTCCCCATTGTCTGGTCTGAGCGTTCTATCGTGGCATGTACTTCGGGTTACACTGTACCGCCGGTGTACGGGCCAAGTACCAATTAGCGCATTGCTAATTGTGCTAAACCCCGCCCCGAAGGAGTGCTCGTTACTCATATCAAAACGTCCTGGTGTTTTCTATATCGTGCGCTTTTAGATACGTTGCCACGCTCCTTTGTCATGTCGTACAAGCAACGCGTAAGCGCCTCTGGTGTTTGGTGTTGCGCAACGTAGTCGTCAACGACGCACAGCTGCGTTCGATGTAACATGACCTGATTGTAAGTCATGAATTGAGCGTCCGCGCGCTGCAGGGCCGAATACGCCTCTTCTTCTAGCTATAATGCTATATCCCAGGCGCCCATACTCTGTAATCTAGATTCGCATATAAAGAGAAGCGGCCATGCTGAACCAAAATAAGTACTACGTAAGTTCTCCGTCAGCGCGAAAGCTGTATCAGGCAATGCGCACGTGCCCTACAGCCTCTTTCCTCTATGCGCCCTTTACCAGTACTTACCAGGTATGTTTGCCCCAAAGCTCGTACTGTAATAAAGTGCAAAAAACTTTGTTGCACTCTGTTCCGTCTGCCCAACCATTGTCGTAAGGCATCCGCATGGCAAGCGGAATTTAAGGATCAGCGGCTGCGGGTGCCTTGCTGGTAGCCTGTGAACCGGCTGTGCCGTCCATCCATAGCGAATACAACATAGACACTTTCTGTGTTGCGGTTCGTTCGTGTAGACCCTTTCTGTTTTTTTCATGTCTTTGTGAACCTGCTTTGTTCCCCTCCTGCCATGTTTTCTTGTCCACCCTTTTGCCCTGTCAACAAATGGATTTCATTAACCGCGCGACAACCATGCTGTAGCACAGTCATCACCACGCACCGTGGGGGGAGCGCTGACCCGAAGAGCTGTGTTTACCCTTTCCTCTTCACCTTGTTCACCAACGTTTCTTTGTCCCTGCACAAATCCTTGCACTACCCAAGTATACAACGGTGCACGCGCTCCTACACATCAAAACACCATGACCGATCCGGGGAGCATAGTACGGTATAATCTTGGTTAAGCATCAACTTGTACAGCTAAACAGCTTTCCATTCCGAACTTCTTTCGAAAGTGCTTCAATGCGTGTCATAAGTTATCGTCAGGTTTGCGGGATGAGTGGTAGTGTTTCCATTTTTTTGGAAAGCAGACATCATTTCCACAAAGAGCCCCTTTGTTTACAGCGCATACGCAAATGGCTTAAATATTTTAAAGCTTAGCCCCAGGATTGCATGAACACGCATAAATTGGCGCAGTCCTTAGCCAGTGCTCGAAACCCAAGCTCCGAAACCGTGCATTTTAAAAAAAACCGCTCATCAATAGCTGGCGTTCGAGTAAGAATTTAGGGAATTGTTTAGGTTACGTGGGGGCCCGAAGCGTGTCACATGTACAACGCTCGCATTTGTTGTGCGTGAAAGACGTAAGTAGGTATTCATGTGGCTGAACGGAACCTCTATCCCACGGGCCGGCACACCCTTATGTCAACGGCACAAAGCAAACCCCATACAGCGACCCAACAAAATGAAGTTCCCAGGAGAGACCCGTGGGTCAGTGTCAGAACCAAAACCCTACATTGTTGCCTCACGGCTCCCAATCCCTCCCATCCACCACCCCCACCGACTCCGCCAGAAACCGAACATCCCAAACGAAACCTGAAATGGTTCTAGTTACCCCAGCAACCCATTAATCCCTAGCCACCCCAGGGTGCCACCAACTACCAAAAACGGTACATCACAGAGGCCATTAACTTTAAATACTAAACGTTGAATTCTTGTCGACATCCAAACCCCAATTTACTCTGCCGAACAGTCATTGCGTATTAAATTGCAATGGGCAATCGCAAGAGGCCTAAACCGTAATCGGATCAGAGCAGCGACAAGACAAAAGACATTGAAAACATGCAAGAGTTGCCGAGAGTTATATTGCAGGCTTCCACGAGGCTTACTTCATTTCCATTCATTTCCAAGCCACCAAACACCATCAATCCTACCCGTTTTGTAAAGTTAGAGATAAAACTGTTGTGATATAAGAACCGTTGTTGCTAAATTCGTCGCAATAACCCACGGCCACGCGTCAACTCTTTTGCCATACCGTTGCCGTACCGTTGCACGGAAATGCACCTGATCCAGGGCTACGACCAAACCCCAAAAGTGATACCCTTACAACAGCAACAAGTAAACCGCCTAAGGGGACATCAACAATCCTATCTACACCTATTTGAGTGCCTTAAGCCACCTGCAGCCTTGCTGCAAAACCGAAATGGGGCAACTGAGGAGGAGCGAAAGCAATAGTGTGCAACCTAATACCAAAATCGTGCGACAGATTTTATCCCTTAGCTTTGCTTCACACATATTGATTGAGTTCTGCCGTGGCAACTTCCATTGAAAATAACCTCAAACGCCCAGTTAACCGCCATCGCAAAGCTCCTGTTGTCGCTTCCACTGCTCATCGTTTCAGACATGGTTAAGCCGATCCCGGCAGCTTTAAACGCGAAATTAGTATCAGCACAGCATTATTCGTGCGAACACCTCGGTGCATGCAGACAGACGTGCCGGCAGAAAAAAGGAACAAGTACAAACGCGCGCACGAGACCCTACCATAACTCAATTGCATCAAACACATCTACGACTCACGGCAACAGTTTCGTTAACATGCCGCTCTGGAGTTCATCCATTCTTTGCTCGGCCAGGCCTGCACTGAACCTGCAGCTCCTGTTACCAAACGCACGCTCGCATTACGTTCGGGGCCAGATCCTTAGCCACACGCCTTGCAACACATCAGCAGCTGCCTTCATGAAAACCCAAGGGCACGCAAAACTTGAAAAATGTTTTCACCACTCAAGTTTTGACGAGCTCCATTGCTTTGCCATGTGCAAGACATCAGTTGCAAGTAAGAATAGAATGCAGCGCGCGCCGCAGGACGGTTATTATCAAGAAAATACTCACGCACCCGGCATCATCCATTCAAGCCACATCAGCAGGAATGCTGCGACAGAGCAACAAAGCAAGGATTTATTGTTTACTCGTCCCCCCCGTACTCGCCCGTACAGCAACCCCACACCCCAACCTCCGCCACACCGCTTCTTCCCCACCCATTTCAGCCACTCCAACCAGCTGATACATATCGTATTTGGAATAGTGCAAGAATGAGTGTTTTTGCTATTCCCCCAGCTCCAACCAACACCGATAAATTCGATGCCTCATCCCTGCCTAGTCCTCACTTCCTCACATTCGTTGCTGCCTCTACTGCAGCTTCATCTCTCTCCGTTCACCTGCTGCCGCTATGTCGCCGGTACGTTTGATGCTGCGTTTCTTGCCCGCCATGTGTTAGTACAGCTGCCGCAGCTGCTGATGTCATTGCAGTTACTGACACTGCTGCTGCTTCGCAGTTGCCGTTGCTGACAGCGCTGCTGCTGCCCCTGGTCCTGAAACCGTTGCTGCTATGCATGGCTACCGCTGCTGTTCTTGCCACAAACACCGCTGCTGCTGATGTCATTACAGCTACCGCTGCTGCTGATGGGGATGAAACCTAAGCTCGTTTCGGACATTCTTCTCAATCTTTGTAAGCACCTGTGAGCAAGCAACGGAAAGAAACATAATATCAGGCGCCACATCCTTTTCGGCTGCGGGCTGGTAAAAGCATATGCTACGAGTACGGATGAGTCTGGAAAAGTAACAGCGATAACTATGGTTATGTTATTGTTAAACAACGCTGCTTACGTACCTTCACGATCGCCTCGAAGCTGGGTCTCTTTTCCGGATTGGTTGCGAGGCAGGCGCGACCCAGTCGGACCAGGGCGGGGTGCGCGGAGGGGGGCCAGGTGGGGGTGAGCTGCGGGAGAGGAAGGAGGAGGGGCAAGGAGGTGAGGAAAGAAGGTGAGGGGAAGGGTCTGGGTTGGAAAGGGCCAACAAAAGGGACCACCTACGCCGCCCCTAAACATGCAACACCATGACCCCCCCCCCCCAAACAGCCATGCACCCCTGAAACAAGAAACAAGAAGTAACGCCCATCTGCCCTGTCCAGCTACTACCTAGCCGCATCAGCTACGGTGTCAGCTAGCAACCTACCGAGCCTTGTGACACGCCGATGAGGATCTGCGGTACCGTTAGCTTTGAGTACGGCACGGGCTCACTCGTGACCAACTGCCACAGCAGGATGCCAAAGGAAAACACGTCTGCGGGTAAAGGGAAAAGGAAAGGCGGGGCAGGATAGACAGGGGGCGTCAAGGGAAGGGAGAACAGGAGGAAGCCATGCAGGACAAAAAGCAAACCGCAAAGCAGGTTAGTTGCTAGCACAACAAACAGAGAACGGACAAGGGCACCAACGGGGGGAGCAAGGCAAGGCAATGTATGGTTTAGTCGGGTTGCTTTGTCCTGCACCTCCCTCCCTCGCCATGCCCCTCTGTTTCTCTCCTTCTAAAACCCCAGCCCCTGCCCCATGCCCTGCCCCCTCTCACCCGACGCCTTGCTCCACCTGCCCAGGATCACCTCGGGCGCCATCACCGTCACGGTGGACCAGTGGTTCAGCTCCAGAGGCTTGTCGCCTTGAGTCACCTGAGGAATGAAGCGAGCAAGCAGGCAGGGATGAAGCATGAGGAAGGACTTACCGCTAGCTAACCGTGTGGCAATACACCATGAGTTGCAGCGCGGGAGGGGTGCAGCGCAGGGTCGGGTGGTAAACGTGGCGAGAGGCGTGGGAGATAGGGTTTGGGGTTTCGGAGTTGCCCCAACCCACCTTGCTGAGGCCAAAGTCCGCAACCATGGCTACGAATCCCCTTCTGTCGCTTCTGCAGCCCCGCAGCAGCACATTGCCAGGCTTGAGGTCGCCGTGAATAATGCCGTTGGCGTGCAGGTGGCACATACCCTGGGGGGGCGTGCAGGGAGGTGAGGGGTGAACAGGGTGACGGGAGTTGGTTAGGAGACCCTACCACTCTTGGGCAGGGTGTCTGCAGCGTCACATGGTCTGTGAAATTCATTGTTGGCCGCCAAAAGAGCAACGCTTGTGCACCCAAACCGCTAGGGACGCTGCATGCCCCTAGAACACCACGACCGAAATTGGTCTGTCTAACTAGGAGTCATATGGTTAGTCTTTCTCTTCATCCCATAGCCGCGACCCATGGGTCACTCGTTCTCACCAACCAGCACGATTCAGTTAATAGCCCACCTGAGCCACGTCTCGTGCAGTTCGCAGCACGGCACGCAGCACTACTCGCTGGGAGAACCGCTGCTGTGCCTGATGAGCCTGATGGGAGCTGTGGACGTTCTGCTGCTGCTGCTGCTGAGACTGTGAAGCAGCAGCAGAGGTACTGCTACCACCACCACCACCACCACCACCACCACTGCCGCTGCCGCCATTGCTTCCACCAGCAGCAGCAGCAGGCATGTCGTCCCCAGGCATGCGAAAGATACCCCGCTTGATGGCGGAGAGCAGGGAGCCTCGGTCACAGTACTCCTGCGCGCGAGCATGCGGACGACGCGGGGCATGCATGCATGGATGGATGGGTGCATGGATGCAGCATGTGCAGGTTGGAGAGGTTAGGGGTTGCAGTTGGCGAAGAGCATATAAAGGTATGTTGCGGTCATTTGGGTCATATTCCCTTCCCCACCCCAACCAGATCTCAGATCACCCCGGCCGCCATGGAGCTTACAATACGATTTGTTATTGATTGATGCTCCTAACTATACAACAACTACAATTATATGCTAACCCAACTATCCAGCCTAATGCGGATTCTGCTTCCAAATTAAACCCCAACCCTAACCCTAACCCTAAACCCCTCTCCCCCCCACCATGATGATGTGAGTCAGGTACATGCCGGGACGAGCCTTCATGTACGACAACACGTGCCGTACAGTCCATCCGCGGGTGCAGCTGGCAATGTCCGGATCTCCGAAACCCTACATGTGTACGGAAGCGTTACGTTTGTCCGGCAACGGAAGCGTCAACAGTGCCCCGTGCTGGACGTCAGCGCTAGGATACCGATAGCAACAAGTTGTGAAGTCCACTGCACTCCCTAGTCGCGCAATTCGCTTTTGCTCTCGGTTTAGAAACATGGCTACCCCGGTAGTCAGAGCGGCATTCATCATTTCCAGTGGACGACACCCAAAAGACGGATAGCAAACGGCTAGCAATCGCATTCACGCGGCTGCTACGTACCTCGTCGGATTGGAAGGTAGCTTCGAGCACACCAGGCCGGTTAAGTTGGAGGTTGAGGTGCGAGTAAGCGTTCGGTTGGTTTTGTTGGTTGTTCGGTTGCTGTTGTTGCTGTGCCGCCGCCGCCGCTGCCCCCTCGCATTCCGCCGCCTCCCTCACGACGTCTTCCTCCTCCTCTAGCAGCGTTTCAAACAAATCCTGAGCATAGGACACACCCACATGCGCGTAAGTTGCGGTATGCTGGTAACAGCGGCTTAGGGGAATGGGCAAAGGTTTCCAACAAGGTATCCAACACCAACGCCCACACCCGCAATCCATCCCTCCTCCTGTCGATTCCTCAACAAGACACCCAGTGCAATCACAATTCACAGTACCCCCGCAACAATCGTCAGATAGATTTCCTCTTTCCACCACCCACCTTGCTACCCTGCTGCTCGGGCAACAGTTGTCGGGTTTGCTGCCTTCCGTAAAGTAACGCCTCAGCCTCCCCTTCTCCGACGTCTCCAGATCCCCCGCCTGACGGCAGAGCCGCCGCAAAGGAAGCCTCCGTGAGGCGAGTGCACTCGAATGCGTACGTATGTACCACATTGGGGTGGTTGACCTGCAACGGTTGACGGTTGGCGGTTGACGGGTAGCGGCTAGTGAAGGCACCGGAATACCGGTATAAACACCACCACTCGCCTTCCTAACAACAACACAACAACACACTCGCATCCTCCCACTTACCACAGTGCTCAAGACGCCTTCAATGGCTGCCGCATGCGCCGCGACGGCCTGCGTCGCCGCCGCCGCGTCCCCTCCGACGGCTGCTGCTGCTGCCCCCGCCTCCACCCCAGCGGGGTCCGTGAGAAGGAACTTGACCGCCACAGGGGCGCCCTGCCACACGCCCTGCGGAGGGAGGGAGGAAAAAAGAAATTCCAATGTGAGGAGAGGGGAGAGGTTGGGGTTAAGAGGTTGGGGTTAAGAGGTTGGGGAGTGCGGGTCCAGAGGAGGTTGGGGAGTGCGGGGCCAGAGGAAGGAGGTTTGTAAGCCGTAAGAGGGAGGATGCGAGGGAGGAAAACTTCCCCCCTCTCCACACCTGGAACACCGCGCCACCGCCGCCTTGACCGATCCACCGGAGCGCTGTGATCTCCCGCGACAGGGCTGTCAGGTTCAGGGATTCCAACAACATGGGCGGCATCAGCACCAGCGGTGCTGGCTGCTGCTGCGATTCATTGCCGGCCGCATTGTTGGCAACGACATGGCTATGATACATCTGCAGGAAGGCCACCTGCGGCAAGGTAGGCGAAACGTCGTACGAAACGTCGTGTTGTCTACATCGTTTGAAACGAAGGTTTGTGTGGAGGGACGCAGGGTGTGGTGTTAGGTTTTGGATTTGGAAAGACGCCTTTGACGTTTGGAACAAGATCCATTCCCGTTTGGATTCCGATGTGCCCCGTACGTCTTACGCATGCCAAAGGAAAAAGTTCAAACACTTTCGAGGAAGCCTCTTCACCTGCGACATGTGACGAGACGCTTGGTACGGCAGTTTTGACCGACCGCCGAACGACAGACTAAACAAGGGGGACGAGTTACTGCCGTCTTGCGGGGCAAGAGCTGTCGCAGAAGCAGCAGCCCCCGCTGTCGCTCCATTCGCTGCTGCCGTACCAACGCCAGCGCCGTACAAGTTCGTACATTCCGCTAATCCTGAATACAAAGCCCCACCTCCAGCAGCTCCGGTGCCACGAATAACGCCGTCAGGGCCTTCAGGGGCTGTGGCGGCGGCGGCAGCAGCGGTGGCGGCGACGGCGGCGGCCGTACGGAAAACAGAGCCCACGGCCCCGTCGGCCGCCGTGGCAACAGCATTGGCATCCGCTGGGGTGCCGTACCCAACGCCGCAAACCGTGTCACCCGTTCCGCTACCGCTGCTTGCTCCACTGCTAGCCTGTAGTCTGTCCATGTCAGCTCCGACACAGACGGACAATGTACCGGCGGGCAGGATTACCGCCGCTGCCGCCGCCGCGGCGGCGGCGGCCGCACGTCCCGGTACGGCAGTAGCCGCATCGCCGCCGATGTCGGCGCCAGCGCACGGCAATGGAACGCTGTGGTATGCCGATCTGGGTCGGCGGCGGTACTGTTGGCCTCCAAGGCCGAGGGTGGCGGCTGCTGACGCCGCTGCTGCTGCCGGTCCTATCGCCTTGCTGGCCTCCTCAACTGGGTTGTGGCGGTTGGTGGTTGGGTTGGTTGGGTTTGGCGGTTGTCGTGGAGGGTTGAGAGTTCTTGGAGCACAAAGGGGAGGGGGAGGAACAGGGGCGGGGCAGTTGTTTGCCGTACGGTCCACGTGAAAATCGTCGTACGGCTCTTTCAAAGAGCCTGTGTCTGAATTGTCGGTGCTGCAGGAGGTTCGAATTCGGGAGGAGTGGATGGGTGTAAGGGAAAGAGGATATGACAGCTCGGCGGTGCTGGTGACGGTGATGGAGTTGGTGGTTGCCTTAACTGTATTTACGACGTGTATCATGACGGAAGAGATGGAAAAAAGTATGTCTTGCTCTCTCATTCATGTTACTTTTGCAACCCCGTACTCGCGAAGGAGTCCTTACTATACATGTCACCAGAAGTGTCAGCCCTAAGCTCATACCTGGGTTCCCTGCCTCCCACGGACTGAGACGTTGTTGGCATCGTGCCATGTGGCGCCGGGCCGCGCTCGCCCCTGCCTGCCAGCTTTCGGCCGCGGAAGAGGCGAAACTTCAAGCGAGAAGGGCGGCCATCCGTGTCTGGCAAGCTTTCAGCGACTGGGTCCGACGGACTAGCGGGCATGTGGCTTTCAGGCATCCTGGTCAGCTCCATGGAAACGCGTGTCGGGCGGACTACGGCCGAAGCGCCGATGCATTTTGAGTTATAAGCGCAATGGATTGCGTCCGCGGCGTCTTCGGTAATCACACCAATAGAGCTTGTTGCGCTTCCACGGATGAATGGCGATGGGACTGAAAGGTCGTCAGGTAGATAACCCTCCGTGGTCACCAAAGCTGAGGCTTTTAAGGCTTGTATGGGTCCTGACGTTGAAGCCCTGCCTTGGGTGCCCTCGTGAAGAGCGCTTGCAGCAGGCGTGCCAATGCTGTCAACTGACCGCCTTGGATACGGCTGCAAATTGCCATTAGCATCGACCTTTGCCCTTGAAACGCTGCAACAGAAATACTGACTGAAAGGCATCCTGGCTTCTAGCGAGCGGCCTTCTCACAAGGGACCGCGATTGGCGGTAAGCCTGCATGGCAAGCAATTTTACGCCACAAACGACGGACGCAAAACGTGTCAAGGCAATACAAAGATAGTAGGAGAAGAAGACAGTTTTCGGCATGGAACCTCCTCTCGAGACGACAAGAGCCGTTGCAAGCCAGCTACACAGCAGCAAGCAAACCTCGATAAAGAAGGCTATAACAATAATGTTTTCCAGCTTAGAAATCTTACCGTGGATATTCACTACTCCCGACTGACTCGGCCCAACAACGACAGGTCCTTTCTTACAGTAGCCAGGCCTCTAGGTACGCTATACTCAGTAGGAGTCACTGGAAACAGTATATACGCCTTGGCAACTAGTGCAGCAAATAGCAGCAGAATACATAAACCGTGAACCGCCAGCGAACATCAGCGTGCGTGCGTGCGCATAAGCCAAAAAAAGGACTCGCGCAAATATGGGGGCAGACAGTTCCGAACTTGTTTTATGCTATAATTAACAGGCTCCTTGTAAGAGGCTCCTTGTAACACTACAATCCAGATACGAACTTCACAACATTAGTCAGACGGGAATTCCCTAGGATCCGACGACAAGCACAATCTTAGATTCACCAACGGCTGGCGGCCTGCCGCTGTACAGTACTTTCATGGAACATGGCTATGCATATATTGGGCAATTCCTTAGCCGAAAGGGCTGTCAACTCTTCCGACGAAGGGTTCCCAAGGTGACGCGGAAATGCCGCCCAAGCGCTCCTGCGAAACAGGAAGTAAGCAAGAAAGGACCAAAGCAATCAAGGATACAACGTAGAACATAGTTGCAAAAGGCGTAGTATCCTGTCACCAAAAGCGCGCGCTAAATGCACACCACATCAACCAAATCAACGCCACTGCTACGTGACCAAGTTGCCTTTCTGGCAGCAATACTGTCAAAGGGAATTGCAGGTGCTGCCAAGTCGCTTCCGCATGGATGTACACGATCCCTTAAACCTCAAACCCCATATACTGAATCCCGGTTCCCGGTAACGTCCATCCTCACCGTCGGCCTTGCCGGCGCCCCTCTCCTCCTCACATGTGCTTCACGTTTCGTTATTATTTCACCCCAGTTGCAGGACCTTACGACCGGCTGTTGAAATCCGCGCATCGCCCAACCCCTCCCCACCTCACCCCGGCTGCTTCTTTTGTTGTCCTAAATCACCCCATCACCCCCCCATTATCTTTCGTGTGGACATCACCGTTGCGACAACGGTATGTATGGCCATATTCAACATGAGTTTTTCTTACGGCACCCCTCACCCGATTGCCCCTTTCCTAACACTTCCCATATCGCTTCCCGTGCTCAAAACCCGGCTTCATTTACCTCCCAGTTCTATTATCACATCGCCCCCAAAGCCCCAAACCCCATTACCTGCAGGAACTCGAGGACAGGCTTCATGAACTCCGATTCAACTCCGCGCTTGTGCAGCTCAAGATGACCCATGGGTCGCTCAATCAGCCGTGCCTACGTCGTACAGGATTACGAGATCTTAAGGCTATGAGGGCTCGTATGTAACTACCATGAAATCTTGTCAAATACGGACGACCTCTGACCCACAGGACACCCCATCATTCACTCACCTGCGGACCCAAGCGCTGCACTGCCTCACGCGCCTGACCCACGGGACACAACTCGTCCTTGGCTCCCACCACCACCAGCACCGGACATTTGACCTCGTGCAGTCGTCGCATGGGGTTGTAGGCGGCGGCGCCTGGTAGCTGAGTGAGGGAAAAGGTACCGGAGGGAGCTTGTATGTGTCAAAGAGTATAGTAGTGGCAACACGCGGTTTTTAACGCCCCTGATGAATGGATGAAGGCGGCGGCTTTGCAAAACTTAAGCAAAGAGGGAACGGGCTCCGTCCCTTCCTCCTTCCGCCCTCCGCTTCCCTCTCCTCCCCCTCACCGCTCACTGCATGAGTCGGGACATGGGATTGGGACTCGTTGTTTCATTTTTTTAATTTTTTTCCTCCCTGTCAGCACAGTTGGATTGTCCTCCCCCTCACCATCCTGGCCGCCAGCAGGTTCTGCCAGCCGCCCTGCCGTCTGGGCGCGGGTCGCTGCACGTGCGCCAGCTCCTCCTCGCCCAGCTGCAGCAGCGACAGCTCGCCCGCACCGCCCACCAGCTTGATGTAGGCGGGGGGCAGGCCAAGCAGCGAACGGAACAGGTCATTGGTGGCAGCCGCAACCAGCCGGCACATCTGCAGCGGCCCCCGCTCCTGCGTGTACGACGTGCGTGGTGTACGATGTGTGTTTTCCGATGTGGCATGTTACAGAGATAGGAAGGAAAGACAGCAACCAGCAAAAAGCAAACAAGCCACAAAACTGCAATGGCCGTGTTCGACGTAAGGCGTGTGCCAGGAACGGAACCGAGGTTAGGCATACAGTACACAGGGGAATGACGAACATGATTGAGAAAATATTGCAAAAGGCCACGTCCGGATATTACACCTGTCGTAGCAACTGCCGTCAGCAACAGCCCTCACCCACCAGCAACATCTTGCCCATCGCAGGCGCCTGCAGGTATGGTTCATTCGCCACCACCGCCGCCACCTTGTCCGGCCCCAGGGCGGCTGCCGTACACAGCACGTGCCCCCCGCTGTACGACACGCCCCACAACGCCAGACGCGAGGGGTCCACGCGGCCCGTACCCAGCCCGCCCGCACGAACCCACTCCACAGCCGCCTCCCAATCCTCCAGGTGCTTGCGCCAACTGAGGGAGTAGGGAGGTCGGACGACGATCAACACGAGCCTTGAGGCGACCAGGAAGCTAAGCTGGCTCACCCCACCTCACATCACGGCCCCATGCACGGCCGCTGTACCACCCACCAATGGTTGGTTAGCCGGGTCACCAAGCGCACGACGGGCTTACCCCAGCCACCGGAAACCTTCACGCAAAACACGCGACGTGACGAGGTATGTAACCACACTTGCATCCCACCACATCCCTTCCCCCCTTCCCCCATCGCACTCACTCGACCTCATGCCGCGGCCAGCCGTCGCTGCCCCCGAACGAGCGGTAGTCGAACACCACCGCGGCCAGCCCCGCAGCTGCAAACTGCTCCGCGTAGGGGTGAAGCCCCAGGTCTTTTTGGCTGCCCATGCCATGTGCCATGAGGATGACGGAGGGAGGCCTACGTGCATGCAGCAGACAGCACGGCCAGCAGAAGTTCGCTGGGTTGGGGTCCGTAAATCCGATACTCACTCAATGCACGTCTTTGCTTGTCTTTCCGGTTAAGCGCCGTTCACCACGTACGTGACAACAGGAATGTGGTTTGTTCTTGGAGAACCCAAGCCGGGCACAACCATCACCACTCCCCTGCTGCACCCTGCCGCCTCCTATCCCCATTGCTTTGCCCCAACTTGTTTGGTTTCCTGTTGTTTGGTCTAGCTTCGAAACCCAAATCCCCTACCTGCTTTGGTCAACCGCCTTCTGCCGGGTTAGAGCGCTGGGCTCGTAGAACCAGGCTTCGCACCTGTGTGCGGGAGGTGAGCACATCACAGGAGAGGATGAGCATCGTAGCATGGTGAAATGAGTGACCTGAGCTACCGGTACCACCGGTAAAGCAAATTCGATCCCCCGAACAGCTACCAACCCCACGTGAGCGCCAGCACACACACCTGCTGGCGTTTCTGTGGGGACTTCACATTCCGACAATCACAGTACGTTCCGACTCGCGGCCAGTTTTCGTAACACTTCACATTCCGGCAATCACATTACGTTCCGACTCGCGGCCAATCTTCGTAACACAACGGGAGCAGCAACACAAGGAGGTGTGATGGCTAAAGGGGCCGGGTGGCATCACAAATGTACGGTTAAAAGCGACGTACGTGGTGCATCATGCATATGTGCAGAAAGGTATGCCTCGACATAAGAGACTATATATCGTTTGCGAGGGCTGGCTACTCCACACGTCCGCGCATGCATGCGAGGATGGGTTATAATATGCACGCGAGCCTTGCCGTTCTGCTGCTACCTACCTTACGCCGTGCGAGTCGAAGTAGACGGTTGTTCGTTCGTACCGTTCGGTTGACAGCGGTTGCAGGTGGTCGAGCACCTCGGTGTCACGTGACATGCCGTACACCACCTCATCCTCCCAGGGAAGGCTGCGTGTGAGGTGGTGAGGGGAATGAAGGGGGGCGGTGGAGAGTCGGGGAACTGGTGTCTTGGAAATACACGCACGTACGCGCAATGTGGAACGAAGTACCGGTCGGATGGGTCAAGGGGCTTACAGATGGGCACGGTTTGCAGCTTTGCATAAATGCCCAGGAAGACTGTCGACCCTGGGTTATGACCTCTGCCAATTGTGACTTCTGCCCCGCTCCCTCCTTTAGTACCTCATAACGGCTCCACCCATAAGTGCTCCGCCCAGCACTGCGCTAAGGACACGGGAGTGCCGGCTGAGAAACGCCCGGGGGAAAGACCTGATAACCTGTACGGAACGGAAGGCAGCATGCGGCTATCTACCTATACAACGTATGAAGCGACGATTGCAGCGGATGAGAAGGGAGTGCTTTGTGCATGCTTAATCAACGACAGAATGCATGACAGCGTTCGTCGGGTCCCGGTGTTGCCCATGCGGACAGAGTGATGCGGGGATACGATGTACTACGCTAGTATGCTAACAACAGTGAGCTTAGCGAACAACAGTGAGCTTAGGCGACTGCAGCAGTGAGCTTTGCAGAGCAGCCAGAGCTCCACATGGATACACCAGCATAAGGCATCGGCCGCAGAAATGGGTAAAAGTAAGGGCGGCGAGGCGTCCACTTCAGCCTCCGGGTCGAAGCGCGGCGCCGACAGAGCATCCCCAGACAACAAGAAGCGCCCAACACTGGATACCCAGCAAAGTCCCCCAGCGGATGACCAGATAGGAATGTCCTTTAAGGAGGTGATTGCGATAATCGTAGCTGAAGGTGAGAAGACTCGCGACACCATCAACGGCTTCACCGGGCGTCTGGACACGTTCGAAGGCAAACTCAGCGAAGTCCGGGAGTGTCATGACACTCTCGCTCAGGAGACACAACAGCAGTTCGACACCGTTCACATGCGGTTAGCCGAGCATACAAGCGAGATGGCGGAGCACGCAAGCAAGGTACATGAGTGCACCAGCAAGATAGAGGAGCTCGCTAACGAGCTTGCGGAGTTGAAGCTGCGGCTTAGCCAGCCAGTAGCGGAACAACCCCCTCAGCCGGCAACACCGCAGCAGGCGTTGCGGGAGGAGGGGCGGCTCATCATCAGCAACGTGGCAGCTACTGTCCCATGCGATACAGTGAGGCTGAAACTTCAGCAGTTCATGCGGACGAACGGCGCTGACTGCGATATCCACACAGCGGAGGACCTGTCTTATCGCGAACTGCCAGGGAAACCGCCCACTCGCAGCATCATCATCACCATCAACCCTGTGGCGTGGGGCACCATTGTACGCAGGGCTGCACTCATCAGGCGCGAACTGATGTGGGTGGTACGCGACTATCTCACCAAAGCTGGGCTAGAGGCCAGGCAGCAGCAGCAAGGACTGTTCACGCAGCTGAAGAGCCAGGGCATGAACCCGGCTTGGCGCAACGCAGCGGAAATTTGGGTGAAGCCGCAAGGGCAGGAGCGCTACACGCTATACCAAGCTTAACTTAGGATGGTAGATAACCATGGAGCAGCCCCCCCTGATGCAGTCACACCTCTGGGTGGGCGGGTGCCTTAGGCGCCAACACTGGGGGCGGCGTAGCCCACCAGCTAGCTGCTGGAGGTGCGAAAGCTCCGCGGAAGCCGAAGGAGGGCAACGGTAAAGGAGACTGAACTTAGGTGGTGAGGGGTATTTACAGTGAACAAGCGTACAATAGGCGTAGAAGAATAGCATGATGTGGTTATGTAGTTAGATGCCAATGACCAAATGAGTAGAAACTGTGTCGTTCCTGGAGTCGCAAGCTGATGACGGTGATGAGGATTGAGGATGGGTTTGTAGTCCTGTCGAAGTCCATGTGCCGCGTTCCCTGAGAACAATTATGAATCTATCTGGCGATAGCAGATCAAGCTATGGAGTTATAAGTTTAGCATAATCCAGTATGTGAGTTTACTGCTTGCGTTTTATTGCGTTTAGGTTTAACTATTTCTTCGGAGACCAACCAATGTTTCAGCTCAGTTCTTCCTCCCTGCTATTAGTCGCTGTCGTTGCACCTCTTGACCGCAATGGTTCGTGGGGTTGTGCGGTAGGGCGGAGGGCCCTACACCGTACCATGTAAAGTAAAGTAAAGTAAAGTATGCTGGTTGCCGCAAGTCTTTGGATCAGGGTTGGTGCTGATAAGGGTTTGCAAGCGTATGATGCAAGCGTATGATTGGGGAAGCGTCCGGGCAACTCACTTGCAACAACATATTGCGTTTGTACGCGGTTATTCAAAATGCTGCACCCTGGCGTCACCCGCTAGGTTCAGATATAAGTAGTGCCCTAAGTTTGCGATGTGTGCGCGGAAACGAGCTGCTATGCTTACATCGACATGCGCCGAGCAAATGCACAGTCGTAAGGGAAATGGGAAAACAGGTGCAAGGACGCGAATAGCAGTTCCATAGTCCTATCTAATTACTGCTAATGCAGCCAACGGGAGCGCAGCCAGCGTACCGTAAATCCACAAGTACGGATACTAAACAGGAACGTCCCAACACTCCAGGAGAGGTCAAGAGGCCAAGAGGCCAAGGTTGACTTGAAAAAATAATCGTGGACAGACATATGTGCTTATCGAGATTAAAGAAATTTGCTAGCCCCCAACTCTCAGTTCCACAACCACCGCAAGGCGCTTGAGCCGAACTGTTTGGCCAACCTAGAGGCCTTGCAACATCAGTAATTACGCTACCTTACATACAAAGAAAGAAACACAACAGAATGGTACAAACACTTTAAAAGCAGGAGGTACCCGACCATCCCGGAACAGAAAGCAAACTGCTACAAGTCACGTACAACGCACGCAGAGCGAACCGTCGCTGCAGTTTGCTGGCAGATGTGCATGTCATCCTTTTAACCAAACTGGCTCTCAGCCGTGTGCGCAAATGGTGCGGCAGGGCTTGCATCCACCACAACTCCGCCCAGGTGTTCCTGCGGGTACAAGAACATAACAAAGGGGTCCATATGGCGCATATACATGAAGTGCTGGGGCACAGGTGCACAGCCTGCTTGCTCAACGGCAGTCGACGTTGCGTGTTAGCTGACGATGCTGGATTACAGCCCGAACGTGTGCAGCGGCTCTTCCTTTTGCCATGCTTTAGGACCCAGCAAAGCAACGCATGGCAAGCAACGCGTACAAGGAAAGCATTTCAGCTTTACCTGCAAGAATTCGATGATCGACCGGAGCTGCTCCGGTTCCGCTCCCCGCTTGTGCAGCTCAATGTGCCCGTGGGGCCGCTCAATCAGGCGAGCCTGGGTGTGGCAACACAAAGAGGGCACGTGATCAGTCAGCAGCCACGAAAACTCTAATAAAATACCGCTAGCCGACCGGTCATGCCTCGCGGTGGCTTGCAAGGCTGCACCCCTCACCTTCGGCCCAATGCGTTCCACGGCGTCACGCGCCTGATCCACAGGACACACGTCGTCCTTGGTTCCCGCCACCACCAGCACCGGACACTTGATCTGGGCCACGTGGCTGATGGGGTTGTAGGCGGCCGCGCCCAGGAGCTGTGTTGACGGGAGGGCCGGGAAGGGAGGAGCGGCAGGGAGGGGGGGAGAGGGTGTTAAGATCACGGATGCACACAAACACACACGTCATCCGGCATGCAATAGCAAGGCGGCGGCGCACAGCAGACGGAAGGGAAGGGAAGGGCTGTCTGGACAACACAGCCAACTCCCCGCTCAACCTCCTCACCATCCTGGCCGCCAGCAGGTTCTGCCAGCCGCCCTGCCGTCTGGGCGCGGGTCGCTGCACGTGCGCCAGCTCCTCCTCGCCCAGCTGCAGCAGCGACAGCTCGCCCGCACCGCCCACCAGCTTGATGTAGGCGGGGGGCAGGCCAAGCAGCGAACGGACCTATGGGAGCGAGGTGCAGCGGGGCGGAGGGGAGGAGGCATGGAAGGGAGCGTACAGGGAAGAGGAAAAGGAGGCGCGCCCACATCCTTGCACAGCACACGCCCCCGCTTGCATGCATCCAAAGCCCCCACCTTGTCATTCATGGCGGCGGCCACAACTCGAGCCATGGGAAGCACTCCGCGCTCCTGGGGGCGGGGAACGAGAGGCGGCGGAATGAACACGGGCGAGGGTAATGTGAATAAGGTTACCGCAAATCCGGTAGGGGGGAGACATGAGGCAAACACAGCATTCTGGGTGGGGCAGGACTTGAGGATTATAGCATAATGGAGGCATACCCCATGCACCTCGCCAGGTGCACGGGGTATGCAATTCAATCCTCTACAAGACCCGGTCAACAAATGGTCAACTCTGTCGTACGACACGAGTACGACAAACCTTTTAGAAACACGCTCACACCCAACCACATCCGACCTGGATGAGCTTGCTCACTGCCTTTTGCGCCTGCAGGTAGGGTTCATTCGCCACCACCGCCGCCACCTTGTCCGGCCCCAGGGCGGCTGCCGTACACAGCACGTGCCCCCCGCTGTACGACACGCCCCACAACGCCAGACGCGAGGGGTCCACGCGGCCCGTACCCAGCCCGCCCGCTCGAACCCACTCCACAGCCGCCTCCCAATCCTCCAGGTGCTTGCGCCAACTGGGAGGTGAGGGAATGGGGAGGGACGGAACTGAGACGGAACAAACCAACCCGACTCCGAAACCCGCAGCCCCATCCCCCTTTTCACATCGCACTCACTCGACCTCATGTCGCGGCCATCCATCGCTGCCCCCGAATGAGCGGTAGTCGAAGACGACCACGGCCAGACCCGCCGCTGCAAACTGCTCCGCGTACGGGTGAAGGCCCATGTCCTTCTGACTGCCTAGACCATGCGCCATTACCACCACGGGAGGGGGCCTGGCAGCACGGGGCGGAACGGGAACAGGCGCGTTAGGCGAGAGAGGAGATGGCGGATTTGAGTTGCCACAGCGCCGGAGCGCTAACAGCCCCGGAATGCAGGTCTGGGTATGTGAAGCAGGAAACAATGGGACCTCCCTTTCCCGCCCCTGTGCTACCATGGTACACACTGCTAACCTGCCATGTCCCCCCACATGCCAAATGCTCCATCCCAGAGACCCCGGTTCCCTACATACCGGCCCTGGTCCATCTGTCCCCTTGTCTTGGCGCTTGGCTCGTAAAACCAGGCCTCACACCTGGAGAAGACACGAAAGGAAACGTACAACATGGGCCAGAGACGCACGGCAAGGTTGCAATGATCTTGTACTGCGTATGGATCGGGTTTGGCTGTTGAGCGAGACTGCCACGCATGCAAGCAACACGCATGTGAGTTGGCCTGACGTGCCTCTACCGTACCTTATGCCATGCGAGTCAAAGTAGACAGTTGTTCGTTCGTACTGTTCGGTTGACAGCGGTTGTAGGTGGTCTAGCACCTCCATGTCACGTGTCATGCCGTACACCACCTCATCCTCCCAGGGAAGGCTGCATGGGACGTTGTAATGGGAAGGGGAAAGGGTGTATGAGTGGTGAAGATGAGGGTAAGCGTGGTTAAGCGTGGTTAAGCGGTGTGCCTTGGGGTGGGCTGTTCCTAAGAGGGGCGCCGTCATGGCTATGAAAATTGCGTTGGGCAAGCAAAATGACGTCACGCGCGGAGTTGTGGCCAAGCCCCTTTGCAAGACATTGACTGCAAGCTCAAGCCCAACATGTGCGGTGTAATAGAAGAAGAGCGAGCCCGCACTTGCTAGCTCGATAACAGGGCCTCATTTGAAAGAAACTTGTCACCAGCGCAACATCATCGCACTCGAGACCTAGCGGACCCACATAAAGCGAGGATCATGCCCAACGCATTTTGCCCGTAAACGCATTTCCAAACGTGCCTGTCCAACAGCAGGTTAGCCAGCTAGCGCTCTTACCTCATGACAGCTCCGCCCATTATAGCTCCGCCAACCACTGCGCCTAGGAACGCGGAATGCCGGCTAACTAATGGTCGCGAAGACCGAAGAACCTGTATGCAGTTGCAGGAGAACCAATAAAGGGCGGCGCGTACTCAATTGCGGGCACTTGCGGAAATGCCGTCCAGATTTGCAAGGCACGTGGACGGCCACGTCGTCACAGCAATTGTATACAGCAAACTGTTTCGTTGTAATGAGGTTAGCTGGAATGAAAACACACGCTAAACGCCCATACAATTAAGGCCCAGTTTTGAAGCGGTTTAGTTCGTCCGTCGACCAAAGCAAGCTTGCAAGGAGAAGGCAATTAAGTCATGATACGTGCGCTTACCTGCGCCCTTGCGGGCATGTTAAGTTTAGTCGGCATGGATGCAAAGTTAACGTTGGACCTCGGTGTCGCCCTCGTTTTCCGTTAGTTCAGGGCGTGGATCAGCAGCAGCCACAACACTCGACGCTTTATAAGTGCACATGAGCAAAGCAAGTTGTGTTGTACACTATCTAGCTGTGTGGAGTTCGAACGGCTGCACGGCGCATGGCGTAAGGACGTGGACAACGGTTTTTTCACGGTTTCCCGCCCTGGCGCTCCAGGCCTGCACGACACTTCATTCAAACCATCATGCAGCGCAGCTTAAAGATAGGATTCATTAGTCCTCCCGTGGAGAAGCGGCGCAACTTGTATCCGACGCCTTCGTAAGCCATTCCAATCCGTCGACTGATTGACTGTGTCCTGCCCCAACGCAAAATACCGTTTGCCATGAAGGGCGACAACCCCACAGTCATAGGCTCAAAGCACGATTTAGGCATGAACAAAGCTTGGCATGACAAATAGTGTCAGCCTCCCGGGGTCATGTGCCGTACTCATAGCTACCATTCAACGCTGCCTCTGCTCTATGCACACCCTATTTCGCAAATCGAAAAGCAGTTCTACGTAACAAACTAAACGCGCTCCTAACAAGCCCCCTGCCTGCCTACCTGCCAACATCTAAGCGCCTGGTCTTAGGACTCTACCACTCACACATAGTTCCTCATTTATGCGTAATATGCTTATGGACACTATGTTTAAGCAGGACGCTATGAATTTTACCAAGCTAGATTCCCTTGCTTCGTCTTGCGCTAGCTCCATGGCGGCCGTTAGCTGCTCTTCACAACCACCGTGCTTCTCAGCATTAATAGGGACACGACGGCGACCAGGACCGCATTGCTGAGTTTCAGGCTCACAATAATCTATTTAGGGTTCACATTGTGGCGGCTGCCACTCATTGACAAGCATTTACAATGTTTTCCGACGGTTCTGCCGAAGCGTGGGTAAGTATGGCCTACTTAATGGATTAACGGCTGGTGTAGCCGCGGTTTACTTAAGAGTGCACATAGGCTGACCGGGCTTCCGGTCGTCTGCAGGACCTCATCTGGGCCATTCCCGCTGATGGCGTAGTAGAACACGCAAATCCTATTGTTTTCGATGCCGGGGTCGCTTGGCAGACGGCCGAAGCTTCTACCTTGGACGCCCATCGCCAAGGGCACGGCCGCGAATCCACGGACAAAGCGCTGCCCGCGCTCTCAGCTAAAGCTGGTGCTGCAGCTTTCGACCTGCAGCTGGGAAGTCTCGGCGCAGAATATAAGGCCGCAGTCTCCGGCGCTATTTCCACCGGGGGCTGTCCTTTCGCACGGCCCTGCGCTCATGACTCTGCCAAGGCTAGTTCTGCAGTTGCTTCTGATGAAGAGCCTACTTGCAGCAATTCGCAGCCTTGCGCGCCGGCCATTGCGGGTATGCTTGCATCATCTGCCTCGCTAACCGAACGGCTTCAGGCAGCAACTATGGGAGCTGCTTCACACCATGCGCCAATTTACGAAGGTGTCCGTGATGCAGCAGCGCCTTTCATTTCCGCGGTTAGCTCATGCTGCCGGGATGCCGCTCTGCTTCCGGCTTCACATACCGACACCTGCCAGGAACACATCAGTGTTAACAATGACGGTAACAGCGCCGACAACGGCTGCAATAACAGCGACGGCGGCAACTTTGCTAGCGGTAGCAAGTCGGCATTAGTGCCCTCTGGAGCTGTTGATTCTGCCGCACACCTTCCAACGGCAGCAGAACCAGCGCCTGCTAGTCGCGACCATGCCGTTGCCCCCGCTGCAGCGGAAACCCGCTGGAATGCTGAGGCTTTACGCCGCATGTGCCGAAGCCGCGATCCCAGGGTGGTCCGGCCGCCTCAGCCTCAGCTGCAACCGCCTCAGCTGCAACCGCAGCTGCAAGCACCAGGGCACCAGGGCCATGCCGCTGGTGACGCCATGCAAACGCAACCGCCACTACCGCTTGAGCAGCAGCAGCTGCCAGCATCTGACAAGACGGATGTTGGGTCGCTTGCAGCGGCAGCAGCAACAGCAGCGGAACAGCCACCGCCACCACCGCCAGCAGCAGCGGTGGCGGCGGCAGCGGTCCGCCGACTGGGAAGCACAACGGCTACTCGGCTTCTGGCGCGGCTGCGACAGCCGTCCTCGACGGCCCGACCCACATCGATTGCAGCGACCAACGCTAACGACGGCATGGGAACAGCTGCAGCTGCTAATGGTGCTCGTGGCAAAGGCTTGGGCGTGCGCGCTCGGCGGTCGAAACGCTCCGGACGCTCAACAAAAACTACGGTGAAAGCCAGGGGTGCCGACGGCGGCGGCGGTGCTCACATGACGATGACTGACGACGTGGCAGCCGCCGACGGCGGCGAAGGACAGGAGGTGCCGCCGCCGCCGCAGCGGAGACGGCGGCGGCAGCAGCGCCAGACGACGCGCAAGAAGAAGGGAGGGGCTGATTCGGCGGATGCCCCCCCGGCCGTGCCGCCGTTGCAACGGGGCCGCTTTGACTTCCGCTCCTCCCGACGGCGACAGCGGCAGGGCGCAGGGCAGGACGCAGCGGGTGCAGCAGCGGCTGCGGCGGAGGTGGCGTTACGTCGTAAGAGGCCCGGGACAGGCGGCGGCGCTGCTGGCAGTGCGGGAGGTGGCGACATGCCCAGTGGTGGGAGCTGCTGCTGCAGCGGAGGCGGTGCCGGTGCCGGGGGCGCGGTGGATGCGATGCTGGATGATGAGGGGCGTCAGGTGGGTGATGGAGTTCAGGCGACGGGGGATAGAAGGTGGATGGAAGGAGGGGGTCGTTGTCGTGTGAAGTACTGATAGCAAGGTCAACGATGGTGGGTGAATAGTTGTCGCGGCCCGGGCTGTAGCTGCTGGTTGCTGGCAACTGGGGTCTACATGGGGAAGGATGCTCTCTAACGTGTTTCCTTGTCCCCCCTCGACTTCTGTTCTGCATACTGCACTTGTCTTTAACTGCTAACCAGTTGCACAGCACCTGATAACGCTACCGTTCCTCCCCCTACTGCTGCTCCTGCTTCAATCCCTCCCAGGTTCCTCATGGCCAATCCTGCCATGCGCCCAAGGACCGCCCCAGCCCCAACCACAACGGCCCCAACATCGCTAGCGGCGTCAGCAGCAGCGACGAAGACGCCGCTACAGCGCCCATCCGCTCCTCCCCTTCCTCTTCATCCTCATCTTCCATCCCGCAACCCACCAACGATCCCGCCACCCCCGCCCTGCCGCCCTCCCTAGAACAGCACCTCCACGACTGGCGGGCCGCACGCGCACGCAGCCTGCGGAAGGCCCCCGACGTGTTTCTGCGTCGTGGCTTGCTCATGGAGCTGGTTGAGGCATGTCCGACGTCCATACTGCTGCTGGAGGAGGTACCTGGGTTACAGAGGACCTGGATCCGGTTGTACGGACAGGAGGTGATGGATGTGTGTCGCAACTATGTGCATGTGCGCGCGGCGGCAGAGGCAGCGGAGATGGCAGCGGAAGCGGCGGCGGACGAGGAGGAGGCGCCCGAGGCGGCGGGGCTCGGAGAGGATGGGAGCGGGGGTGCAGCGGAGGCGGAGGAGGCGGCGGTCGGAGATTGTGGCATTGCGAAGGAGGAGGAAGCGATGGGCGAAGACAGTGTGAGTGCGGAGGAAGAGGGTGAGGAGGAGGAGGAGAGCGGTCCCAAGAGACAGCGGCGGCAGCATGGGCAGGTCATGGAGAAGCAGGAGGAGCCGCGCGGAGGCGCAGACGTGCCAGCATGCATGCAACCGCCGCCGCCGTCGCACCCGAAGGCCGCCGCCGCCGCCGCTATTCGGTTGCCGCCGCCGCCGGCGGCGACACGGATCGCCTCGGAAGCAAATCCCGCCACCGCCACCGCTGACGTCAGCACCGAGGCGCCGCCGCCAATGAACCAAGCAGCAACGGCCAAAACTGCCAAGCGAAAGCGCGACGCCGCCGTAGTCGTTGCTGCCGACGGCGGCAGCTCGCTTCCACAGCCGGATCTGCCTGCTGCCGCCGCTGCCGTTGGCAGCGGCGCCGCCGCCGCCACCGCTGCTAGCGAACCGGTTGCCGTACCCGCAGGCTGGATCCCGCCGCCGGAAGGCGCGTGCCGTGTACGACGGGGCAGTCAACTGGCGTACGCTCACACCCCTGCCGTACGGCTCTTACGTATCGGCGGCTTGCTTGGCTTGCTGGCGGAGGCGGGTCGTGCGGCGGAGCCCTTCCTCGCCCACATGAATGTCGGCAGCGCCGTTGCCGCCGCCGCCGCCGCTGCTGCTACAGCCGTCACCGGCGGCGGCAACTCGAAGCCTTTGGAGGCGCCTGTAGCGCTGACGGCCGAGGGAGGGGTCATCGGCCCGGCCGGTAGCGCAAGTGCTTCCGGCGGATTTGTCCTGAGGGCAGCGACGGCGGCGGAAAGCGACGCTGTAGCTGCGGCAGCGGAAGCGGAGGCAGCGAAGGGCGCCGCTGTACTACCCGTCGCTGCTATCACGGCAGCGGCTGCCATACAAAGCCTGGGGCGTTACGGCGGTCGAGATCACATGCGGCGGTTACGCACCATGGTGACCGCTGCGTTGCCCGCATGGGAGGTGCGCCGTGTGCTGGCGTGTCGGGAGCTGTCGCCGGAGGAGCAGGCGGGGGCCGTGCTGCGTGTTGACCCGCGGGTCGGTCGGGAGGAGATACGGCTGGCCTTTCGGCGGTTGAGTCTGTTAGTGCACCCGGACAAGAACCGCAGTCGCGACGCGTCGGAGGCGTTTTCCATGGTTAGCGCGGCGGCTAGGGCGCTGCTAGCGAGCGGGAACTAGAGGAGGGATTACAGACGTGTGCGTGTAACACAGCTTGACAGGTTGATGACAGCGCCGGAATGGCGTTGACAGCGGCGATAATGCGAGCAGAAGATTGAGGAGGTTGCAGGTGGTTACACAGCCAACGCAAATGGTGGTTGGTTACCGTTACTGGGTCGTTGGGATCTTGCGCCGTGACGATTGTGACGCTCGTCAAGGGCAAATTCCTTGTTGTGCTTGGAGTCTCGGATTGACCAGACGGCGAGTAAGCGGAGGAAGAGAAGTAAGACGGAGGAGGAAACGAGATGGAAATTTTGAGCTTATTAACAACCTGGGCCACAGCCATGCCACACAATTGTATATTATCCTGTCCTGTCCTGTCCCACTGATGGAACTTGGAGGATTGCTGATTACCGTACAGGCTATGACTGGACGGCTGCTGCCGAAAGGCGCATGTCACACTCGCGTTATAGACTTGTATCCGGTCTTTTTGCGGTGGTCATCCCCTAGCATCCGTTAGCGCTAGAGGAGGGGCCCCTATGACTGGTTTGGACGGTAATAGGTTGGTAGTCGGGACGTGTTAGGACGCGTGTGTTGGATTTTGTTTGTCAGCACGCAGGTGCTGCACCCGTGGCGTTTAAAGCTTTCGTATGTGTGCTAACACCAACTGAGTAAAACGTTAATAGGAACTTGTCCGTTTGTTTTTGTGTATCGGTTGTCGAAATGATGCTCCCATCCAACTAATGGGACTCGTGCACTCGTTTGATTGGATGTACGGAAAGCGGTACGGCAGCTTGCTCCATCATGGACCGTCTGTATGGTTAGTTCCGTGCAGCGTCGTTGACCAAGCAGTGCGCGTGTGTTAGTTTTCGTGTGTTATTTCCTACGTTTAAACAAACCTACCGGTAATACGACTATTCGTCGTTGCAGACAGATTGCAACTCCAGCGTTGCTTGCTCTTACGTGTATAATGTACCCTCACATAAAACCATGGCGGTGGTTCCCAGCTGCTGTAAGAGAATTATATTAACGCTTACCGCGCCATTCAGTTTCCAGGGCACCCATGCGGTTACGGTCCAGCGCACGGATTTGCACAGGTGTTGTTAACAATCAGTTGCCCAGCGGCACGAAACAACATCCAGCGCTTCAGCTATACGGCTTGTGTGTCTGCTACCCCCGTTCCTTCCTAACAATACAAACGTTGTAGGCTTGTTGTAGGGGCGAGGAATGGCAACCATCAACCATTTCAACCCACGTTTTACTTGGGGAGGTGGTACGGTACCGCCCGCTTGACACTCGAGCTCTGTCAATTCACAACATGCCTCCTGCAATTGACCTTTCGGACAACTGCCGTGATTGAAACCGGGAGAGAACGGACACGGTGTAAGTAGGAGCCGCCGTGACAAGCACACCGCCCCAACCCAACTACCCGGGAGTCCAACTACGGGAACTTCAACCTGTACATGTAAGCATCTGGCACACGCCTCCATCTAGCGCTACGGGCGCCGCACGGCCGTGCGCCCGCATCACTCCCGCCCCCACACTCGCCCCCTCAAACAAACCAACCAACGACAGCCGACGTCTAGCGCACATCGCAGCAGCCCACATCGCAACTGGACGAGCTGCAACCGCCACAACCGCCAGGCCATTGCAATCCGGATACCAAACAAGAGCGCACAACCGTTGCCTCCCAAGTCCTATCCTTAACCTTCTCCACCAACTTCACACAACTTCCCCCACTATTCCGGCTGCTCCGATGTAATCCCCCCCCTCACCACACACACAATCCAGTACGTTCCCACTCGCAGCCAGTTTTCTTAACATGCGTACCTCAGCCGTACATTGTCCGCCCTCTACCTCCTCAACATTCCTAAGCCCCTCCTCCTCCTCCTCGCTCTCCCCTCAGCACTCCCCACCACCGCAACCCCCTGCCCTCCTCAGTCCACATCCTCCGCCATCAGGCACCGCAGTCGCTGCTGCTCCCGGAGCCACTCCACCACCCCCTGCTGCCCCCCCGGCTGCTGCTGCTGCCGCCGCGGCCGTCGCTGCGCTGCCGCCCGGATCGCCCCCTCCCACAGCACCACACAGCCCGCCTCCAGAAGGGCCCGCAGCACCGGCAGGGGCACGAGGTCGTCGGCAACTGCCTGCTGGAAAACCTGCAGGGAGGGAGAGCGGGGGCAGGAAGGAAGGGAAGGAAGGAAGGAAAGGAAGGAGGGATTGAGGGAGAGCGAGGGGGGAAACATGCAAGGAAGGAAGGGTTGAAGGAGAGCCGGGGGAAAACGGGCCTCAAGACCTTAGGATGGTAACGATACAAGAGGTTCATGGAGGTGCAAGAAGAGCGCGGAGGGAGGTTGTTTAGAAGGAGGAGGGGGCGGAGGAAGCAGGAGCAGGGAGCAGGTTGAAAGGGAAGGCACAAGGAAGCGTACCGCCGTACACAGGGGAACTGTACCACCCCCGGTACAGCTGCAGCAGCACATCACCGCTACAGCCAGTCATCCAGCTAGACCGCTACAGCCACTTAGCGGGCCAGCCAGCCCCCTGCCTGCCTCACCTGACCCGGTGGTCCCCAGTCGCAGCCCAGCCGGCTCAAGCAGCGAATGGCGGTGAGGTCGCCGTTGAGGGCGGCCAGCAGGTACGCATGGCCGTCACCCTGGGGAGGGGGAGGAGGGGGAATTAATGATTGGGAGACAGTTTCCGGGACAGTTAGGCTGTGGATTACGGTACATAAAGGGTTGCGTATAGTCATCCTGAGGGTGAGCGAGGGATGTAGGTAGGTCACGGGCGGTGCATTGGGGTGCTGTGACGAGATCCAGATACGGGCTCAGGAAATCAGTGAACACGACAGGTGCAAAGGATTGTGTATAGGAGCACAGTATACAGCAGATGCCACCTAACACCAACCAGCCCTGCCCAACCCACTCGCACTCACCGGCACCGGGTAGCGCTGCTCCCCCAGCAACTCCAGCAACTCCTCACTCAACCCCTCCGCATCCTCCAAGCAACCCAGCACCGAAACCAGCTCCTGCTCCACCTCGGCCTCGGAATCCTCCTCCTCCTCCGTCTCCTCCTCGGAACCCGCATCCCCTGCCGCAGCACCGCTCTTCTTCTTGCTGCCGCCGCCACAGCCGCAGCCGCGATCCGCCAGCCAGCGTAACAGCGCCATGTTACCCGACTGCACCGCCGCCGCCGCCACGCGCGGAGTCAACACCCGCAACGGCGGCGCGCTAGGTTGCTTTTCCCTTGCTCCCTTGCCCTTGCCTCCGCCACCGCTCTTGGTGCCAACTTTCTTCTTGTTACTTCCAGAGGCCGCCGCACCGCTGCCGCCAGCGCCGCCGCCCTCCCCGCCCAGCTCCGCTAGCCATGACACGACAGGGAGGTGTCCCTCCGCCGCCGCGGCGGCGGCAAGTGCCGTCAGGGTGCTGACGGAGGCGCCGTACGGGCAAACGCGCATGTCGTACAACGCTTGCAAAGTCGCCACGTGACCCTTCCGGGCGGCGACGACGGCGGCGGTGCCGGCGACGGAAGAGTCCAGCCGTACGCCGCCGCCGCGGGAATCCTTGCTGGATTGCAGTAGGAATCGTACGGCATCGGCGTTGCCGGCTGTGGCGGCGGCGACAACGTCGCCGGGGACGAAGGCGAGCTTCCGTCGCCGCCGCTGCTGCTGGCGTTGCTGCTGTTGCTGTGGTTGTTGTTTCTGGAGCTGACTCAACCAGCGCAGACGGCTAAGTGCGTCCGGAAGGGCGGCTGCCTTGGCACATGTAAAGCTGCCGTTGCCGCTACCGCCGGTTCCTATCGGGGATTGCGGGAGGGACAGCAGCCATTTCACCTTGTCTTGCCAGTCGGGGGTTGGGCTGGCAACAGCGGCTGAAAGCAGCCGACCATTGAGGTCAGGATGGATGTCAATCCCCCTAACCGGGTTGAAAAAGGCTCCGCTGCCGCCTTGAGCCTCTGTGATGGTGAGATAGTCGGTTTGGACGCGCTGTAGGGTGGGCAAGTCGCAACCTTCGGCCACGGCTTCGAGCAGCAGGACGCAGAGGGAGGTCGCCGGAAGCACGGGACCGATCAGGCGCAGGAGCAGCCACTCCATAAGGTCATCGTGACCACCGCGAGCAGCAGCGCAGATGGCCCAGAAGGACCAGCCGCCGTTGTTGTCCAGAAGCCATTCGCAGATGGAGCGATGACCGGTCAATGCCGCGGCTTCCAGCGCGGCGTCGCCCAAACAGCAGCCTTCTTGGTGGAGATATTTAAGGGTTTCAAGCTGACCGGCGCGGGCTGCTGCTGCGGTGACTTGCCAGCCCCAGGGGCAGCCCTCCTGTCGCAACCAGGTACAAATGTGAACTTGTCCGCCCGATGCAGCAGCCTCAAAAAGGTCAATAGTGAGGGTGCAGCCGGCCACTTTAGCGGCTAACTGCAGGTTTTCAAGGTTGCCACTACGTGCGGTCAAGTTGAGAAAGTTTCGGCGCTGCCGGAGCGTCAAGCCTCTCATGGCATCCGGGTTGTCCCATTTTTGCGCGAAGGTGCCGTGCGGTACAGACGCCGACAAACGGACTGTCGTGTAGTTGCTGAATTGAGCGACCGTGGCCTTGCTGATTGGCCGCAGCGTGCAGCAAATGTCGTTCGGCGACATGAAGCCTGCAATCCTGTCCAGCAACTCAGGCAGCAGCCAGACCTGGGAAGGCTGAGGCTCATCCTCAGATACTGCCTGATCTTGCTGATTGCTGCCAGCCTCTTGCTCCAGTTTGCTTTCCATTGTTCGCCTCACACTCGTGATCTACCGGTAGCCAAGAAGCCAATGCAGCGCACCCTCGGACCAAAGGTGTCTTAGGTATATGTATGAAAGAAATAACTAGGGTGATCAGTCACTCATTTATCTACGGCCTGTCGTCCAGGCGCAAATTACAGTCAACCGACGTCGTTTCAGCTTTAGGCTAACGGCACATCATCTATGTGGAGCTTGCCCGCATTTGTCACCCTGTGTTATACGTCAAGTGACGTTATTGATACTTTCCGCACTGTATCACGTCGTGTGATAGGCCGTCGTACGGGATACGGCACCTACCAGACAACCATACGGCATTCATCTAGTAACCAGATTCCTGCAAAGGACAACCGCCACGCTCTTGTTACTGGGAACTTACCAACAGCCCCGAGGGGCAACACGGGGCGTGCAACGCTGCTTATCGGCGGCCCCTTAGACGGCTGCATTACCGATATTCACGGCTCTCTGGGTGTGGTTGCAAGCTGCCTCCTGCTACCTCAAAAGGATCAAAATGGATTCCCTGATGCATCACGGCGCAGGACCCCGTCGCTGAATCCTCCCAGGAAGGTTTGTAGCTTGACAGTGCTCGTCAAGACGGGGGTTTGAGCCTCAGCAGACTGAATTAGGTGCCGGCCCCCTGAGCGATTCACTGCGCTACAAAGTGCGTATCCACACCATGCGGCCCTATCCCTGCAGCCTGCACGTTCGGCTCCTGACATGATGCATGCTTTTACGCTCCTAAAGGGAGGTAATGGGAAAAACCGGCTACAGGATGGAGATGGGATGAGGTGCAGCTGTGCGTGGTTCGGGAGACACGTGCAGGAACGGTCCAAAAGCAAGGAACTGTCCCTCGGGACGGACATTATCCACGTTACACGCACCGCAGCAGATTGTTGGCCTCTTCCTTCTCCCTACTATGTACCCCGCCAAAGCAGCCAACTAGCACCTGGTCCCCCAGACAGGCCTGGCAGCAAGCAATCCAACCATTGCCCTACATCAGACTAAGCATAATCACGGCATGGCCAGGTCGTCACATGCCAATGCGTAACTAATATGTACGAGATCTCTGCCATCCCCCATCGACAGACGTATTCGCTCTTGCTAGCTCAATGGTGTCCGCGATTACTTCTGACATCACCGTCAGGCTTCCACCAGCGTCGCCTCCATGTTCATACGTAGACTCCAACCCACAGAAGCAGGAAGAGCGTCCCTAGCCCCAGCAGCACAGCAGAGACGAAAGCCAGAAGCAACTCCGATCTGAGCGCCCGGTTGGATTTTGTTTTCGTCACCTCATAAAGAAAGAAGCTTCCAGTCATACATAGACCACTAGTGAGGAGGACGGTTGCAAAAGTGGGGTAGAGAGCGGTCGGCACAGGGCTGTTTACGGGAATGACCTTGCTCATTGTGAAAGACCTATTTCAAGCGTCCAGAATTTCGCAACGGCAAAAGTGGAATCAATACCTATAACATTTTGGTTCGAGGGGAGGTTGTTACTATCACCTATTGCCGCCGTACCGCTCAGTACTTTAAACCCTGTGCAGGCTACCGGTGAGTGTACACAGCACCCACTCATGTCCCCTTCCCTTCCCGTTGCGCATTGACAGCCCGGCAGGATTGCACATAATTTGCCCATGGGCGTTATGAAACACGGTACTCCCGTGCATTGCCGCTGCCGTTCTTACCGGGCTGCGCCCAACACCAGACCCCCGAGGTGGGAGGGCCACCGTGGTTAGGAGAAGGTAGGCAGGTAAGCAGGTGATCATGCCCCCACTAGCCTTTGAAGGAGCAACACGTATGGAGGTGCATGCTCCATTTTGTCATTGGGCTAACACACATCTGTACGGCAACGCAACCCAGCTTGATCTAATCGTTGGCCTAGCATCAGTAATGTATTGCAAGAAACCTGTGTACAGCTTATGCTTAACTTCTTTCTTGACGGCGGTGCAATCACGCTTGCATAGCTCGTAACCTTTTTTGCAAGCAAAGGGTGCTTTGCAAGATGGACGTAGGATTAATTTCTGAAATGCAATAGTTATCAGGGACTTAATGCGCTTGCTTGCTTAATAAGTCTTTTTTGCTGGGCTTGGGAGCATGCTCAAGTCGAGCGTCAATTGCGCTTCGCCGACCCATCATCGTTCGCCGAGTAATACCCGCCGCAACATGTCGCTGTCGGGCATCTGGGTAGCGTTATCCGTAAGGAGTTGCCCGCTAGCATCTAGACCGCTGGCTTGCGTCATGGCCAGCGCCAGAACAATGCTCCCAGCGTCGCCCGCCGCAGTAACCTCCTCGCGCTTCCAGACGCCCAGTATGGCCTCATCGCTCAGAACAGCAGTAAGAAGCGCTCAATGCACCCTTCCGCGCTTCGGGATGTCCATGTTGTCATCCCATCCAAGGCGACACACAGCGCCTGGACTGCTCCGGGCTTTAGCAACGGAGACCGCAGCAGCGGGTGTGAAGACAGCTACGGTTGACAACGTCTCAGAAACAGCTGCAGATCCCAACGGTCAAGTCCAGACGGTTCTGCTGGAGGTTAGTTGCAATGTTGCCTGACATCCGGGAGCTTGCCGGTGCCCCTAAAACCTCCTTTGCCGTCCCTTTTTGGGCGTCCACTCTCTCACTGCACAACCCTTTCCCATTCACCTCGCCGTAGCAATGCACATTAGCAACAGTCTTCCTTTGACCCTCTTCATCCCTCCATCCTTACACCCCCACTCCCCACCCTTCCGCGTTCGTTAGTCATTATCCCACCTTTACCGCACCCTTACCCCACCCTTCCCGCACCCGCACCCACTCAACCGGGCGCAGGTGGGCGGCATGAAGTGCGGCGGCTGCTCCGCGGCCGTGAAGCGCATGCTGTCGGGGCGGCCCGAGGTGGCTGCCGCGGCCGTGAACCTACTGACGGAGACAGCGGCGGTGCAGGTCAGGTGAGGCGGGCAGGCAGGAAGGCGGGGGGTGGGGTGAAGGCGGGGTGAAGACGGGGCAAGAGCGAAACAGAACCGTTCCAACAGGCTGGTCAATAGGCCACATACAGGTCAGGCGGGGGGTGGGGTCAGGCGGGAGCCGACAGCAGAAGAAAGCGTTACGGTACGTTTCCAATGCTCGAAGCCTGATCCCGTGCCTGAAACACGCCGGACCCGTTCCCCGGCTAGCAGCCGACATTGCGGCACAGGCCACAGCGCATGTCATGATGTCATGACGATGCACGCACACGATGTGATGACGCACGATGACCCATGGATCTGTGTTTCGCCCCATTCAACCTCCTCCTGAACACAGGGGCTCACCCGAGGAGCTGGGCCCCGCGTTAGCTGCGTTCATCAGCGCTCGCGGCTTCCCGGCGCGGGTTCGATCCGCGGCGGCAGCAGATGATGAAGGGGAGGATGGTACGGCAGCTGCGGATCCGCTGGGGCTGGCGGCGGCGGAGGAAGCGGATCGCAAACGCCAGGTAAGCTCGAAAACTGGGCTGAAGAAAATCAGCCGGAGGGATTGTACCTACTGGTCTTGCTAACGGCCTTACTTTGCTCCCGCTTCTTCCCGCCCCATCGCTCGGACCTCCACCTCCCCCCACAGGCCGATGCTCGCCGCAGCCTGCTCGACCTTTCCGCTGCCTGGCTGCTGGTGGCCGCCTGCGTGGCGCACCACAGCGGTCACCTGCTGCACGCCGCGGGACACCACGAGGTGGCGCACCTGCCGCTGCTGGCGGCGCTGGCCGACCCGCGGGTCAGCGGGGCGCTTGGGGCGTTTGCGCTGCTGGGACCCGGACGCAGGTGGGGGGGTTTAGGGGAGGTGGCGGTTGTCACCTCCAGCGAGCTTATCTTCACCTGCCCTGTCTCGCCCGTGGGGGCCTCAGCCCCCAAACTCTCAATTCCCTTCCCCCGGAGCTTGTCGTCTGGTTTGCGATCTCATTCGACGCATTGCGAATTCATCCCTGCCCCCCCAGGCTGCTTGTGGACGGCTTCCGGTCGCTGGTGTCCGGGCACCCCAACATGAACAGCCTGGTTGGGCTCGGCTCGGCAGCCTCCTTCGCGGTGGGGGCGGCGGGGCTGCTGGCGGGGGTGGTGGGGGGAGCAGGTGAGAGGCATGGGGGCGGAGGGATGCGTTGACGGTAGGAAGTGTGGGAAGGGGGGTGGAGGGAGCAGCCGGTGATGGGTGGGATGTGAAAGGGGGTTCGTGGGGGTTGGGCAGGCGGGCTCCTCCTTTCCATGCTGCACGGCACATGTGCCATGCACCCGCCCCCCCCACCTCCGCGGCCCCCTTACCCTGCAGGTGGTGGTGCCGGTGGTGGTGCCGGGCTGCTTGCCGACGCCTCCTTCCTGGAGGAGCCGGTGATGCTGCTAGCGTTCGTGCTGCTGGGGCGGGCGCTGGAGGCGCGGGCCAAGGTGGGTGGGAGGGGGCCAAGCGGACTCAGCTACATGCGGACATGGACGGTTCAGCTGCCCCTGCCCCTGTCCTCACGCCCCTGCCCCTGTCCTCACGCCCCTGCCCCTGTCCTCACGCCCCTGCCCCTGTCCTCACGCCCCTGCCCCTGTCCTCACGCCCCTGCCCCTGTCCTCACGCCCCTGCCCCTGTCCTCACGCCCCTGCCCCTGTCCTCACGCCCCTGCCCCTGTCCTCACGCCCCTGCCCCTGTCCTCACGCCCCTGCCCCTGTCCTCACGCCCCTGCCCCTGCGCTCACGCCCCTGCCCCTGCGCTCACGCCCCTGCCCCTGCGCTCACGTGCCCGCCCCCCACCACCCCCCACCACCCTCAGTCAGTTAGTTGTTTCCTCTTTACCCCACCACCCCCTTCTCCAGGTCCAAGCAGCCGCCGACCTGCAGTCCCTGGCACGTCTGCTGCCTGCCTCCGCACGACTGGTGCTTGACCCGGGGGCAGCACCCCCGGGGGCTGGGGGGGCGCCGCCTGCCGGTGCTGGTGCAGGCGGCGGTGCTGCAGCTGGTGGTGGTGCAGGCGGTGCTGCAGGTGGTCCTGCAGTGGATTACGCGACGGTGCCCACCAGCAGTGTGCGGACGGGGGACGTGCTGCGGGTGCTGCCGGGTGAGGGGCGTGGGGTGGGGGTTGAAGGAAGGGAGGTGAAGCGCACCCGAAGCCCAGCCCGCCATTGTCCAATGCCCATTACTGGGAGTTGCCTGGTCAGTTTCCTTATTTGTACCCCCCCCACACACACACGAGCACCCCCTTTCTTCCTTCCTCCCCCTCCCCCCGCCTTTTTGTAGGCGAGAGGGTTCCAGTGGACGGCTTGCTGCTCACCGGCGAGTGCTGCTGCGACGAGTCCCTGCTAACCGGCGAATCCGCGCTGGTGCCTAAACAGGCACCCGGCGTCAGCCGACTAGTGGGTGGCACGGTGTGCTACGAGGGCGCCATCACCATGCGAGCAACCGCCACGGGTCGGAAGTCCACACTCGCGGGAATCGCACGTCTGGTGGCTTCGGCGCAGGCACGGGAGGCGCCCGTTCAGCGCTTGGCGGATGCGGTAGCAGGGCGGTTTTGTCTGGGTGTGATGGCTGCTGCCGCGGCTACGTTTGGGTTCTGGGCGGGGCTGGGACCTCAGCTGTTCCCCCATGTGTTGGAGGTGGCGGGGACGGGAGGATGGGCGGCGTTGGAGGCCTCGTATCACAGCCATGGTAAGTGTGTATCACGCCGCCGCCACACCTGCCGTACAAGCTTGTTCTCGCCCACAGTACCTGCCGTACCTTCGCCCATACACACACGCGCGTTCGCCGCCAGCCTTTTTCCAACACACACACGGCTTCCTTCCTTCCGTTCTTCCATTCTCTTTCTGAGGACTTCATCTTCCGGCAATCACAAAACGTTTTGGCTCCCGGCCAGTTGTTGCACTTGCGCACATCACCCTCACCCCTACCCCACATTACCCCCCTTCTCCACCCAGGCGCCGGCGGTTGGGGCGGCGCCGCCGCTGCAGCCCTCGACGCCGCAGACACTCCCGCCTCGCCCCTGCTGCTGGCGTTACGTCTGGCGGTCGACGTGTTGGTGGTTGCATGTCCCTGCGCACTGGGCCTTGCGACTCCCACTGCCGTTCTGGTGGCCACTTCGCTGGGGGCGAAGAGGGGGCTGCTGGTGGGTTTGAGTGCTGATGGGGCGATTTTGGGTTTGGATGGTTGGGGTGGTTGGGACGGTCGTGGAGGTGGGTTGGTGGTTATTTGCATGCATGTGACTGCCGGCACGCTGTTAGGGGGGTCTGCTGGGGCTGCTCCTGGCGCCTGAACGGTTGGTTGCTTATATCGGTAGGTAAGCCGGCGTGTGGGCCATCAACAATCCATCATCATGCATCCCATGCCTTCCCATTCAGGTTCGCGGAGGGGATGTGTTGGAGCGGTTGGCGGCCGTTGATACCGTTGTGCTGGACAAGACCGGAACACTCACCGAGGGTGCGTGGGGGGGGGTTGCGGGGTGTGTGTGTGGGGGTTTGGGCATGAAACCAATTGCGTACGGCAGTACGGCAGGTATAAGCGATGAGTGAGGTGTGGGGCAGGGTGCATGTAGATGAAGGTGTGGGGGTTTGGGACATCATACCCGGGGTACCGTCTATGGTCTACCCCCTTGCTCATACCCCGAACAACATGTGAACAACTAACAAACAACTAACACCGCTGATATGGACACGCAGGCAAGCTAAAGGTCCTGGGCATTCAAACGGTGTCACCACATCAGCAGTCGGGGGGGCGTTCTGAGGACGGCAACCATCAACAGCCGCACCATTACCATCAACACAATGGCAGCTGGGAGCAACAACTGCGGCAGCAACAACCTAGCCCCAGCAGCAGCAGTGTCAGCGGCAGCAGACAGACGTGCTGTAGCAGCAGTAGCGGCAGCACTAGCAACGGTAACGGTAATGGCAGTTGGGTATTAGGTCATGGAGGGGAGAACGGTAAGGAGATGGAGGTTCTGCGGTTGGCGGCGGCGGTTGAAGCGGCGACTCGGCATCCACTCGCAGACGCCGTACTTGCGGAGGCGAAACGACGCGGCGTAACGGCGCCGCCGGCGACGGAGGCGGCGACGACGACCGCGGGTCGCGGCGTACGAGCAATCGTCGATGGACGATGGGTCGCCGTCGGGCGACGCGAGTGGGCGTTGGAAGCGGTTGGCGCCGACGCGTCGTCGTTGCCGTCATTGACGGCGCCGCCGCCGGAGACGGCGGCGCCCGGCGCTACCTCAGTGTGGGTCGCGAGTGAGGGCGAGGGACTCGTGGGTCGCATTTGGTTGCGCGACACATTGAGGCCCGACGCCGTCGCGACGGTTGCGTCGCTAACGGCGGCGGGAAAGCGAGTGGTGATCATGTCGGGCGACGACCCGGCGACGGTTGCGGCGGTTGCGGCGGCGGCGGGAGTGAATGCGGCGGCGGCGAGGGGCGGTTTATCGCCGGAAGCCAAGCTGGAGGGTGTACGACAGCTACAGGCGGAGGGGCGAGTGGTGGCGATGGTGGGGGATGGCGTCAATGACGCGCCAGCGCTGGCGGCGGCGGATGTGGGTGTTGCCATGAAGGTACGAACCGTGTCGTGTAGTGGGTTTTGAATGGTTGCCCTTTCACCCACCTCATGGTTGGCAGCTAAGGTCCATACAGCGCACCGGTAGTTACGCGGCTCAATTACCTTGACACCCGCCCACCTCCGGGCCTTTATCCCCATCGCCTGGCGCCTAACCTGTGGTTCTTGACCTACCTCTCCGACCCCCCCCACCACCACCACCAAACAGGGCGGACTGGACGCCGCTGGCGAGGCTGCTGATGTGGTGCTCATGGGCGACCGGCTGGGTCAGCTGCTGGATGCCGTAGAGCTGGGCGGGGCCACGCTGACCAAGATACGACAGAACCTGGGATGGGCGCTGGCATACAATGTGGTGGGCATTCCCCTGGCGGCAGGTGAGGAAGGAGGAAGGCGTGGGGAAGAGGAGTCAGTGGCGTGTGTTTCTCCCGATACATGGCATCGCTGCTGATCCGATGTCCTCTCACAGCGCTGCGATCCGCCGTGGCCTCCTGTGTGTTTCTCTCCTCATCTGCCTGCTGCTGCTGTTGCTGCTGCTGTTGCTGCTGCTGTTGCTGCTGCTGTTGCTGCTGCTGTTGCTGCTGCTGTTGCTGCTGCTGCCCCTGCTGTTGCTGCTTCACTGGTGCTTCACTCTTCATCTACTCCCCTCCAATGATCAGCTGTGTTCCCCCCCACTCCTCAATCTCGTTGACCCTGCCCCCCCCTAGGTGCGCTGCTGCCTAGTGCGGGAGTGGCGCTGAACCCCTCCGCCGCTGCCGCCATGATGGCGCTCAGCAGCGTGGCGGTGGTCAGCAACAGTCTGCTGCTGCGGGCGAGGAGCTGGGGCAGGCGGGCGTCGTAGGGGCGGGGGTTTAAGTGGGACGACGTTTGGCAGGCGGTCTGGGTCGTCAACCCGTCGCCGTGGGGCCGATAGCTGAGAGCTTTAAGAGCGCTGTTGGCCAGCATGCATGCATGCTGGCAGGCGAGCGTGTGCGGTGGTGGTGGTAGAGACTACGTGTCTGGGAGCGTTTAACACTGCATGAAGGAGGCTGTATGATGGTGGTTTAGACTTAAAAGAGGCGGGGGGAAAATGGCGTTGAAGGTGATGAACCCCACCCCGCGTGTGGGGCTGCGTGCCGTGCTGCCGTGCAGTGTTTCGCACCAGCTACGGAAACGGCCGCGAATGTAACATGGTATGGGGGCAACATGCAACATGTTGAGGTGTGGCGAGGTGGCTGAGGTCATGGGGGTTGCCCTGGAGGCGGTAGAATGGCCTCCCGAAATGAGCCTCTACATGGGGCGTGATTGTGCTGCGGAAAGTCGCTGCATGCGCTAAGCCCTGTAGCGATGTCACTGTATGACTGGATGACGACTTACAGCCGGGTAAATCAAGGAAATTCGGTCGCTTTCCGACAGAAAACCGGCGAACTGACGGCTTTAAAAGCTGTAGGCCTAGGCCACATTGAAGTCCGCCTGTCATGGCAACTTGGTCAAGCAAAACCAGCCTCGTTAACACGAGCGGTGCCTGTTTTTGTAACAGTGTTGCAACGTGGTCCCATGCATACCAGACGCATTCGTGGGTGGATTGTTATCGCTCTTACATGAGCATGCAGTTAAAATTGGGTGCGGCGACGCCGATTCCCTGCCCGTTGTTGACCCGTGGGTCCTTCACGGCGGCACATCAAGCGTTGACGGTTACCGACGACAGAGCCTGTCGGAATGTGGGCGTCGGCAGAAAGGGAGTCATGTATAGTTTGCAGGTACGGCAGGGTAGATGGCGGTGCGTCCCATGCATAGGACGAGGTACGACACCCGATGCTTCCCAAATCCAGCAGTCCAAAGCTCCTCACCACCAAGCAATGCAACCTCGCAAAACCCCGAACTGATTGCAATTACCGGTAAGTAGACAGCTAGACACCCCCCGCCCTGCACTCATCTTGAAGTCCCCCCCTCACCTTCAGAGCCTCCGTCACGTGCTGTTCTACGTTGAATTGGTCGTTAAAGGACAGCACGCAGCGCCCCTCGGTGTCGAACACGTACGTCTGGCGGCCAGGCAGCAACCCCAGCAGATCCGACTTCACACCGAAGGACTGCAGGTGCATTGGGTGGGGTTGGGGCGTTGGTGCATGGGTGGTGCATCGAGTGAAGGGGTGGGAACTGGGTACATGGTTGCGGGGTCAGTTTACAGCGGGAGCAGTGGAGTGGAGTTGGCGGGGGTAGCGCAGGTCGGTAGGACGGCCCGCACGATTCCCCACCTCTCCACTTCTCCATTTGCACCGCGAGCTCCTCCCCTTTACCTCAAACATCACATCCACCATAGGCATGGTATTGTCTTCTCTTCTCCACACACCCCGCCACAGAAGCCCTAACCTGTGGTTTCCTTTGGTTTGGCGGCCCTCTCTGACCCCACCACCAGGCCCTACAAGGCTCCACAGGCCCCCAAGGTCCCAGCCCCACCTTGCGCAGGATGGCCCCCGCATCGCTGAGCAGCGGGAAGGGCAGGCGCTGCGCCGCGGCGAAGGCCGCGTTCTCCTCGGGGCTGTCGGAGGAGATGCCGAACACGGCGGCGCCGGCGGACGTGAAGCGGGAATACTCGTCACGGAAGGAGCAGGCCTGGTAAGGGAGAGAGGGAGAGAGGGAGGGAGGGAGGGCGAGAGGGAGGGAGGGAAAATACATGAAAAGTGAAGCAACAGAATCCCGACCCCATATCCCGACTCATGCAGTGAGCGCATACGAAGACACTAAAGTATACGGCTAGGAGAGGGGGCTGGCGTTGTGTAGCTTGCGTTCTCGCCATGGGTAGGGCACAAGGGGAGGGGCAGGTAGGGAGCGGGCACCAGAGAGGCTGATGAGGATATCGTACAGCTTGGTCGTAAGTTGCGCAGAGGAACTAACCGTACACCCGCCTTCTACCCCTTGCCGTACACCTGCCTTGCCGTCCTCCCCTGCCGTACCTCCTTGGTGCAGCCTGGAGTGGCTGCCTTGGGGTAGAAGAAGAGCACGAGGGGCTGCTTGCCTCGGAATGCGGCGAGGGACACGGAGCCGCCCTGGCTGGTGCGGAGAACCCTGGGGTGCGGTTAACAAGAGCACCGGTAGGATTGAGTTTGGTGCAGAGCGCATATGCGGGATGATGTAGCCCTACTAGTTGCATAGTAAGCACGTGTGCGTATAAGGCAAGGTAGGTTTGGTGAAGGCCATGGCAAGGCGCGATGACATGACTGAGGGGCGACCCGCAGGCGCTAGCAACAGACAACGGTCGCACCTGTAGTAGTCTGGGTAGTTTTCCAGCTTATCGCCAACCTTGAGCTCGGCCTGTTGTAAGCGTGGTGAGCAATCAATCGTGGCAGCAATCGATGGCAACCGTCAAACGTGTTCCAGGCCAAAGCTGCCTCGTAGCAGTCAGCCATCAGCAGCTGTATTCAACGCGACTATACTTGCAAGCAGCGGTTGGCTTTTGGAAAAGTCGCTTTTTGATGTCCGTCGGTGCAAGCTTATGCTCCACTATCTAACGGTAAAGGCGCATTGATTGCCCAGATGTCCCCAGAGAACCACCTTCACAACCACTGGAGCACGCGGCACGCGCTGCGCAGACCGGAAGACTGGGACGCGAGCAATCCTTGCCATCGGGCGAGGCGCCGCGGGAGCCTTTGCCGCCAGCATTTTTGTTTGTGCTTAAATAGTAATGACCGATTATAATTTACCTTTGTTACAAATGTGACACGGGCAAAGGTGGGCTTCACGGTTAGTGCTCGCCTAGTCGGGCCCTACAATGGGGCCTTATGCTGCTGCCTTGAAAGCGACATCTTGAGGACAAGAAGCCCGGTGACTGTGTCTGCGCTCTGACTGACAGTGGGACTTTGTATTACATTCTGAGTACCGGTATGTGTAAAAGCATTGGGGAATGTAGAGCTGCCGATTTCCGGGTGACAAGCTTGCAGACCAGGCGAGGCAGGAGTCTCTGTGGCCGGCGGGAGTGGCGTTACGGCACTTAGGAAATCCAGGGCTCGTTGCACCTGTGATGTTGACCACCACCACAGCGGGCACAAAGCGGAACGACCTCTGCGAGGGACTAATTCACATGCGGGGTTGCGGGTAGCGGAAAAGCGTATCGCTGTGCTGCGCATGGCTTTCAGAAGTCATGTTGGTGGGAGGATAAAACACTAGGCTCTCTAAGGGTATGGCAGGCCACAAGCCATCCCACGACAGAAGCTGGGTAGGGTGGCGCCTGACATGGCATGGGCAAGAGTTCGCTCACGTTGCGGATTTAGGGTGATCAAAAAGTGCATGTTTTTTTGGTTAATGGGCAACGCTTGAATCACATTTGGATCTAATTTGTTAGAACTAATCACATGCAAGCATGTAACCGCAACGAACAGTGACCTAAAATGCGTCGTACACTTGCTTGCAGAAGCCAAACAAGTCGACGCAGGATGGATACAGCATATGTTTATCTTTAATGTTTCATCTGTATAAATTTTGAACTTGTAGCTAAAGGTAGCTGCCCTGGACAGCCGCAATTGAACTTTTTTGAACGCGCCAGGGGCCCCCTGCGCACAACTTTGCGCAGCGATGGGTACCCACAATGGATGTTTGTTACTACTAGTTTCGTTGGTGCTTTGTACGCATCTAAGCGGCGCTTCCACTGTCATCAAGTCAGCACCTGCGCGGGCGACTGAAGCTTACGCTACACTCGTCTATGGAGAGGAATTCGTTCTGGCAGCTCGCGTTCTCGGACAATCCCTTCGGGAATCGGGCACAACAAGGTACGGCTGGCTTCCATGTCAAATTGCGCGGGATTCCGAACACGGTAACCGGTATCTTCCAGTCTTCCTTACAACGTGTGCCTGGCATACATCACTCCCATATAATCACTGCGTGCCAGGGCTTGGACCATGCTCTTTAGTAAACTTTGTCCAATTGCTCGCACATGTGGTTGCGACCCATCACCTTACCCCATCCCACCCTTTCAACTCCATGTCATCCCGTGCATCCCTCCCTCCCATCCCTCCCTCTCAGGGACCTGGTGGCCCTCACCACCGGCTCTCTGCCCGCCTCCGCCGAACTCACCCTCTCCTCCGACGGGTGGCGAGTAGTGCGTGTGGCGCCCGTGGCAAACCCGGCACGCGGCCCCCAGCCCACCGGCTACCCCCCGCGGTTCGCTTACGTGTACACCAAACTGTACATCTTCAAGATGACGGAGTACAAGAAGAGTGAGGACCGGCGGGGACAGGGTTGGGGGGATGGAGGGCTGGTGGGAGGATGGAGGGCACTCCCTGCTGCCTGTCTGATTAACATCACTGCACGCTTCCGGGCTTTCCTTTCGCCCATGTCAATGCACCCTTCCTTGCCAGCTCCATTCTGCCCCTCCCTTCCCTCCTGTCCCGAGCCAGCAGCTATCACCATGGGCTCTCACTGCCGTTTAAAGCAGGCTAGCCCTCCTTCCTTACTCCTTCCCTCCCCAGTGCTTCCTCGCGGCTCAGTTTTTCTACCATATTCCCCAATGCCACCGCATGAGTTGGGATTTGGGATTGGGACTCCGTTGCCTGCCGTTGCTTCATTTTTCATTTCCTTTTTCCCCAATCCCACCGCAGTTGTCTTCCTGGACGGAGACATCCTGGTGCTCCGAAACATGGACGTGCTGTTCCGCTGCCCCGGCTTCTGCGCCGCGCTGCGACACAGCGAGCGCTTCAACACGGGCGTCATGAGTCTGGTGCCCTCCACGGAGATGTACGACGACATGATGGCCAAGGTGGCGACCATGCCGTCGTACACTGGGTGGGTTTACAGCGGACTTGTCGTACATTGGGTGGGTTGCACTGGGGGTTTGTCGTACACTGGGTGGGTGGGTTTGCACTGGGGGTTGTCGTACACCGGGTACGGGGCAGCGACTTACCGGTATCCCCCTTGTCCCGCACCCCATCTCCCACACCCCCCACAGGGGAGACCAGGGTTTCCTCAATTCGTACTTTGAGGGCTTTGCGCACGCGCCCCTGTTTGACGGAAACACACCCTACACGCCGGACCAGAGCAAGGTAAGTCAGGTGGGTGGTGTGGGGCTGGGAGGGAAGGGGAGGGGGAGTTAATCGGGGCAACATATCGACAAGGTGGAACGTCGGATGGATTGCTTGAAGCATGCCTTTTCCATTGCTGCCGTAACCAGGCTAACCATCCTCTTGCCGTACCGCCGTACAACCTGTCGTACCATCACCACCCACCTGCAGTACATGCGTTTGCCAACCACCTTCAACGCTGATGTGGGCCTCTACGTGGTCAACTCCAACCGCTGGATGCTCCCCCGCTCCTCCCTCTACGTTATCCATTATACGCTGGGGCCCTTCAAACCCTGGGTTTGGTGGTCGGGGTGGCTTGTACGGGAAAACCCCGCATGGTCTGCCGTACGAGCACGCCTGCCTGCTGACGTCAGCGGCCTCAGTGGCGGCCATACGACACGTCAGCTCTTTTTCGAGCGATGGATGGTGCTGCTGCCTTGGGCGCTGCTGGCGGGGGCTGCGTACTTGTGTTGGGGTGTGGTGGGGCCTGCATGCGGGGCGCTGGGGGCGCAGGCGGGGGCGAGGGTGAGGCGGGTTCCTGGAGTGGCGGTGGCGGCGGTGGTGGCGGCGGTATCGGGGGTTGCAAGGGTGCTAAGGAGGGGTGGGAGCGGTGGAGGGGTGGGTGGAAGGGGGCTTGGGTTGCTTGGGGGAGGTAGCGGGGCGGGTGGGGGGGTAGCAGCGGGGGGTGGCATGGGTGCGGGAGCGGAGGTGGTGCTTCGGATGGCTGGGTTGGGGGCCGCTGCTGCTGCTTCCGGGGGGGCTACAGCAGGAGGAGATAAGGCAGCATCGGCAGCAGACAAGGCAGGAGGAGGAGGTGGCGGTAGCGGTGGGTGTGCAGGAGCTGTAGCAGGAGCAGGGGCGGCGCCGGGAGCGGGTTTTGCTGACGTGTTCCCGCGGGGGTTCATGTCGGTATCCATGCTGGCGGGTTTCGGGTGTGTCGTGCTGGCGGCTGTGTCGACCATTCTGCTGGTGCCGCCGGAGGTGAGGAGGAGGGGGGGTAACACGGGGAGGGGGGCCATGGGGTTGGGTGACATGTCCAGTTGAGAAGGTGGGGTAGTATGGATCGCCCTCTCCCTCCTTCATCCTCCGCACCCAGTCCACTGTCCTCCCAACCCCATACTCAACACGTGCAACGCCGCTCTCATTCCTCCTACCCTTCCTCCTCCCTCAAACCCTTCCTCCTCCCTCAAACCCTTCCTAACTCCTCCCTCCTCCAACACACATTGGAATTTCTCTTTTTCCCTCCTCCCTCCTACGCATCCTCCCTCCTACTCTTCCCTCCCCCTCCCGACGAGAACAGGTGGACCCGCTGTACGGCTGGATCCTGAGTTACGAGTGGGGTTTCATGCTGCTGGGGTTGTCGTACGGCGCCTACCTGCGCAGCTGCTTCCTGGCGGGCAAGAGGGCGGGACACCACCCTGCCGTACAACTGCCCAAGGTGCTGCCGCCGCCGTACGGCTCGTACCTGCCGTACAACATGCATTATTGCCGTACGGTACATGTTGATACATATTGGCTTATGTTGTGGGTTGGAAAAACACATGTGTGGGGTGTAGCTGGGGGGTGGCCCCTTGGGCATGTTGGGACAAGTGAGGGCTTTGCCAATAGGTCCCTTTCCGTGTCAACTGTCATCCAGGATCAACCCTATAATTCTTGTCTCCTTATTCGGTTATCTTCTCCTGTCTTCCTCCAGTACCATCCTCTCCCATCTTCCTTACCCACGACGCCCTTGACGACGCCCACCTTTTTTCCATGCATGCCCCATTTCGACCTCTTCGCTCCTTCCTTACCCCCTCTTCAACCCATGTCCCCCGCAGGCCTACGCTTCCGCCTCGCCCTACGCCTCCCTTCCCCTCTCCGAGACCGCCTCCTCCGCCCTCTTCCTCGTCCTCACGCTGCTTCTGGCGCCCTGGCTGGGTCAGCTGCTGGGCATTACCTCCTTTGTCGGTACCATTTTGGCGACGGTGTTTACCGGGTTGGGGGTCATTGTGGTTGCCACGGTGCAGTTTGTTTTCCTGCCGGCTCAGTGGTTTGTGGCGGGTAGGCTGGCGGCGAGGGAGGGGGCGGGAGGGGCCAGGGTGGCGTGAGAAAGGGAACGTGGGGGGTTTTAGAAGCGATTACAGAGGTGATGGATGACTGGGATGGAACAATCGAATGTGTTTAGTGATATGTGGGACGTTGGGGCGGTGAGGCAGGGGAGAGGTGGAGAGGGCGGCGTCTTTAGCTAAATAAGAACCTGCGGCTTGGTGCCTGTTGGGGGGAGGCAGGAGGGGTGGAGGAATCGCTTACCTAGCAGGTGGGGCGCAGGGGGCTGAACGGCTGATGTTTCTCACGCTGGCCTGTAGGGAGGTGACGGTTACTTGACACAACGACGCGATGCATGCTGCGACAGAACTAACCACTTTACCCATGACAGGAAAGAAGCCAATGGGTGTGCCCGGGTCCGTTGTGCCGTTCACTTATATTATTTTCGCGCGGTAGATGAGATGATCAACTTCATCAACATCATCAAGGGTATGGACGGAATTCCTGGACACTTGGGCGCTTTTAGATCCCTATACAGGGCTTCTACCTTCAGCGCACTCCGTTCATGGGTTTTGAAAGGAGGGACCCATGCAAACCCGACCATGGGAAGGGCGACGCTGCGGCGAAGAAGTGGTATTGGGATGTGCAAAGGAAGTTGTCACTCCTGCCATGGTGGCTGATGCGACAGAATTCGCGTTGCTGGTTGAAGGCCTACGCAGGTACCGTACTTTACGGACTTGTTCCCATGTTTCAGTATCAGAACTTCGTCTGTACAAGCACTGCACGCGTAAATATGTTTAGAGCGACTTAAGGACCAATATATTACAGGGTTCCGACATTCAGCTGTCAGAATGTACGGTATTCTCCTCTCAATCGTCTCGGTGCGCAGGCCTATTGAACCAAGCAAGCCAAAAGGACTCAGCTTCCATTATTCGTGCCACAACACGCCTCTCCTAAAAGGCAAACGGAATTAACCTGTTGGCGTTTCGTGCAACATGTCAATATCGTAGCATCATGCATTTTTTCGTTTAACCCCCAAATGGTTGCAGCAGTTAAACGTCTGGTCCCAAATGGTTGCACCACGTTAAACGTCTGGTGACCGACTCAAGTCGTTTAACCATCGGCAACACAGCTTAGTAAACATGCACGAGTTTTGTGCGGCGCAACAAAAACCTGAAAATGCACAACCGTTGGTCCAGCCATCATACTATTTGACATCTCCAACATCCTGGTACGGCTTCCATTCGTGTCTTTGCGCAAAACCAAGCGACGCCAAGCATGAATAGCCACAACAATGCCAATCAATGAAGGGACAAAGAAGAAACACTTCATTACCCAGGAAACATCGTCCATCATCACTCTCTAACACAAACAACCTCATAAGGAACCCAAACAGCTACTTTGGAAAACCTTCATAGTCTTTTGCCTAATAGCAATAACCCCCAAAACAACATACCTCTAAAAGCCGTCAACCCGACACACAAGACACCCGCAACATCCGTGTTCCAGCAGCAGCACAGCCCTACACGACCAAACACACACACACGCGTCCTCACATCCCCTCAACAGCAGAGCAACAACAAGCCTTGCACCAGCAGCAAACACCGCAGGACAAGCCCCTCCAATCAACCCAAACCCACGTCCTGTGTATCCCCATCTCATCTTCAGTTGCCGCCGCCAGCACCACCGTCAGCACCACCATTACCATCACCATTGCTGCCAGCCCCGCTCCTGCCCCGCCTCCCCAGCAGCCCCGCTGCCACCCCTCCCAGGAACCGCAGCCCTGCCCCCGCACCTCCCAGCACGAGTCCCAGCGGGTTCCGTCCCGCAACACCCCCGTTTCCCCTATTGTTGCTGCTGCTGCCGGCGCCGTCTGTTGATGCCTCTTCCCCCCTCCTGCCGGCAGTTGCCTCCAGAGCGGCTCCACTGCTGGTGGACATATCCGTGGCAGTAGCAGGAGAGGCGGCAGCAGCGGCGGTGGCACCAGAAGCCGCAGCAGCCGCTGCTGAGGAGGAAGTAAAGGCGGCTGAGGAGGAGCCAGCGGACGGTCGCACCGTTACCACCCTCCTGCCCGCCCTCCGCGCCCCTGCGGCAGCAGCAGCACCATGCGCCCTGGGAGGCTTGCAGCTTCCGGCAGCAGCACTGGCAGCGGCACTGGCAGCGGCACTGGCAGCAGCACTGGCAGCGGCAGCAGCATTGGAGCCGCAGGGACCACCGACATCGTCATGCCCGGCGCCAGCGGGGGCAGCAGCAGCACCCGCCGCGGGGCTGCTGTCTACCGCCTCCTCCGACGTCGCTCCTGCCCCTTGCTGCTGCTGCTGCTGTTGCTCTTGATGCTCTTGGTGGTGGTGAGCCAGACTGGCCGCATCCTGCTCCTGAGAGTGACGAGCGACCCGCCGGGTCGGTCCCGCATCCTCCCCACCCGACGCTTCACTCCTTTCCCTTTCCGTTGCCTCTCCTGCTGCGATGTTGCTTGCTTCGGAAGTACCGGCAGCAGCGATAGCCGGCCGCGGCGGTCGCCGTACGACCTCCGTAGCCTGAGTAAGCCAGCGCTCCGCTACAGTCGCCACGCGGGTCATCATGCCGGTGGGGTCGCCCGCCAGACAGCGAATCAAGTGCTCCGCACCCTAAGCGGGGAGAGAAGATAGGGATGGCGAGGGGCGCGTTGGTAAGCGGGGGATTCAGAGCTTTTTGTGCTGGGTTTGCATTCAGGATGGAAGAGCAGTTTGGCAAGACAGCGGAGGTGGCGGCAGCAAGTGGCGACCTCCCCCGTTCCACTCTTCACCACCCCTCAAGGTAAGTGCTACATTGCGGCTCTCAGTGAAATACCCCCACCACCACCACCCGTCCCATGCAGCTCCCCTTTCATACTCCTCTCCCCCTTCCACTCCTCACCCTCAGTGCTCGCCGCTGCACGCCCCTCAACTGCTCCTCACTAGGCCGGGCAGACCCCGCAGCATCCGCCCGCTCCACCAGCCCCTCCACCAGCAGCACCTGCTCCACCTGCATTGCACAACACATGACCCACGGGTCAGTTCACGGTGATACGTGCAAGGACGGATACGGCGAGTAGTGCGTCGTAGGGCGCATGAAGGGGGGTCAGCGAAGCTTTGCCTAAAGCTTTGTGCATGGCCCTGTCTCCCTTCATGCACCGCAGTTCGGCAGTTTAGCACCAACGTGAGTATCCAGCACCGTGAATTCATGGTGCACCACCTCAGGGTGCGTGCCTCAGGCACACCATGCTCCTGCTCTCTTCTAGATTCTCCCTCTTTCCCACCTCACCCACCTGCCCCAGCATGGCCCAAAGGTCGGGCAGGCCGTCAGAAGCGCGCCGAGGCACTCCGCGAAGCAGGTCGTAAGTGGCGCCAGCAGCGGCAGCGGGTGGGGGCGCGGCGGCAGCAGTCGCAGCAGCAGCGCTGGTAGTGGAGGCGGAAGGCGGCGCGGAGGGCATAGCCGACTGCATGGCTGAGATGAAGGCGTCCTGGGCATCAGCACCCGCCTCACCACCCTCCTCGCTGCCCTCCTCCTCCTCATCGCCGTCATCTTCACCATCACTAACATCCCCAATCCCACCGAACAAGTTAAACATCACCCGCTGCTGCTGCTGCTGCTGCCGCCGCCGTCCCTCCGCCTCCCTGCCGCCCCCACCTCCTCCTCCTCCTCCCTCCCGCAGCCCCGGCCCCATCAGCCCCTCCGCTTCCGCCGCTTGCGTAAGCGCCATGGACCAAATCATGCGTGGCATCAGCTCTCGCATGTCGCCCGCATGCACGGCGGCAAGTGCATCCACTTGGGCGGCAGTGTCAGAGGACACCGGGATGCCTGCTGCCATGCCGCGGAGGTGGGGCGGCAGGTTGAGGTGAGGCAGCGCGGCGGACAGGAAGTGGGGAGGCAGGAGGAGGGTTGTTTGAGGAGCGGGGCCGGATGCGGAAGAGGTACCGGTAGGAGGTGTGATGGAGGAGGATGAGGAGGAGCGACCCGAGGGTCGGCTGGACGGGGATTGAGACTGCGGGCGGTGCAGCAGGGGCGAAGGGGCAAGCCGGATGGAAAGTGAACCATGTTAACATACAGGGCTATACAGGAATACATTGTGGCAAGGAGGATGGGTTACAGAATAACCGACTTCATGGTGTTGCAGCAATAACGCAGGAACAAAGAGACGGAGACTGTGTAGGGAAGCAGCGGAGAGGCAGTTGTGGTCCCACCTAGCACGAGGGGGAAAGCCATAGCTGTCCCCGTTCCCAAACGGGGGCTCAAGCCCAATCCGGCATAGGGTACCGTAAATCATTAACGCTGCTGGGCCCCAATACCCGGATACCTACAAGCCCCCAGCACGCTAGCAACGCACCTGGGAGCTCGCACCAGCACCAGCAGCGGCAGCGGCACCGCTGTTGCCCAAGCCAGCCGCTGACCCACGGGTCGGCCCGCCTCCGCCGCCGCCGCTTGATGACGGAGAAGGCCTGAAGAAGCCGCCTCGCAACGCAGAACGCGTGCCGGCCCCCCCAGTGGACGAAGAACCGGTGGCAGCAGCGCTAGAGCCCCGGCCCCCCGAGGCTGTAGTAGCAGCTCCGTTATTGTTGTCGCCGTACAAGTTAACCGCTTGGTTCAGGAAACCCGACCGAAGCGGCGTTGAGGCAGCTGCCTGTCCTTGAGATGCTGATGCGGGTGCTGAAGGTGATGACCCACGGGTCAGTCCCGAGCCTGCTGAGCCTCCTGTCAGCGCCGACATGAGCAGCTGTTCAAAGGACCTCGGAGCTCCCGGTGCTCGGCCCGACGACTCCCTTGCCGCTCCCCCCGCTGTCTCCGCCCCTGCTGCCCTTGCGGCAGCTGAAGAGGAGGACGAGGGTGGGTTGGCAAGAGGTCCCAGACGCAACGGAGCGAAGCGGGTACTGAGGGAGGCCAGGGAGGCTTGTGCGGCGCTCAGAGCTTCGCCACCCAGCGATGGGGGGGCACCCGTGGAGTGGTGATGGGGTGCGCCACGAGTGGCGGACGAGGACAGGAGGACGGAGGCAGGGATGTGGTGGTGCGGGGCAGCTCCCAACATGGGCGGGGGCATGTGCAGCAGGGGGTGATGGTGCGGGTGTCGAGTTGGGGCTGCTGCCCCCATGCTGCCCTGCTGCTGGGGTGGCTGTCCGGATTGAGAGGGAATCCCGGCCGGGTGGGTTTGAGGCAGCTGCTGTGCGGGAGCATGCGCGGGGTCTTCTGCGGGGTTGGCGACAGTAGCTGCGGTTTGTGCACTGCGGCTGGTGCCGCTGCTGCTGGTGCTGCTGCTGCCTTGAGCAGCTGCCCCACGGGTGTCCTTGAGGCGCAAGCGGCACACGGGACAGGTGTTTTGCTGGGAGGGAAAGGGATAGGGAGCAGTGAACAAAGGGTGGGATTAGGATGGGGGTTGGGAATGGCAAACCAAACAGACGAGGGGATGGGGAAATCCACATGATGAGGAGGAATCAGGGTCAGCTAAATATCCATTACATGCTAACTGTTTGCGTTAACAAAAGTTGGGTCACTCTTTCGACCACATTTACAGTTCTGTCCTCCATCCCTCGCCCTACCCTCCAACTCCTCCTTACCCCTCCCTCCCTTCCTCCCTCCCTCACCTGCTGCAGCCAAGGCATGATGCAGTCCTCATGGAAGCAGTGCCTGCATGGCAGCTCCACCACCTGCCCGCCCGCCTCGTACGCCTCGTGACACACCGTACACAGCTCCCCTGCGTGGCAGCTGGCGTAGCTGCCGCCACTGCTGCCGCCCTGCCGCACCTCCTCCTCCTCCTTCTCCTCATTGTCACCGTGCTCCTTGGACTTCTCTTCTTTCCCTTGCTGCCGCTGCAGCTGCTGCTGCTCGCCCGCCGTCTCCGCTGGCTGCAGCAACTGCAGTCGCAGCTTCACGCGGCCCTCGTCCCCGTCCTCGTCCTCTCCCCCCATCGGCACCAGCTGCACCCCAACCAGCTGCTGCTGCTGCTGCCCCTCCTGCTGCTGTTCCGACCCAGATGGAACTGACCCAGATGGAACCGACCCAGATGGGACCGACCCAGATGGCGACAACGGTGGTCGTACGGTACGTCGGGGCAGCGCATCGCACACGTGTTGCGGTGTGGAGGTGCGGGGTGGGGCGTAGGCGTCCAGCAGGCGGGTCACCACGGCATCCAGGTCCTCACCCACCACCCAGTCGGCGGGGTTGAGGCCCATGGCGGCGTCGCTGGGGGCAGGTGGGAGGAGGGAAGATGCGGGTGGGAAGGAGAAAGGGGTTGAGGATGTGGGTCGGGATTGAGGGAAGGTGAAGAGGGGAGGTAAAGGAAAAGGTTATATTCGTATGCAGGCGCCTGGCAAAGGAATTGCAGTGGAAGGAAGATGACAAGGCGGCTTCCTTACCCGAACGGCATGCTCATGGTGAACGGGGACAGTAGCGCGCCATCCTGAACTTGCAGCACGTACGCCTGCTGTCCATTAGGAAGGTGGACTGGTGCGAAGCGGCTGATGGCATCGACAAAAGTTAAGGGCGCGGCATGGATGGGGCGCGGATCGAAGGTTGCATGGAACTCGATCCGGGTTCCACGGCTGTGATTGCGGGCGCGAGCTTCAGGTGCACCCGGTGCGGCCCGTCCTTGATGTGCAGGTGCTGGAGCGCTGGATTGGGCGTTCGGCTCTGCAGACGAACGACTGCCAGGGTTGTTCTGGACGCCTGTACCGCCGGTCGATGTGTTAGAAACCTGCAACCATATTATTATACCGTCTCATTGCTCTTCGCAGCAGGATGCAATGTTTCTTGCGACCAAGTCGAGAACTGCAAACTACCGCTGGCCCCGCCCTTTGAGAAAACAGAAGAACATAAGCTAATTTTACGTAGGTACAACGAAACGGGTAATTGCACTAAAGCAACATATGCGATGCGCGCTCTGCAACAATTGACAAACGCGGCCCATAGGGGAGGCCCGGGGCGCAGAGGACAAGGTCGATTTCGTTGCAGGTTCAGGCAAAATCAAGCATACCTGGTCTAGGAGCTCCACAAACTCGCTCCCGCACTCGGGGCAACACTCATGTCCTTGCTCATCGTACTCCAGAGGATATCTCGAAGTAGGGAAAACGCCCTGACATAAATAACATTGAACCGCTGCTGCACGTGGCGGGGGGACCCCCGCTGAAGCCATATGTAAGGTAAACCCCTGTGTCCGGGGCCGAGATCGACACTCCCAAAGTGTGAAACGTCAAGCCAGCAAGTGTGGACGTTTATATATGAGCTTTACGGATAATAGCGACTAGTCTCCAGTAGCGTCAACCTTAAAATAGCCTCTCAGCGCTAGATCGGCCCTTCCTGTTCCTTCCACGCTCGCACGGCGCTGGGTCCCTGTTCTCTGTCCGGACCGCCGTACGGCTTGGCGCCAGGCAGGCCAACAGAGAACCGCTCAAAAGAGCTTTCTTTTAACCAAAGACCGATTCAGGGGGTCTATGCCAAGTATTGGGTGGCTGTTTCTCGATTTGTTTGTAAACTTTGCGCTCAATCTCTGATAACCACACCACCTTGCTGTATTGTAAAGCCCAAACCGGCGCAATATACCTCAAATCCTCCTTTGATTAATACTGGTCGAGTTGCTTGTTCGTAACAGCAAACAGCGATTAACATGGACACCCCGGACCGCCCGATGAAAGAGAACTGGGGTTCTACAACCATGTCAAGCCCATGTTCATAGGAAACGAGGTTTGAAATTTTGCAGACTTGCAAGGTTAAAGTTTGGTATTGGACCGGGGTAGTTTGCAAGCGCGGCATGTGCCATGCATGCGACAAGGGAATCGGGAAACACGATTTGAGTTATTGCAGTTCCTTGTTGTAGTCATTAAATGGAGTATGGGAGTGCTTTTTCCGTCGCGAAATTCGTTCTGGCTAGCGAGCAGCATGCAACCGTGTTTGCAGGGTATTAGTTGGAGGGGCCTTCAGGGCAGGGTATGTGGCTGGTCCGGGAGAGGGGTCCGGAAACACGATTGGAGTTGATTGCCATTCCTTGTTGTAGTCATTGAATGGAGTTTGAGAGTGCTTTTCCCGTTGCGAAATTCCCTCTTGCTAGTGAGCAGCATGCAACACCATGCCAGCACTGAGGACCCTTGCAGTTGAGCCTCACACCGCACCGGCACCGAGGTTCCTAGCATAACAGTCCAAATCAGGTAGATGCTGAACCATGTCTATGCACGCGCATGCATTCACGTACCATGCCAGCACCTTAGGCTTGTTGCCTTAATCGTATCCATTAACGACGCCAACCCTATGGCAGTAAGAACCCATGACGTGGACAGACTGATGCCGTGGTGATGCTGAGGGAGTGTCAACAATAAGCGCGCGGGGCTCACGGCCACGTAAGGGTCCCTTACAGGTTCCAACTTGTTTCACCTCCCGCCAGATGCTACCGGTACTGGATGCTTGATGGGATTGGAGGTCGTGGAAATCTTGCCGGAATACTTGCTATTGAGCCAGGCAATAGCCCCAATTTCCCCATCAAGCTTTGTAAGGAAACCAAGCTTATCAGGATGCCTGGTGGCCACGACAAGCTTCTGCTCACTGTACATTGGGCTGATAACGGTATATTGGGATGATAATACTCATGAAGGCGGGCTAGTGGCCAGGTGTAGCCGTGTTGCTGCCCCTAAGTGGTGTGGCAGGAAGGGCGTCAGCTAGGTCCTGAACGTCTCCATCATGTACAGTTTGGGAAGGCTGACGTCCATCCCCAACACCAGCCGGTGCTGCGCCATTTTGCATGCCAGCCGGAACTTGGCCAAGAGGTGCTTGTGAATGACGTTGCTGCCCCTGTGAGTCTAGTGAACTAGTGAATCCCAAACCCAACGTCACCCGTACAAGACAAGGAGAGGAGCTAACAAGACCTTGATATGCCGCCCGCACTTCCACATCTCTGGGATAACTGGCTTCGCCCTCAAAGCCGTCCGAGTCCCCCTCGTTTGCTGTCGCGTAGCCCCCACTATCGTCGCTACTAGTGTCGTCGCCATCGCCTTCATCGCTTCCAAAGGAACGCCAGCGATACAGCAACAATATAGTTACATATCCATCTCAGTCATAGTCCTCCTCGGAATCCTCATAAGGCAACTCTGATTCGTCGCTGGACATGACGCAACAGACTTATATTGAGGTAACCGTGACACTAAGCTGAGGGAGATATTACATCCTACAAACTTACCGGTATCTTTAGTTGCAATAAAATGCAAGTTTGGGCTTTACTGTGGCAACTAGCCAGTGCCGGTGTCAGAGAATGAGCTCAGAGTTTGCAGGCAAAATGATAAATAGCCACCCAATAATTTACCTAGACCCCCTGAGTCAATATAAAGGTAAAAGAGCCTTCGTTTGGCAGTTCTCTGTTGGCCTGTCCGTCCAGGGGGGGCCAACAGAGAACAGGGACCCAGCGCCGATCATGCTCCTTCCACGGTGTTCGCGTACGGCAATCATGTCCTTGCTGTGAAGCTCTTTACCAGGGCCCAGTTTATACCACCAGCTTTGTTCTTTTCACTGGACTGGTGGATGAGCAACTGAGGGTAGTTGTAAGGTGTTGGCCTTAAGCATCACGGGTCTTTAGTCATGCAGTCAAAGTAGCGAAAGTTAATAATAGGAGAAAATTTCATCGACGAGGTGCGCGTAAGCTCGAATAACGCTACGCTTCTATGGTCAAAATGTATACGGTAAGGGCGTAACAAAAAGTACCCGCACGCGGCCGCATCCGCATACCGGTACCGGTACCTTTTTACCATGGCTGTCAGTAACTTCCCCGGTGGTGTCAGGTGGCTTATAAGGAATGATTTCGCCGGGCCCCTGAATACGGGGTGTTTGCTGGGAGTTTTGCAATCTTTTAGAGGATCGGGCTGTGGAGCAGGCATGGCAGGTGTTGCCCATTGCTTTTTCATGGTAAGCTTAACTTAGCCCTTGGCCCGTTATCCTTTTCTTAGGCAAGTTATGGTGTATTGTTCAGCTGTATTGTACAGCAACGACACGGGCTCTTGCAGCAAATCGTGGTTTGGTGTAAAGCAAATGTAAGGGCACCTAGTATATGGCAGTCGATGGTGACGATAGCTGTATGAGGGGGCTTCACCATTGGGTTCGTCATGATGGCTGTGGTTAGGGAAGGGGCCTTATTTTTCACCCTCCCCGTGCTTCTAGTACACCCGACAACGCGTCACGTAATTGTGCTGCCACTTACGGTTAGGGGAGGGGCTGGCCTGCACGGCCTCTCACGCACAGCGCGGATTGGGCGGGGGGGAGGGAGGTGGATGACTAAAGATGATGAGGCGCCTCCTGGTCTGGTCACATGATCGCCATTCATCATACTTCTAGCTCAATATTCGTTGGTGGGCTATGTGTTTCCGCATGGCATTCATTCCAGTGGTAACAATACGTTCCTGTACTGATGAGGAGGGGCTCCGCCCTTTTCCAGCGTTGAGGAAGCTGAACCCCCTTGTTATGGGAAAGGGTTTGCGAGAGGGCAGGTGGGTAGCGGATGGGGAATAAACAACATACCAACCCATAGGAAATTTCAGTAAGGGCAAAGCAAAGGGGATGGGAGGCGGTAGAGTGTCACAAACACAAAACGTTAAAAAAAGGACAGCCGCAGCAGGCTACAGTTCATCGACCGTTACTATGTGCCGCACACCTAGCACTGCCTTCTCTTGCTTTAGCCCAGTATGGATTGCTAAGAAATGAACAGGTACTGTCTAGGGATCTGGTAAGCAGATGTTGGGAAAGAGGTCAGGGGCCTGAGGCTACAGTTGGTTGTATAACCGCTTTGCACTTGTGGCATCGCCTATTTTCCTACGCACAATTAGATTATGTTCTTCACCGCCGTTTTCTTCATGTGTTTTCTGCCGCTGCGGCCCGTTCACAACACAGCGGCGTCTCACACAATTGCGGTCCCTCCGTATTCCTCCGTCCAATCTGCAGTTAGTACGGTCTCTCCGTCTTCCTGCATCCTTCCGCGCTGCGGTTTCGCCCTGAACATCGATGATCAGCTTCCGTGCCTATTGCACCCGCACATTCCATGTCAGGCGCCTTGGCCGTGTTAAAAGTTTACGAGCTCTGACGTACACTAACGCGAGCTAGCGTGGTCCCTCCGTCTTCCAGCGTCCTTCGGCGCAGCGATTTTGTGCTTACCACAGGTGATCACGTTCCGTACCTAATGCACCCGCATTTTCATTGCCAGGCGCTCGGGCCGCGTCAAATGCTTATGAGCTCTGCCGTACAATGACGCTATTCCTCCTAATTCCGCTTCCTAACGACCAGCTGCCTCAACTGTGCTTAATTCTTAATAAGTCGACATTACCCTTATGCCATTAACCAGCACCGTGCGGCACTACCGGTATCCTGTTCTGTGGCACCTTGCAACCTGCCTTTGCATTACAGGGGTATGGCAACAGCAAACTGGCGGGCCAGCAGGCAGCCGCACACGAATGAAGTCTTCTTGTTGCGTTCAAAGACTTCAAACGCCCATCCCTCAGCAAGGACTGAACCGGCACGGGGGTACGACAGCACATCCCGGTTTGTACATGGTTCACAGCAAATCTTTTGGTCAAAACAAACATGTATCACCCCCAACAAAGGAATGCCTTGCAACGCAGGGCTACTGAAAAGTTAACTAGAAAATAGCCGACCCCAGCAACAGTACTTGTCTCCGCATCCCCTTCTTCAATCCGGCATGCCGCCCAGATCAACTCGGTGCTCCCTTTTAGGGCACCATTGTAACGGTCATTCATTCAACCCAACCCCGTATAATTGCAAGCACCATACCGGTAGATCACATTGCAGCATTCATCCCGACGTCGTCGCAATTTAATGCAGCTTCCGAATTTTGGCAACTCCACATCATATGCCTACACTGCCACTTCACATACGCCTTAGAGCTGCCTGACACTGCACGGTCAAACTGACCCATGGGTCACAGCTGGGAAAGCCCCTTTCTCCAGCATACCGGCACATGCCTCTTTGACACCCGCATGATAGAAGAGGAAATGGTCAAACGCATTATATCGTCTTTGCTGTCCAACACGAAGGACAGCGCATAAAAGCAAGTACACAACCTTTGCCTCTTTACTGAAAAGTGTATACTGGATAATTATTGGACGCAAGTAACCATGATAATAACGAGAACATTATCCACTATCACTTTCGTTTCCCCCACGGTTCAACATGTGCTGTGTGTATTACTAATCAGCCATGTGACCGAAATCATGCGATCTGTCCCTCAGCTCGAGGGGTCATCTGCGCAATCTGTAGCAACACCGATCACACACCATGCCCCCCCATAGAACACGGGTGTTAGCCTTAAACGTACAAATCATGTCAAACCACAGACCGTTAATCAGGTACGTCACAACGGGAACCAACCGGCATAGTTCATACTGCAAGTTCTTTTATACGTTTAACGCATATACGACATTACACGCGCCCTTCCAAAATTGCCGTGTACAATCGCCAAATACACTTCGCGTGTACAATCACGAACCCCAAACAGCTCACATAAACATACCTAGCTTGTGCTCGAGACAGAAAAAGACTGGAAAAGAAAGCTGCATATGCACCCATTTGTGTGCATTCGTGAAAAAGATGAGTTAGCACTCGCGATTAGTCCCGTCAGTCGTACCGTACCGTACCATGCCATGTCGTACTGTACTGCTCTCCCAACCGCTACGAAACCACTCCGGGCAACCAGCTACTACTGCTACTCCTACCAACCGGTCAATTCTGCTACGCGGTCTTGGAGTGCGGCAGCAGGTTGTGCTTGGCGGGATCGCGCAGGTCGTTACCCTGGGGGGCAAAAGGAGAATATTCAATGTGTGGGTGCAGGCAGGGCGGGTGGTTGGGTGGTTGGGCGCGCAAAGAGGAATGAAACAACGAGCTGTATGTATGACATGTAGGCTTCACCCTGGGGGGAGGCGCGAGTGGGCGCCCGGCATCAAAGTAGCATGCAAGCAACAGTTGCCAATATGTAGGAAAACCTCAGACCTGCCACAAACGCACAAAGGAACAGCCACGCCATAGCCACAGCCACAGCCGCAACACGTCCCCAGCCCCAGCCCCCCACCATGGCACTCGCATAGTCCAGAGCTGCAGCGGTGGTCAGCTTGATGTACGGCTCCTCCGGCTCGAAGTAGGTGGTCTCCCCGGTGACCGCATTCCACCAGTAGCGGAATTGCTGGCCTGGGGGAGGGAGGGAGGTGGGGGGGGGGAAATGAACGAGGAGTGCATCAACTGGAGTCAACTGAGAGGGGTAAGGTGGGCGGTGGGGAGGTGGACGGTGGGGAGGCGGGTAAGGAGATGGAGCAGTATCACTTGGTGTTGTGGCATATCCCGACCCCACTTGTGGTTTCCATTGAAACGGGCTGGTTTCTCTCCTCCCCCAATTTGTCTACACCCACACCCCGCCCGCCCCCACCCCATGGAGAAGCCCCGTCATTCAGTTCGTCAGTCTTCCTTACTTTTACCCCCACCTGTGGGCTTGAACACGTCCAAGCACTCATGCCACATCAGACCCATGGGTCCGTAGCGCTTGGACTTGGCGCGCGGCTGCGAGACCTGGCCTGTCTCTCGGGCCTCGTCAAAGTGCCGTACATGCGCTCGCTCAACCGCCTGCTCCAACGGTAGCACCTGCAGTTGTACGAGACAGTTGTACGAGATTCGTTGTACGACACAGGTGGCTTGTACAGCACTTTACCGGCATGTGCATGTGTGTAGATAGATAGATACAGTCGCTCAAGCCGAGAACGCAAAAAACACAGCATTGCAACGGGTGTGTCCGCTGCTCTGTGTTTCCTCTTCCACCCCACTCCTCCCCCACGTACGCCCGTCAGTATATATACACCCATTGTTAACCGTTACGTACACCCATTGTTGTTATTGTCAACCTTCAATATCGTCGCACCCATCGGTGCCTTGTGTTTTTTCCTCTCCCTCCTACCCACCTGCAGCCGCTTCTCCCCCCCCGGCCCCGCCACCACGGTATGCAGCAGCCCCATCCGCTCCAGCTTGCCGATCGAGTCGGCCACCTCAAAGTCCATTCGTATGGAAGTGCCCGCGTCATCCAGCTTCCTCTGTACGGCAGTGGTTGCAGTCAGGCAGCGGCAGCAGCAGAGGGGCCACAGCAGTCAGGCAGGCATGGAGGCAGGCAGGCAGGGAGGGAGGCAGGCAGGGGGCTCTTCAAATCGACAAGATGCCGGGTACCGCGTACTTGGGGGTAGCAGGGTTACCGGTATATGCCACCTGTAGTGCCCTCCCGCTCGCGACACGTTTTCCCCCACCCCACCCCACACACACCCCCACCCCCACACACCCCACCTGCAGGTAGGTCTCCACAGTCCGGTCGAGGTCTATCTTCCGCTGCGGCTGCGGCGCCTGCTGGCCGCCCCACAGGAAAAAGTAGGCCAGCATGGCCTCGTTGTCCTCCTGGGGGGGGGGGGTTTGGAGGGGAGGCGGGGGGGAGCGGGGCTGTTACTGCCTGCCCCCTACAGGAGGCTAACCCTATGCCACCGCCACCACTGCCACCACCGCCTCGCCGCCTCGCGTTGTCAGCGGAACCCCTCGCCGGCCCTCGCCGCCACACGCGCTCTAGGTGCACCAGATACACAGCTTACTTCACTTCTGGTTCAGCACCCCCACCCCCGCCACCACCCCCACCTGCTCCTGCGCCTCGTCCAGCAGCTGCGATATCACCCCCGCGTTGTTGTTGAGGCTGTGCGTGAGGAAGAGCGCGTTGAGGTGCGCCACATGCAGCCGCTGCTTCTCACGGATTGCCATGTAGGCCCGGACGCCCCTGGAGAGGTGTGTCAAGGGAGGGGGAGGGGGGAAAAAAAGAAATTCCAAAGGGGGAGGGGGGGGAGGGGTGCAGGGTGAATGCTTGCTACCCGGCTAGCTACCCGGCTACAGGCCCTCCGCAAGGTACTCCCGCATGAGTCCCCCTTCCCTGCTGCATGCCTCCCCCCCCTCCTTGCATGACCCACCACGCCAGCGGCATGACGATGAGCACCAACCCCCTGCCCCCCCTGCTGCATGCGCCCCCTCCCAACCTTCCTGTGCATGCCCCCCCTGCTGCATGCGCCCCCTCCCAACCTTCCTGTGCATGCCCCCCCTGCTGCATGGCGCCCCCTGCTGCTGCTGCTGCTGCATGCGCACCCCCCTCTCACCACGTCAGCGGCATGACAATGAGTACGACAGACATGAAGGCATCCCGCATGTTGGAGAAGTTGATGGTGCCCTGGGATCAGGGTGGGGGGGGGAGGCGAGAGGTGAGTGGGGAGCCAGGGGGAGCAGGGGGGAAGGGGGTGAGGGAAGGGGACTGCCATGCGGCTTCATCAGCCCCCCGGACCACCCATGCATCAGTGGCATCGCCCGCCCACCACTTCTTGTTCACGGGATTCGTGCTGAAGGCATTCCCTGCGCGGGTTGCATCCCTTTTGTTTGCCCCGCTTTCCTCCCACTCTATCCCACTAGCTTTGCCCTAACTTGGGGTCCTGGCATATCTTTGCCGCGCTCCCCGCCCCCCAACCAGTCAATTTCCTTATTTCTACCTCCCAGCCCGCTCACCTGCACCGCCTTCCAAACGGCGGCGCAGCAGCCCACGATGATGGGAACCCAGATCATCAGCTGGGGGGTTGTGGGTGGGGTTGTGGGGAAGGTGAGGGGAGGACTGTCAGCAGCAGCAGCGACAGTAGCAGCAAGGATGCACTGATGTTTCCCTTCCTTTGCTTGACTAGCTTCCTTCTGCACACGTTTTCACACCCACGTTCTCTTTCCCGTGCCTCCGTTGTTTCCCAAGCCTCCACCATCACCACCTCCCCCCCCTCCCAGCCAGCACTCACGTAGTCCAGTCCCGTGAACTTGATGACCGCCCCGGGCAGCAGCATGTCCACATCGCACTGCAGCACGTCGCGGAACAGCTTCAGGTACACGAACTCGTCGCGCAGCTCGGCCAGCGCGGATAGGTTGCCGGAGCCGCCACAACTGGGGGGTGAGGGGGGGATGGGGGTGAGGAGGGAAGTGAGCGAAGGGGGGGGGAGAGGGAGGGAGGGCAAGGGGGCAGGTGGGTAAGTAGCAATCGTGCTAGGAAGGGATTTCCTTTGCAACATCTGTACCCCTCTCCTCCGCTCGCATGACCAGTCGCCTTCCCTCCTGCTTCCCCCTTCTCCTTCACCTCCTCGCCCCACCCCCCGCCTCCCCGCCCCCTCACCCGCACAGCTGCTTGTACCAGGGCGTGCTGAAGCGCTCGTTGTCGCCCTCCGCAGGCAGGTCGTCGGAGCTGACCGGCTTCTTCAGCCTGCATGGGGCATGCATGCAGGTGCAGGGGGGGCAAATGAAGGAGAAGTGAGAAGAACAAGCATGTTGTGTTGGACGGTGGAAGGCAACGCACTAGGGGTGCCACTACTTCCCGTCGCAGCCCCACCCGCCCCACCTGAACCCTATGGCCAGTCGTTCGTACACGTTCATCTCTATTTGGCGCTTGATCAGGCCCCAGCGCAGCCACTGGATCTGCGGGGGGAAGGGAGGGAGCCAGGCAGGCGGGCGGGAGGAAGAGCATAAAGAAAACCATGCTTGTTGCCATAAGGCGATGGGGGTTCGGGGCTGGGGGGCCCGTTAGGAAAGCGTGTTGGGACTGACCCATGGGTCTCCACCAGTGAACCCTATTTGTTTGGTTCTTCAAGCCCCACGGACCCCATGCCCTACCCCCACACTTATTGGGTGTTCTTCCTTACCCCCCTACCTTCTTTGTTCTGGACCCCCGGTAAAAGAGCTGGTAGTCCAGGTATTCGTCGGAGGCGGAGGCGACGTCTAACCCCATCAGGCTCTTGTCGTGCTTGGCCTGGGGGGGGGGGGGAGAGAGGGGGAGAGGGAGGGGGGGATTGGGGAGTCAAAGACCATGCCGAACCATAGGAAACCACAGGTTGGGGCAAGACAATGGGGATAATGGTAGGAGCGGCAGGGTGTCACAAACTAAGTGTCGGTTAGCGCTCGACTGGTCTTTCCGATGGTTTGGTCTTTTCTGACCCCGCCTCACCACCCACATCCCTTTCCCTCTCCTCCCCCCTCCCCTAAAAAACCTCTACCGATATTCATCCCCTCCCCCACCTCCCTCATTTACCCCCCCCCCGCCGCCCCGCCTCCCCACCTTTTCCAGGTCCTGCCGCGGCAGGGGCTCGAACTCCGCCTTCTCCAGGATGGCCCCCAGCTCCCGATCGAACTCGGCTGCCCGCTGTTTGACACTGAGCAGGGAGCTGGGGGGAGGGAGGGAGAGAGGGCGGGAGAGGGGGGAGGGAGGAAACAACTAACTGACCGTGTGATAAGGCTGGCTCATCACGGTGTGCAACATCATGTCAGCCGAACTACAGCCCGACCCGCCCCCAGCCCGAATCAGCCAAGCCAGTGCGTGGAATGAGGGAGAGGGGGGAGCAGGAGGAGTGGGGACGGGAACGAAAGGAGAGTAATTGGGAGGAAGGGAAGTGGTTGCCAGCAAACGGGTTGGTTGGTTTCTCATTGTTGTCCCTAAACCAGCCTAAACCCTAAACGAAAACCCCCCAACCCAACCCCTCCATACCTGGGTGCACCCCCGGGTGTGGAGGGGCGGCCAAAGGAGGCCACTCCCGGCTCGACTGCCTTGAAGGCGAGGGTGTCCTTGTCAGGATCCAGCGGCGCGTACTTCTCATGTGCGTCGCCGTAGTCGATTGCGAGCCTGCATGTACGGTACGACGACGACGATGATGATGACGGCGGTTTGTTGTTTTGGGTGGGTGTGTTGGTGTAGATCAGGTGTTGTCAAGCTGAACAGGATAGCCACCAGACCCTTCCGCGGTTCGGTGCTCTTGCTAGGCATGCTAGACCTTGCTAGCGTACCCTCCCTCCCTCCCTCCCCCCACGCACCTGAGTTTGTTGCGCAGGCTGATCCACCGGCACAGCTCCTCAAACTGGCTGCGGACCCGTGGGTCGGTGAAGAGGTGCGGGTGGTCGGAGATGAGCTTGCCTGGGGGGGGGGGAAGAGGGGACGCAGAGAGTTACCCATACCACAGGTTAGGGCGACGCAATAGAGGGATAGAGGGCAGCAAGGTGTTGTCCCGTGCCTCTCGCCTGAGCCACAAGACGGAAGGGGCGCATGCATGCGCGCATCCTCCCTGCCCCTCTTCCCTCTTCCCACCTCCCTACGCGCTCTCTGCATCCTTCATAGAAGGCCTCGGAACACCCCACCCCCACCCCCAACTTCTGGTTTGGTATGGTCTTTGACCCCCAAACCCCAACCCAACCCGCCATTCCTGGGATTGCGGTGATTCAACCCGTGTGATTCACTGCTTGGCTCTACCTTCCGCCCAAAAACCCCACCCACCCTTTTCCCCACCTCCCATCCCACCGCCCCCTACCCCCGCACCTCTCAGCTCTACAAAGCCAAAGGGGATGTACTCCTCCACAGCCCGCTCGTCATCCCCTCCACCGCCCCCTCCACCGCCCCCCATGCTGCTCCCCCCTCCTCCCTTGGACGACCCAACCCGACCGCCGCGTGGTGTTGGATCCTGCAGTACGAACGCTGGCGGCGGCGTCGACGGCGGCGTAGGGCCCGGTACGACACCTCCGCGAGCGCTGGCGGCGGCTGCCGCTGCTGGTAGGACTCTGGGTGTACGACCATCCCAACCGCCGCTGCCACCGCCGCTGCCGCCAGCAGCTGCAGCATGGGAGGTGTACGGCGTAGCTGGGTAGGAGGCGGCGGCGGCGGCGGGGTGTGCGGGGGGGGTGTGAGGCGGTGGTGGTGGTGGTGGTGGTGGTGGTGGTGGTGGGGATACTTTGAGTGAGGTGCGTGTGGTGGTGGGGCCGGCGGAGGCGGCGGTCAGGGAGATGACGGCGGCTGCGCCTCCGCCACCCTCACCGCCGCCGCCACCGCCGCTGCCGTCAGCCCCGGAGGAGCCGCCGGGGGGAGTGCCCGGTACGGCCCCTGGCAGATGCGGCAGTGGCGGGGGCAGCTGTAGGGGTGGTGGGGGTGGGGGTGCATGGGAGGATGTGGAGGGTAGGGTTGGAGGAGGTGGTGGAGGTGGGTTTGATGATGGTGGGGTGGAAGATGCTGGTTGTGGCGGGGCGGAGGAAGCGGAGGAGGAGGGAGGTAGCTGTTGTTGTTGCTGCTGCTGCTGTGTCAGGGAGGGAGGTCGGCGCTCCTGCTGTTGCTGCTCCGGCTGCTGCTGTGCTTGCTGTACGGATGACTGAGGTGATAGCGCCGGCTGAGTTGGAGTTGATGGCTGCTCATGTGGTTGTGGTTGTTGTTGCTGGAGGGGTTGCGAGGGTGTTGCTTGCGGCTGTGGAGGGTGTTGTGCAGCAGCGGCATGGACTAGGGGTGCAGGTTGCTGTGCTTGCGGTGGCGGCGGCGGCGGTGGGGGTGCCGAGGCGGGTTCAGGTGCCGCCGCCGCTGCCGCCGCCGCTGCTGCTGAGGATGGTGCGCCTGCTTCTGCGGCAGGGCTGGCTAAGCCAGCGATGCTAGCTGGTTCACGAGTGTCACCTTCGATGGATGTCGGGATGGCAATGGCTGCAGGTTGCGGCTTTTCGGTAGTTGCGCCTGGCGCCGGCGCCTCAGCCTGGCTGCGCTCTGTGGGCGCGGTCTGGTTTGACGTTTGTTGAGGTTCGGACTTGGGGACTGGGTAGGCCGGTTGGTGTTGGACTGATGAGAGGGGCGGGAGTGTGCCCAAAGGCGCGGCTCCTAGCGGCGCTAAGAGGCCCGGTCGGGTGGGTAGTGGAGCGAGAGGTCCGAGGGGCAGACGAGGTCCTAGAGGAGCCCCTAGGGCGGCTTTTGGACCGCTGGTCCCCGGCTCATTGGGGTCCGATGCTGCAGGGCCGAAGAAGGGGAAGCGGGACGCGGGTAAGAATGTGGGCAAGAGCCAAGAAATTGTAAACTTAGGGTTGAACATATGTTGTGCATGAGAAGCGGAGAATGGAGCAGCAGGTTGCCGCGAGGCTTTGGCACTGAGGTCAACGAAGCAAATCTTTGATGTCGATTGTCGTGAACGTGAGAGTGAAGACGTACGGTGTAAATGTGCAAGATGCATATGACTATATTTATTGGGAGCCTTCGTTACACATACATGGCGTGACTCGACTCGACATTTCGCCGCAGAGAGCCTCCTTCAGCGACAATAGAAGCTAGCCGAATTGTCTTGTGCTGTATTTCTTAGGTCCTCTAAGCAGCGCTGGCTACGCTAGAACATTTTGGTCAGGTTCGTAAGCAATAGGTGGTGGCTATCAGAATTAAAGGTCTCTGTAAGCAATATTGCAGTGCGTGAAACACTGTTTCATATTACCACATTACCGCCGAGGGGCATTGCTCCTACCAACTTGCATGTTGCAAATGTACGGCAGGTGTCACGTCTGCCGCATGCTCTGCCAAATTGGTCAACCAAAGGGCTGACGGAGATACAAAGGTAATTTGGACCCGTTACTTATAGTGCGCCATCTTCGACATTGCCTGGGAATATGTTTCTTTGTGTAGTAGTAGTGGATCCTGTAGCTTGTGGTAAGGCCTTCTGTGGACGGCAATCCCGAAATAACCTATCGCTTAGTTGCACTCACGTTAGCCGGCAAGATGGGTCGCTTGCCGCAACAAACACACGGGATAGTACGGAAAGACACTGCAGAACGGATTTGATATAGGAAACGGACCAGTATTGGAGGAAAACACTAATATTTGCAAATAATGCTATGATGTTTGTTCGACTATTGGTATGCGCTGTCGCGCTTGTGTCCTTGTTAGTACTGACAGATGCCGCTCGCGTTTGCGAGCGGAGCGGCTACTGCTCCATCGGCAAAACAAGTGGATATATAGGACCGCTAGATACCGTAGCTCAGCTAAAGGACGCGCTGGCGGCAACAGCTTTCAAACAGGAGCTCATTGTCTTCACCGAAACCAGGGTTCATGATGCAGCGCAGTTCCTGTACCGTTTCCGCAGCGCTGGGTACGATCATGTGCTGACAGTCATGGTGAGATACCCTTTGCGCTGTGTTGTTCGCCCCCTCGGACGCATGTACAGCACCTGCACAGACGTCCTTAACCCAAAGGCGTTGCGATTGCTGAATTGCACCGCAGGAAGAGATGTCGCAGTGCCAGCAGCTTCGGGCCGTGTTCCAGTCTGGGATGTCTGAAGGGGGCCCTATAAGCTGTGGCACGTACGCCACCACAGATTCCAGGTCCGTACGTACGTGCCTGCCTGCCCGTAATAATATTTGCAGGAATTCCCCTTTAATTTATTGTGCTGACCCACATGCAGCGGTGTCTCTTATCCGTCTAAGTTTGAGTACCTTGGACGACCAGTGGGTCTCACGGCCTGGTGGCGAAAATGGTTTACTGTGGGTACGTACGATGGTGATGACGTGGCTCGGATCCAACAGATTGAAAAAGCCTTTGCACGACAACCGACGTACATCTGCCCTTTGCTGCCTGCTATGCCACATGCCCCAGGGCTGCTAGCCTTCATGCATGCACCATCCATGTCACAGCCCGACTCTTTCAAGATCTCGTACTTCCCAAATCTCATGGTTAGCGTCTCTAGCCGTCTACACTGTTCGTAATTGGCACCATGAGTGCTTTCTAGCTGCGTATAGCACAACACTGCTTACCACGACGTGCCTTGCGTGGGACCGTGCATGCATGCATCTCAAGGTCGAGCCTTGGCCCTGGGCTACAATGTAATATCTGCTGACACGGTAAGGCCCGCCTCATGGCGGCACTAGATAGATAGGATAGCTATCCGTACGGAATTGTACGTTCGAGGGGATCTATCCCTCCATGATGGGCTACAAGTGTGTGTGAGCGTGCGTGCATGCTACTAGCTAGGTATTGTTGTTACATGGCTACTAGCTAGATAGGTACATGCATGCAATGCTTCTGCCTGGCTGGATGGCTTGTTGCCCGGTGATGATGATGATGATGATGATGATGATGATGATGATGATGATGATGATGATGATGATGATACATGCGTTTCCCGACATTGACATGCTGTTGGCCCTGTATGCGATGTTTGCCCCTGCACAGGACGTGCTGGTCCTCGATGATTGGTGAGACACCGACCACTCTTGAAAGACGCTCTATCTTGATTGAGCCGAGAGGCATGAACAGCAAGGAACATTGCTGCAGCAGCCGCCGGTACTGGCTGCAGCCTTTTGCTTACGCTGGCTGCTGGCTAGTTAGGTTCCAAGTAACAGTAACATTGGCAAGCTGACTTGGCACATCATCTTGTTACGTGCGTTAGTGTTGTGTGTGTAACGAAGAGGGTTGACCAGCTGGTCCCCGCTGCTGGAGGGACGAATGCCCCTTATTACCGGTACCTTCAGCGGCGGGTGTTTATTTCTCTCCGTTGTACGGCGCGAGGTTAGACACGCATGACTGCCAACCAGCATGCTATCTACTGGATGGCTGACGATGACGATCTGCTGACGGATATGGTTTCCAAAGTTAGGTTTCTCTTGCTGCCTGCTGCTGCTGCTGCTTTTTGTGCATGCAGGTACTGGCGTGCAAAGCAGCCTCCCCTCAGCCAGTACAACATGCTATGTCAGAACGAAGTGGGAGTTGGTTTCAACAGCGGCTTTTGCTACTTTCAAAACGTGTCATCAAATGGGCCGATCGTATGGCTGGTGTTTGAGGCCATGCACCGAGTGGGTGAGTGGGCGCTGCGGGGATTAGATAAACCGAGTCGGGGGAGCACTGCTGTGTGTGCTGTATGTGGGGGCGCACGAACATCCTGGCGCCGTGCAGTGGAGTGCTGCAAAGGGGTCCTGTGGCCTAACAATGCTGTTGCGCTAGCAGAGCTCGTAAGGGTTATGTCAACCATCCTCTGCTTGCCGTACACGTGTACCTGCCGTAAACATGGATTTTGTTTGCCTTTTCTGCCCGCTGCTCGCTGCTGCCTGCCGCCCCTGCCTGCCTGCATGCAGTGCGCTGGGCAGAGGACGACTCTGTGTTGGTGGCCACTTCGGATCGCTACAGTCAGTAACTTGTGTGGCCAGGGACAGCAGATAGATAGATAGATAGATGGATAGGGGTTCTAGCTAGCCCTGCATGCATGAATGCATGATCAGTGGCATGCATGTTCAGCCTGAATGGTTGAATGATAACGCACGCTGATGTCCTGATTCAGTACGGCATGTGGACCGAACTGCTGTGAATTTTGCACGAGGAGATCATCAGGCCAATGACATGCAGCCCCCTCCGTATCATTGCCTACCTGGCTCGCGTGCAGGGCAAAAACCCGACTTGCCGATTACTGAGCAATTCATGCTTGAGGAATGTGTGCACAGTGCTGTAGTCGGGCGGCCCATGTTCTTCAATCTGTTGGCAATATACGGCAGAGGTGTTGAGGGCGCTGAGGCTTTCAGGAAGATGGGTACGACAAGCTTGGAGGTAAGCGGTCCTTACTTTAATCTTTACCGCTGGGTATGTGTTTCCGTAAACGTCGACTTCTGTACTTAGCACTCTAAAGCTGATGTCATAAGGTCATGCTTTCAGGTTAGAGCGCGTCATTTTAGGCTACTCGTCTATTGAGTCATGACGATCTTGGGTAGCTAGCCATGAGCCTGCTGCACCCACCTACGTACGTACCTAATCGTGCATATCCTCACTTCACTTGGCTAACGAGGCTTCATTCCGCTTCTTAGTTAACAATTCCACGCATGCTTGTGACCCCCGGGCTGTTCACCCACCACAGATGTTCACCGCAATCCAGACTTCCGTTTCTGCCGCTTGGGAGAATTACGTGGTAGGTGTTACCCGGGCGCACGGGGCTTCCACTGCTCCTGCTTGTATGTGGGTACCGTCGCTAGCTTGCTAGTTCCATCCATGCATGCATGTATGCGTGGCATGGCTCTTCTTTGATTCATATCCCCAATTACTCTTGGATGGGTTCCGTGCGTATATTACCACTTGCCTACCAGCCAGCCCCCCGTTTGCCTACGACGCTGAACGAACACGGTTTGGATTCAGAAAGAAACTGTATCACGCACCATGCATGCATGCACCCAGGAGCATCCAATTGAGGGCGAATTGGCCGAAGCGGTCTGTGAGTACTACATGGCACCGGTATGCAACACCTCGGTGGCTGGCAAGGTCCTCATGTCCGCTGCTAACCTCAAGATGCCACACAGCGGTAAGTTGCCTAGCCTAGCAAGTGCCCTGCATGCTTGCCTCATCAGTTCGTGGCTGCATGTCCGATATGCGCACTTGTAACAGCCGCCCTAGTAAGGCGGTCGGCGTACCGTTTCATAAGTATGTAACATGTAGTATGCAAGTAGTGTCTGTTTCCTATTTTGGTAATGAAGCCCGCCTGGACGGACGATTTCGTTCCGCATCTACATCCCTACGTGTTTCGTACATCCCTGCGTGTTTCGTGACACCTTATTGCTTGCATGCAGGTGGAAATTGGCCACCACAATTCGGCGGGTGAGCTCACGACGGTCTGCCCACGACCCGTGTGGCAACATACGCTCCCCAGCAGAGCCCGTTTCGAAGTTGTATGCGAAAATGCCGCGTTCTGGAGCTGCAGCTTCTGCAGGGTTGTGGTCAGTGTCGGTATACATTGCGGATGGAGGGCACCATGCGTGTTGGGTTGCACACTTGGTAACCTGCTGGCACACCCACTCTTTAACTCTGTTTGTTTAGTGTGTGTTTTGTATGTGTGCATGTGTGCATGTTGCAGGTACCCCTTCAATCGTAGCATCGGTCCCCGCACAACTGCCTACCGCCGTGCCTACGCCGATCTAGGTGCGCGTCACCCGGGGTTCTTTTACCTCTTGTTGCATGCCATGCCATGCAATGCAAGTGGGAGCGTGAGACGTGTGAAGCTGGCATGCATGCATGCGTGTCTGTCTGTCTATGCGTGTTGATTGCCCTTTCTTTAACTTACGGGTACTACTTCCCAAACATCCCAAACCTCTCATTGCGTGCACCGTGCACCACCGCCGCGATCGATTGATTGATCGATCGCGTGCAGGGGTGCCTCTTCCACCTCGCATTGATTGCCATGCGTGCACTGACGCGCCTACCGTAATTGCGTGCAGGCGTGCCGCTTCCCCCCGACCCGGAGGACCCAGCCACGGAGGCTGCCGCACGGGCAATCAAGCCCGAGAGGTTCGGCTACCTGGCAGCCCACAGTACGTGACGTGTGACGTGTGACATGACGTGGCGTGGTGCACATGCTTTGGGGGGTGTGTTAAGAAAACTGGCCGCGAGTAGGAATGTACTGTGATTGCCGGAAGATGAAGTGTGAAGATGAAGAGTGTGTTATAATAACTGAGAGTGTGTATGTGTGTTAAAATAACTGGCCGCGAGGCGAAACGTACTGTGATGGATTGCCGGCGGAGGATGATGTGGTGGGTGGATACGGTGTGTCCGGAAATGCATGCAGTATCGCCACTACTGCGCATGATGCATAGCTTGCCGCCACCGTGTTTATTTACCACACATACCTTCTTCGCAGCCCTCATCAAGCGATATATGACACCTTCCCCCGCATCTAACCTTGATGTCCTCGTCTCCACGCACCCTGCTGCTGTCACCTTGCATTGCTTTCACTTCCACTTCCAACCGCACATCTCATCATCAATGCCCCCCAGGTCCCACCTATCTACATCCATATACCTGGCTGTATCTATATCCCCTCCAGCTGCCACCTGCTGCTGACCATCAATCCCCACGCACGAATCCCTCAGGAAGCGGTGAGAACTGCCTGGGGTGCTGGGCCCAGAGCACCTGGTGGGCTGCTGGCCGGCACGGCTGGTGGCACACACACCTGCGACAGCAGCAGCAGGAGACCAACAACAAGAAGACAGCAGCACCAAACAATGTGGCCCTAGGCCACATCTGGGCGGGGCTGTTCCCAGGCGATTCCCAAAAGGACGTGGTGCTCATGCTGACTGGGCACTACAGCTGGCAGCTGGCGGTCAGGTGCGTACGTGTGGTGGTATGGTGTGGGCATGGTTATCATACCGGTATGCATGCATGTATCATCAGCGGCAGCTTTCATCAGCTCCTTTTTACTATTGAAACTGATTGAAGCCTCGCTAATAACGCCAACGCCAACCCACCCGAGATAATAATAGTCAACTGCCGGATTTCACGCTACGCTGCTGCTGCTGCTGCTGCCATCCAACGGCTTCTCATTTGTGTTGTGCTTGATTGGCACTGCACCCCTGATGCAGAATGTAAATCTTGGAAAACGTCCTCCTCAAACATATCACAAGCAAGCAATCACTGCTTTGGGCTCGCGCTCCCCTCGCTCCGCCGCCCATGCATGGGATGCCGCGCGACACTCGTGATGTGGCGCGTTTCCGCATCAATCCTTACTTGCTTTGCCTACCTAACCGACCTATCGCAGGACCGCCAGGGGACGGAGGTACTTCACAAACCAGCACCTCCCACGCATATCTCCGCCCCATGTTGCGCTGCTCCCCGAGGTTCGAAACGTGGTGGCATTCCAGCCTGGGGTCATACACGCCGGCATGAGTAAGTTGTCGTCACATATCAGCTTTGCGCGTGCACGCACCAGCAGTAACTAGCATTGATGATGATGGGAGTTACTTCCTCATTCACCAAGACAAAGTTTACCGCAAAAAGTTCACGCAGCAGGGAAGAATACCCCGGCACGCAAATTAACCGTTTTACAGTTTGCTGTGGCGTGCAGTGCAGTGCATGGCATCGCTTCTTCTTACGCCTTGCTGGTTCGATTGCTTGCAACCTTGTATATGTGCCGTACACTGGACATGCCATACTGCACCTGTCTGCAGGCAAGTAATAAGGAGCAGATCAGCAAGATCCAAATCCACACATCCCTACCTGCTCAGTCCTCTTGTGTCGTACTGCACCTGCATTACCCCATCCCGTGCACCTGCGCTGGCAGGCAAGGAGCAGTTCATCAAAGCAGCGCAGGGTCTAGCCCAAGTGGCGGTGACGCTGGGTGCAATCGCAGCCTGGCCCGCAGTGCCCTGCGACAGTGACTGGGTAGGTGCGACCCATGGGTCATCATATGCTTGCTGGGTAGCTGCTGTGACACTAGTCGTCACTTGCACGGTGGCTATGAGTCCTATGACACTATTACCAGCTGCTGTTTGTAATACCCACCCATCCATCCAGCAGCTGACGCGCCGGCTGGCACATGAATGCACGACTCGTGTATGTCATCCACGCATCAACCAACTCAATCTCTTCCTACTTGTCTGTCTGGCCAGATCGGTATTAAGAGCTTTCGTAGCTCGGGCACCCAACTCAATCGGCTTCGCTTCCTTCTCATCTTACAAGTTACAACTCCCAAGCAATGAACAGTTCGGTGCGCTAACCCCCCCTCTCGCCATCAGGCTTTGAAACCCGAGGTCCGTAACACCATTCAGCGGCCCATCACCAAGCACTCCATCCCCTGGAGCAGATACCTCGACGTGTTCTTCCAAGTGCAGCCGTTCGGCGACTCCCTGGAGGAGCTGCAGTGCGAGTGGCCGGCCTTTACCAACATAGGTGTGTGCGTGTGGCTTGAGAGAATTGTGTGAGCCGACCTTGGAGCCACGAACGTTGGTGTGTGTATGGTAGTCGGGTATATACTGCTGCGGCGCGGCTTGTTCAGTGTATGCCCGTGCATGTCACACAGTGTTTGTTTGTTTGTTAGTTGCCCCCTTGCCTTCATGGTCTTCCCGTCACATACACTGCCGTTCCCTGCTGCATGCCCCCATGCATGCATGCAGACTGTCTGGCGAACAGACAGCCCGCGGGCAAGGAAGTGGGTCACGGCATGCTGGCAGTGGAGTTCCACCACCTGCGGAAGAATCACACCCACACGCACGACGACACCGCCCACCTGCTGCATGCGGGGTCGCAGCATGGACCTCACAGCGGCGCTAAGCGAGTGGACCCGTCTCCCGCGACTACGCTGTTGCTGGGGGTGAGATGGATGGGAGAGTTTTGGGCTCAGTAACTGCCGGTACTACTGGGTTGGTAGGTACCCTTGAGCATGCTCATTGGGCTGGACGGGTCGTCATCCCTAACTTGGGCTTATCCATCCACCATCACGGCTGGTCCCCACTTCAACTGCAAACCCGCCTTCCTGCCGTGCCATTTCCACTTCTTATGCATGCCTAACCTCCACACACCAACTCCGGTGCTTACTTCCCTTCGCAACTTCCGCCCCCCCCCGTTCACGGCTCGGCCCAGAACCCCGCGCCTCCGCTGGCGCCTGCTGGCAACACCGAGCGGCAACCTGTGGAGCACACGGACCTCTTGAGACTCAACGCACAGTCCATTTTGATGCGGCAGCAGCGGGAGAGCATGCCAGTGTTCTGGTTGGATCGGTTGGTTGAGGTGGTTGGAATGCAAGGCGAGGCGGCGGAGATCTACAACCGCTGGTACGGCAAGTGCAGAGCGCTTAGCTACTATGACGTGCCACCGCAGGACAGAACCCTTTGGTAGTTAGTCGTTGTGTAATTTTGTTGGTTGAGGCGGTTGCAGCAGTTGTTCGTGTTGGTGTCGTGACTGTCTCTGTACTGGTTAAGGGTTGGTGTCGCATGGGATAACTTAACTACTGAATGGCTTTAAATCTGCGGCTTATATGAATTTCAATCCCGCAAACCTGTCGCAATGCAATCCATGCATTTTCATGTATAGTCTATAGTGCCGTACGTGTAGTCCTGTTGATGCATTGTCGTACATGTGTTCGTTACGTTGTAGGGGGGAGGTACAGCAATCGTCTTCGTTTATTGCGTCCTGTGTCTTCCTGATGAGTGATGCCAATTTGATATGTTGTGTTGATATCGTTTCGAATTCCTCAATGTCATGTGTACGTTGTGTAAAATCGATTCGAAGTTTGATTTCTTCAATGTCCTGGTGTAAGGTCTAACGTACTTGTGTGTTAAGAAAACTGGCCGGGAGTAGAAACGTACTGGGATGTCGGAAGGTGAACGTACTTGTGTGTGTGTTGTTGTATTACTTGTTTCGTGGAGTCTGCCGTACTTCATACCCGTACCATTGCCGTACCACAGTACGGATTATTTCGTACATTACATGCGGCTTGCTGCTGTCCACACCAGTCGGGTACGTTGCAAAGGTGTTTGCTGTTACACATCCTGCATGCGCTGCTCGTCCCTCCCACGCGGCCCTGAGGAGGCTGAGGCGGTTCATTATGCACTCCTTCATGCACCCCTTCAAGCACATTCCTACACCGAGTAGCAGTAGCCGAGCAGAAAAACGTGGCGGGGAAAGCTTGTGAGATTGATGAAGCATCGAACGGACAATAACCAACCAATCAACGAACAACCGACCCATCCACCAGTTTGCTTGTCCACGTATTGCCCTTTCGTTCTCCTGCTCGTACACAAGGTTTTGGCTAACACCAAATGCCAACCCCATGCGGGTAACACCGGTAACACGACCCAAGAGACCTCTCGTCACCAATCTGCCTATGGGCCACCCATATTTTACACTCTACTGTACAGTACTGACAACCATCTCCCACATCCAACTACAAACGGGGCCACATCGCTGCTCTCCCCGCCACTGCTCGTGTTGCTGCTGCTGTCCCCTCCCCTGCCGCCGCCGCCGCTGCTGCTGCCGATGTGTTCCCCTCATGCCGCATCCCTCCTCACCACCTCCTCCACCGCCTTCCTCCTCCTCCTCCGCAGCCCGCTGCTGCCGGCCGCACCTCGGCATCACCCGCCGCCTCATCCCCACTCGCCCCCCGCCACCACCGCACCAGCCCCCTCCACAACCCAGACAACCAGCACCCCCCCTCCTCCGGCACCTCCCCGCCGCTGCTACCGCTCCTGCTGCTGCTGCTGCTACCGATGCGGCTGCTGCGAGCAGCCCCAGCAGTCTGCATGGTGGTGGCGGTGGCGGCACTGCTGCTCCTGCTGCTACTAGTAACCCCGGTGTCACCGCTGCTGCCGCCGTTAGGGGCGGACATGCTAGTGGCACTGCTGCGGCTGCTGCTGCTGCTGGCGGCGGCGGCGGCGGCGGCAGTGCTGGCAGTGGTGGTGGTGGTGGTGGGCGGTCGCTTCTTGATCCAGCTGCGGATGGCCTCACGTTGGAAGTTGCGCACCTCGGTGACGGAGAGCGGGTCGTCCGGGTGGCTGAACATGAGGTCCAGATGGTGTGCGCCCTGGGGGGTTGGGGAGGTGTGGGTGGTCAGGGCGGAGCAAGGGGTTTCAGGAGAGGGAGAGTAGTGCGGCAGGGAAAGTACGGGCGAGGTAACGAACATGAGGGGCATGAGGTACCCCCCCCACACACACACCACATGTGACATGGCTTCCTACTTCATCCCCCCAACTCGGCCTCCCCAACCCGCCACCTCACCCCGCCACCTCACCTCCGGGATGATAACTGCCGGAAGGGAGTCGGACACATCCGTCAGCACTCCGCCGCCTGCCGTACGTACAGGATGTGCATGCGTCACAGTCACAGTCACGATCACATGCTTCACAGTCATGATCACATGCGTGCTTCACAGTCATCCTCATGGTCACGATCATGCATTCTAGTCATAGTGTCACACCCCGCGTCATTCATAGGCCCATGCGGCACGATGGCTTACACACACATACCGGTATGGCATACGTCAGGCATGGTTGATACCCGACTAGCCCGGTCGTGCAACCGAAACACCGCATGCCACCGCCAACCCCGCCGCAGACGCCGCCCGCCCCCCCGCACCCATCATCACCCAAGAAACACCCGCCTGCATCCACCTGCCCAACCTCCCCCCCACCCACCCACCCACCATGCCAGGGGTCCAGCAGCCCGTTGGAGAAGACGATGTTTGAGCCCGCGGAGATGCGTCGACCGCCCCACTGGGGTAGGGTGCGGTGGGTGGGTGGGTGTGGGTGAAAAAAAGCGCCAAACCATAGGAAACGAGGAATCAAAGGGCAAAACAATGGGGAAATGAGGCGGCAGGGTTGATGGGTGGAAGGGTGTGGGAGGGTGGGCATGGGCGTATGCAGAGAGAGTGGGCTTGGAAGGGTTGCGCATCGGCCCAACCCCACACTTTTTGTTTTTGCGTGTTTGTGCTCGCGATCCATGAGCCTTCTGGCTCGGACGGACCTTACGAGCTCTGTACGAAGCTTGTAACACATACATACATAACGGTACGTCACTCGTTGCGCTTTCTGAGGGGACTTCATCGTAGTACGTTCCTACTCGCGGCCAGTTATCTTAACACACACCCGCCCTCCCTACCTGTGTGTTTGCCCACAGCGGCCGCGGTGTGACCCCCCAGTGCTGCTGGCAGGCGGCGGTGGCGGCAGACAGATCGAAGGGCTCGTGCCAGAACATGTCGTCAACTGGGGGAGAGGAGGAGGCAGGAGGAAGCATGTGAAGAAAGGGTGTTTGGCGCCGCAGAGCCGTACAATCACCCTCTAACCCTAACCCTAACCTCCCTCTAACCTCCCCCTTAACCCCAATCCTTCATTCACAGCATGGACCATCTTCTTCTTCTCCTCCCTTCCTTCCCCCCCTCCCCCCTTTGTTCACCCCCCCCAAACCCACCTCCGTTCATTGAGAAGGGCATCAGCATCTCAGCACACCACTGGTAGTCCCACCAGTCGGCGTCATGGTCGCTGTCCGGGTCGCTGCCGCCGACCCACGGGTCGAAGCAGTCGGCGCCGCCCGTGTGGTTGTAAAACACACCCACAGCCTCCGCCATGGCTGGGGCGGGGGAAGATGGGGAAAGGGAGTTGAAAGAGGACGGGGCGTTAAGCCATACACTCGCTATCAAACCCAACCCCCTAACACTCACCACCCAACCCAACCCCCTAACACGCCCATCACCCATCAGCAACCTGCGTTACCTAAATACACGTTACACCCCACCCCCAGCTCGTCGGTTTCATCTTTGTTCACACCCCACACCCCCACACCCACCATCCAGCAGCTCCTGGTCACTCAGCCGCCGCCCCTCCAGCGCCGCACACGCCACTCGCACCGGGAAGGCTGGCAGTTGGCCGTGACCGTTAGTGATGTACGATGAGGGGTACGGGAAGTTGCCCATGGCCTGAACAGGCAACAACGGACAGTAGCAGGGCAACGTCAGCGGCGATGCAGCAAGTAAGCAGCGAAACAGAGACAACGATGGCATAACGCGATACGGCATGCATGGCCTCCTCGGACCCATATCGAACACCCAGTAGCCAGCAGACCAGCCCATCCGGCAAACCCAACCCCTCGTCCTCAGCCTCCCTCCCTGCCTCCCTCCCTGCGAACCCCCCCCTACCATGCTGTCCCAAGCAGAGCCCAGCCATGCGCGCAGGTACTCCACATCCCCCTCGTCCTTCAACCGCACATTCGGACACAGCCGCAGCCCCTCAGATAGGAACTTGCGACCTGGGGGCGACAGGGGAGGGGGTCAATTTTTGGACGGGAGCGGCATGTGGGGTAAAAGAGGGTTAAAAAGGCGGCAGGTGAGGAGCGGGCTGATTGCGCGGGGGTGGCAGATGGGAAAGGCAGGTGGGGGCCGTGAGGGTGGGGGGCGCCAAATCGCCATATTGCCACGAACGTACGACGTACCTTCCTCGTCGCTGCCGTACACCTTGAGAAGATCCCACGTGTCGCGGACATTACTAATGCAAGCGGGCGCCGAGCCGGCGATATCCGATGCGTCGTACGTGACGCCCTTGGCGAATGAGCCGGTGTCGAAGGGAGGCGTCTGCGGGGCGGCATGCCACCAACACAGGTGTCGGGGATGCAAAAAGGGAGCCATTCGGAAACCTAAACCTCGAGCTGCGTTGGACAGTCTTCTAAAATCGTACTCGTCCTCCCTCTTCCTAATGCCATACCTAACTACCCAACTAAACTAAATACCAGCACACCAACCAGCTAACCAACCACAACCGCCTCACTCACCTCCCCTAGGAAATTCCAGATGGGTGCCGAACCAGCGATGGATCCGTCGAGCAGATGAGGGTACTTGAGTCGCATCCAGGTAGCTAGCATGCCGCCGTACGAACCGCCGAAACCTGTGCCGTACAATGTGTTGCGTCGTACACTTATTGTCGCACGAGTATGTAAGTGTCGTACAAGAGGAGCGTGGTACAGTCTGCAACGTGCAGTATACACATGAAAGCACGTTTTTTGCACTAGATGATGGTTAGGAGAGGTGCCCCGACCACATGGCTAATACGTACGTCATCAATTGTACGTACGACAAACTTCAAAACAACGTACCGATCACAGCGCTGTCGTACGCTTCGTACTCATCCTTGATCTCCGTAATGAGCTGAGCGTAGTCCGCCATGGCCTGATTAGGAAGTGGGTGGGTATAAAAGTACACAAAGGAGCTTCAGTTCCCATTGCAAGAAACCCAATCCAGAAACCGCCGGACTGTCACGTGAAAACATGCAAATAAGACGCCACGCGCGGTGGGGCGGCTGCGGTGTGGGAGCGGTTGACCGTGTGTTAAGTGGCGGGAGGGGGAAACCAGCTCCAAAAACAAGCACACAAATACACAAACACACACGCATACGCAACCTCGCCCGCACACACCTGCTCTGCCGACAGATAGCCCATGTGTTTCCGTACATTCTTGCCGTACGGTACGGATTCACCGTAGTACCTGTGAGCAGTATGTACGGCAGAGCGAAACACACAAGCAAGTGTCTACATCGCGAATTTCCATCTTCCGGAACTTACAGTACATTCCTTCGTTGACCATGGAAATGGGATTGGGATTAGGATTTCAGTGCTTATCCTCTTTATTGCTTCTCCCCTGCTCTTGTTCTACTCAACTACACACCCACCTGTGTTCCGCAAACACCAGCATGGCTCCAAAGTCGGGTGCGCTCTCCCACATAAGGCCCGTGTTGTTCAGGTAGCTGCGGGTGTGTGGGGTAAAAAATATGCGGGTGTGTGGGGGGGGGGGATCGGTGGGGCGAGGGGGGGCGAGGGGGTTGAGGGCGGGCGGACGGAAGGGTGTAAGGAAAGCCCATACACGCGATCAATGGAGCCGCATACGTCATACCCCATGTCACAGTGCTATCGTGCCGCAACCCCATACCGGCATTCCGTCCCATTCTTTGACTCACAGCGTGACGTCCGCCTCATTACCGAGGTAGAAGAAGATGGGCCTGTGGCGGGCGAAGCCCAGTGGGGACACGGAACGATGAGGAGGAAATGGTTAGGGGGATGGAAACACGGAGAAGGAGGGATTGCAAGACTTACCTATTGTGAAGGATAGGTAAGTCTTGCAGTGTATGAACTACTGCTATGCAAACCCACACGTCCGAACTTCCCTCCCCAGGGAGGGGCCCTACCCGCTGCTCCCCTCTCCGTCCGGCCCCCGCCGTTGCCAGTGGTTGGAGCACACGAAGTAGCGCTGAAGGAAGGTGGTCTGGCCTCCCGCGGGGGGAACCTGCGGTACAAAGAGAAGGAGGGACGGGGCCGGCAGGAGCGAAGAGGTTTCGTGATTGGGGGAGGCGGCAAAGAGGGAAAGGAGAGAGGCACGCGGTGGCATCGCCGGCCAAGGGGGAGGCGGTTGGAGTGGGTGGGATTGGAGCGTCGAGGAAGGCCGTGAAAGGGATCACACTTGCGTGCATGGGGCTACTGCTGCGGATTGCAGTTGCAGCAGTTTACGACATAAGGCGTCATTTGGTAACGCAGGAAAGGCGACTTCAAGCATAACTTAATGAAGGAGTTGAAGGAGGTGTTGGTCTAAGGAACCGCCGTCAGCATTGCTAGCTCGACGAGTAACCCGACGAGACATGCAGGACCAAAGGGACGAGAGAATCGCGACAAAACACGATCCAGATACACAATTAAAAAGATTGCCGAAACGTCTACGGCACGTATGCACATGCGGGCGAAGCTGCTGACCTGACTGAAGTGGTCCAGCGTGGCATTACGCCATCGCTCCGAGCATTGCCCGATCAGGTCCTTTCGGATTGACTCCTTTACAACCTTTGCAAACGGACGCTGCAACCTTTGGTAAAGGGGCTTGGATGCTGCAGGAGCGTCGCCCTCGGCTGCTATGTTGCCCGCCCGGCTTCCTTGCAGCACAAATCGAGGCCGCGGAGAAATCGCAGCTGCACCGTGTAGGATCAAAAGGCCGAGTAGCAGTTTACATGTACATATCATCATGACTGGAGATCTATGAAAGCTGCCCATTTCCATGTATTAGGGTTCACCGAGCGTCCATTTGAACGTCACGTTCTGCGGCAAAGTAGAAAGCTATATCTGCGCAATTGACTTCCTGAATATCTCCATCACCTGCAGAGCCCGCGTATCTCTCTACATCTAGTTCGTTGCTCTAATTATGCCGTACGTTATCGTTGAAGGTGGCGTTGGCGTGAACATGACCGTCATGCGCGAGGCAGCACCGATTTTTTGGGGGAGTTCATATAAAGCTATAAACACCGTTTTCGCTCCGCACAGAAGTAGTCCTGAACAAAGACTGGCAAAGTAGGGCCCACCCATGCAATGGATGTGTTTCGGCACAATAATTAATCGCAGACGCACTCGCCACCTAGCAAGTTGCTTTATTATGCCTACCAACGCTCTGTGCTAATACAGCCAGCATGCATGTAGCGCACCTTCATTCGTGATGGCGGCCATGCCATCCGGTATGCCAGGCAAGGGCGCAGCGTAATGGGAGCATGCAGTCCGTAGCGTGTGTTGATCGATGCAAAGATAGGGAACCGGATGTGTGAAGGCGGGATGCATATACACGGCACAACATTTGCTGCGTCAACTAGCTGGCGCATGACGCACACAAGCATACACATGGTTCTACTCAACTACACACAGCTAAGCGCTTGGTGCTTAGGGGCCTGCCAGACCATTGTGCCTTAGGAAGGTGAAGGCATTTCTTATGGCCGATATCGCTTATATATATATTATTGAAGACCCTTTTGACGTGCTTCGGCACAACTGTTAAAATTGGAAAAATACAGAGAAGATTAGCATGGCCCCTGCGCAAGGATGACACGCACAAATCGAGAAATGGTTCCAAATTTTTTTCGCTTCCCCAGGTCTCAGGTTCGAACCTTCCCGAGAGGTGCTCAAATGTTTTGTTGCCGTCCATGCGCGCATGCATGGGGGAGCCAATAAGCTACGTGCAGCACTAACACAGCAGCAGGCGGCCAAGGTAGCAATCTGAACCGTCCTTGCTTGCCCACATGGATAGGTCAGTGGGTAAGAGGTATGCGCCAGAGACTGCCTGCCAAGTGCCAACATTCCTCACGTGCATGTTCGGCGGCCACGCATTTGGTACAGCAGCGGCCTCCGCCACAAGTCTACATGCAAGCTCTCCACCCATGGATGGCGCGGGGACGCTTATTAACAGGGAAGCCCGTAAACGAACACTGCCTGGTGGAGCAGAACGTCCGCCCCCTGCCTGCTTTGTCAAGGCCCGGATCTCATTGCTGTCCTCATGTCTCGCCCGGATCATCACTGTCGTCATCACGGAGGATTCCTGGCGAAGCTAATCGGTACTCACGCTGTCCCGCATGCTCTGTTTGCAGCAGCACAGCAATCCTCTCGGCCGTCTGAAGTCATCACCATACGTTCTCCTGGCAGCAGGTCTGAACATAACCGACTGTTTACACGCGTTATTACGGTATTACGGTGCATCACAACGCTGCTGGTCAGCGGCGGCGGTGTAGTCCGTCCGTGCACGCATAGCATGGCCCTTACAGCCCTTTCACCTAGCTTACTTCCAGGTTTCCCGGGTTGTAAATCACTGTTTACATACAGGCAGGTAGTGTAGCGGTAAATGCTGTTGATTATGCTTACTTAGTCAGGAAACAACGAAAGTCCGACCGGCGGTTTGATGTGTCCTACGGCGGATTCTGGACGAGGGGTCTAGCCAACGTGTCCGGCTTGCACTAGCGTGTTGCAGTACCAAATTATGAAAGGAAAAAAGGCACAACTGCTCCTTGGTGCGTACAACAGCGGTGGTCAGGGACGGCCAAAGACTGGACCCCAATCGTCAAACGGTTGAACTCGTTGGTCGGTTGATTAGTCGTTGGTAGCCGGGTCCTAAGGGCTGTCAGAAAGGACACATTTCAGGGACTTCAGGACGCATACCCAATAAATAAGTGCATGGACGGTCCAGTTAGGATACCCTACAGCAGCGGTCGCAACATACATAGCCCTACTACCTGGCAGCTAGCCTCCTTTGGCTCATATTCCGCACCGTCGCAGTATTAGGGTACATACATCCGAGTGGTGTTTTGCTGCTCGGATCGCTGCAATGAGCACCACTGTTAAGCGCATCAATAGCGGTGCCAGTCGGCACCGCTCTCCGCCGTTCCTGGTGACCTTGATGGCCGCGATGCTGATGGCTGCCTGTGCCCTCATCGTCATGCAGCAGCTGCCTACCGCCGCAGGTTAGTTGGTTGCCTGCAGCGCTTGGTAGGCATGCATGCATGCATGTAGGACTACTCAATACCCTTCCATGATGCATGTTCGGAACTGCTTCCTTGCTTGCCTGCTGTCTAGGACTGATCAGCAATGGGTGGCCAACGGCCAACGGTTTTTGACGCGTATGCGTTGACACGCTGATGAACGGGCCGTTGCTTAGTCTAGCCTGCTATCTACACCTTTTCCTTCGGGGCCGTGTTTATGATGAACGCTTTTAATTCTTCACCGGTGTTCTCATGCATGCATGCATGCCGTGCGTGTGTGCTGCAGCAGGCGCCGCTGTGGAGGTGCGGGAGATGCAGGTATGGCCCCTACCTAGGCATGTAAAGTGTTTGACCGCAAAAGTCGCAACAGGTCTAGCATATGATAACGTACTTGATGGCACTGACCCGTGGGTCGCACGGTCCATGAGCATAATAACATGGGCAGTAGCTGTAAAGCGAAGCAGTGTGTCCATGTATGGATTCATCAACGTGAGTTTCTAACCGTAACTTTCTTTACGCCTCTATGCACGCAGCGTTCCCTGCTGCAAGCCGACCCTGCTCCCAGCAGCACCGCAAGCCCCTCGACGACCACGCAAAACGGTGGTGCTATGCCCACGCCATTTGACGCCATGGCGGGAATGTTAGCGCAGGGCGGCAAGGCGTTTCAGGACATGACCCAGCAGATGATGAGCGGGTGAGTGAGGCAGCAGCGGGTCATGCGTTGCAATGTATGTGCAACTGTGCGTTTCTTAGCGCCCCGTCAACGCCCTTTTAATGGCAGCCCCGCCGTTCTGAGTTTTGCGTTGCTCGGAAAGTTGCTCATTCTCTGGCTTGGTTCTCGCATGGTCTCATCAGGCTGCATTCTCCCAACCTTGTTGTGCCTGTGATTGCTCGAGAATAGCGCTCTTGCTATGTCACCCTGCCTTCATCAAAGCCCCCTGTGGGCATTTCCCATTATTCACCTTCCCCCAAATTTTAAATACAGGGCTGCCGGAGGTGGTGGTCTCATGCCGGGCATGCAGATTCAGATGGGTGGACAGCCGGCGCAAGACGCCACAGGCGGCAATGGACAGGTACCGTATGTCTGCATGCATGCAAGGAGCCGATGGGCAGTAAGTGTCATAATGCATGAGCATGCTGGTATGTAGAGATGATGCTTTCATGATACACTGGTTCAGAGGTAGGGTTTCCAACTTTCTCCTCATGCATGTAACCCCCGCCCCGGCCCCCAGCAGATCTCTTTGATGCCCAACCTGCTGCTGCCCTTCAGCAGCGGAACCAGTCCTGGCAGCAGCGGCAGCAGCACGTAAGTTTGATTGAGGGATTGCCCTGACATTCCGTGCGGTTGCGGTTGTTGTTGGCAAACGTACAGTCTTGCACGCCATAGGGTTGCTTGCCTGATACAGCGCCGATAGCGGCCTTGCGGTTTGTTCCATTGACAAGCCGCTTTTCCTAACCAACACACCCACGGTCCTGTCCTCGGGCTTCCTTCCCTTCGCACCTGCAGTCCCCCAGTGTTCAGCCTTTTCAGCGGCGGACGTCGTCTCATGAACGACGGTCAGCAGCAGACCGAGGGCGGCGGGGTAGGTCAGGAGGCTACAATCAGGGGTTGTGTTGAGGATTTAGTGCTAATATAAACTGTTGGGAACCCATCAGCTTGGCTAGGCAGGGCATATGCCGATGACCCATGGGTCGAGAGGTGATGACGCGTGGGTGCCTGTGGGATCCGCGTCCTACCTTCCCCTGCTGCGCATGTGTCTTCTGTACATGACTCCATTCACATCAGGTAGGCCTTCCGCTAACGTCCTCTGCCCGCTCCTGCTGTGCAGCGTTCCCTGCTGCAAGCGGATAAGCCAGCAGCCGACCCCGCTCCCAGCAGCACCGCAAGCCCCTCGACGACCACGCAAAACGGTGGTGCTATGCCCACGCCATTTGACGCCATGGCCGGAATGTTAGCGCAAGGCGGCAAGGCGCTTCAGGACATGACCCAGCAGATGATGAGCGGGTGAGTGAGGCAGCGAATCATGCCTACCGATGTCCAACGGTACCTGGAGACCCAACAACAAACATACGCGCTTTCCTGGCAGTCCCGTTCTGCGCTGGTCTTGGTCTGGGAAACCTACTGATGCAAGCACCATGCTCAGATCTTTGGCTCGGTTCTCTTGCCTCAACGTGTCTGCCTACCTTGGCTAGCTCAGAAGGCTTGCAACTGCCCCTCTTGCTATGTTATCTTCCGTTAACGCCCCCTGCTGTGGGTCTTTCCCTCCTGTCCACCTCCCACCATTATTGGCATTCAGGGCTGCCGGCGGTGGTGGTCTCATGCCGGGCATGCAGATTCAGATGGGTGGACAGCCGGCGCAAGACGCCCAAGGCGGCAATGGACAGGTACCGTATGTATGCATGCATGCATGGCGCGGATGGGCAGTTAGACAATTTGAAACGCTGGCATGCAAATTGATGTGCATGCGTGCCTTGCTTACTTGGCGCTCTGGTGGCTCAGATGTGTAAGCCTTTCAGCAGGATCGTGTTCCAAGCTCGTTGCCCGACTCCCATGCACCGCGTCTTCAAACCTTTTTGCTCCTTCCTCCCCTGCATGCATCCTCCCGCCCCGTCCCGGCCCCCCAGCAGATCTCCTTGATGCCCAACCTGCTGCTGCCCTTCAGCAGCGGAACTGGTCCTGGCAGTGGCGGCAGCGGCGGCGGCACGTGAGTTTGGTTGGGGGTAGCTCTGACATTCCGTGCGGTTGAGTTTGCGGTTTGCGGTTGGCAAACGCACAGTCTTGCACGCCATATGGTTGCTTAATTGCTGGCCTGCTGCAGCGCTCATAGGCGTCTGTTTGGTGAGGTCCGCTTTCG